AAATGGAAAATCTGAAATAAATTGATTCAGTTCACCCGAGAGGATTTTATGCAATATACCAATTACAATTTCGTATCGACGCTTAAAGATCTGAGAATCTAGTTTTATTGTCTATGTGGGTAATAATTAACTTTGTGAAGATGTTGTTGCCACAATGTGTCTTCCGCGATTTCTTCATTTTTTTGTAATTCCAATGTACTTTCTATTCCGTAAATATCAAAAAAAAAGTTTTATCTAATATATAAATACGATTGATAATGAGTATAAGATATGAACAAGAACTATGTTTGATGCAAATTAGGAGTTATTCAAAGATTTGCAAATGTAGATGTACAAAAAATGTTGCCTAAAAATAGAAAAGAAATCCTATAAACCTAAAAACACAGATTTAAAAAATGAAAATTGAAAGTTATCAAAAATGTGTTGATATGTCCTAGAAAATCTTTTCGGTTAACGGAATTTAATATAAAAACTATACTATTTACGTTCACTTTCACACACAATAACTTAATGGGCGAGAAAATTGTATGTGTGTATACATCTGTGACATAACGACCAACGTTAAGAGCTTGCACGGTAATTCTCGTTTTCATAAATCCTCTCTTCTCCAGCCAGAAACAATGCCGCGTTTGGTAACATAAAGGAATAAAAAAAATCGTGGCGCAATTTGGGTCCTCACCGAACCGACGAGATGACGACGGTGTGTAGTCTCTTTATTTCTTTTCTTTATTTCGTAAAAAAAACCGCGCACGCACTCGAGAACGTTTGGATTCTTAGAGTCACTTTATTCGGTCACTAGGAATTGCAAAAGTAAAATTCCAATTAAGTGTCATCGCGAAAATGGTTTGCGATCTTAAATTAGCTGGTATTTGTCGATTACTTCATTATTTGAGAATGGAGAAATAACAAAAATTTTAACTAAAAAAATTTAATACAAACTACCTTATTGAAATTGTGAAAAAAAATCTTGGAAAGTCGCACGATGAAGTTGTGTAAAAAATATCATCCATCTTAAAGCAACATTTATACACACCATAGAAGACAATCAAAGTGATTAATCTTTACAAATGTAGTATAAACTTAGTGTTTAAATAAATAGTTACACCCAAAAACGATTCATTCTTTAACGATAAAAAAGAAGTTATAGCTGTCCATAAATGTTGTTGATTATACTATTAACACTTAAACTGTGTACAATACTCTATGTCATGGGTTCATTTATGGCAATTTCGATAGAAAATACGACGATAACTTTACGTAATCCTACAAACTTTCAATAAACATTTTTTTTTTCTTCGAGAAAACACTCCAAGGATCACTCAGGTTCTTCTATCATGATGTTTTCAAGTCGCAAATTTCTAAATACATTAATCGATAAAAAGAAAATTAATATCGAAATAATCAATAATTAAATTTTACCGTTTTTGTAATTGTTTTTAATGAGATATGGGCAAAAAGAAACAGAAAGAGGTTTTTATAAAGTATTGAATAAAAAAAGAGACAACGAATCGTGTATAGTGAAGGTAAAGAATTTCTTGGGTTAGCTTGAGTCAGATCTATATCTGGCCAAACATTAAGAGTATCCTACTTTCTCGTCCATCTAAACCAGATGATAAATCGAAATGAATCGAAATGAGAACCGCCCGTCGTTAAAACAAGAAGAATAAAAATACAAATCATTAAAGTTCATCTTTATCGAACCATATAAAAAAAATTAGTAATAACATAATCGATTCAATTTATTTGTATGACAATAATTAGTATTTTTATGTTCATTTAAATCAGGTTATGTAGTCAACATTAAATACATTTTACAGTCCCTTTTGTGTATTATTATAGTTTATCTTTCATCATGTAAATTGGCATGAAGAGAAGCATATTTTAGATCTAATAGAACTGCATGTCATGTATCTGCCAAATGTTGCCACCCTGATTCAACCCATAGATAAGGTTGTAATTAAAACAGTCAAGAAAGTGCTCGTTTGCAGTTAAAGAAATTAGTTACGCTTCGAGATGCGACATACAAAATATCCTATTCTTGTGAAAATGTTAAATAATGTTTAGGGCTGTAAAGAACTGGATGAAGAATATATTCAGGAGTAGCTAAATATGGACTTCGAATGCTATGGTCTAAGAACACATGATTGACGATGAGCTCATGCATACCAATAACTAACCGAGTTCACTTTAGGAATGTAGTGATCATGAACCATGTAGAAGAGACGTCTCAGAACAAGAAATTAATGTCAGCTGCAAGGAAGCACTTTATACTAGGTGCTGAAACTCAAAAAGCAAGTGAAAATAACCGATTTGATAGATTTATAACACAACCGATCCTATTTAACACGTTCAACACCTAGTGTAATTAGGCTGAGTTTCTCGCCAGGCCCAAATCCGACCGCTGGAGCGCTAGAATGTAACTTTTTTTATCTTCAAAATGTTTATTGGTTTAGGATGGAATTTCATGGAAGTCACACTCTGACCCTGAGAAATCATATGCAAGTGAACACTTTGAGGATATGTTGGAAGAACTTGCTATGGACAAAGACGAGGAAGTGAACTTTGTTGATGATTCATTGGACAATTTTCACAGGAACGAATGCGCTAACAGGCCACAATCATTCCTGTTCGTAGGATAAGGCGGACTTTATGAGAGTATGGAGAGCAAAAACTGCATTAACATGAAATGACTGATCATGTGTGACTGAACTGATGGAAATGTATCACATCTGACGAAATTGCAAAATATATCGGACTGATGATTTTTGTTGGTCATTTAGCGCAGCCAGATATTACATAATCGTTTTGAATTACTGTTAGTAAACTTGCATTTTGCAAATAACGAAACGATAGAAGAGAGTAACAGAATAAATCATACTCGTCACCCAGAGCTGGTTGACGCGGCGGCGAAAGTTAACAGCGCTTATCTCAAGCTACAAATTGTACTTTTAATTACAGAAGATATAGTAAGCAGAATCAAAAATAAAGTGGTCAAGCAGAAATCTGATGCAGCTTTCACAAGACTTTGAAAATGCTTATTTGTACCCTTCTTTAATGTTTTGAATCAAAATTTAAGAAAATTCTTTTAGCTTAAAAATTTTAAAGCTAATTTACTCGAAACATATAAAAGATGACGTAACACCTTTATCGACTTATGTCTTCAATTGTAATTATAATTAACAGTTTTAGTCGAAATGCTTTGGAAAAAGTTAATTGTCAAGATAATTAAAATTTGAGGTTACATTAAGTTGGGGTTTTGATTGATTTCAAAGTTTTAATTATTTTTTTAAATTAAATTATTTATTCGCCGAGAAATTAGAACTTTTTATCAAGTAATTATATCAAAAAATCAATAAATAATGTTGAGTTCAATGAGAATGCGAATTTATAAAATAAGGTTAAAACAACCTGAAAACTAATAAACATCGTCAAGTAGAAAGGAGGAAATCCCATAGGATTCAACAAACTTCTCTCGAGCTTACAAATTGGAATTACACTCTGTGCACACACAAGTAAAGCAATCAACACAGCAAACTTCGCTCATTAATATTCCTCTTTAAACTTCATTATTAGTTTAAAAACATAGCTTATAAAGATATATAAAAAAAAAGATTTTGTACGTCGATAACAACTGTAAATAATTCCATAGCGTTTCAAACCCGTCTAATAATCCACGATGTTTTATCGTATAATCCTTCGGGATATTCCTTCCGTAAATATTTACTTTCAAAACCCCTCGTCTATTTCCTCGCGTCGCGCGTCGTTTATAAATAAAACCTTGAGTGGTGATAAATCTCCATTAGATAATATTATCTTTACAAACTCACTTTCTAAACGATATTACAACAACGACAAAAAATTAAATTAACGAACACCTTTTTTTTTATTTTTTATTTTATTGTTGTCGGTGTTAGAATTAATGTTTTTTGGGTTAACGAGGTGATGAAGAAAAAAAAACAAGTAATTAATTGTTGAAGATAAACGAATGTAATAAAACCTTTTATAACGTTATGACTGGTGTTAATTAGATTTCTTGTTTAAATTTCATTAAGCTTTTAGATAAGATAGATTGAGTAAGGTTTTAATTATTTTGAGAAAATTTTAAGGTTAGATATGGTTTAGATTTGATTGACAAGTTAATGAACTGTCAAAAAAGTTAGGTTAAAATTTAATATCAACAAAGGTTATTTTAACTAATTGTAAAACATTTTAAATGTTCAAAGAACTATTTAAATTAAAACAAAAAGTTTAGTTACACTTTTCAATCAAATAATCATAACATAATGAACCCAACGGATTAAAATGATGTAATCGAAAGCAGGATGTTAGTCTTAAATAGGTAGGTGTAAAATGATAAATGATCGTGTTTTATTATAGACATTTCAGTTCGTAGGAAAGTAAATCGATGTTTGTCAAATAATGTGCATCTTTAAAGTGCTAATATTAATAATTCGTACGATCTCTCTTATTTAAAATGATAATTGTATTCAAAAATTATTAATAATTTAAAAAACGTTTAAGATTTCTGTTGGCGTAAAAGAAAATCGTTTTTATGGCAATATTTTTTAAATATACAAACTTTCTCCTGTTAGAAAATAAATATTTTCTGTACACACCGATACGTCTTTAGAAGATATATTTTTTGGTTCGTTTAATTGAACTAAAAGTTACTACTAAACGTTAAGATTCTAAATTTTGACGTATTAATTTGACAATTCGATTTTTTTAGATTAATTTAACTTGGAAGAATTGTATATTGTGTAATTTTGTTGGATAATAATTATTGAAATAAATTCATTTCAAATACACATCAGAGATGTCTATTTGAATGTCAAATTAAAAATATTTAAGAAAATGGTTAAACATTTTTTAACTTTGAAGGTCCATACATATCTTAAGCATTTATGGGTTTAGATCAAAAATTTTTACACGAATCGTCATCACTTTAACTCTAGTATTTGTGATTAAAATTATGCCACGAGTTACAGAAATACCCTGTATATGTATTATGAAACGTTAAAGTTTCTTTTTTATAGGATACACATTACATCTTAAAATAAAGACATTAAAATTTGACATTTTTTCAAAAACCGTTAGTTTAATTAACACTTCTAACATAATTACAATGGGTATTTCAAAACTTCGAATCGTTTCGCCGCGATTACTTTAGAGACTCAATTATGTAAATGAATCCGCGAGCAAACATTTCTCTTCTGTCTCTTAGACAGATTACTAGAAGCGATTAGAGCAGGGTTACCATCCTATTAGAACTTGTAAATATCAAATGGCTGGGTAATTTTTTACTTATTTCGCAATAGGTTTGTTTAAAAATATCATACTACTTCTTTTCGCGCTTCACACAATGTGTGTAAATATTAAACAAATTAAGATAAAAAGTTACAATCAAGAACTGTTGAGAAATAACTGTCAAATTTTTGAAATCAATGAAGTTAGTAACTAAATTTCTTTCCAAGGTCGTCTCAAATCATTTATGTTTCCTTATTTTATACATGGTTAAGATGAATTTATTCACAGCTGACGGTGACATTAACAATGCATTTGCTAAGAAATTAATTCAAATTGTATTAATACATTATTCAATTTCAATTACCCTACATAGTTCGTGTCAACGTCATCGAGGAAGGAAATGCAAATGCGTTTGTTGTTAATGCTTTGGTTTTCTCGCGTAATTTCCGAAACCCTCAGCAAACCAGTTGTCCCTCTGGTGAATTCTAATGAGAACCATATGGTTTAGCTCCGATTGTTTGATTCTTCGTTAGTATTCCGAAACCGTCACGATCAGATCAACGACGATTAAATTAATTCAAAGAACGTACAATATACGTTTGCTTTCTTATTATGTATTTTCACCAAACAATGGTTATTGACTTCAGGAAATAAACCAGAAAATAAAAAAAAATATATTTATTAGACACTTTATCAGATTTACCTTTGTTACAAATTCACTTTCTTCTCGGTACATTTTTACGTCTGCCAAAAAATTTACGTGATGTGGTTCGCGTGTGGTATGAATAAAAAAGATTGGAACCGGTACTGGTTTCTCGATGAAAGTGCGAGTTCGGGTTCCCCCGAAAAAGAACTTTCGTTACCACGCGTCCGGCCTCCCGAACGGTATGCATCCTCCGGTGAGAGGATGTGACCCGCTTTTTCACCACCAAAAAATCTTTAGGTGGTCCGGTCTTAACCCAACCAAAAAAAAAGTGCCGAAAATGTGGCAAAGTGGGGAGGAAGATGAACTACTATAAATCCCGATGGAGCTCCAACCATTATCATTATTCAAAAGCTTGTGTTGATCTCCGGTAACACAATACAAGTTACCCGGAGAATTCAAAATATGAGATCTTTCGTGGTAAGTATTTTTAATTTTTGTAGTGAGGAAGTATGAATTCTTATGGAATTTTCTTCGATTAATTTATAGTTCGCCACAGTGTTGGCTTTGGCTTATGCCAGGCCGGAAGCTGGATATTCCTATAACAAACCCGGAATTTCTTTCAATACTGGATACCAAAGTGGAAGTATTGGAGTTTCTGGAGGTGGTGGTGGAGTCGGAGTTGGTGTAGTTCCATCTGGTGGAGGTTTACTTACTCAAACAATTGGACATGGAGATGGTGGTGCATCTTTCGGGGGTGGGTCATTTTCTTCTGGGGGAGCTTCTTTCCAATCTGGAGGAGGAGCTTCTTTCCAATCTGGAGGAGGACCTTCGTTCCAATCTGGCGGATCTTCTTTCCAATCAGGTGGATCTTCTTTCCAATCAGGTGGATCTTCTTTCCAATCTGGTGGATTGTCCTCCTTCCAAACTGGTAGTACCTCATTCACCGGAGGTTTTTCAGGCGGAGACTCTTCGTTTGGACACGGTGGAACAACTCTAGTCCAAAAACACATTTACGTTCATGTTCCTCCCCCAGAACCCGAAGATATCCATCATCATCGTCCAATTTCCGTTGCCCCAGCTCAAAAACACTACAAAATTATCTTCATCAAGGCTCCAGCTCCACCAACTCCAACCGTTCCAGTAATTCCCCTCCAACCACAAAACGAAGAGAAAACTCTCGTTTACGTTTTAGTTAAGAAACCCGATGACCAACCAGACATCCATATCCCAACTCCAGCCCCGACTCAACCATCCAAACCAGAAGTATACTTCATTAAGTACAAGACTCAAAAAGAAGTTTCTGCTGTCGGTGGTGGAAACGTCGTCGAACACGGAACAACCGGTGGAAGTGGAATCATCGCCAATTTGGAAACTGGATCGACCGCTACCGGAAATGAATATAATCTTTCGCAAGGTAGCGTCAGCTCGAGTTCTTCATCTTCCTCGGCATCCACGGGATCGCTATCGTCTAGTTATGGACCTCCGGGCCATCAACCCGGACCCTATTAAATTAAATTGCGACAGTTTTAGGTTATTTGTACGGGTAAATCGAAAATCGCATTCATCATCATGACCCGTTTTGTAAATAGTTTCTTTTCGTCTGTTATTGATAAGTGATACTCTAAGATAAATTTATTTTTTTATTAATGTTATTTTTATAGGTTAAGTAGCAAAAAAGTTACGGTGACAAATAAATTATATCTTTATAATAAAATTAATGAGTTTTTAATTTATGATTTAGTCAAAAGTATTCTTCCTTATTACTAACAACTTATCTGGAAATGTGAATCATAACTATGTTTCTGTTCTATCTATGTTCTGGCTTACAACGTAACTAGTTGAGATTGAATTTTAATAATCTTACTCTTTATTATTGTAGGCTGCTGCTAAATTATTCTGGTCTTAGTCCCTATTTTCAGTTTTGTCGATATTATTTGATCATAATCCTTGTCGGGGTATTTCTTAATCTCTACTTTTTAAAACATTTCTCCAAGAAGTCGAATGTTTCTCGTTAGGTCAAATGTTAGTTCTAGTGACAGTACTAGGTAGTGCTACTTATCACTTAGATATCTCTATGTTGCATATTTTTATTGAACTAAAACTAACCCTAGAACTAGAATCATTCGGGTTTAGCCGTCTTCAGAGACGCACGGCTAAAGCCGAATATTTCCAGTTCTAGTGTTAGTTCTAGTTTTAATTGTTATTCAGCGCTGACGTCACGAACGGCCCTTTAAACTGTTCCCGGGATGTAGCAGTCCTCTTATTTGTGTGCATTAAAATTATTCATATAACGGACTTTTGGCTATAACGGATACTTCTTTCCCCGTATTAATGCATTATATCGCAGTTTTATTATATTTTCTTTTATCCTCTTCCATCACACGCAACACCCTCATCATCGATGTCTCGCGATTTTCTAAACTACCTGATAAGTTATAAGTAAGTTGTATAAAAGAAACGTATGTTTTTATTTGAAAATGTATCATTAAAACAAATTATTACTCAAAGACATTGCAAGTTATTCAGAGCAATTGGCATACATTTGGAACGTGGGAAGCTACTTAGAGGTATTGACAGCCTTTGAAAGCGAACTGTATTGAGTATTTAGGAGCAAATAACAGCGAAAGATATTTTAAGTTATGTAAAGTTAGTAATACACACTAAAATACAATTGGGTCAAGTTTTCACGATTCTTAATATAACTCTAAGAATATTTCCAACTAAAAACATGATTCCTTTAAGAATTAAATTAGCCGATAATGAAGCTTCCGAGCCAATCTCATTTTTATTAAAAAATCAATACCTTAAAAAAAGACTATCATTATATTATATTTTTTACGAATATAACATGAAGAAAACAATTATATGATATTTGTTCATTTTTGGTAATTTAGAATAATAATCAAACGTATTCCTGGATAGAAAGAGACTATAGTTGTACTGACAATGCCGGTGCAGCGGCTGTGTCTTATGCATGTATGTGTGAGTGTATGTAGTGAGAGGTTATGACCCGAATTTCACTTATCTAAATGTTAACGCGGACAATTGCGTTAAGGAAGACGTCGTCGTCGCACTCTTCTATTTTATCGGGAGGGGGTTGATGGTACCTCTTCTTCGGCACACCGGTGTACCTATAAAACGTGGATGGCCACCGCACATCGGTACACATCTCTAGAAACGTTTTCTTGAGAACCACCGGGTTGTGTTTTAAAGATGAAGCCTTTGCTGGTGGTGAGTGTCTTTTCCCATTTCCAAAACTCTTTTATAAATTAATTATAGTATTATTCCGCGATATTGCTTCAAGTTTTAAATCTTAAATTTTAAACGTGCATTTCGAGGTAATTACTGGGACTACGAAACGGAATTTCCCTCGACATCGTAAATTTTCAATGCATCTTAACTATCTCTACTGTTAAGGTCGTACATCTTCCTTAAAGTATTCTTGCTTAAATGCAATGTTACGCGAAGTTAAAACATTTTTATGTACCAGTTGGATAGAATTAATATGGGCAATCATTTATCGAGTGCAAATTCAATTTGGGTATTTTGAAATCAAGAATTGCGTATCGAGTGAGTGTTTAATGTAAATAAAAATTTCTGCTTTTAAAGCGAGCGTTACGAAAAGTAGATTCAGTTCTAATAAAATTTACACATAAACCTCTTTTAGGAATTTTATTAGATGTTATATTCGAAATCACATAATTGTGCAACTCGAGTATTTACGTCATCATTTTAATTTCTTTAGTTAACTGTTGCCATTTTGGCTACAACCCAAGCGAAACCTCAATATAACTACAGTCCTCCAAGTAGCACTTATGGAGCTCCGGGAGGTGGTGGCGGAGGAGGCGGTGGTGGATTTGGAGGTACTGGATTTGGAGGAGGTTTAGATGGAATTGGGGGAGGTGGAATTGGAGGAGGTGGAATCGGCGGAGGAGGAATTGGAGGAGGCGGAATTGGAGGAGGCGGTGGAGGATTCGGAGGCGGTGGATTCGGCGGTGGTGGCGGTGGATTCGGAGGTGGAGGATTCGGCGGTGGTGGCGGCGGAGGAGGAGGAGGTGGTGGCACTTTAGTCCAAAGACACATTTACGTCCACGTTGCCCCACCAGACGATGAAGGTCAAAGAGCTCAAGCACCGATCGCTGTTCGACAAGCCCAGAAACATTACAAGATCATTTTCATCAAAGCTCCGACTTCCGCAACACCGACCGCACCAACGATTCCTGTTCAACCACAAGACGAAGAAAAAACTTTGGTGTACGTTTTAGTTAAACGTCCGGAAGATGCACCAGAAATTAATATTCCTACAGTAGCTCCAACGCAACCATCAAAACCAGAAGTTTACTTTATTAGATACAGAACTCAAACTTCTGGAGGAGGTGGTGGTGGAGCCGGAGGCGGTGGTGGCGGTGGAGCTGGAGGTGGTGGTATTGGAGGAGGTGGAATTGGAGGAGGAATCGGAGGTGGTGGTATTGGAGGTGGAATTGGAGGAGGTGGTATCGGCGGTGGAATAGGGGGTGGTGGTATCGGAGGCGGAATTGGAGGAGGTGGTATCGGAGGTGGAATTGGAGGAGGTGGTATCGGAGGTGGAATTGGAGGCGGTGGTATCGGAGGTGGAATTGGAGGCGGCGGTATTGGCGGAGGTGGAATTGGAGGTGGAGGCGGTGGAATTTCGTCTTCATACGGCGCTCCAGCTAAAACGGGAGGACCATATTAAAACTCCTTTGTGATGCGTTTATTCAAAACGTAAATGAAAAAGAAGACGTAAAATTCATATGTATATAGCTTTCACTTTGTACCGAATAGTGTTTATTTTTTCCTTCATGTTTGTATATTATCATTCTGTTAACTTTGTACCTTTGTTTCTTAATGTACATTACTATTTTATAAAGTTATTGCTTTTATTTTTTAACTTAAACAAAATAGCAATTACGGTGACAAAAATGTATTTTTTAATAAGGATTAGTGCGTAAACGTCTAGAGTTTAAGGAGGCCTGTGTGATATTTCGATCGTTGCATATCTTAAATATATTTCGTCTTTAATATGAACCACTTGTTTCCTTTTATTTTATTATTGTAAATAAAATTCGTATTCTTTTCCTCTTATTTTAATACCTATACAGAAGATAGCATAAAGCGACTACATATCTATAATATTCATCGCGGCGGTAAAGCCGGTTTCTTACTATAGAAGAATTAGAGAGAAAAATAAGTGAATAGAGTGAATATATATGCTGTTACGCACATACAAGTTTTGTTTAAATCATTACAAAGTTTCTACAATAGCAAGGAATAGTGAAGTTGCGATTATCGTTGCGACCATTTGAGACCTTGTCATATTATAAATTAAATTGTTAGCATAAATTGAAAAATGTAGAGATCCCAATGGTGTATTCTGAAGTACTCTAGATAATGCTTTTGAGATACCTCTCCAAATCATCAATAATTTAATCGATAGATTAAAGACATTATTCACGTGAGGTCAATAAGGGGAATTAAAACCAAATTAGTTATACTCCTAACAAATAGTTACTTAAGCAATTAAACAATTACCAAAGAAAGTGTAAATAAGATAAAAGCTTACCATTAGAAAGAACTTTTGTTCATCACAAAAGAGTTTTCGACGAGAGACTGAAATTCTTGAAAAAGTGATTCCTCCGATTTAAAAATTAAATCGAGGGGGAGTGGGAAACTTTCGTAATTACGAAACTTTCGGCCAGCTCTTATTTTAAAATCGGCCTCTTTTTTTCCTTTATTTTTCAGCGTCAAATGCCAAACGTTAAATTTTCATAATGAATAATTCAATCGCACTCTTAATGTCAAATCTAAATTCGGATTTCGGATACGCAGTTTTCTTTCCAATTAACAATCTACTGACCTAAATTAAAAAGCTTACTAATAAATTATTATTATATTAAGTTAATACTTTTTAATTTCATCAAAATTTAATATCAGAATCCTTGAAGTTTACATTTTTTAACATTTGACAATTTTAATAGTAGTGTTACCAACATATTTAATTTATTATGTTTTAACATTAAATATGAGTGAAGTTAGATATTTTACCTGACAACTAACTTGACAGAAATGATGAAACTTAATTATGGTTTTTTATTAATTATTTATATTATTACAACATTTTCGACCACCTTTTATTTTAAAATCAGCCTCTTTTTCCTTTATTTTGCAGAATCAAATGCCAAACGTTAAATTTTCATAAGAAATGAATAATTCAATCGTACTCTTAATGTCAAATCTAAATTCGGATTATTCTTAATTAAACACCTCTTCTTTCTGCTCTGCTTCCATTTTATTTCAACCTCATTCGATTCCTTTTTTTATTCATCATTGATATATTTTGAATTATATAATATGCAAATGATATTTTTTTAGTAGCTCAAGGTAAACTTATCGATGATGATCTTTTTATTAAAAAGTAATATAATTTATCCCTCAAAACATTTTTTGTAGCCTTTTTCTTCGTGGAGTTGCCACACACTCATTTACAATTTAAAGCAACCAAAAAAATTTCTCCTCATCCTTCCTACTTTTTTTTATTTAATTCTTTCGAAATGCATTAGGTTTTAAGAAACCTTAAATTAATTTAATTTCAATCTTGATTACACAAAAATATGTATATTTATCTTTAACAACCTTCTTAAGCGATTAGATAATCGATCATTCTTGAAGAACGCGAAGCATTTAATCGTTTGAGTTCATTGAAAACGTGCAAGGACAACTGCATCATATTTTCCTCTATATTGTATTCAGTTACGAAACGTTTGTTTATGTGGATAATGTAGAAGAAAATAAAATTAAAAATAAATAAATTTATTATTCGAAGATAATTAATTAATTATGTAGTATAAGTTTTATTGCTTTAGTTTGGTAATCTAGAATATTAAAAAAAATGACAAGGTGAGGAATTTTAGTGTCTTCCTTTTTCGTATTGACACAAGTTTAAAATGTTAAAACGCTCGGCGTTACGTTGAATCGAAAACGGCCTTCACAGAAGGATGTCCTTTAAGGTGGGGATGTCTTATAAATATCTAATATACCATAAAATTTCTCAATCTCATTTTGGAATCCACGGAAAAACTATGAAGTCTTTGGTAAGTTTTTTGTGGTTCATTAAATTTCTTTTATTTCGATTCTTTTCGTTTTTCAGATTATTTTCGGGTTTTTTGGCTTAGTTTTTGGAAAACCGGATATCGGATTAGAGTTGAGGAAACCTTTACAAACTAGTTATGGTGTTCCAGTTGAATCTGTAACGGGACTTCCCCCAAATTATTTACCTCCATCGCCGACGTTTCACACGCCGTTAGTTTCAACGGCGGTTCCTTTTTATTCTGGACCAACAGTAACACCGACTTTATCGCCTATAATTTATGATCAAAGCGTGATTTCACAAATTCCTAGTCATCACCAAATTTATCAACAACAATTTTATTCTCAACCATCGCCGAGTGTTTATCATCATCCAGCTGAAGTACAAAAACACGTTTACTTTTATGAAGCGCCTGAAGAACCGGAAGATATTCATCCGCATGTTGCCCCAACAGCCCCACCTTCAAAGAAGAATGTGAAAATTATTTTCATTAAAGCTCCAACTTATAAAGTTCAGCCGTATGTACCACCCGTTGCTTATTCTCAACAAGAAAAAACTTTGGTTTACGTTTTGGTTAAGAAACCGGAAGAACAACAACAAATTGTTGTGGAACCACCACCACCAACTCCACCAACTAAACCAGAAGTATACTTTATTAAATACAAAAATCAAGCTGAAGCTGAAGAAAAAGTTCAAAACACTTTAAACACTCACGCTGAAAGTGGTGCTAATATTATAACTAATCAAGTTGAAACTGGATCAATCGGAAATTTACCCCTTGATGGATTATCAATTGTAACCACACCATCTCCAATTATTACCAACTACGTTTCTTCGTCACTTCCAGGAGGATACGTGAATCCATCAATTTCGATTAACACGAATGGAATTAACGGTGGACAATTTGTTTCTTCAACGGAATCTCCTTTCATTGCGAGCACTTACGGACCAATTATTTCTTCAACGGAAAGTCCCGTAATTAGTAGTACTTATTACCCATCGATTGATGCCAATAAAATTGTTGATAGTTATGGAGTTCCCCATCAAACTTATGGAATACCGAATAAAAAGTAAATTATGAGAAGAAAACCTGCAATAAATTATAAATTAAGATTTTGTCAAGAAAAACAAATGGTTGTAATAAAAATGTTGTAAAAAATAATAATAAAGATTGCTTAATGATAATTTCTGTCAATTTAGTTGTCTCCCTCATATTTGAAAAAATATATAATACTAAATTACAACGTATTTTAGTGATTTGAATTGATTTTAATTACTTATTTAATTATATATTTGTGAATATTATGATGCATATTCTAATTTCAAATACATTTTAAAATGAAAATAAAGAAATAAGTATGTTGGTAACTCTGTGTTGGTAACACTTTTATTAAAATTGTCAAAATGACATTTGTAAACGTCAAAAAGGTTCAACTTCTTTTGAGTTATATAATTTTAATTGCATTCACTAAATTACTAAATTTTGATTAGAATTAAAATGAAGAAAATTTTATTGACCTAATATTCGTACTAATAAATAAAATAGCAATTTATTAGTAAGCGTTTTGATTTAGGTCAGAAGATTGGTAATTATAAAGAAAACTGCGCATCCTTTATATTTTCGTAATATTTTCTTAATTAGATTGAAATTTAATCCTCGGTGATTCATTAGCATCCGTTATGTAAATATAAATATTTGAAAACAACAAATAATCATAAGGTAGCATTCTCTAATTTAATTATAATCGCGGCAATATTTTTTATATAACAATGTTTCTTTTTTAGATTGCATTTTTTGTCCTAAATCATAAATTATCGCTAACATCTAATTGGATTAAAAGCTAATATTAACTTTAATGTGCGTTATAAACTTCTTATACAATTTACAATCGAAAATATTGATAAATATCAACGAATGAACTTGAACATAACAATTTTTTATGACTTAAAAGAATTTTATTTTTTAAATTGTTTCTTTGTGTTGAGTTAAAAGTTAATTGAGTTGGTCTTTTTAATTAGAAAGTTTTTCTGGGCCATGTTGTGTAATAACAAAGTGCATCCCTGGAGCTATTATCTCAAAAGAGTTAATTATTTCCTCTTTGAGACAACGCCTTAAAAAATCGTATCTCAATTTAATACGATGAGTGGCAAAATTACTACTTTCACTGAATTAAGTTGTATTTGTTTCTTTTTATTTTATTCTTTTTTTTTAATCTTAGTCCTTTTAATTGAGAGAAACGTTATTGGGGTCATAAAAATAATCCCCACTTGAGCTTTATTTTTATAAATCCCAACAAAAGCTCGTTTTGTTGTCGTCGAAATAGATGGGATTCTTCTAAAAATATCCCCACACAAAATCGATACTTGGGTTAATGTGGTGAAAGGAAGTACGCGCGAGAAATATTTTTAGAACTACCTAATTATAATAAAAGAAGTTGGTTGTTTTATTTCATTTTAATATTAAAATATTTTAGAGTTATCATGGTAAACAAAATATTGCATGCATTTACCGGAAATGTCATATAACTCGCAATATATGTATGCAGTAACCATAGTTACGAAACTACTATGCACTAAGTGCAAGTCTTGTACTGTCCCACATAAAATTCAACATAGCTTAATACAGGCACTGGGTAGTTTTGCAAAGGAAAAGTTTTGCTTGGAAAAGGTGCCGTCCTTATGATAACTCTGAGTTTCCTCTGTAAGAGCCGAACGGCTAAACCCGAATGTTTCTAGTTCTAGGTCTAGTGTTAGTTCTAGTTTTACACTAGCACTGTTACTATGTAGGACTAACACTATGCCTAGAACTGGAATCATTTGGGTTTAGCTGCACGTCTCTAAAGACGGCTAAACCCGAAAGATTCTAGTTCTAGCTTTTGTGTTAGTTCTAGTTTTATACTTGCACTGTCACTAGAACTAACATTAGACCTACAACTAGAAACATTAGGGTTTAGCAGTGCGCTCATAAGACGACAATTGTTGGTCATTCTATCTTTCAAAATCAAAATAACCGATAGTACAAATTCCAAACGTTAGATGGCCCATCCTGTATATTTTTAATTTTATATTTTGAATGGTTCTGAATTGGGTAGATTGTGAAAGGACGATTTGCTTCCAAGACAAATATCATGTCAGTAACATGTGGCATATTGCTTTCTTTAATTGTACAGTAGAAGTATGAAGGCATTGGTTAAATCGCGGGTTATACTTCGTTTAAAGATTTTTCTCGATGCATCATAAATTTTCATTTCTATAATATCTATATTCAATTTTTTTTTTAATTTAATTCAATTCACTAGAAATACTAACATTATATAATAAATACTTCACTTAACTTAAAAATAATGGTAATTAATTTTTTAAAAAATGAGGTTAGATAGTTCTAATCTCACTTAAGTTGTCAAAATTTTATTAAAACACTCACAATCAGTATAAAAAAAATTCTCGAAATATCTTCTTTTCTACAACTTGTTTCCCATTAAGAAGTTCACCTTGGTTAGAGAAGATCTTCACATTTAACGCACCATTGAAATTATGCAAAAACATAACTTATTCACGATTTAATAGCTTTTTTCTATGATTCTTAATTAAGTTACGACAAATCTAATTCATTATTTCTCTTTTATAGGAGGATGGAAAATTTTAAAAAACTGGAACATGGCGGAACACGACGGAATGAGTTTATTAATAAATTTGCATGCCGATTACGGTGTTAGTCCTTACTTTAAAATTACGGTAGATCCAAGTCCAAATGTCCCAGGTTCAAGTTTAATAAGAATATCACCTTCAGGGTTAGGTTTACCGGACAGAAGTTACTATTATAATAGGAACAACAACGATGCCGTAATTTCTATTTATATTTATTAATTAAAACATAAAAATGATTTTTTTAGATGGAAAAGGCTTACACTCAATTCATCTCAGATGTTGTTATAAATTTTGGGGCAACAAAAGAGGACGCCGACAGATTTGGGAGGGATTTATTCTATTATGAGAAACGTATAGCGGAAGTTACACCCGAATCATATGAATTACAAGATCCTATTTTAACGTACAATATAAGAACTATTCATGAATTAACTCAAACTGTTCCAATGGTAAAATTTTAAACACATTTTTCAATGACATTTATCTGTCAAATATTCAAAAAAAAACATAATAAAAATAAAATAACTATTACTACTACCAACTTATTTTTTATAATTTATTTTACTTTAATTCTAAATAATAATTTCAATTATATGTTTTAGCTTTATATTCATGATATTTTATCAAAAATGTACCCTGAAGCAAATATAGACGAATCAACAGAAGTAATAATAACCTCACCAAGATACCTTGAAGAAGTTGCCGGAATAAGTTCTTCAACGGAGAAAGGAATGGCAAATAGTTACTTTATATGGACTTTAGTACGAGAATATCTTCCATACCTTAATAATAAATTTGCTGCGAGTTGGAATTCGTATAACAATGAAATATTTGGAGTCAAAAACGCTCCTGATCGTTGGGAATTTTGTGTTGGGTTGACTCGAAAATACATGGGATTAGCCGTTGAAGTTCTTGTTGAGAAACAAAATCCGATTAAAAATAAAACGATAAGTATCGTGCATGGTGTTTATGAAGAATTAAGAGAAACGATTAGTCAACGATTAAAGAAATTTGAGAAAACGCAAAATTTATTTCGTCATTTAACATTTAAAATTAGAAATTTAAGGTTGCAAATTGGTTTACCTGAGAATGTAACAAACGATGATTATTTGAAGAATTATTACAGAAAATTGAATATAATTAAAAAATCGTTTTTTATAAACTGTAAATCAGGGATAAGGTTTCTTCAACGCATCGATGAACGCAGACTCATATCCGGGCATCCTGAAGATTATGTTTTAAATTATTTATTTTTAAAACCAGGCAGAGTTAGTTATTCACCTTCTGTTAATAAAATTATTATTCCAAAGGTTTTATTACATGATTTTTATTATGAGGATAATTTCCCTTGGTAAGTTACAATATATACATCATTAAAATATTCCTACAATTAAGTTTTTCGTTTTTAGGCCAATTATTTTCGGTAGATTAGGAGTAGAAATATCTCAAGCGATAATTTCCAACATTTTACCTTACGATAATGTTTGGACATCCGACTTAAAACTACTTACTCAATTCCATATAACGGTAAACGAATCATTAAATGCTATTAAAAGTCCAATGAGATGTATTGAAGATTCTATAATTCTTGGGAAAAAGCTTAGCGATAAAACAACAGCGAATTTAACGTCCTTAAATGTTATTAAGACAATTTCAGCTGTTCGAATTGCCGAAGAAACTTTAAATATGATTTCTAAAGGAAACTTGGAACATGTTCATCAACCGTCTTTTGAAACTTACGAAGACGCAGCTTTATTTTATTTAACATATTCTCAAAGTTTATGTGCGTTAACGGCGAAAGAATATCAATTTTATGATGTTATTGGAAATAATAGGTTTCCTAGAAAATTGCTGTAAGTTAAACTAAAAATTGTCATAAAAGATTATTTTTTGTTGTTTTTTTAGCCTTGAAGTTATTTGGTCGCAAGTTGATGGTTTTCAGCACGCTTTTGGTTGTCCTGTAGATACAAGTGAGAAATGTGATGATATTTTTTAAGAAAAAAAGTTGCAACATTTACAAAATACAATTTTTTTATTGCAAAAATATTTATTTTCGTTACAATTACTGTTTTAGTTTGTTCTTTTTTACTAACCAAAAATTTTGATATTTTTTCTTATTGTAAATGTTGTGGAGTTTGTATAAAAAATAATAAAGAAAGTAAAAAGATTTATTTAGTCGTTTCATTTAACTATCTTTAAAAGAACCTAACATTTCTAATAACGTATAACCATCTTCTCTTATTCTTGTTACATCAACCCTTGCTTCAACATTTAATTTTCCATTTACACCTGTGTTGTTATCTAATTCCGTCATCTCTTCATCATTTAAATCTTGTGGTTCACGTTTCGGACTTTCTTCGTTTATATTTGACTTACATTCAATAGAAGATAATGTAATGTTGCCACTCGTATCCCCACTTTTGATTTCAATGTCTAAATCGACCATTTCCGCACTAGTATCCATACTATCTTGTTGGTCTTGGTTATTCATTCTTGCATAATTTTCAACTCTATTACAAGAATAAACTAACGGCCGAATTGGTTGGCAAATTTTCTCAATTGTCATTAAACCGACTGTACAAATACATGATATATCATCATTCCCAGTTGATAAACCCGTTTTTAATAACTTAATAATAACAGGTAAAGAAGGGGGATGTTTTTGCTCCAAACTAGCAACAATAACTTCATATAATTTCCCAATTGATTTTTTTGAGATATATGGAGGAGTATCAATTCCATTTTGAATTGAACGTAAGGTATTACAAATCATATTATACATCTGTTTTAGATAATTCTGCTTTATATTCAAATTTAAATGGGTCAAAACCATTTTTAAGCAATTTAAAGCAGAAATACAAACTTCCTCTTTTGATATCAAATCATTTCCAATGGAAACTATAGTATGCTGTACAGTAATTTCTTGTCGAACTTTTGATGGTTTTTTCGAAACATTTAAAGTAACATTACTAACAATCGGTTTAACATCTACCAAAATTAATTCAACCAATCTTTTATGATATGTTGAATTCACGTTACTTTTTAACACACTCACAAAATATCCGATTACTTCATAAAGAATCTTTTTATAATCAATATTTTCCGTTTCGCTTAATTTATCCAAGAGAATTTTAGTTATTTTATATGAATATGGAATCAAAATGACCCCTAACCTAAAACAAATTTTTGATTTAAAAAAAAATTGGGCGACATCTATTATTAAATAGCAGAATTAAAATATTAAAAAATTACATTTTCAGAAATAATCGAAATAATTTAAATAATTGCATTTCAACACGTCCCCTTATACTGTTTGTAAGACACGATTCAATTGTAGTTGATTCATTTATGAGGTCGTTGTTAACCCGAGAGCTCAAAAGATTTAAAAATAAATCTGGTTTAAGAGCTTTCGGAGAATTAAATTTGTATCTGAAACCAGAAAGTTTTAATTACAAAGAAAATAAAGTATTTCTGATTACCGTATCAAAGCAGTTGCAAAATGAATTAAATTTTCCAATCGACATTCGAGAAGAAAAAGCTTAGTATTCGTTTCACTATCCACATTTAACGAAAAAAAATCATTACTTTCATTAAATTTATATTGATTGTTGTCTAAACACTTTAATAATTCTTTTATGGTTGAAATGATTTTAACGAAAGCGTTGCTCCAATTTTGAGTGTGATTCTTTGTGGGGCCACACTAAAATTAAAACAAAATTGTTTAATGTATCTCATTAAATCAATTAATTACCTGTTGTAAATAATGAAAGCACTTTCCAGCTTTTTCGATTACAAATTGATTTTGTTTTTCATACTTTAAATAACCCACAATGTGATTTTCCAGTTTATTCTTATGCGGGAGACAATTTCCTGGATAAAATTCTAAACACGCTTGTAAACAAGACAACGCGTCTAATTCTAAACTTGAATTCATTTCAATCGAAACACATTTTTCAATGATTTTGCCTATCGTAACACCTATTGTTTGTTTGTTAACCACATCGTAAATACTCACACATCTTAAAGATCTTTCTAAAAATCACCAGATTATTAACATTAAATATGCTTTTGTTATATATACTAACCTAAAAATTGAAATTTTGCATAAGAATCTTTGCGATTGCCAATAACCTTTTCAATAAAATTCATTAAATGATCGCTTAGTATATCTTTAGAAAAGCTCATCACCATTCCAGACAATAAATTAAGGGTGCTTTCGTATTGTAGAACCGTATTCAACCCATTTCGTATGTAACTTATAACAAAATTTGCAGTTATGGGATCATTTAATAATAAAGATATTACATCTTGTCGATTAGAATCGTGGTGACTAATTAATTTTAAAATTTCATTTACTTGACCTTGTGTTAGTACCATTTTAATCACTTATCTAGCAGTTTAAGAAAGTTACTTCTTGCTTTGAGGTTATGTTTATGTTGAACAGAACACGTTTATAGGAATGTTCGATTAAATCATTTTAATGAAAACCATTTAAATTTTTAAATCCTTTTTAGTATTTAGATAGGATATAATAATTGTATTCTTCTTTATCGTTATTATCACATAATAAAATAGTTATTGTTTTTAAGTAATGTTCGATTGAATCATTTATAACCTCAAATTTATTGGTTAAAAAATGTCATATGTCAAATAATTAAATTTAAAAAGGGAAAAAATAATTTATTTTAATTTACACGCTTAAAACATTCGTTTCTGTACAATATACAATACACAAGCAATAAAGAATGTAAAAGCAATAAACATTAGTATTTTATCAGTAAATTCCCTCCTTCCAAATTTATTTAACAACTTTCCAGATTGACCAATAAACCCAGCAGTGACTTTTAACTCTTCTTGTGTTCCGGTAACACTATCAGACGAAATCACTAACGTATCTAAAGTTTCAGCACTCCTTTTAGTCGTATCTGCTAATAATCGACTAATAGACATCAATTGATCGGTTACGCTTGAAGTCACCTTAACCAAATGCTCCTTATCCCTTTTTTGGCGATGTCTTATGTTAGTTTCTTCATTATTTGATTTTAATAACTCCTCTTTCATGTTTTTTTCAATTGTTAGCATTGATTTTATGTTTGCCTTTTTAAAATCGTCCATAGCTCTAAAAAAGATATCTCGATAAGTCTAAATTAAAAAAAAATAAATTATCTAATACTTCTTTAATTGTTCTCTTTGTGACACGACTTCTTTTAATAATTCTGTATTCCTTGCTTCTTTGGCAATATCACCAAATTGATCGATGAACTTCCTTAACGCGGATATTTTTGAACGTCCCGCGCCGTTTAAACCTTGCAGTTCAGTCAGAGTGCCAGCGCATGCGCCGATATCCTGTGCATTTCTATCAATACGTGGAAGAAATTCTGTGATTTTATTTGGAAAGAAAAACTTACCTGTATCAATGCACGCAGTTGTAAATGATTTTGTGTTATATCTTGCCTTAAAGACTTTAACATAAATCGTTCTGATTCCATTTTATTTGATTAAATTTAGTGTCGTCGATTATTAAATTTCTCTTTACAAATATGGAATGTAATGTAAGGTTGTCTTTGGTTACTTTAACAAATAAATTGTAGATGGCGTTATTGAAATAAACGTCAATTTCTTTATTATTATTTAAATCGTTAAAAAATGAACTAAATAGAAACAAAAAATGTTCTGCATTTGTAGATTGTACGAAATTTTTAGTGTCCTTGTTATTGTAATTTGGCTGTGAGTAGAATATTTGATTTAAATTTTTTTTTATTATTAATTTTCTTTTAGGATATATTACTTTTTGAAACGAGAAAATAAATACGACGAATATCAAGATGAAATTGAGGATAAAAGTGAAATGAATTTGAATCGCTTGAGAAGAAACGACAAGACGTTTTACAAATATAAATAATTTAAATTTTAAGTTTAAAATGTCATGACAGACGTCATCTTTACAATTTATTAAACTTTGTAATTAATTGATGTAATATTTATTTGACAATTATATCTTAAATATATAGAAACATCAAAAAATCAACTATATATATTTTAACGTAATTTAAAATAAAAACAATTACAATGTTTCTTTTTGACAAAATTATGCTTAATGCTTCAGATGTCATTTGGGTTGCCTAAATTTATTAATAACTGCTTGTCATCATCATCATTATTGGCAACACAACCCCTAGTGGGTCTTGACCTGTTTTAGGATCAGCTTCCACTCTCTTCTATTTCGTGCCTTGGCCTTCCAGTTTCTAACTCCCAGCCCAATCTGAATCCATATAAAATTCCAAAAACTGATTGCACTCAATTAAATTGAAATTTAACACAAGACTCGATATAGATCAATCTCATCTATATGTTCAAATCGCAGTAAAAAATAATGCATTCAAACAAGATTATTGTGGTAACTAAATATGTAACTGTTCCCTCTACTTTAACAATAAGGTTATAGATTGTTGAAGTTTTTATTTAAATTTCTTAACATTTTTTTGACAAACATAAAACTGCTACGGAATTACATAGCACTTAAATTGAAACAAAAAAAAAAAATAACAGTAACAAAGTTAAAAGAAATCCATAAAACAACTACTTTTAGAATAACCATATTTCAACAAAAAAAGAAATGCTTAAGGCAGAGAGGTGCAGGTATTTATAGGATTTCTCTTAACACAATTTTCAATTAAATTATTTCATATTATTTAGATACATTTATACTGAACGAATTGAAAAGAGTTGCATATTCTCTGTCGCTTCCGCTTTAAATTTATTAACTTAAATCAAGCCGACTCTATACAACCGTTATTTTCTTTACCGTTTTCGTTTCTTTTATCAATACAATTCTTAAGTTTTTTTCGACAAAAACAAAAAAAAAGGAACCTACAAATAAATCAAACCGCTCGCAGCGGCATGAGCCATTAATGTATTCGCCGCTTGTTGTGTTTCAAGAAGAATCCTCGCTTCTTCCATCCATTCTTTTGATATAACACGCGGTGCTCCACTCAATAAATTCATATATTTTAATGTTTGTGCAAAATCCCCTCTATCTAACCAATATCTAAAAGTAAAATAAATCTATAGATAAAAAGAAAAGTATAGGGAAAGGAACTGGTTAACCTAGCTCTTTGAAATATTTCATTAGTACTAAGATTAGTAAAATCGGTCTTTTCGTCGTTTAATTCCGATTGCGGAATGGGATTCGCCGCCTTCACTAATAACATGGACTGCAAAAACGACAAAAGGTACATATGGAGACGACCCCCCGCTTCCGGTACAAGAGATAATCGACTCGCCATTTTTTCAACTTTAATAAATCGCTCTCTTAAAGCATCTTCTGGATAAACACCACGATTTTTAGCCACCTCCGGTATTCCTTGAACTACCACCTTCACCAATTCATCATTTTCGGCTAAAAAAAATTATTCATTGTAATAATTAAAAAGAACATGTTTAAGAATTACCAGCTGCGCTTTCTACTGCAGTTATTTCCGGTTCAAGAGGTCTTAATTGATCAGTCCACGGTAAACCTGGACAGCCAACTTTGATGGATTTATAAAGTGCTTGACACGCGCTCCAAAGTACTTGAGCTTGATGAGCTGCTTTATCAGCTTCCGTTCGAGCTAAAAAAAAAAAAATTTAGTAAGCATAATAAATGAAAGGATTAATACAGTTTTGTCTTATTTGTTTTATGCAAATTCATTTAACTCGATTTATGTTATAATAATAAATAATACCTGTTAATCCTTGTTGAAAAAATCCAGGAGCATAAAACAAATAAGTTTTTAAATTAATATTTAGTTTTTGTTATAAAATCCCTAAATAATATAACAGCGAGAAATTTTAATTCTTTGATAAGTTTATTGTATTAATATTAATTATAGTAAAACCTCGATATAACAGATTGTTAGAACAGACTAAACAAACAAAATATTTTTAAGTCACACTATTAATAATATCTATTAATATATACATCAGTATATTTAAATATAAATGTTAGTGCTCATAGAAAGAATCTAACTCGATTGGTTGCTGTATATTTCTGTTGAACTAACACTAGACCTAGAAACATTCAGGTTTAGCCATCTTAAGAGACATACAGCTAAACCCGAATGTTTCTAGTTTTAGGTCTAGTGCTAGTTCTAGTGACACTACTAGGTAGCGCTAGTTAGCACTAAATATCGCTATGTTGTATATTGAACTAAAACTAGAGTTAACACTAGACCTAGAACTAGAAAGTTTCGGGTTTAGAAGTGCGTCTGACGCACGGCCCTGCAGATTACTTCTTTTACTGATAACATTATTATCACCGTTGACGTAATAATAAATTGCTGCATAACAATTTTTGTAGAAATTAGGAAGAAACCAAATATTCTTGCTAGTAGATAATTTAATTTTGAGGACGTTGTAAGTAAAATAGTTAAAGCTTATTATTTTAAAAGTGTTTGTTGTGAAACTATGTTTGATCATAATTTGATTCTATCAAGGTGTAGCAGCTACAAAGGAAAATAATGCAAAGCTAAAACATATTAAAAAAAGTTAAGTTACTTTTTTATGGAAAAGATTTGGAAACTTATAAAAAGGTATATAAACGGAGTGCATTATACCTCTCAAACCAGTGGTAATGTTAAACTAAAACGAGAACTAGAAATTTTCGGGTTAAGCTGTGCGTCTTTTGAAAAATTGTTTGACGTTTCAGATGCTATGTTGCAACGTTCTTCAAAAACAAGTTCGAAGTCACTTCGATCATAAATCTTTCATGCATAGGTACTAAACCAAAAACAGCACCAATGTTATGGTTTTTGTTATGAAATCACAATTAACTTATGTTATTTTATCAGTACTATACTCTGTTTTTAAACCAGGAGGAGTATTTTAAATTTGTCACCAGATTGACCTTGCACGTGATTGGTTGAATGCGAGGAAGGTTCACACACAGGCAATTTTGAATTTGAAGGTTAGGTTATTGACAATTCGACAGTTTCGTGTCATTATTGTAAATTTTGTGTTCTTAAACCCTTCTTTATTATATTTTGAAATAAATACACTCATAACTTCAATGTTAATTTGTATGTTTAGTGTTGACGATAACAAACGAAAATAAATACAATAATAAGTAAATAAATAAATAATAATAATTATTAATTTAAATTTACCGCCAAAATATCTAGTGATATTTTCTGGTGATTTTTCCTAGTGTAAATCTGACTTTCGCGTTTACTCCTCCTGGTTTAAAAACAGAGTATAGATCCTAGTAAGTGCACAACTTCCATAATCAGCTATAAACAAATGTTTTTTTTTTAAGTAGCAGCGCTTTGCCGTACACTGTAACATATTTTATTTTTTTACGTGATAACACTGATCACTATTGACTTTAAGAAAAAAATTAAGAGATAAAAGTAGCAATAAAGAATGAGCTTTAAAACTCATATTTTCTTATGTTAGTATTCCATGGCGTTAAAAAGTTCTTATACAAAAATCAAAGGGGTTGTGAAGGTATGGTTGAAAATAAGGTCTTAACCAGTAGTAAATACATAGACAATTTCAAATTCTGCGGTTTACTTATAGCAGAAATAAAAAATAAAATGTAAATGTTCAAGTAAAATGTTCAACTTCAATCGCTTATAGCTTGAAAACAAAAGAGTTGCGACCCTATGTTTATATAAAAAACATTATACAAAAACATTAGAAACTGAACCACCCTGTATATGAAATTTGGATGCTCTTTGGATACGCCACTGGATAAAGTTTGACCTATTTCATCTAAATCGTACACGCCACTATCGCTAGGACCAAGGTCAATTTTGTCTCCAAACAAATGCTCTTGAGTTGGCTTCAAACTGGTATACAAGCAAACATAGGCGATGCAGCTTCTATATATACAATTTCTTTGGTTAGCGCTAAATATCGAAATATTGTATATTTTTGTTGAACTAAAACTAGACCTAGAACTTGAAACATTCAGGTTTAGCCATCTTAAGAGACTTATGGCTAATCCTGAGTGTTTATAGTTTTAGGTCTAATGCTAGTCCCAGTGACAGTGCTAGTTAGCGCTAGTTAGCACTAAATATCGCTGTGTTGTATATTTTTATTGAACTAAAACTAGAACTAACATTAGACCTAAAGCTGAAGATGCACTGCTAAACCTAAAACTTTCTAGTTCTTGGTTTAGAGTTAATTCTAGTTTTAGGTGTTATTCAGCGCTAGATTGTTAAATATTTTATTAAACTAGTAAACAGTTATATCAAGGTTTTACTGTATATTATGTTCTTATACCTTTTATTGCTCCATCTAATCCTCGTAACCGTCCTATCATTCCAGCCACTTGCGTTTTAAACTTGCACCTTTCTTCAGTTAACTGTTCGTCAAAAGCTCTTGTTAATTTTCTTTCTAATTCTAATTCGCGCGTTTTAACGGCGTCGTTTAAATGATCCGCGAATGCCTCCGATTGTAATTTTAATTGTAATCGTAATTCATGTTCGCTATCTTTACGTAATTTTAAACACTAGAAAAAAAAAAAAAAATTATAATAAAAGTAAGCACCTGACATATTAAATTTTAGTTACTTTTTTTTGGAATTCCTCTTCAATTTTTCTTCGTGATTTATCCATCTCTTTGCACACTTGTTCTGTCGTTAAAACTTCAAGTCCTCCTTTTCTAGCTGCATCGACAGCTTTTCCCAGTCGCTCATCGCCCAAAGTTTCCATACGGTACAATTCTTTTTGATAAAACATGACTTTCGACATCGCTTGAATTATGAACAAATCTAAATCGCCCTCACTGATACCTATTTTTTTCTGGCTTAAATCCATATTTGGAAACAAAATTTTCAATTCATCCGCGAAAGTTTGCCGAGCATCCGAAACCTTGTTCCAATATTTATCCGCGATGTTCGACATTTTCTTTTCAGCTTCAAGTTCGCGTTTGGCCGTCGCTATATCCTCAGACACTTTATTTAAATTTCTTATTGCTTGATCTTTAACGTCTTCGGTTAAACTTGCGTTGCGAGTGATTAAATCTTTTAGTTTTTTTAGATTTCTCATTGCCACAGCGGCTTCATCTTCCGCCTTTGTAATAGCCTCCTCTTTAGCTATTGCTTTTACTTTAAGCGAACTCCAAATAGACGGGTCGATTTTGTCAACTGAGTTCTCCACAAAATCGTCCACGTCCATCATATAATTTTTTAAAGCGTATATCGCGGTGTTGTACGCTTTTACAGCTTGAGAAGCGGCGTTGTTGATGTCCCGTTCAATGTCAACAAGGTTTTTAGGATGATCGGGTGGGAGTGGCATTTCTGGTGGTTTTGGATCAACTAAAAATTAAAATTTAATGTTAAGTTTAATATTTTAATATAAATTGAGATTTTTTGTTATGTAAAATGAGAGTGTGAAATATTTTGAAGGTACCTATTTCTATTAGAGGTTCAGGTGTGTCTTTATCCTTTGATTCCAAACGTATTTCGTTGTATTTGACCTCTTCTTCTTTTATTTCTTTTACAACGCCAGGAAATAATGGACTTGGAGCTAAATGGAAATGTGAAAACTCCAGTTAGTTAATTAGTAAATGTAATTACTAATGAATTTTTAGTTATGTTAAAACTTTGTAACATTTAATAAACTAAAATTTATTCTTTTTAAATACTTACGATGATAATCTTTGGGGACTTCTTTAACCGGTTGATGATGAGAATGTGCTCCATCGCCAGACCCAGTCAAGCTATCAAAGATTTCCCGGATGTACTCCATGAATGTTTTTTCTTCTTGAAAAACAACCTTAATAACCTCATCGGTGAATGGAACATACTCGGTGAGAATGGTACGAAAATCAGGATCGTACTTTGCGTAACCAATTACAGCCCCACCAGCCAACGCTAGGACCCCAATTGTCATTCCAATTCCAGTGCTGGGTCCTTTTGGCGGCGGTGGAGGCGGACATAGTTCGCTCCTTTGGTTTTCCTTACTATAGCACCTCACGTTTTTATATATTCTAGATGTTGCGCCTCCATTACTGCACCTCTACAAAATTTATGCATTTTAAATTAATAAAAAATGATTAAAATGATATAAAAATTGTAATAAAGTGAATTAAATATGAGCAAAAAAAAAACATTTGTCAGTTGATGACATAACAGGTTTAATGTCGACGATTTTTAAAAGGGAATTTTGATTTTAGACACCTCGTGTTCTTAATTTTGTTTGGTGATACTAGATTGCTTACCCCTTGATTGAAACGTGTCGCCGATGCACTGACAATTCTAAACATCCTTCCGGGGGGCGACGACGACGGGAGAAACACCGGGAAAACGATTCAAACGCAAGTACACCAGGCGAAACCGAACCCACTACCACTACACAACTCAGTGCATACAAAAAACAGGGGTCGGTCGTGATGTTGCGATCTCTCGTTGGAGGTGAGTAACTCAGATCCACTGATTTTGACAATTCTTACGAGGATTTTGATGTGAGCGCATTATGATGACATGAAAATGAATAACGGTAAATAATAAAACGTTTTCGTGACATATTTATTTGACTTTTGCTCCTCGTTAAAACTTTTAGGTTATTGATGGTTAGTTATTTTTCGTTTAAAGTTGGTATTAGCGCTTACATCCAATCTCGTTCAACCACTTTTCTTTAAGTTAAACAAAGATGGAGATAGTCATCTTGGTTTAATTTAATTTATTTTTAGGTTATATTAACATTAAAAAAATAAATTTTCCTAAATATAATTTTCATTTTCAGTTTTACGAATTTACCCAAAATATCTATCCAAGCCATTAATTCCAATTAAAAATGGAATTGTTATACCACAAATGCGAAAATTTACCTCGATAACTGAAGTTTCCACTCAACAGAGTTTATTAAATAATTCAAAAATACAAGAAATTTCTCAAAATATTACAAGATCAGTGACAAAATATTCGTTTAAAAAAGGTAAAAGAAAAGCTGTTAAAGCTGTTTTAAAACGGTTTTATCGCTTGGATTGGGGTGGATGGATACGAACTAAAGCTGGAAGGAATAAAAGGTTGTGGAAGAAATCTCCGCAAAGGAGACGAAGGCTTCGTCAACATGTTCTTTGCAATGGACAGCAATCTATGTTATTAGATAAAATGGTTGGAAGTTTTTGGAGGAAACCAAAGTTTTATGTTGATGACCCCTATAATCCATACCATGTGAGAGAGGAATTTAGAACAACTTATGTTAAACCAAGACCTTATTTTCCTAAGGAAACATAACTTTTTTGGAGTAATTAGTTAGATTTTGTGTTAATAAAGTTTACAATTTGATTTAAATAAGTTCTTTTACGGGTTGTCAAAGATTCTAACCTCAAAATAAAAAAAAAACAAATTTGTTTGAAAAAGTTTATGAAAAAAATATCTCATTTTAAAAACATTAAAAATTTGCTCATTCAACAATATTAGCAATTTTTCCAATTCCCTCAATTTCACTTTCTAACAAATCTCCAGCTTTTAAGAATTCAGCTGGTTTTCTATGCATACCAACACCACTTGGAGTTCCAGTAAGTATTAAATCTCCTGGATATAAAGTCATAAACCTATAAAAAAAAAAATAATTAAGAAATTATGAAAAATATTCATATTAAAACATACTCAGATAAGTACGCTACCAAGAAATCAATTTTAAAAATCATTTCATTAGTATTTCCCGATTGTTTTTGAACACCATTTACCCAACTCTTAATATTCAAGTTTTGTGCGTTTATTTTATTCTTTGTAACAACAACCGGTCCAATTGGACAAAACGTATCCATTGATTTTCCCAACAAAAATTGCCCACCATTTCTACCTTTTTGCCAATCCCTTGCCGAAATATCTTGAGCAATTGTATATCCAAAAATATGATCCTGCGATTGATCCTGTCGGATATTTTTAGCCGTTTTACCAATAACCACCGCTAATTCAACTTCCCAATCGACGCTCTACTAAAAAAAATCTTTTTATAACTCTATTTAAAAACAAAATAATAACGTACATTACTAATTTTCGGTAGCTTAATAGCATCGTGGGGCCCTATTATCGTTGAAGAATACTTGCTAAAAATAATTGGTTCTTTTGGGTAAGGTAATTTTTGTTCATCGCAGTGTCCACTATAATTTAAACCTACGCAAATGATTTTATCCGGATTTGTTATCGGGGGAAGTAGGTTTACTTCGGAAAGTGGTACTAACGATTTTCCCTCAGCAACGATTCTTAAAAATAAAAATTATTTTAATTTTGACATTGACAGGTGATTTTGAACTATTTTGACGAATAGGTTAACTTTTTGACGTTTAAAACATAACCTAACTTAACAGTAATTTTTTTAAAATCTTTTTTTAATAAATATAGATTATATCTCAATAAAACTTTTTAAATAATTGATTGATAAAGATTTAATGTTAACATGTAATAATAAATATGTTGATTGTTTTATCAACTCAAATTATTTATCACAAGGTGAAACGGTGAGATTAATTATTAAAATTGTGTAATGTGCATTAATGGAAAAAAAATGTTGATAAGGTTTATTTTTGTAAAGATTCCTCTTAATCATTTTATCTCAAACATTTTTATTAGTATGCGGAATTTTTTCATTTTTTAACTACTTTTTTATTACATTTTAATAATTATAACAAAAATGATTAACCTTTTTAATCATGGGAAATCTGTGTATCTAATCTAAAATCCCAGATTTCTTATCTAGCCGGGTTTTCTATAAATAAATATCCGCTCTAATTGACTTTTTGGTTAACTCCTGTAAATTTGTATTTGATATCAAGGTCATTGATCTTAATATAAATAAATGTATTTTCAATATAGCCAACGTTAAAATTTAATTCAATCCTGCCCTGAACAAACTGGTTGGATCTTTATAAAGCAGGTTATGTTATTTTACCACCTTTACTTTCACATTCACAATAATAAAGTACATAAAGTATTTTTAAACCATTAAATCATATATTTATAAATTATGTGTTTATTAATAACAAATTTTATTTATTTTGTACAAAAACCATTTATTATTATTAAAAATCATTTATAGCAATCCCTGAAGTGTTCTAAGAATTTATAAATAACATTATGTAATAAAAAAATGAGGCTCGTGGTTTGCGTGTTAACACTTAAATAGAATTGAATAAACACACCCAAGTTCGCATAAATTTTCAAACCGAAAATCAATTTATTTTTAAATCTAGCACGTCAATCGTTTCAACAGTTTTTTATTCAATTTTTTATTTAATTTTGTTTCATACCTTTTAGCTTTCTCAATGATTCCATTTCCATCTCGCAAACACTTCAATAAAGAATTTGGCACGGAAGAATCAACGGCACTTATATCGATAATATCTCCATCGATGCTCAATTGTGCCCCAACATGTCTCGGGCCGCCAGATTTCAACTGAAATTGTACAAAACGCATCTTTTTCACACCTGAAACACTAAAACATCTAGCCTGGAGTTCCTTCGTTTTACACGAAATCCACAGTAATTCATTTAGTGCCGACTTATTTTTAACGAAGATACTTCTTAAAGCCATTATTTTTTTGATTAAGTACAACAACCGGAAGACACTTAACCTCAGAAAACCTTTTCAACTGTGCGAATTGGAAATGGGATGACCTGGACAGTTGCGTTTTTTAAGGATTATAAAAGAATGGAGGGGGTTGCTATTGCTGCTGATGTGATGATGGTGAAAACCAATAGCGAAGTTTTTTGATAAGAACAACGTGAATACTTCAAATACTTTCTCAATTTGGTGGAACGATGAATGGAGGGGGAATGTTGGCCTTTCGCGGAGGTGTGTATGCTATGTTTTATTTGTTAAAGGATAAACCGGTTTGTTTATATTTCGAAATGAATTCTTAAAGGTGGGTAAACACTGAACATTTATCAAATTGATTTAAAAATATTATCGGGCAATTATATGCGAAATAAAAAGGAAAATTAAAAAAATGGCCAATTTCGAAAATTCACAGTATTAAGTTGGTATCAGCGACAATAGATGGCGACACATAATAAATTGTAATTGAATTAAAAGTGATAAATGAAATTTTATCTTAAAACGATTAAAAGATTTAAATGAAAATTTCAGGAATGTTAAGAAAATGAAATGATAAAATTGAATCTGATTTTTAATGACTTATTTTTAATTATTATTGTATTACTATTAAATTTGTACAAGTTCTTAGAGATGGCACCACATAATAATCAATGTAAAAACAGCTTTTTTTGAGAGATCAATTGAGGTTATAAATAGAAAATACTACAATTTAGTTATAAAATACATTCTTTTTAAAACGTTATTTACTTAAATTTATTGATTATTGAAACTCACAAGTTTCGCCTCCGAAAAAGGCTTAGATGTTGGATTTAGAACACTTTTTTTAGAACACAAACAGTATTACACAGATATTGTTGATAAAGTGGTCGAGGCTGATAAGAGAAATGATTAAAAATTGTATCAAACTATATAATAATATTTGTAGAGGTTGGAAAATCAACCATTTATCTGTCCATTATTTTCTGTCCATATTCTTGTAAAGAGCAGCTCTTACATTGACATGTGGGTGTGTAATGCGTATGCAACAAATTGAAATTTGTCATGCAGTTATTGACTTGATCAAAGAATTAAAATTAAAAGAAAATTTAATCTTTACTTTAATTACCAAAACTATCGCTACATTCTTTTACAAAGGAACTGTTTCTTATTTTATATTTGATAAGTCCAGATATTCCTTGGCTTCCTTGAAATTACAATCTTAAATGAATACAACATTGTCAAAAATCATGAAAAAAAAACTTGATTTGTTTAGTTCTCTTTGGATACATCTAAATAATAAACAAAGACTGTCATAAGAGAAAGTTTAAATTCAACGAAATGAATACATCTGAAAAGTTACAACAAATTCGTCCTGATTTTATTATAAAAAGCAATATAGAATACACCGATGTGATAGATGCGGACGAATTAAAAAAAGATAATATTGAGTCAATAATGTTTAGTAATAATATTCGAACCCTAGGAAGTGAAGTAAAATTAACCATATCACAAAATCAACTCTATATTTATTTATCTTTTTTTGTAGAAATCTTATGAACAACTTTTATCGGATGAACAACTTTATGATTCAATGACTTTTTTTACATTTACTCCTACATGGTTGTATTTCTGTTCGAGTGCTAGTTTCGTTCTATTTTGGATAGTTACATATAATGTTTCGTTTGATAAAAACTTTGAAGATAAAGTTATTGTTCTTTGGATTAAATTGGTATGTAATACGCTTGTTATTATTGATATATTGGGTGCTTATGTGCATTTGCGTTGGAAAGAAATTCGATTGAGGGCTGTTTATAAACCTAGACCAGTTTGTAAGTTAAAAAAATAAATCCAATTTAATCTAATAATTTAAGAATCATTTTATAGTTTTTATGATTTGTGATGTTTTATCTTTATCTGCAATCCCAATGGGTCTAATAAAACCACTAAGGAGTATATTTTATTTAAGATTGATTGAAATTGCTTTTCTATTGGCGAGACATTACAGGATTTATTATTATTTTCGTAAGCTTTTATTACCAACTATTAATATTTCTATAATTTTTATTATTTAGAAACTGTTTCTTCAAACGCTGGCAGCAATACAATGTGTAATTTAGCTTTAAAACATTCATTAGTATTTGCATTTATTTTCCATGCATTTTCTTGTTTCTGGTTTTATTTAGGCTGTTATGTAAGTATTTCATAGTATTATTTTAAAAGCAACAATCCATTTCCTTTTTCTTTTAGAAATGTAAAAATAAAAAAACATTAACTTGGGTTGATAAAGATTCGTATCTTCAAGCTGTAGTAAACCAATATGAACCAAGTGCTTTTCAATTGTACATTTTAAGTATGTTACATGTAATCGGAGGAGTAACATGTGTAGCCTTAGGAAGTGGTTCAACGGAACAAAATGAAGCCGAAAAAGTTACGTTAATAATTTTTATGAGTATAAGTTTATATTACTTAAACGGCGTGGTTATTGGCACATTTACAAACGTTTGTTGCAACAATTATGTTCGTCAAACGCAGTTTACCGATAAGTTTAAAATGATCGTAAGCAATATGAGATCGCACAATATCTCGAAGTCTTTTATAAATAAAATGCTGGATTATTACATTCATTATTGGCGACAAGAAGACGCTATTAACCAGTCGAAACTGTTCGATTCCTTACCGTTGGCGTTTCGGCAAATTTGCCTTTTAGATAAATATTGGTTTACTTTAAGTCAATCGCATTTATTTTCGAATTTAGAGGATGGATTTAAGCGCTCAGTTGCGTGTCGTATGACGACGAAAATGTGCGTACCAGATGAAGTGATCGCAGACGTTGAAAATCCAAGAGATTGTATGATGTATATCGCAAAAGGATCAGTACATTTATTGTCGGTGGTTGACGGGGAAAGCTCTTTAATTACGTTGGGCGTCGGGACTTGTTTGGGAGAAATTAATTTGATTTATGGCATTAAGAATTCGACCAAAGTTATCGCGGCCACTTATTGCACCATTTTTATTTTGGGCAAAGCGAAAATGTGGATGGAAATGGTTCATTTTAGGCAAATGAAACAATCGGCAATTTTTCATCACAATAGTCAAGTAAGAAATCAAAAAATGTTTTTAATCACTTTTTTTTTTAATTATTTTTTTAGAGCTTAATAGATTTTGCTAGACGAACGATTCAACAAAAACGAGAGGCTTACGAAGGAGATACGCCGTTGCAAAAGATAAAAACAACGTTACAAAATGAAGATGATGTTAGGTTATTAGATTACACGAAAATTTATACGATGAGTTATCAAAGAAAGCTATCAGATGTCTATGTTTTAAGTAGGGTAAGACATTTTCACAAATTGAGCAAAATATAATAATGTTGTATAGATGTCATGTCTGTAAGTGTATTACAAAATTTTTTCAACCGCCTTGCCCAGATGGTCCTCCAGGTCCGATACTACAACTCCAACTTCCGCAGAGGCTGCAGGAGCCAGTTTTAGATATCGTCTATGATCCTTGTGATACCTTTGTTGTCATGGTTTTGGCAGTAGATTGATGATATTCAACTTTGATTCTGAATCACTCGTATGTTGTCATAGAAAATTAGAACCGTGGATCCTTCGCGGCAGTTTTCTGTTGCTGTTTTGTGACTTTTGGGTCTTCTGCCTTTGATCGATTTTTGAATAGTAACAAACGTTGTTCGGATAAAGAAACTATGTCTTGAACCAGTGGTTTTAAAAGTGCATCAATACCAAAAACAAAGCTTGGGCGAAATGCAAGAAGTCTCAATCGATCACAAAACAACTTATTGTACCGTTTGGTGTAGATAACGTAAATTGTCACCATGATTGATGAATCTGCTATAAAAGATGTCTTCTTCAAAGAACTCAAACTATGGAGAAGAAAAGCGAATGAGCGGACAAAGACAATTATCTAATATTACAATTTCTTTTGACAAAATCTTTTTGACTTTTCTAAAGATATAAAAATCATGTTTAAACGAAAATATTTTAGTAACTTTAAATAATTGAAATTAATTTTATAGAGTAGTAACGTTTTCTCCGATGGAATATTTTTAAATACGAGCTGGCCGTGGATATTAAACAGTCAATCTGCATTTTGGAGTGTTTGGGAAATGATAATAATCATAATAATAGCGACTGAATGTGTTGGTTATCCCTTGGAGATCGCTTATTATCGTCGTTTTTCAAGCGGATACGGATCAATTTATCGCATTTTCGGGGATACTATTTATTTGGTCGATTTCGTTTTGAAAATGTTTACTTCTGTCGAAACTGAAGAAGGTTGATAATAAAACAAATAAATTAATATTAAACAAAATTCATTTCTTTTTTAGGAATTTACACAACTGTAATTGAAATAATTTTGCAACGATTAGCAACGTTTTCGTTTCTATTAGATTTATTGGCAATTTTTCCGATAAGTTCGTTGGTCGCCGCTTGTGGAATAACACAAAATGAACGAATGTTGACGTTAATATCTGTTCATAAATTGGTTAAAGTGTATAGATTGGTTGTTTTCATGATAAAATTAGAGTACAATTTTCGATTGAACGTCAGTTACGTTCGATTAGTTAAATATGTTCTTTATCTTCTTTATTTTGCCTATATGTTTGGTTGTATGTACTATGTAGTGTTATGTTTTGAAGAGTAAGTTATTTTCTTAATTAGTTATTATTTATTTGATGCATTAACTTTTTAGACCTTGTTATCCAACAATGGCCCTTGGAAATAAAACGGAAGATCAATTTACATCAGCTGTAATGACTGCCATGTTAATAATGTCAGGAACTGGCGGTGTAGTTGACTTCTTTAGTTTTGAAGAAATCGTCGTGATTCTAATGATATCCGTTATGGGAACATTAACCGTAGTCTACTTAATCAGTGACTATTCGTCCACATTAACATTGGCAAGCAGTGAAGCAACGATTTTCATTGAAATGATTAATTTAATTCGCGGATTTATGGATTCAAACAAAATGTCGAAAAACATCGTGTACAGAATCAATCAATATTTTGTTGCTAAATGGTTAGAATGTAAAGGGGTCGATTTTAACGCGCTCTACGACGACGCGCCAAGCCAATTATACGAAGACTTCCAATCAAGAAAGTATTCAAAATTATTAAGCAGCGCACCAGTATTTAGAGTAAGAAATATTTGTATTAAAAATTTATTTCATTATTTCAATTTTATTAATAGCATTTAAATTATCACATAATAAAACGTTTAGCAATGTCCTGCCAAATAATTTCGTTACCACCTAAAGAATACGTAACATACGCAGGGGAAGTTCAAAAAGATATGTACATCATTGAAAAAGGTTTTTGCGAAATGATTTCGGGATCCTCGCAAAAAGTCGATAAAATTTTAGGGCCGTTGGGTAATTTTTGCGATATTGAAACGTTACTGGCCGTTCCGGCTATTTTCAATGTCAAAACGATAACTCACGTATCATTGGTAAAAATTCGATGTACCGCTATCAAAGAAGCCTTTTTAATGAACACCGAAATCGATAAGCAATTAACGGATGTTATTGATGACACGAAAAACTCATTTGTAAGTATAATCAAAATAATTGATTACAAGTTGGCAGCCTGTAGGGAAAGTTATAAACTTCTTGATGATGCTGCCAACAAGTTGGCAGGCTCTACAATGTAGTACAAAAGTTCTAAGATATAATAGCAAACGAGTTGGCAGCCTGTAGGGAAAGTTATAAACTTCCAGATGTAGTAGCTCATGCTGCCGATAGGTTCGTAGGCTCTACGATGTAGAACAGAAGATTTGAGGTATAATAGCCCATGCTGCCAACAAGTTGGCAATTTATAAGGAATGTTACAAGCTTTCAGCATACACTAGCTCATGCTGCCAACAAGTTGGCAGCCTGTAAGTGAAGTTTCAAACTGTAGGCATAAAGTGGCGACTCTGGTTAATAACTGTAAAAGACTGGATAATATAATTTCGTACTGGATAACTAATTTTTTATTAATTTTATTTAATTTAAGGCTGCAAAAAGATTATTTACACAAACTACAACCAATATAGAAGAAGAAGATATCGAAGAGCACGAAAAGTCTTGGTTCATTTTCCCGAAAAGTATCGTTCATCCAATTCATATAGATTTTTTACTTGGATGGCAAAATATGAACGTTTTAAGATACATTTTATTACGACGAACAATCATGCCTTACGGACAATTTATTTGCTTTTGGGAGTTAAGTAGGGGAATTTTCGCATTTATTTCCGCAATATTACATCCTACTTTACACGTTTATCAATGTTATACCAACAATATTAAATGGGTTGCTTTAGCGTTAGATATTTTGGCCGCTATTGATATGTAAGTTAAGTAATAAATAAATATATTTATAATTTTTTTCTTACATTTGTAGCTACGTTCGGATGCACATGTGTTATTATGACAAACACGGAATTTTAGTTACTCATCCAAGATTGACAGCCATAAATTATTTCACAAGCAGCTTCTTATTGGATTTCTTAGCAATGTTCCCCACAGATTATTTAATTTTTTTCGTTGAAGGGAAAGATATCGTTCAATTTAATACTGTACAAGCTTTTGTCAGATTGAATCGAGTTTTGCAAATTTATCGGCTTCCGGATAGTTTTCGTATTTTTTCTAAAGATATATTTGATCAAGGGGGAATTATGGTGTACGTACAATTTTTGATTTTAAAAAAATACTCGAAGAATAATATTTTTTTAGGATAGCTATAAAGTATCTCTTATTAACATTGGTGATTTTAAACACATTAGCAATTATTATCGTTAATAATTCGATTGAAATCCGAGATCAAACTGACGGATTGAAAAAAATTACTCCCATTCCAGATACATGGATTTCCTCTTCTGAGACATCATGTAATCATAAAAATTTTTAATTTTAATAACTTTTAAATACTTCCGTTTTAGTTTCGTTCGATAATTCTTTACCAATCAACACTTATATGATTGCTTTTTATTGGGTGACTACAACAGCTCAACAATTATCATTTGGAAACGTAATACCTCACAATGACAAAGAAGTAATCTTTGTTATTTTTATTATAGTCATTGGGTACATGTGGTTTACATTTGTAATTGTAATCATCTCCAATAACAAAGCGACAATAAACGAACATTTGACGCTTTATCAAAACCACATGAAACGATTAATTACTTATATGAGACAAGAAAAAATTTCGAAAAATCTTCAGACGCAAGTTTTAATCAATTCCTTAATTATATAAATAATCTAATATGATTTCTTGTTGTTATAGTTTAGCAATTGATCATTTTGAACATATTTGGAAACGTACTCAAGGAATGAACGCAAATACCATTTTACAATCGTGCCATTTAGCGTTGAGAAAAGATTGCGCTTTGTTTTTATATGGAGAAACATTTAGTATGGTTCCTGTTTTTACGGATATGAAGTCGTCGTTCTTTCGAATTTTAGGCACAAACATAGATGTTTTTTATTTTTTAAAGAATCACACCATTATTAGTTTAAATGACATGGTTAAATCTGTTTATATTGTTCATAAAGGATATGTTGTTGTTATTGGACCGGATGGGAGACAAATGGAAACACTTTCACGAGGATGGTAAAAAGATTTTAGTTAGTTTAGTTTACAAATTTACATTTCTGTTGTAGTGTTTTTGGCAATATCGATGATATAGAAACAAGTAGAAGCATGGTAATGATAATTGCAGGTTCAAATACCGATCTATTAACCATCTCTACTTTAAAATTTTATGAACTGCTTGATGATTATCCAGTTGTAAAAAATAGAATCAACAAATCCATGTTGTTTAATAATTTGGTACCACTTTTGTGTATCCACTTTTCATAAATCTTATCTACTCATTCGTTTTTAGTCCTATATCTTAGTACAACGAAAAGAATTATTTACCAATCACAAATCATTAACCATAAAAAAAATAAATTTACCATCAAACAGATTTTTGAAAGGATTCTTAACTGGACGATGGATCCAAAAATTATTCATCATAACCTCTTTGTGTTCCTACATAATCGCATCGTATCAGTTAGCATTTAGGGACTATCACTTCATGATATTCGTCGCTGCTTATTTTTTGGATTTGTTACACATTTTAAAGATGTACATAGAATTCAACGCGCCATATCAGGACGAAGTTGGAAATTTAATAATGGATAAGCGATTAATAAGAAGTAGATACTTAACATTTTCTCGGTTTTATCTTGAATTAGCTGCCATTGTTCCCATTGAATTATTCTGCTTTATTTGGTCGTTTGATCGAATGAATATTATGTGTATTTTACGTTTAAATAGATCTTTGAGATTGGTAAGAACACTAATTCATTAGTAAAACATAAAAAAAATTTATTTTTTAAGTGGAACATTTTTCATTATTTTAATGTAACCTGCAATTTTTTAAACATAAACGTGGTTAGTATTGAAATATTCTCAATTGCAATAAATATGATATTATTAACACATACAGAAGCTTGCCTTTTGATCATTTTGGGTACTGGAACTAAAAATATAAAATCTGGATGGACTTATAATGATGGTGAGAATATTTAGCTCTTTATTTATTTAATCCTGGTTAAATCTTTTTAGAGGGAGTTGCGGTTTGCGATAAATACTATTTATGTGCCTTATATTTAGCTGTTTCATTTACATCATTTGCGGGTTATAGTAATATGAGGCCTAGAAACTTTCAAGAAACATTTTTAGCAATTTTTTTGACCCTTATAAATAAATTAATAACAGCTATGGTGATAGGAAATATGTCCGCAATTGCTCAAAGTTATATATCAACATTAACGAAATATGACTTACGTAGAAGAAAAATGGAATTGTACCTAAAACATAGCATAATTTCACCTCCCCTATTCAAAGCTATAATGAAATACACTCATCAATTATGGACAGAAAACCAAGGATCTCAAATACCTATGTTTGTGAAGTTGGCACCGAGTCACTTAAAAAGTCACATAAAATATGCTGCTTATGGATACCACATAAAAGAGAATTTAATCTTTATGCAATGCCACGATTCTTTTTTGCATATCTTATGCAAAAAATTAAAAGTACAAATGTATTTTACTGATGATATTATCTGCCAACGAGGCGATGTTAACGGCACCATGTATTTTATACATCGAGGAAGCGTTAAGGCTTATTATATTACAGAAATTGAAGAAATTCACGTTGATAGTTTAATCGAAAAGGATTGTTTTGGAATGGTAAGAGCCATAACGTTCACAATGTGAGGTTATGACAACTGTCAAAATACCAAAAAAAAAATTAATAACTTTATAAATACTCACAATTTTTAATTTTCCTTAGGTCCAAGGACTTTTCCCGAATACACCTCACACTCACACTTTTAAGGCTACCACTGTCACAACGATTTTATCCTTGGAATTAAAAAATTGGGCTCAATTATTGCAATTTTATCCCGCTGCTAAATTCTCGATATATGAGAAAATGAATCGTTTAGATGAATTATGTAAACAATATTAAAAATGTATATTAATTGTACTTTAATAATAATTTTCATTTTATTTAACCTTTTTATATTGTTTAGTGTTTATTTTGTTTAGTTACATGAAATTAATAAATTTTAAATTTAATAACTTATAACTAGCGTCATCTTTTGCCCGGCGGCCGTTTCTATTATCTTTCGGACTTAAGCCGCGGTATGTTGGAATTGATTTCTCTTTCCTGTTGTATTGAGGTTGTTTCTTTCTAGCCTAATATTTATTTCAGTTTTAATAATAATTATAACTATTATTATTATCATTTCTCTGCTTTTATAAAACCATTCGTACCTTTTTTCTCTTACTTACTTACAGACAGATAGATGGCGCTGGCGGTACATATTTTATACGTTATTATGTAATTATTATTATGCGTGTAAATGGAAAATTAAAGGATAAAAAGATTGTTATTACTTTTCGGTATATTTATTTAATAATCGCTTTTATTATTTTTAAATTTTCACTTATGCAAAAAGAAATTATTTTGTTAAAATTGGGAAATTTTAGTTCTATATGTTGTTATTAAGGGTGGTTGGTAGTTGGTATTTAAAAGTAGCGGGAATGAACTGGTTTTATTGCCTAAAAAATATCATCTTTCTCGTCGTTGCTTAATTGTGAAACGTGGTATAATTTTAAAAATTGTGTTGTCCTAACGATTATAAATTGTTTTGGTTCAATCATGCCCCCTAAAAAACGTGCAAATGATCAAATACAAGATCTCATACGTTCTGGAGAAGTTTTGGAAGATGTTCATAAAAAAAAATGGAAACTTGGAAATCCAATTGGAAAAGGAGGATTCGGACTTATTTATCTAGCTCAAGAGTTAAACGAATCTAAAAACAACACCGAATTTTCTTATGTTGTAAAAATTGAACCACACGGAAATGGCCCATTATTTGTGGAAATGAATTTCTTGATGAGAAACGCTAAACAAGATGATATATCTGCGTTCATGAAGGAGAATAAATTAAAATCTTTGGGTATGCCGCGCTACATTAGTTCAGGGTCTCACTTAATTAACAAGGAAAAGTATCGTTTCCTCGTGCTGGAACGGTTTGGAGACGACATTTCCAAGTTACTTTTAGATTGTAAGAACGAATTTCCTATTGTTACTGTTTTTAAAGTTGCATTACAAATTGTGGATGTCTTGGAATATATACACAGTAGAGGTTATGTTCATCATGATATAAAAGGAGCGAATATTTTGTTAGACTTAAAAGCTAAAAAACAAATTTACCTTATGGATTATGGGTTAACCGGCCGTTACTTTACTGGAACAAAATTTAAGAGAGATCCGAAAAAAGCTCATGATGGCACTCTTGAGTATGTTAGTCGTGATGGTCATGATGGCGTACAAACTCGCAGAGGAGATTTAGAAGTTTTAGGATACAATATAATACAATGGCTTGGTTGTACTTTACCATGGGAAAAAGTTAAAAATCCAGTAGCTGTTCAAACATCGAAGTCAAAATATATGGATGATATCCCCAATTTGATGGAAACATGTTTTAAAAATAAAGACCCACCCAAGGCTGTTGTAGAATATCTTGTTTACATAAATAATCTTAATTTTGATTCTGAACCTAATTATAAAAACATACGGAACATATTTATAAATGGAATTAAATCTAATGGGGGCACAATAGGGTCCCCATTAGTTTTCCAACAGTCAAAGACTCCAACTAAACGCAAACTTGCCTCCGAAACGCCATCATCTGGCAAAAAAACAAAATTACCAAGACGAAAACTCAATGTAGATGATAGTAATGATGAAGAGGAAGAACAAGAAGAGAAACCTCATAATACAAGAGCAAAGGATAGAAGAGCTGCAATTAAAAATGAGGATATAGAACAGAATGGAAATGAAAAGGTAAAACCTGAACATTCCAAGAAAAAGGGAAAACATGCAAATGCCGAAGAGAAAGTTGAAGATAAAGAAAAAAATGATAAACCCAAGAAGAAGATAAGAAAAGTGAAAAATATAGAAGATGGTGAGAACAGGGAGGAAGAAATTGAACCAAAGAAAAAGACAAAAAAAGTGGAAAATGTTGAAGATGGTGAGAACGGGGTGGAAGGAGTGAAACCCAAGAAAAAGTCAAAAAAAGTGGAAAATGTTGAAGATGGTGAGAACGGCGTGGAAGGAGTGAAACCCAAGAAAAAGTCAAAAAAAGTGGAAAATGTTGAAGATGCTGAAAACGGGGTGGAAGGAGTGAAACCCAAGAAAAAGTCAAAAAAAGTGGAACATGTTGAAGATGGTGAGGCTGCAGAGGAAGCAGTAAAACCGAAGAAAAAAATAGGGAATAATAAGAGAAATGTTGAAAATCAAGAAGAAACAGAAATGATTACAAAGAAAGGACATGAAAATAAGAAAGGTAATGAAGATGATGAAGAGGACAGAATTAAAATTAAACCATCTAAGAAAAAAGTACAAGAAACCAATAATAAGATTGAAGAAGAAAAACCTTCATCTAGTCGTTATCCTAAACGAACCAAAAAATAGTATTACTACATGATTTATATAAGAATTGTATTGTAAGTGTTATTTCAATTTTGTATTTTTTTAAGGTTAAAGATTTCGAAAAATACTATTTGTGTCTTAATTAATATTTGATTTTTAATTCATTTTGTGGTAATCTCCCATTATCTTTTTTTGAATAAATTAATTTTGGTCAATAAGTAATCCTGAGTTAACTTGAACCCATATATTTCTAATTCTAGGTCTAGTGTTAGTTCTAGTTTTGTTTGTTATTCAGTGCTAGTTTGTTGTATATTTTTATTGAACTAGAACTTTCTAGAATACCTTTTCTTTTTTTATCTCAATTTCAAAGGATTTTGATTTGCATATTTCTACTGAACCGGAAGTAGGACTAAAACTAGAACTAGCACTAGACCTAGAACTAGAAACATTCGGGTTTAGCTGTCTAAAGAGACGAACGGCTAAAGCCGAATGTTTCTAGTTCTAGTTTTAGTTGTTATAAAGCGCTAGTTAGCACTAGATGTCGCTATGTGATATATTGTTATTGAACTAAATGTAACACTAGACCTAAAACTAGAAATATTCGGCTTTAGCCGTTCGTCTCTAGACGGCTAAACCCGAATGTTTCTAGTTCTAGGTCTAGTTTAGTGTTAGTTCTAGTTTTAGTTGTTATTCAGCGCTATATTGTTGTATATTTTTCGTTGAACTAAAACGAGAACTGGCACTAGACCTAGAACTGGAATGTTTTGGGTTTACCGTATTTAATTTTTAGTACTTATTTCAATAAAATGTGATTAACTCCGCCACTAAAGAAAAGATAATTCCATGTTTGTTTTCAAAATTGTTTATTAATTCTTTTTAATGGTGGCGTTTATATTTACCTTCGGTAATAATCATTTTTATAAATTCAGCGTTTGCACTAAACATATGTATGAATCCGTACTTAGCGGTTGAACAATTTTCCAAAAAATGTTTTAATAGTCCAATCATTTTATTATCATATTGAATTACGGCACCATCAACACCCTGAATTTAAAATAAAATTTAATAATTTATTAAACTACAATTTAATTGTCAAAATAACTAATAAATTTATTATTGTAATATGGGTTGCCTGCACGAAAAGTTTTTGACAATTAAATTTTTAATTTTAATTACCAAACATGATTGCGTCTTAAGAAATGCATTTGTAAAACAGGGGTGCCAACTGGAATTATCAAAGTTTTCTCGATAATATTCGCTACAAGATTGATTTCTTTCAATTTCAGCTACATGGCACACAACTTTGTATTTATCTTGCTCTTTCAAGTACAAAATCGCTATAATATCAACGACGTGATCTTGGGTCAGGGAATCATTATAAAATTCGATCTTATTAGTTCTCTTGTTTAGATCCAATTCGGTTTCAAGCTAACAAAATAATTTATCTTTAATTTCAAATGTATGTAAAGATATAAAACTAACTTTCATAATGCAGAGATAATCCATTGGAAGAGTATTATCCTGACGCGCTAAAACACTGGTACTGAAGACAGTTCGAGTTTGCATCCATTTTTTAATGGTGTAATTGTAAAAAGCTTTGATGGAAATCGAACGAGCTGAATGACAACATCCCCCGGATGTTGCAATAATCGTGGAAGTCACTATCGCTCCAGTACAAACATCGGTGTTTTTATTTACGTTTTTTATCACTACAAGTACCTAGAAGTTTCGTGTTAAAGAATAAATCATTAATTACATACTACTTACAATGTGACCAAGTTTTATGCCGTATCCGCATTCAGAATCCACATCCATATCGAAATTTTGTAAGGTATTCGATAACATTAAATATTGAAATATTGCTAGTATAAAAATAACGAGAAAATCATATTTCTTTGACATTTCTTTAATATTAATTGATATTAATGACGTTTTTTTGAAATGTCAAAATTTTTCATTGTCAATTAGTTATGATACCCGATCAACAGATGGCAGTAAATCTATCGCCTATTTCGCCTATTTAATTGTGTCGTTTAATGCATTTAAGGATAATAACGTTTTAAAAAGAGCGAGAAATTTAGTGATAAAAATTATTATTAAATACCACTAAGAAATGCGTATAAATTAAAAATTACTACCTTAATGGGTTAATTAAAATCAAATTTAATCCAGCTGTTGTTAAACCCCAACTTAGGAAATATGGATACCGTTTTTGGGGTGGTAATTAAATCCACCTGCGTCTATTCCATTTCAAATTTAATAATTGCATATAATTTGTTTTTTTTTATATTCTGATTTAATTAATTGCATACAAATTGACGCATGCCTAAAGACTTGGACAACCGGTATCGGAGACTGTTTTTTTTCTCTTAGAACGTAGGAATTTTATAGCAATTAAAGGATAAGAAGTACGCAATTTCAGTAAAAAAGAATTAGGAAACGTCGGTTGGTGTCCAAATGGTTTCCATCGATTAAAATTATCTTTGAGATCTTTGAGTAGGATGAGAGAACAAAAAAAAATATTTTGACACTTTTTAAAAGAGTTCCAATTATAGGGAATTAGAAAAAATTGATTGGTATATCCAAATGATGTTCATCTTATTAAAAATATTTTTGGGATACTTAAGCAAGATGAAAGAACACACGAAAAGCTACACAATACACAGTCTAGGTCTAGTATTACTTCTAGTTTTAGTTCAATAAAAATATGCATCATAGTGATATCTTATGCTAACTAGCGCTACCTACCACTGCTACTAGAACTAACATTAGACCTAGAACTAGAAACATTCAGGTTTAGCCGTCTTAAGAGGCGCACGGCTAAACGGAATGTTTCTAGTTAGTCTAGTTTTATTTGTTATTCAGCACTAGATTATTGTATATTTTTATTGAGCTATAACGGACACTGCCTTCCCTGTATTAATCCCTTATATCGAGGTTTTATTGTAATGGCAAATTATAGTGACATGTTACCTTTTATGTGGGACAAAGTAAGTAGATACGCCCTGGTTTCTATGGAAATATATTTTTATATATTGCATCTTAAGTAAAATTCACTGCATATAGGTACCTGTTCTATGTTCCAGTTACTCATTGATTGGCTTATTATCACTGATAGGTGTAATTTTACACATCCAATTTCGGATAATTAACTATTAAAATTTGCATTGATAATAATTTAACATTTCGAACCTCATAAATTTTGCGAACGATCTCCAAATACAATAAATAATCCAAGTTTTATCGATTATTTAAAAGGGTCGCGGTTTATATAACGCGTACGTTCCAAATATACCACTTTAAAGAAAACTCTTTGAAAGAGGTGATCATCACGATGGTGATCAAAATTTGTTTTTGACAAACGATAGTTATTAATTATAATTAAAAGGAGTGGAAAACGAGGAAAATATTTCGATTGATTTATGGGAAGTGATTTTGGCGGTGCGACGGATCGCGAACGAACGACAGCGGCCCTTTTCCAAACGAATTAGTGACAGGGAACGATATATCATCGCAGATTGCCACCGTTCGAGCGTTCACAAATGCGCATATCTGCCCATAATGGCCACTTGACGTGACTTTTTTTGTAATCCGAGCCCTTCTATAGTACGTGACTTCGAACTTTAAGCACCTTTTGTGATTTTTTGGGAAGTGTCATTCGAAAATTGGTTCAAGAATCAATATGCAATGTGATATTTTAATGTGTACATCAAAGCGTATAGATTCTAAAAGCAATCATGAACAGTTTTTTTTATGTTTATTGATGTAAAATAATAAATACGTATATTTTTAGTGGTTTATTTTTCTATAACGAAAAAATTTATAACAAAATTTTTACATAAATTGTACCTATGTAATAGAGACGAGTTGGTGTTGTAATAAAACTTTTGCGTTTATTTTTATTTTGTTTGAACGAATAATAGGTGAAATTTTTTTTGGGAGAGGACGAAAGCTTTTAGATAACGGTGTAAAATTTTCAATGCAGATGTATGCCCACGTCACGATGCGCCGGACAGTTGACTGAATAGCTAATGGGATTTCTATGTTTTAGCATTACCACCATGACTCTCTGTGTTGGTGTGTATACAACGTCAGAGAGATAATGATTAATCGGAGTTAGGCACAGAACAATAATTTCCATATTGAATAATAATAATATACATAATATGTGTAGGGGTTAAAAGCAAAAAGTAAATTTTTAACCTGTGTCATTTACTATAAAGTAACAAGTTAAAGTCTTAATTTTTTCACTTTGGTTCATCATATTCAAAGTTTAAAAGTGCCATATTCTAAATTTAAATCTGATTTAAGCATTGTTATAAAGAAGTGTTTCCAGGAATCAATAAATATAGTAGATCTTACCAATAAACAGATAAACTAATTGGAATAATTCACTTTCATTCATTTAAAAGTTATGATTAACTTTCACAAGCGCGATTTAAAAGAAATTTACCCGATTTTTACCGAACTGTCAAAATCTGTCAAATTATGTGATGCCTGTCAAGGTCTAATTTTTAGGGATTTTGTTGGTTTTACCTAGGGTCCCTATAAAATTTAAGTCATTTTCTAATTTCTAGTAACGTTTTCGGTAACTAAATAATTGAGGTTAAGAATCGAATATAAGTTATTATATATATTATAATATAATATTATTATATTATAAGTTATATAAAGTTTGTATTTAAAGTCTGATTACATTTACCAACTTTTCAACGATTTGAGAGGTGTTAAAGAAAAATAAAAGTGTAACATGAAGTTAGCTATACGAAGTGTAGTTAGTTTTATTATTTTAATTCCTTTTTAAATAAACAAAAATTAAAAAGTAATCTTATTTTAATCTCAAATATATCAAATTTACCTATTTTCATTAATAAAATCATAAAAATATAAGCCAAAAATAAGAAATTAATAAGAAATCTTAGGTTGCAACTAAAATCGATAGATGGCGATGTTTTGATACTGACTTAAAAATCCGATATAAATTTTTGAAAAATGATTTTAACAAAGTGCGAATTTACTGCAAAAACGTTCGTATTTAAAGTTCAAACGTCACTGTTACTAAAATTTGATTTCAATACGATAGAATTTGCGATTAATCTTACCAACTTTCCAACGATTAGACAGGTATTACAGAACAATACCAGAGCGTAATGAAGTTAGCTATACAAAGTTTAGTTAGTTTTATTATTTTAATTCCTTTTTAAATAAATGAAAATTAAAAGTAATCTTATTTTAATCGCAAATAAATCATATTTCTTTATTTTCGTTAATAAATTAATAAAAATTTAAGCCAAAAATAAGAAATTAATAAGTAACCTTAGGTTGTATTTAAAATCGATAGATGGCGATGTTTTGATAATGACTTAAAAAATTTAAATATTTGTTAAATGAAATAATTTAATTTGCTTTGGAATATATAAAAAATTATTATAAATTCTTATTTTAACCATCACGGATTCGATTTAATCTTATTTCGTGAATAAATCAATATATCATAATAAATTAAGTTATAAGTTCGTTTTTTTTTCTATAATACTTGTCAATGTAAATTTTTTAGGGTTTCTGTTGGTATTATCTAGGATCCTTATAAAATTTATGTTGTTTTCCTGATTTTTAGTAACATTTTCAGTAACTAAATGGATGAGGTTAAAATACTAATAAATTTTTAGATAAATACGATTTTAACGAAGTACATATTTATTGCAAAAACGTGCTACAAAGTAATTAAATAGAATAAAACACCTTTTCTAGGTAAATAAATGGCAAATAAAAACCCAAGCTCATACGTCAGTTTTAATATTCTTTGAATGTGGTTAATTAGTGCTTTTAAAATACGAAAAGTATGGAAAAGGACACAATTTTTTTTATGCGACGATTTCATATGAATTCTGGGAAATTTATTACTCCTACGGCTTCGAAATTAATGAGTTTTTTGCTCGGTACCTATTTGCTTCTTTTATACAAGCGCAAAATAGAAGAAGAAACAGGTGTTAATTAAAACGTTTTAGAATAAACTAATTTTTTAAACGATTTTTTCTTATTTATTGCGATTAGAATAGTAACTTTGGTTTAGAATATTCAGTAAGTTCTCGATCATATTTTTATTTTATAGTTCTTTAATTAAATTTCATTAACTAAAAGCTTCTTTTACTTTTTAATCTCTTAACCTAATAATTACTCGCTTAACTTCTTAAAATCTATATACACTGGTTCTTTATGGAAATTTAGGGGAAAAAAGGGTAATTTTTATATTAAGTTGAGGAAGACTAAAAGTGTATTATTATGTAGTGTGTTTTAATTTTTGCGTGTGTAAAGATTTTTGTTTTTTTTTCTAAATCGAAAACGAGCGATTTTTTTTAGAATATTTGTCTTTAGGATCCCATCTCTAATCTTTTACATAGTTAATCTCAATTTGGATTGCGTCTCTATCTTGACGGGATCAATTATAAAATTTTCTTCTTCTCATTCTGCATATTTCAGTGAGTCATCACAAAGGCGACAACCAGAGCCAGGGAAATGTTGATCAAGGAAAATTGTAACGGCTCAGACGAATTACATCCATTTTCTGTGCAGCATAACGTTCGTGTTCCCCATGTTTCTAAAACAAAAATTATTTTATTACTTATAAATTAAGTTTAATTTAAATTAAATTTAAAAATAACTGGGTTGGCGTTTAATTGACGTTTAAATGTCATACTATATTTGTCACCAACTTAAATCTGGTAACTTTTAAATACCCTATGTTAATTTAAAAAATAATTATAAATATTAATGGATATTTAAAAGTTTTCTAAAGGTAAATCGAGATAATACCAAGGATTTATAAATATGTTCTTAATTACTTCTTGTAATTACAATTTTATCAAATCTTTTATTTTAGTTGAAAATTGATCAGCTTTTAATTTTAACACCATTTATCATGAAACTTTTAAGTTTTAAGTCCACGCCTCAAAGAACTTTCATCGCCGACAAACTTTTTTAATGTTTCATTAATTACCTCACAAAATATCGATTCTGTTGAAATCCCCATTCACTATTCAGCTTTGAGCGTAGGAAATCAGTTTACAAGATAGATATCTACACCTGGTCAGTTCTCAGGGCATTATGGAAATCCATCCGGCGTTCATATCAGCTTCAAATTCGATATTTCAGCCGGATATTTATACGCAGACATATTTCTCTTTCGTTATAAATTCGTTTTAAATTTCTTTAAGGAATTATGTATTAAGATTATTCAACTTGAATAATAATGATAGATCGATCGATGTTTGGTTCAACAATAGGTCTTGAGACTATTCTAACCCAGTTCGAAGACGGTATCCGGAAATGTAGAGAAAAGGAAAGTCGTTAAAATGATTGTGGTTCGCGTGAACTAAAGTGGAAAATTACATTTTCCGGGTGAACAAGACGAAAGAAAAAGAAATTAATGGTGTTAAATTAATCGTTGAAGGTTTATTTAAGTTTTAATTGTATCAAATAAATTCTTTGTTGTAGATAAGCTTAATAAAAATTTTCGTAGAACCAATTTTTTGCATTAATGTAACATTAAATAAATGGTACATACTTCAAAAATTTATGATGACGAAGAAATTTTTCATAAAGGAATCCTTTGAAAGAAATAACGAGATTCGTATTTTTGAACATAAAACGGACATGGTTGTTAAAATCGAACGCTTCATTTCATGGTGTGATTACGGGCCGTAACAAATTCCTACATGTTCCTACAAAAATGAAATATAATCTGATTTTATTTTTCTTTTTAATTTTTAAATAAATAATAGGATTAAACCTCAACCCTTAACACCAAGATATAACGAGGAGAAGGAAAAATAAAAAAACAATCATCCATTTGTCATTGTCCGTTTGGCGTGGATAGTAGAAAGCCTTTCAATTTCCCGTTTTGTCGGCACATTTCTAACTGTTCGCTTTTAGATAAAAACTTTTTTTACTCACTCGCAGCGTTTTGGGGTTCGTCGAATTCGTTTTACTAAATGGACCGGAAGGAGGTATTTACATTCTCGAGAAACCTCTTTAAAAAAATTAAAAGTTGCTAGAGTATAAAAATGATCGTTAAATTTCGACGATCAATAGAAAGGATCTTATTTCTCTTGATTCGGGCTGTACAAAGCATAAAATCAGCGTAATATAGAAAGGGATTACGTTTTATGAGCGAATTGGTAGTAAAATCGTATTGATAACCTTTCTTTTATAGGTGGAAATACGGGAAAATATATTCTTTTAATCCTCTAATCTTCTGTGATAAATGGTTTTTAATCGAATTTTTTCGAACTCAAAACACTCAAATTATTAATAAGATATGTGCTTAAAAACACTGATAGCTAGACGCTCTGCACACGGAGCTACTAAAAAGGAAATAAACTTGTTCGTAACTTGGGTCACTAACCAGTTATTGAGTCATTAGTGATCAGACTCCACACACGAAGCTACTCATCAGCGATCAAAACCTATAGTTTGTTCAGTTTCTTTTCAGTAGCTCCGTGTGCAAACCACCTTAAATGTCAATAAAAATATTGGTAAAATTTACAAAACCTATTAAGATTTTTTTGAATGTTTAGCTAAGCTGTTTTTTCTCGTTAAAGTTTAGTACAGATTTAACCCAACCCAATTTATACCTTATAGCTATGTTTCATATATGTTTCATCATTCTTGTAGGTGGCTTAAAAAGTTTCTTCTAGGTGCCTAGTTCTCAAAAAATTCGATTTGAAGACATTGAGACCCGAGATCGGAAACCTCCGGGACGGCGTCGAACATCCAAGTTGTGAGGAACAGTATTGAAGAGTGCAATTGTAGATTTCTCGGCGGTCCCTTCAAAGAATTTTGACTTTATATTTAAAGATATTTCCCTACAACATTCAGATGCTTTCTCGCCAATATTCTATCTTTCGTCCAATTTGTTCCTCTCATCTCTAACGCTTACCTCATGACTTCGCCCCATCTCTATTACGGTCATCCCCGTCTTCTTCTCTCCTGCACTCTGAGTTTCAAAACTTTTTAGACCTAACCTGACCATTCATTCTTTGTATCTGGCCACATCAGCGTAGCTGTTTTTCTCGATTAAGTCTAGATTTAACCAGAAAGATATGTAGACAAATAAAATATTCGGTTTAGGGCAACCAGCAAAAAGTTACCAGTATGCAGAATATGTGATTGAGCCATACTTTTTTGAAACTGGAAACGCGGTAGCCATGTAGAGAGAACGAGCTCTTAATACCGAAACTGGATGAGTTGAATTTGAAGGATTTGGTAAGGTTCCATGGAGATTTTGAAGAACACAAGATATTGAAGGCTCCTGAATATCTGGAAGAAGTAGGCCTTAACACGGGTTAAAGAATACTAACAAAAAAAAACATTATTTATTTTTAATTGTTCTTTTTAAGGTTTCTTGATGACAAAATGATTTTGTTTCAACGTTGTTGAAATTGCTGTGGAAATCTTGTCTTGGCGTAACTCCAAATACGTTTTTCGGGTGACACGTACAATTTTCTTTCATTCCATCGCATTTTTGTGGGAACGTCAAGCGCCACTTATTTTTTTTAATAGCTCCCAAAAAAAAAGAAATTAAAAACGAAAATTCCAATTCAACCCCGTATATTACCGCCTCTTGAAAACACTTTCAGTCCCACACGTGTTCCCGACACATAAATAACGACCACGTAGCGCTTCCGATTTATGCTAGCTGCGCACAAGAAAACAACGTCCTCCACCTCTGTCCCACTAAAAACAAAACTTATTATTCCGCAAAAGTGAGCAAAATATATTCGTATAATATTTTGAACGTTCAAAAGTTTTATCGTCAGCTTGGTTTTTGTTCGTTTTTGAATAAACTATCGTAAACTGAAATGGTTGTTTCGATTGTGTTTCAGTTTTGGTTGTTGGGCTTATCAATTCCGGAAGCTACATATCACGTATATCCACGTATGTGAAACTTGATGTGTAGTGCCATTTCGCTTGCTTTTATCTATTATGTATAACAACCATGAAATTTATTGGAAGTATAAAACACCATGAAGAAACTTCATTCTCTATAGAAATTTCGATAGATGGTGGTTATCTTTTATATTTACTTGATGGATTTTGTTGATTGCTGGTTTGATCAACTTCCAATCAAGATTCAATGTCAGGTAAATAAAAAAATCGCACCAACCGTAACCGATCCACGTTACAATTTGCAAAGGGGGCGCGATCGAATGGATTTTCGTTAATCCCCCATTCAATTCTATATGGGGGGATCAATGTCATTCGGTAATTGCCGTAGCAATTACTCAAAGTCAGTCTTTTTTAACACGGTTTTTCTTTAAACGGTATTCTTTTTTACTTCCAGCTCAAAAAAAAAGGATTTAATTATCAAATTACATAACAAACGCAATTTGTATGTTTGAGATTACTGGGTCATTTGTGTTAGTGGAGAGGGTCATGGAACGAGAATGGGGAAGACAGTCTCTAGGGAAATCAACTATGTTGGTGGCGGTTAGCAGTGTTTATTAATGAACCCATCCCTTTCTAAAGAGCAAAACACAGTCTCTGCATTCTCTTTCACGTTGCAAATTTAGAACTACAATGAAACGACTTTCAAACAAAGAAAAATTATTATTCTCATCTTCTACCTTCATTTGTCTTATTATATTTCGCAGAATAATTCTTTACGACAACTAAAAAAAGATTTTTTTATATATTCTTGTATTTAATCCATTAAATTTAATCGATTTTATAAATTAAAGATTGATGAAGTATAATTGACGTTTAAGAAATGTCAAATGATATTTGTTGCCAACTTCAATCTGGTGACTTTTAAATCCCCTATGATTTTAAACAATAATAAATAATGATTTTTATTTGATTTAAAGATTTTATGTAACAAAATAATTTTTTGAAATTCACTAAAAGTTTTCTTTGCAAGTAGAAAAATCAAGTATAAAACTTAAATCTAGGTCATGTAATTCACATCCAAATTTCACATACACCACACAGAATCGAAAAGTAAACGTTCGCTTCCATCCGATCGTTTGCCATCCGAAACCGAATTGTTTCCGAGAATCTACTCAGCACACGTCCAAAACTAGAAACGACTTCACAGTGTACTTTGAAAGATTAACAAACCTAATCCGCTTTGTTCTTTCAAAAAGTTTTCCTTTTTTGATTCGAATTTATTTGACGCAAACCGTTGAAAGTATTCAGTTCAATTCAGTTGGAAATACATCAAAGCGAAACATAGGTTTAATAGTGTTTACGCTTGTTTTATAGGTTACGTATAAAATGAAGAGCTGTTCACATTAATATGCGTGAGCTGGATTTATATTGAAACTTGAAGCTTATGAAGTTTGAAGGGGGACTATAATTCTTGTAGTAGTCACGCCTTGGTTTGCATTTAGAACGAGGAACGTCAACGGAAATAGGGGGTTGTGTGGTAAATAGTTCAATAAAGTATCTTGAATCCTCCTTTCGAGTTTAACGGTAATCTTCGATCGTTTGAGGGAAATTGAATCGTAAATATCTTTTTTTCAAGTTTATTTTTGATTGTATTGAAGTATAATATATTGAAGCTAAAAGTTGTGAATTATAATTAAAAAGTAACTTTTTAAATTAGCTACCTTGGAGGATATTTAACTATACGTGGATGATTAAATGGAGATGATGAAGACTAAATCTTTTTGTTATAAAGAAATGATAAAGATAAAAAACTGCTGGGTTGTGAGACGTAAAATTTTAATTTCAAACTTCTCTGTTGTCATTATGCTCCCCCAAACTTTGAAAGACATCAGCGTCTATATCTTTTCTTTCCACCACACCGTGTCCGGAACATAACTAATTGTAAAACTTGAAACAAAGCAACCGGAACTTTTTTGTGGTGATTAACACTCTTTTCATTATAATATTATTTATTAATTGTAAAATTAGTTAAGAAGGCTTAACTATTACAACGATAAGAACATAATTGAGGGCTAACTGCGAACTTGATATGCATCCGGAACTCAATTTAACTTGGTAAAGTACAAACAAAAGGTATTTAGGGGGCTCGCCTTGGGGATGACTCGCGAAACCGTCGAAACCGTTTCGGTGCTGGCACTAAAACGATTTTAAAAGACAATTTTCGCGTTCGTCCGACCGAAATCTACTCGACGCGACATATTTAAATCACCAGTTTTTCCAACGCGCGATAAACAAGATGAAAGAACAAGCACCATATACATTTTCTTCGTGTGACAGCTACTATACATCCCAGACCTTTTAAAATACAAATATGCTCAATCCCTTGTCTTTTTTATTCTTTCCATATTTCATATTTCCATATAATCATATTCCATTTGTTTATTTGTTTCTCAAACTTATATAAGAAAATCTGTTTATTCGCGAATTTGATTTAACCCGATAAAAAGTAAATATTTCACGAATAATTATTTTGAACTTAATTTGAGGTTGGTTTTCTTGGGATTGATGTTGATTTCAGGTTGGGTTGGAGTTGGTTTAAGGAACGATTACGTTTCAAATAGCCGAGGCGCTGTTTTTGATATATCAACATGAAATCGTCAACTTTGGAGGATCTAACTCTTTCTCCTTGCCCGTAAGCGACCTCGACGATTTAAGGTAAAATCGTTCCTTATATATCTTGGTCAAGATATAAAGTCTCTCATAAGAAGAGATGTCCAAACGACCAAAACGGGTGGCAAAAAAAAACAATTTTTAGGCAAGAATCTTCATTCTGAATACCCAATACTCAACCCAACCCCTTCTCTACCTATGTATCTATCTTTTAAATATACTTTTGGGTGGAAATAACTCACATATTCCAAAAATTTGAAATTGTATTACTACATTTTTTAGAAAAGTTCCGCCACTGATTTGAATCGATCCATAAGCAGGTCAACGAAGTTAACTTTTATTCAAAACAATTAAAATTATTATATCCGCAATTTTATATAATCATGAGACTATGCATTAGTCAACAATATTTATAATCGTTATTTAAGATTTATCAAATCATGTATGACAAGCATAACACATACGTTTCAAAATAAAACCATTAAAAATAATGATGAAACTTGAGATAAAACGTTCACTTCATAAAAATAACTGACTGCGCCGAATTTGGATTTATTACATTTTGGAACTTGATGATTTAGTAAGTAAAGGTTACGATCTACCTGCAATAAGTGCGTTTAAAAAAAATTTTCCTCTTAAACTAAATGGTAATTATAAATTTATCAAACTGACCGGCGCAAAAAATATACCCAGCGCAGCGCTGGTTTCAATGGGATCGAATTTTCTTTAAAAATAAAATTCCAATACAAATTTCCATTAAATTAAAGATACGATACAAAATTTATTAACGCTATGTAGATATCCCAATGATAAAATCAATGCAAACAATTAATTGTTGAGTAATCTTCCATTTAGACAGTTAGGATATTTAATGTAATCAAGGTCACATGTATAAAGATAAAAAAAATTAAGATAAAACCGATCAGTTAACGAAAACGAATAGATTGAAGCTATCTTAGTATCTTTAAAACCTTTAACCGTGCAACATGAAAACTTTAACAACTATAACGATAGTCTCGATATATTTTTCTGTACTTCTAAGTGCAAGTGAATCAGCTAAAATTTTATCACTATTCCCAGCACCTTCTTACAGCCATGTAATAATCGGAGAAACTCTAAGTGAGGAATTAGCAAGAAGAGGTCATCAAGTAACGTTGATAACCGCTTATGAACCAAAGAAAACCATCAAAAATCTTAATGATATTAAATTAAATGGGTTCAAAGAACAATTTGATGAGGAAATGAAAGATTTTAATTTTTTCGATTATTTAAACATAAACGAATTCATTTCAACACTAACAACGTATAGCTTTGGTTATACAATGACGAAAAATTTTTATGAACACGAAAGAATACAAAAAATTATGAAATTTAACGAAAAATTTGATTTAATAATTGTAGAACATTTCTTCAATGAAGCTGTTTATGGGTTATGTTATCATCTTAAAGTACCCTGTGTAGCGGTAAGTGCGGTTGCCACAATGATTTGGTCGAATCGATTAACCGGAAATGTGGGATTAGCATCGTATGTTCCACAGATGACGACTACCTATTCACCAAAAATGACCTTCTTTCAACGAATGCACAATTTGGCACTTTACGTTTACGAAGAAATCGTGTATCACACGTTTTATATACCAAAACACAACGCGATCGTTCAAGAACATATTCCAAACGCACCACACATTTACAATTTAATTACTAACGTTTCATTACTTCTTGTAAATTCTCATCCTGCATTAGGATCTCCGCAAATAATAACGCCAAACGTAAAGGAAGTCGGCGGAATTCACGTTGAGGGATTGAAAAATGTCACATTACCGGATGATATTCAAAAGTTTTTAGATAATAATAAAGAAGTAATTTATTTCGCTTTGGGTTCGAACGCTCAAAGTAAAGATATTCCCAAAGAAACTTTAAACGAAATAATAAATGGATTGAAAAAATGGGGTAAACCTGTTTTGTGGAAATTTGAGGACGAATTACCCGAAAAACTTGATAATGTTAAAATAGCTAAGTGGTTTCCTCAAACGGCGGTGTTAGCTCATAAAAATGTTGTTGGTTTTATAACTCATTGTGGGCGATTGAGTTCTTTGGAATCGTTGTATTATGGTGTTCCTATGATTGCAATTCCACTTTTTGCAGAACAAGCTCATAACGCTGCAGAAATGGTTCATTATGGTTTCGCGGTTCCGGTTGAGTTTAAAACGCTCAAAGCGGAAAAATTATATAAAGCGCTTGTTGAAATAACCTCAAATACAAAGTAAGTTATAAATTTATTGCCAAAAGTGTATTTTAAGAGCAAAGTTTGATTCATTAATAATGTTTTTAGATACACGAAAGAAGCACAGATGCGCTCGAAAGCAATAAGAAAACGTAACGGAATGGATGAAGCCGTCTACTGGATCGAACATGTTTTAGAATTTAAAGGAGCTTCTTATTTAAAGAATGCTGGCGTCGATTTGCCATGGTACCAATTTTGGATGGTCGATGTTGTCGCAGTTTTAATCGTTTCTTTCTTGGGTATCAACGCTTTCGGAGCTTATTTAATTTTAAAATGTTTTGGTAGTAAATCAAAAAGTTCTAAAAATGTATCTAAATCCAAAAAAAGAAGTTAAAAGTTTCTTGTTTATAAAATTAGTAACTATTTTAATGGAAACGTTTATTTTATGTAGTTAATATTATTTAAAATTAGAAATATAAACCACTCTTTGAAATACCCTTTTAAGCCTTGTCTCATTGGGGTCAATACAATTCTTCTCAAAGTAGGGTGATAGATATATGCTAACTCCTTTGAGCTAAGTCATCGGGATACTTTTGCTTAGCCAATATTCTTGCTGATGTAGGGGCATAGTAATTGATTACATTGTCATCTTTATCTTCAGGATACTTAGGTTTGAGTGATATTGAGGTTGTATATTGAGTGATAATGTTTAAACATTAGTGACAGGCTTTAACTTGTTTAAAAATTAAATCAAAAAAGCTTTGATAATAAATAAACATAAAGTTGGAAGAAACTAAATTGTCAAAAATTCAACATCTTCTGCAAGCAAGCAATGCAGATTTGAATATGAAGTCAAGATTTTGTATGATAAACGGAAAGGTTTGCAATCCTTTTGCTTGTTAATCCAGATATGTTATCTATGTGAAATATCTAAAACTATATTTTAATCTCAACATAAAGAAAGATACACAACGAACCGAAATAAATAGAACGAGTAACCACAGTACAAAAGCAATTGATGGGAAATCCTCCAATCTAGAGTTGTTTTTGTACCGAATTAAAATTCTTACCACACAACCGACCGTTTCGAAATGGAACTCGTCCTATATCTCTGCTATCCGTCTCAGTTTTCTTATTTTTCGGGTATAAAGAGACGGTGTGACGTGAATAACTAGAGCAAAGATATTCCAAGAGAATGGAAAATTCGACCAAGAAGGGGTTATATTTCCAAAAATTGTTATTATAAACTATAATTTTATATTTAATTAATGAATAGTAACTTCTTTGGATTCTTTTTATATTTAGTTAAAAAAATATCAAAAAAAAACATTAAATTAATCGAACGAATCTTCCAACAAATCGTTTCTAGTCCCGCAAAGTCCATATGGACGAAATCTTGAAATCGGCGAAAAAACAGCAAACCTTATCTTCGGACTAGATTTATAGCGAGTCATGAGTGGAGTGGAACTACTTTCTCGCTATATCTCCTCTCTGAACGTATATATCTCGCGGTGTTTTCTATTTTTCCTATCATTTTTTGTTGAACTTAAAAACGCTGATGTATTTCCGATATTAAATGTTATCTATTGTAACAGTTTCTTTAAAGTAAAAATAGAATAATTTTACTTCTACATTAAATAGAAACTATCTATCATACTTTCCGAATTATGGCCTTGTTAAATCCGATGATTCCTTTGTACTAACCTGTATAATTTAAATAATATAATGTAGGCAACCCAAACAACACGTCAAACCATAAAAATCACCAGCGTCACCTAACATTCAAAAAACCTAACTTTTTTCGCTTTGATATTTTTTTTTAAATAGTAATCCATTCATATCGATAACAATCCTTCGTTTGAGTTGCTTAAGTAGATAAAGTGTGACCGATCGAGTGTAGTTTAGACTCGTTTTTGGAGTAAATCGATTTAATAAAGAATGAAGTTATTTTCGGTGTTATTTTTGCTGTGTTCTTTTAAATTTTGTATTTCCTATAAAATTTTAGCCGTTTTACACACACCTTCGTTTAGTCATTTTATAGCTGGTGGTGCTATTGCAAAAGAATTAGCTTTAAAAGGACATGAAGTAACAGTTTTGAGTACATACCCTCAAAAGAAACCCATCAAAAATTATCGTGATATTGAATTGACTGGAATGAGAGAATGGATTATAGGTAAATTAAAAGATTGTATACTTTTATGAACTGAATATTGTTAGTTCTTTTCAAAATTAATTTAAACCTAAAAATATAGGTTATGTTTTAATACAAATAAAATCTGAGTCAATAAATCTTATCTTATTTTTTAATGATATAACTTTTACTTATTGCATCACGTTTTTTCTATTTATAAATAACATTATCTATTTTATTTTTAGATTTTATGAGTAAAGTTAATTTAATTGATTACGAAAATGAAAATATCATAACAAAAACGAATTTCCCCAATGAAATGGGTTATATTATGTCAAAAATCGTTTACGAACACGATGCGGTTAAAAAATTAATGAAATCCCACGAAATCTTCGACGTCGTCATCATAGAACAATTTGTCAGCGAAGCATTATACGGTTTATGTTATCATTTTAAAGCACCTTGTATATCATTTTCTTCGGTAGGATCAACTATATGGACGAACCGTTTAGTTGGAAATATCGGATTGGCTTCGTACGTTCCAGACGTTTCCGGTTATTATTCACCGTCAATGACATTTTTGGAACGTCTCCACAATTTAATAACCTTAATATACCAAGAACTCAATTATCATTTGTATACTTTGCCGAAATTAGACCAACTTTTACATGAACATATCCCGGATGCACCCCCATTATCACAATTAGTTTATAATATCTCTTTGGTGCTGTTAAACTCGCAAACAGCATTAACAGGGGCCGTACCATTAACACCGAACATTGTCGAAATAGGTGGGATCCATCTTCAAAGTTTCAAAAAAAGTAAAGACGAAAAATTACCTCAAGACGTACAAAATTTTTTAGATAAACACGATCAAGTTGTTTACTTCGCGTTTGGATCGAATTTTAATAGCAAAAGCATACCGGAAGAGAAATTGGAAGCGATATTCGATGCGTTGAGGAAATATGGAAAACCGGTCCTTTGGAAATTTGATGATGACGAATTACCGGCTGGTTTGGAACATGTTAAAATTGGGAAATGGTTTCCTCAAACGGCCGTCTTAGCCCATAAAAATGTAAAAGCTTTTATAACTCATTGTGGTCGATTGAGTACCTTGGAATCGTTGTATTATGGCGTTCCAATGATTGGAATTTCGTTGTTTGCGGAACAAGCTCATAATGCGGCGGAAATGGCTCATTTAGGATATGCTGTTTGGGTGAAATTTAACGAATTAACGAAAGGGAAATTGTATAAGGCTTTAGTGGAAATAACTGAGAACCCAAAGTATGTATCCAAAAATAATTTTTATTTATTTACAAAAGAAGCTGTTTGTTCAGCTGGTTGCTATGAAAACTAGAGCATTTGTTGTATATGAAAAATTATTAATTATTAATAAAATTGCGAGATGACAGATTGAAGTTGAATTAAGCATGGATTCTTTCCTGATCAATGGAAGATAGTTGTTTTGTACATTTTAAGAACGATTAAAAAGACGATTGGGAATATTTGAACAACTTATTTAAATAGTAATAACTTACTTTACATTTTTACCTCAATCTATGACTAACTTTACTCGCATTAACATGTCAAAACATTCTTTATAAGACACTCTCTATAATAAGTTACCTTTTTTCAGATATTATAATGAAGCCCAACTTAGATCAAAAATAATGCAAAAAGAAAATCAAATAGAAAAAGCCATAAACTGGATAGAACACGTCGTCGAATACAAAGGAGCTGTATATTTGAGAAACGCAGGAGTCGATTTACCTTGGTATCAATTTTGGATGGTTGACGTCATTTCATTTGTAATAATTTTAATTATTTTTGTAAACACTTTGATTGCTTATTTAATATCAAAAATGTTTTCTAAAAAATCATCAAACAAAAAACAGAAACTTAATTAAGAATATAGATATAAAAATATATTATAAAAAATAAAATTATAAAAAAGATCGATCAAAGTCTTTCTTTTTATCCCGCGTTTTTTATCACACGTTTCAATACACGTCATCAGTAATTTAAAAGAACGTAATCTCACTTGAAATTTGTCAAGACGAAGAATAAAATTGCTTCTTCTGAATGTAAAAGAAGAATTTGTCGCTAAGCACCGGCAACGAAATGTCGAGATTGTACATCTCTTGTGCGCTTTTAATTCTCTGTCATTCGCACTGGTGCCTTTCAGCTAACATTTTGGCAGTGTTCCATTTCCCCTCGTACAGTCATTTCGTGATAGGCGAAGCCCTATGTAAAGGTTTGGCTGCCAAAGGTCATAATGTAACCGTAATCAGCACATTCCCACAAAAAAGCCCAATTAACAATTATCATAATATTGTTGTTGAGGGGATGCCTAATTTGAATGGCAAGGAAAAAAATTTATAATAAAACAGTCGTACAATCCAATTTGCATGAATTGATTTGTTTTTAGATATCGTACGGAATAGTGGATACAATTTAACAAACTATATGTTGGTCATATTCTCAAAACATTAAAATTACCAACCACTTCGGTTACATATCATCAAAATATATCTTAGAAAATGAAAATGTAAAAAATTTAATGAAATCGAAAGCCACGTTCGAAGTCGTTCTTTTAGAACACTTCAACTCAGAATCCCTCCATGGATTTTGTGAATTTTACAACGCCCATTGCGTTCTAATTTCGACGTTATTTTCTTCAATTTAGACCAATAAAATAACCGGAAACGTTGCTTTAGCATCAATTATTCCCGCTAGTTTTACAGAAACGTTCCGAATCGAATGAACTTTTTCAACGAATCGACAACTTAATTTGCTTAATTCTGAAAGAACTTTATTTTTATTACGATCATTTACCAAAGCATAATGAATTATTTAAAAAGCATTTTCCAAATTCGACGAAAATTGAAAATTTAATTTATAATTTTTCACTTATATTTTTTACAAACACACACCCGGTTCTAAATGGAAACGTTCCAATTACGTCAAATATAAAACGAATTGGTGGGATACATTTACATTTAAATAATGATGAAAGAAATATACCAAAAGATATTAAAAATTTTTGGATAACAATGAGAACGTCATTTATTTCGCTTTAGGATCAAATTTTGAAAGTAAAGATTTACCACCGGTAAAACTTTTAGAAATAATAGAAGCTTTTGGATTATGGAAAAAACCGATTTTGTGGAAATACGAGGAAGAACTTCGAGATAAGCCGGACAACGTGATGATTGCGAAATGGATGCCACAAACGGCCGTATTGGCTCACAAAAATATTAAAACGTTCATAACGCATTGCGGACGGCTGAGCACGATTGAATCGGTCTATTTAGGAGCTCCAATGATTGCTTTACCAATCTTTGCAGAACAGTTACACAATGCCGCACAAATGACCCACTCAGGATGCGCCCTTACTTTAGACTACAGAACTTTAAATCGCCGGAGTTTCTATAAAGCCTTAATTGAAATTACAACAAATCCTAGGTAAGGTACCAATTGAAAAGAATTTCCTTACTTTCAAAACGTACTTACGATATAATTAAAACAGAAAGAAAAAATGAATCCACAAAAAGTTTTTAATTAATCTTTTTTATCTCAATTTCAAAGGTTTTTGATTTGTATATTTTTATTGAACCAGAAGTAGAACTCACAATAGACCTAGAATTCGAAACATTCGGGTTTAACCGTCTTAGGAGACGCACGACTAAACCCAAATGTTTCTAGTTCTAGGTCTAGTGTTATATTTTTAATTAATTTCAGATATAAAGAAGAGATTAAACTAAAATCGAAAGTTCTTCAAGATTTTAGAGCCTTAGATGAAGGAATTTATTGGATCGAACATATCAAATTTAACGGTGCGAGTTATTTAAGAAATGATGGAGTAGATATGGTGTGGTATAAATTTTGGATGATCGATGTGATTTTTGCCTTAATTTTAATATTATTAGCGTTAACAATAACATTTTGCTATTTAATTTCGATAGTTACCAAGAAAAACGTTTCGATTAAAGTAAAAAAAAAGTTGACCTTATTCAAATCATATAATATGCAATATTAAAATTTTATCTCTCGAATAAAAATCGATTGAAAATTAGAAATAAATAAACAATTTTCCATTTTGTATTGATAAAAATATTTTTTTGATCCTGTTTTATTTTGCATTCTATCCAATTTATATTTCAGGTAGTTCTCATTATAGTCAATTTTCGTTTGATTCATTCCTTAATTAACGACGTTTTTATACCGATGAAAACCTTCGTGATTTAAGCCGCAATCAAAACGGGGACATACATAGTAGTTATAAAAGAGAGGCGTTGAAATTCAAATTTCAACGCCAAACATGCCACAATACACTACAAATTAAATCCGGACGAACGAACGTGATCGAATTAACGCGGATTGCAAATATTTACTTTTGATTTTATTTAGGTGCAGATTTGAAATGATATTTTGAAATTATAAAATAGAAACTTACCTTTTTCTTGGCAATTTCCTACGCAATCTCTTACAACGGATCCTTCGCTTTGGTATTTCTAAAAAAGACAATTAGAAATTTATAAAAAAATGTATGTGTTTAAAAGAACGTTACATTTTAAAAGTACAAAACGACCAGAGCACTTCCAGAAATAAAATAAATTTAGGTTTAACACCAAATCACCACAATTTTTTGTTCAAACGTCATTAAATGTCAACTTGTTTGAAGTGTTTTCTCTCGCCAGAAGTTGGCTTTTTAACTAGAACGTGAAATTAAGTACTTTACGTCGCTATGAAGCATACTTCACTACAGTTTTCTTAATTGTATTAATTATGATAAATATATGAATTATATTATTTCGTTAATTACTCCTTTAATAATTTAATATTTATTAGAAACTTTTTATGAACTGATCTATAACTTTTAAAACGTAGATTTTTAAAACGTTTTTAGACTGACAGTTCAATTAGTATACATAACCTTACTTATTGTTTGGTAGAAAATTATATACAGCTGGTTCTTAAAACGTATCTTTTAGGAGATATAAGTAATTATTTATAAATTTGACAATACATAAAAGTAGTCCATATAAAGCTTCACTTTTTATTTGAAACTTGACTTGTTTCATAAACATATTTGTCGTTCCCATTTCATGAATTATTTATTGTTTATGCTACCTGACTTAGATCCAGGCTATGTAACATATTCTGACCAAATGATAATTGAGGTTACGTTAAGTGACAGCTGTCATTTTATCGAAATGTCGGAAAATCGCTATAAAATTATATTATAACTGATATGATATGATAGTTACACAATATCACACAAAATAATGACGTTCACTTATCTATAGGTCAAGTAGAAGGTTAGGCGGTTCTTTGATTGGTTTCTCAAAGTAATATCAAAGCCCAAATTTTCCACATGCAACAATAACTTATCTCATAAATGTTATATCTGTGGTCCGATTCCAAAGAACATGAATAACAAAAATGTTAACACAAGCGTTCTAATTCGAATGAAGTTTCGTAACATGATCAGTGTAGGATGAAGAGTAGCAGCGGAAAACTATGAATCACTGATTTCTTGCTCAGAAGTTATTGATTGTGAAGCCTCATTTTACTTAAACTTGCTGTTTTACATAGACAAAAGAAATTATTTAAGATTTAAAAATATCAATATACATCTGAAGATCTATTTAGGAAATCAGAAGTTTCCCAACAACGATTTGTGAAGGAAAATTTTGTAAGATTGGAATCAAACTATTATCACAAGGTCGCGACTATAAAAATGGCATCTCGAAAACTTTTTCCCGGAGGTCAATATTGGTTTAGCGCCGTCGGCCACATCTCAACATGAAGCCAGTAAGGAGAAACTTTTCGCGTGGTTTTCCTTTTTCGTTCGTTGTCGTCGACGACGTGGCTATTTCGCAAAATGTAATTCTGCCAAAAAAAAACTTCAATTCTCCGAACACCTAAAGTTCCGAACCAAACTTACCAATTGTAACATTCTTTATATATTTTCTTAAATTTGTATTTAAATCGTTGTTTATTTAAAAATGAATTAACAATGGAAGATTTTGGAATGGCCGAAAAAATGCCCGCAGTTTTTAAATTGAATTTCTCACAGAGAAACCCTTAAAAGATTCAAATGGGGAAAGCGAGCGCGTTCCTCGAAGCCCGCTTCTTGAGTAATTAAATGAGACGAAGGAAAGAAGATCACATCACTTTTAAAGGAAGCTTGCTAGAAGACGTTTCCCCCTTGAACATTGAGATCTTTTATTTCGGAGATTATTAACTAAGCACACGCTTAAGGTACATAAAGAAACTTGTTAAATTTTTCAATTTTCTCACAAAATTTACGTTTTCATCGGTAAATAACGACGACTATTATTGCGTCGGTAAACGAGAGAAGAAGCCCTAAGGGGTGTTCCCAAGAGAAGGGGAGACGGTAGCGGTGGTTTCGTCGTAAATAAAAATGTGGCCTCTCTCGTTTCTCTCTCTCTCTCTGCGTTTACTTCGAGGCCCTTTTGTTGATTCCTGCGGGGCGGTTGAGGCAGGCGCATAAATAACCGGTAATAAAAGGGCGGCATGAGAAAGGAATCGAGAGGAACAACCGCCTGACGAAAAGGGGGTTGAGAGCCGCCCCCGGACACCACAACGCTTACAAGAAGTTACGGCCTAGAAAAAAAAAACTTTTTATGGTGTTGTCTACGTCGACGAGACGTAATAGCTCTTTGACGGTCGTAGTACATTTTTGTTTTTTTTTATGTATACTTGTTGAAAAAAAGAACAAAAAATTTGTTTTAGCAGTTATAAAAATAAAAATCTACACGGTACAATTACAATCACATGTAAGATGTTACCAAGAAGGTTTGAATTCCGTAGCGCGTTTAATAAATAAATTCCATTTGTTAGAGCGCATGTTTAAAATTGAAATTCTCTCTCTTATATGCAACGCAATACTACATACAACGTTGAAGATCCCTTTTTCGAAAGGGAACTACTTTAGGTATTAACCATCCTTTATATCACAAACAGTAAAGGTATCCTGGAGTTTAGGACACGGTTGGAGCTTTTGCTTAGCTTTAAGCTTAACTTTCACAGTTCTCCTATCTCACTAATTCCTTTGTCTTCTGGACCTTTATGGATTAACAAATTTTAAGTCTACCCAACTTACTTTGGACATTAGAAGACAAATTTGATTTAAAATAGAATTACAATTTATATCTTACACACATTTTTATTAAAATAGCAACTTGATAATCACTATAAATTCGTGAGCTTCAAGACGGATGTTAACCCAATAAGATTTGAGGAATAATTGGATCCCGAAAGGGATAATTTTCACAATTTGTGACGTGATTACGATGGCGCAGGTGTCAAATCCGTGACAATTGGTAAAGGGGTGGTAGAGATTAATTAATGAACGTTACGAAATCGATAGTTGCTACATGACTTATTCCGATTTACCAGAGTGAGATATTAGCGTTACAAACTTAAGAGTTTAACGAGAAAAGTTTTTTCATCAAATATATTGAAACGAAAAATTCTTTTAAAAAACGCTACGTTATCTTTGAAACGCAGTGGGGTTTCATAATTAAATAAATCCGACGGCAATAAAACACAAGTCGAGAAACTACTCTCCTAAAGGCGAAAATAAAATAGATGGAAATTTGATTAAACATCGGTCACGATGTTTAATTAAAACGTAATTTGGACGAGAAAGTGAGCTACTTTTTATTTGAACATAAAAGAAATTTGTATCCGTAAACAATGAATTTAAAGCAACTTGCAAAATTGGCGGTAAACAGTTGTGGCAAGGATCGCTCGAGTGTCTGAATAGTTTTGGAAGCCCTCTCGGAAGTATGACTTTATTTCCGTCTTATTAAGTTGAATACAAATAAATAGATTAAATCTACCAGCGTTTCAACGTTATACAAACATTTTGCAAAAAAACAAAAGTAGTGGTAAATTTTGTTCTTAGCAATGTCCTTCACTTTTGCTATCAAGCGCTTAAATATCGAAAAAAATACGAAAATATGAAAATTTTATGAATTCGGCATTTATTGCAATTTGTTAATGGTAACACCAGAGAAGTGGAGTATAATACAAAAAAACTATTCAAGCGAAAGTTGTAGCAAATTTTAGTCTTACCAAATTGCAACAATATATATATAACTCTTTATTAAGTATCTTTAACCTAAGTAATAATATTTATATGAAGACCCCACATCGAGGATATAAATTAATCTCAATCTAGATTCTTGTTTCTAAATGGAGACGGAAACACGTCCTCTTCTATCGCTATCGTAAAATCTGAACTTAATGGCAGTAAATTTCGTCGGCTATCGGACGAAGCGGCCCGGTTCTCGGCGGTCGCTAAATTATTGGGCTTTGTATACCGCAGTAATACCTCCGAAATTATGTCCATCCAGAAGATAAATGGGTGCCTAAATTCAATTATAAAATAACTATATATAGGATGAGGGAGATACGTATATTATCCACCCCATTTTCTAAACCCATTATGACTACCGCACACGTATTAACACCCCGAATTAATAAACAGACAATTACGTACGTTGAGTTATAATAGAATGATTAAATATTCAACGTGTTTCAGATACTCAGTGTGATATATAGACAGATAATTATTATAATTTTTGTTGTTATAAATCAGCGTAATTAATATGGAATTTTTTAATACAAATTTTAATAAAAGAGCTTAATAAAGATTTGTTCTTAATAAAATTATCTTTGTAAATGTCGTTTAATTGGAACGTGCCCGTCTCGTTCCTATTCATTTTCGAAGACAACCTGACAGAAAACGGAACCATCCGATTTCAGCTTAATTTTAGGGAGCACCGTTCGATCTTCCGACAACGTTTCCTGAGAAATCCCAGGAGCGTCGATATCCTAATCGAATTTTGGGTTAAGGAAACTTGTCACCTCGGGTCACATTCAAATTGACCCAGATAAACTTTTCGACTATCAGATCATTTCTTTTATTTTTATTTTATTTTTTTTTTGTCACGGTGTATTATTTGCTATCCCCTTTCAAAGTTAGCACGTTCCGCGTAGTATGCATACAATGTGCATTACTTTCCGGATATTTGATATTCCGTTTCGGCGCGGTTGGATTGCATGCAAATTTTGGTACTCCAGCTTAAATGGGATAAAATGACCAAAAAAAAGCAGCTTTTTGAAAGTTTTATTATGAGAAAGTGCATGCAAAATTAGAAAGAAAAACAATATTACGAAATTAACTCCCTTTAAAAACGTATTGCGGGATTTTTTGGCAGTTTCAAAATACGATAATTGGTATAATTAGTCATCCGCAAAATTGCGTATCGATTCGGACTCCTATCAAACCCAAATCTATTACTGCATATTCATCGTTGCGCCTTGATTATGGACCTGCATATGGTTAACGGGGTTAAGTTCGGGTTAATTATACGGTAGCTTGTTATACGTAAATAGGTACTAGTTAGTTGACCAATTAATCATCTGATTGTTTAGTTTATGAATTGATATAGCTACAAACGAAGCTATATTCAAAGATTTATAATTTAGTTAAAAGATTAAATTATTAGTTTAAAATTATTTTAAAGATTTACAAACCTAGAACTAACATTAGCATTAGAACTAGTTAGTTCTCCTTTTAATTCAGTAAAAATATACAACAATCTAGCAATGAATAACAAGTAAAACTAGAACTAATACTAGACCTTGAACTAGAAAGTTTCGGTTCTACTGTTTCTAGTTCTAGGTTTAGTTCTAGTTTTAGCTCGATGAAAAGTATACAACAGTCTAACGATGAATTATATCATACTACATTTTCATTATTTAAATACGTATAATATTTACTCATTGTAAAATAGAACAATTCGGCTTCAATTTAACGTATAAATCATCCCGATACGAATCAAATTAAAGCCACAACGATGTCTTTAAGTTTTTACTTCATTTTGACATATACGAAAATAACCTCATCGGTCAATTTTTCATTAATATTTCTTTTTAATAATTTTTATTAAAAAATCCCATAATTGTTATAGCTCATCATAAAGTAAAGACTTTTAACTTCAATTTAAGATATAAACCGTCGCTTAACACCCAGAAATAAAGATAAAATGACTTTTTAAGTGAAGATTTCAGTGAGATATGGGATATTTTAGTGAGTTAGGACATTGTGAGATGAGCTCGTAAAGAAGTCTCAAGACTACCAAGGATAGTCCAAGATGGATCTCAACAGCAAATAGCTCTTTGATTAGTTTAAAAAACATTAAATTTCATCTCATACAAAGAAGCTAAACTCAAAATTAAAGTTGACGTCGATAACTAAAGTATCCCTATTATTTTAAAAAATTAATAAAAAAAGTTTATTTATGAATATTTTTAGACTTTACTTATAAATTAGGTAATGTCAAAGGATATAAATTAATATAAATCGGTTTATAATCGAAAAAAGAGAACATAAATTATATTGCTTTTAGCGCGAGGTTGTAAATTTTTACGGGAGCCGTATAAAATTTACTGGTCAATTTTCGTATGTCGCGGAAGTAAATAAATTTCACCCTATCGCTAACAGGCTACCCGTAAGTTTATATCTTCCCGAAAAAAAAGTTATATAAAACTTTCATTTTGTTCCAATTTCAACCAAACTTAACATAATCATTTTATATATCTTTTTTTGTACCGGATAAAAACCATAAAAACTTGTCAACTTACGATACAATAGCGGTGTTCTCTTTGAGGACAATCGATCAACTTCATATAAGTGAAGTTTATGCAAGGCGTTATAGACCCAACGCCGTCGTTATATTCGCCGCATTTGTAACATTGAATCGCAAGAACCGCGGCGAAACAAGATAAAGAAGTTGCGACGAATATGATTCCGTTTGTTCCCATTTTATTTTTATTTTTGCAATTTAATCGGTTTGTAATGAATCGATTTTAATTTTGGAACGTCCGCGACTTTGAAAACTTTTCTTCTCCGTTATAGAATAGTTTTCCGAACTTATTTTACAAGTTTCCTGCACGCGCCTCGGCCCGCTACTGGGCCGGAAGACTCAAAATTCGCGGCTCGAATAGAATACGCCCACAATACTGCGCCGGCACAAATTTGTTAACAAAAAATTTAACTCCTTTTTAAAAAATTTTATTTAAAAAAGATTAAAAATTAACATGAAATTATAAAATAAGTAAATGCATAAAAATTATGTTCAATAAATGTTAATAATAATATGATTATACGAGTTTGTCTCCCAGGTAAGCAACCAATTATACACAATAATGAATATATTTAATGATACGTTAAAATTTATTTTAGTTAATTAACTTTTTATTTCAAGAGTTATTTTTGCTTTTCATAATAACAGAAACTGTAGGTTAAAGGAATAATTTCTCAAATCAAATCACAAGAGTAGCAATGAAATAGTTTGAATTAATGCCAATTATTTTTAGTGGTGTTTCTTCGTGATTTATTACAATAAACAACAAAATAGATAGTATATACCTATTTATTCAATCTTTCAAAATAAAAAACTTAATGTCAAAATTAAGACTTAAAAAATCAAGTTATAAATTTTACGACAGCTTTTACAATCCTTAAAGATTAATTTCATTTTGTATCAACGATACATATTTCTTTTTCATATTACTATTAATATACATGGAATATATGAAAACAACATTGCGTCATCCAAAATCATTCCAACATAGTTACATACCTAACTCGCCCTAATTTTCTAAACATTCGACCAAAGGATAAAAAATAAATAACCCCCAAATTGAAAAATAATTTTTTAAAGTAATTTAAAAATATAATCGATGATAATCGTTAGCTCCAAACGCACAATTACATTTTGGACACTTTCTCTGCCTCGTTTCGTATCGCGTTTTAAGACAATCGTAACAAAAAACATGGAAACATTTCGATAACACGGAATCTTTACGTTTAACTTTACAAGACGGACAAGTTAAAGTCTCTTTGTACTCTCGGATTTCCTCCATCATCACTTCGTCTAACGTCGTACCTGCCATTTCCATTTTCTTCATCCGTTCTGCTTTGCGTTTCAATTGAGCAATTTCCTCTTGTAACCGTTTCGTTTTATACGCCTCCGCTTCCAACGAAGACGTTTTTTCAGTGACGACTTGTTGCGCTTCTTTCATTTGCGAGTGATACTTTTCAAGATGCAATTTTAAATCGGCCGCGGATTGAGCCGATTCAATCGCTTTCCTTTTGTGCATTTCCATCGCTTGCTGTCTCAGTGCTAATTCTTTTTCGGCCGTTGCTAAAGTGTTTTGTAAAATCCGTTCTTTTTCCTCCAATTTTCTTACAACCAACATTGCGGCTTCCACTTGTGTACTTAATGTACTGACTTGTTCTTTTAGTACATCTTTTTCTTCGCGTGCTAATTTGTGTAATTGATTTGATTTGATTCGTTCGGTCATTAATTTAAAATTAGCATCATCTTTTTCACGCAATTGTTGAATCAACCTAAAAAAATATTTTTGTTAATTTTGTTTTAGTTAATTATATTAATATTTTTTAACCTAGAATTTTGTTCTTGCATATCTTCAAACGCTTGTCCTGTTACTTCCATTTCATTTAAAAGGGCCTCTTCCTCATGGGAACCAACAAATGGTCTCATTTGATGTAATACATTATGCCCCGCCCAATTACCATCTGCGGGTTTTTGAGAAGCTACTTGTTTTTGCAACTCATACTTTTGCTCTTCAAGCTGCTTTATTTTCCTTAAAGCTTCTTCATCGGCTAATTTTTTACGCTCTTCTCGCTTGCTCTCTTGTATCTTTTTTAATTGTTGTTTCATATCATCTAATTCGGTTCGCAATTTTTTCTCAGCAGCCATTAATTGGACTTTGTCGCGTTGTTCTTTCGTAACACTTTTATGCATGTCTAACAGAAGTTTCATTTCTTTTTGTTCATTTAAAGCTTTTCTGAAATTAAAAAGTTGATTGAACTACATCTATATTTGTTTATTTTAAATTACTTACTTTAATTGTGCTTTAAGATCTCTAATTATTTCATTTTCAGCAATTTTAGCCTCTTTGGCCCTTTGAGCTTCTCTATGTTCCTTTTCTGATTTAACCCCAACCTCTTTTTTAGCTGTCTTCTCCTGCTTTCCTCCTTCTTTTTTGATACTTGGCGATCCTCCAGCTCCACTTTTATCTTTCTCTCCATCTCCCTCTTCCGCCGTCTCTGATTCTTCTTCATTCTCCTTTTTAATCGATGGCGTTCCTGATCCTTCCTCTTTTACTTGAGCCCCTCCCATCTCACCACAACTATTATCCTCCTCTTTGATATTTTCTAATTTAATACCCTCTTTGGAATCTTGATTTGCCATTATTTGTTGTTGACCCAATTTCAAAGTTAAATCTTCAATTTCTTTTCGTAGTTTTGGAATTTCAGCATTCGCTTCTTTATATTTTCGCTTATAACGATGGACTTCGCCTTTTAATTGTTGAGTATTGTTTTGTAAAGATGTTATTAGATGTCGCATTTCACGATTAATGGGACCCGTTTGCTCGTTAGCCGCCAAATTTTGTTCGAATTCAATTCGTAACATTTCATATTCCTTACGTAACTGAGCCAAAATATCTTCCAATTGCATTACTTCTTGACGTAACTTTTTCTGTGCTATTAATTCCTCGGATTCCATTAATTCGATATTTCTCAAATGAGCGTTTTTACTCGTTTGTAATTGTTGCCGGGCTTCGTCTAACTGAGTTTTTAATTGCATTGATTCATTATAGAGAACAGAAAATTGCGATTGTAAACATTTATATTCAGTAGTTTCAACAATAACACTTTCTGGTAATTGGCGAATATCCATTTTTAATTTTTCAACCTCTTTCAATGTTTCGCGATGAGTTTGATGCAATTTATCGAGTTCTTGTAGCCGATTATTCGCCAATTCTCGCCATTCCTCAATTTCTTTATTTAAATCTTCAAATTTAGCTTGAGAAACCGTTGATTGAACAGGTTTTGGTTTTTCACCTTTATCAGGATCACCATGTAATTGATGATAAGTTTTTAATTTTTCTATAGCTTCAGCTAAATGATTTTCTAATTTATCATTACGATTTCGAACTTTTCCCAGTTCATATTGAAGATCATCAATTTGATTTTTTAATTCAGCGTTTTCAGTTTCCTTTGCGGTCAGTTTATCATGAATTTCTGCCATTTTTAAATTAGCTGTGTGATATTTTTCATGCATTGCTGTATGAAGATTTTGTAATTTACGATTTTCACCTTCTAATTGAATATTTGTTTGACGAATTGCATCTTCAACACAAGGTGCTTCCTCTATTACAAAAAAAAAAGATAAAACTTTAATTAAACAATTTAAGAATAATTTATATTTATTAAAAATTATTTATTAAAAAATAAATCTCCAAATTTTTAAAATAACCTTAAAAATTCTGCCTGTCAATGTCAAATTTAAAAATTTTCCATGACAACCAATTTAAATTTATTACTAAACATTAAAAAAACAAAATTCCTAGTTGAAAACAACTTAACCTCAACTTACGTCCATCAAGTTCTCCTTTTAAAACTAAAGTTAGTTTTTCATTCCTCTGCATTAATCTATCAAAAGCTTGTATAAGTTTTCCCACTGCTCTTTTTGAAACTTGAACCCTATTCGCTAATTTATCATCAAGTTCCTCTTTATCCCATGTTGATAGTTGCATTAAAAACGATGTTGTTGCTTCATTTTCGTTTTTATTTTCAGACTCATCAGAAGTTTCGGCATCGAATCTTTGAAGTAAGATCCTAATGTCTTCATTAAGCTGATTCCAATATCGATTAACCACATTTAAAACTGCGTCGTCTTGAGTTTGACGTTTTTCTAATTGTTCAATACGTTGTCGTAGTTCACATTCGGTACGATGACGTTGTTCTATTCTCTAATATAAGAAAATTAAAAAAAAAAGATAGTTTAAAGCGAAACATTTATGGAAATAAATACCTGAGCTAATTTTTTGTTTTGAAATTGAAGAACTTTAATATCTAATTCTTCGAGAGTTGAAACGGGACCAATTAAGTGAGGTTCGAAATGTATCTTTTTTATGGGCGGTTGGCCGCTGCCGCTTTCTTCCATATGCCGTTTCGACATTTCAGGGGTCTTTGAATTGATGGTTTAACGGTTCTGGATCAATAAAGATAAAATATATTAAAAAAATTATGAATAAACTGTTTTAGTTGTATGTAATTGATTTTTTTAGGTAAAACTATACATTGTTTAGACAAAAACTAGGTTTAAATCGCAAAAAATGATATTGATGTTTGTTTTATAAAGAAAAAACCGTATTACATTTAGTAATTCGTTGTTAAATTTGTTGCTCAAACATCGCTACCGTTAAACTTTAGGTTTGACAGGAAAAAAGAAAACATAGAGGTTAAAAAATCACTAAACGTCAAACACGCCGCATAGTTGCCAACTTAAATACTATTTTGTGTTGGTATATCGTTTTTGCTATTCTCGTTAAATTTGTTTAATTTTGCATTAATTTTGATTAATTGTTTAATTAATTTGTGTTAATTTAATTGGTTTCTAAAATAAGAAATTTTTTGTTTTAAATGTTCTAAAATTGTAGTCACTGAATTCCAGTCTGGTCGATAATGTACAACCACGTGATCAACGAGAACCTTTACATAAGCGGTGTTTATTTGCCTGTAACTAATCTTCCAAAATATTCGAAAACCCCTTCTATTCCTGAAATGATAACGGTTTGATCGGTTTTGGGTATACCCTCACAGAGATATCTTTTTCTAAAATAGAAATAAAATGTGAAAGTCCGTCTTGTATTCCGTTCTGAAACCCATAACTAGGATGCTGCTAGCCTTGGACGACAACGTTTCTTAGATTAAAACCCTAAATAAACTTTTAGATTATGATGATCTTGATTTTTCTTTTGGTAATTTGAAACACACATCAAGTTCAGTAAATTGGTTCAAAGAATTTGATGATATTCAAAGTACAAATCAATGATGACCTCCATTGCGAGTCTTTATTAATCCACCATACCACCATGATTTCGAAGTCTACTTTGAAACTAAATGCTCAATAATAACTACAAGACATTGATAAAAGTCTCAATAATAGGTTAAAAATCAAAATAAATTTATAATTTGCAAAATATCCAATGTGTTTTCTGGGCGTTCGTGTGTCAGGAGGAAGCAAGCATTGGAGAAGTGGGGATGGATATTATGGCGTTGGAATGGCAGTGAATAGTCGCCGTCGTTCTCTCCTCTCAAAGCAGGTTACTTTGATGAACGTGTGGCTTGGTGAATCTAATCGTCCGAAATTTTAAAGCAAACGGTGGTGATGGTGTAACGAATTCAGTGTTTGTTTAAACTAAAGTGAATTATGATGGGAGACGAAGCGAGGTTTGGAAATTATAGCTGTTGTTGCCGCCTGTGCTTATCGGAACAGTTCGAGTCGTTGAAGCCAATATTCGAGGGCGCCGACGAGAATAACGAAGATGGACCGTTTTTGGTACAACAAATTCAATCGTTCCTGGGCATAGAAGTAAGTAGTGTTTTTATTTATTATTTTGAAATTGACTTTTCATGTCAAGTCTTTGGGATTACTATGCCTCAAGGAATATGATAAAGTGACGCCAAGTCTGGAATGCAGCCATTTTCAGTTCATTTAGCAAATGGCTGATGAACAAGCCTTGGTGGCAAGAATGGTTGAAAACATGACTGAAAAACATTTTTGACGCCCAATTCTGAATTGACACCCTAATTTCTAATTTTCTTCATTTTCTATTTGCGTTTCAACATCTTATCACCATGATTCATTCAATTGATGATGTAAGATAACATCAATTAGTAATTATTGGTAAAGCTTTTTAATTTTAAGGTTATTTTTTTATCATAAGATGCAAAGTTTTACTACATTTTCTGTCTAAACAGATTGTTCAAGGGGACAAATTATCTACAATGATTTGCGACCTATGTCGCCAGAAGATCCATGGTTTTCAAGAATACAAGAAATCATGTTCAGAAAATCAAAGAAAATTACAAAACTTGTTGAGCACTTGGGATCCAACCGGTGAATCCAACTCCAATATGGTAATAATCATTTTTTATTAATAATACTAGCAAAAGTATTGAAATCATTAATTACAACACATTATTAAGATAACCCTAACCTAACTTTTATTTTTTTAAAACATTTTTTGTGCGTCAAAAGAAACTGTTTTAATGTTTTTTAGTATCATTTTTGTGCTGAATGAAATACATCCTTCCAATAATTTACAATCAACATAAAAAATAGTTAATGTATACATATGTGCATTGGGTTGCCTAATATTTTATTTAAGATTTAGACTCTACAAATTAAAGATAAATTGAGGTTAAATTACATTTTTATAGGTGATTATCAAAGAGGAACCATCTGAAATTGAGGATTACTATGATGAACCCCCAATTTTATCACCACAACATCGACCTATAGAAGAAGATACCTTAGCATCCACAACAGAAATGAATGGTGCGTAAAATTCATACTAAATTTGTATTTTCTTGCTTTTCTTTTTTTGGTATTTTACATTTTATTGTTTTTTTTATTTGGTCTTGGTTTGATCTAAGCTTTATTGGCTGCATCTTTTTAGCACACGCATTAAACGATCACACACTCGAAATACCTCTTATTCTACCAAAGACCATAATCACTAATAGTAACAAAACATGTTCGTATTGCAATAAAAGTTTTTCCACCTCCGGTAACCGCTTAAGGCATGAAAGGATGTCCCATCGTATCGAAAATATAACAAGTTTTAGTGGTACGTAGGTTTTTTTTTTTTGGTTTGTAGAAATAATTTTTTTCTTTTTATTTATTAACAAATTAAATTATTAACGTTTTAATGGGTTTATTGTGGATTTACCAAGATATGTTTTATAAATAAACCCCCAAATTGGTTTATGATGATGTTTGTAGAAATGTATGTGTCACCATATGTGTAATTGTGTTGATTTAATTAAACACAATACAAAATGTAAATAAAACTGAAAGACAAAACATTAAAAAGATCATAAGTTTTTTTCAATTGCAATAAAGAAATGCTTTCTAAGTTAGTTAAACTTTCGATCCTGTGGTGCATTGAGGCTCATAATGATTGAAATCACTCCAAACTTTCTGAAATCGTGGAATTAAACTGGACATGGTCACCCTCATTTCCTTTTCCAATTGTAATAGTACTGTAGCTTCAGCATTTTTTTCCAATTATTCTCAGACTAATTGTGTTTTCGAACTAAGGCATTTTCAAATGAAACTTCCCAGCAAACTCACCAATTATAATATTTATCACTGTTGTAAACCATAGTTTTAATGCTTTTTATATCTTAACGTTTAAAATGTGGTATTTCTTGTATCAATTTGATCTTATTCAATAAATAATACAGGTATTATTGTTATTCTTATCATTGTGCAATGTCAGGTATAAAAAGTTAACTTTAATAGTACTCTTGATAATACATAAAGAATAGTTGTGGTATTTATTAAATTTATTGAAAGGTTTCAAAAGTTTTGTCTCAATTGTATTCATAAAAAAATCACTAAGGGGCTCTTTAATGGTGATCTCATAGGGATATCGTCAGCATAGTTATATAACTCTTTACAAATTGAAAAGAATTCATTTTTGTGCATGTTCTAATTAGTGCAAAGAGTTGGCTCTATCATACAAGTCAAAAAATTCTGCTTGAATTGTTACCCATTCTTCTCTTTTTTAAAATTATCTGTAATGAATACGTACAATATAGAAAAAAAATTGTAATCACAAAATTGAGTGACATAAAGCGTTTAAAAATGTCCATTTTCCCGCCAAAATATGACGTTGACAGCCCCAAATAGCACAAAAACATGGCGAATAACTAGACGATAACTAACGGCAACCAACACGTATCTAAGCAACGCGTTATTCTTTGAGACGATTACGATGACAGATGTCATCAATTTATAGGTTAAAACTATCTGTCTGAAAAGTCACTTACAAATTTTACAAAATCAACTTTATTTGCAATTTTTGGATAAAATCCGATCTTACAACACACAAAAAGGCTTCAAAGTGAATTTCAATAAACGGAATCAATTCAAAATTATGTCACATTCCTTGTAACAATAAACATCCATTTGATGATGTAGAAAAAAACGGAGTTTACAAGTAGAGTTGCAAAAACTGCGATAAATTTTAAATAAGCCAGCCCAGCAGAAACTTGAGATTTTTTATTAAAGATCATATCATTAAGCAATTCCTATCTTCAAACATTTTTAACATCATCACTTTGTTAACATATAAATTATATGTATGTTATGTTTAGAAATTTTTTTTAAAAGGGAAATCTTTAAAACATCATTACAAACCAATTTGAAAATTTATTTATATTCACACTTCTATAATAACCTTATCTACAAAAACTAAATCATTTCAATGATTCTTTTTAAACCATGAACTAATATTTTAATTTATTAATTATAGTTTTATCAAGTCAAGAAGAAGTTTCTCAACACTCTATCGACTCTCAAATCAGTCAAAACGGATCAATTCCACCCAGTTTAGATTCAGAAGCGGATCTTTCCGAATCAGACGTGCAAAAAATTCAATTTGCAGCTGGATTACGTTTAAAATCAAAGTCTCTTACAAACAATTGTGATGCTTCAAAGGCAGACCTTTCGTTAACAAAAATTGAGGAAGCTTACATCGAGAAAAACAAAGCTTTGGTCTCAATGTTGTACAGCTCTTACTGTGCTTGCCACAACTTCAATTACAACACCGCGAAACGTCTTTACGGACATTTACGCGCCAATTACAATTGGGTTCCAGTGTTCACCTGTTACAATTGCTTGATTACGTTCACGTCGAGGGCTGCTTTGATGACTCATGGGAGAAGATGTCCAAAACCGTTCCTCGAAAACTGTATCCGACTGGCGCAAGTAAAGAAACGGTTGGATAATAGAACGAGATTGTACCAGTTTTATAGATGTGGAATGTGTGATTTAAACTTTGCATTTTACGATGATTATGAAAATCATTTACATCAAGATCATGCTGTGGCGGAATATTGTAAGTGGTGCTCTAAAGTGTTTACTACAAAAGAGGAGGCAACAAAACATTTATTTGAAAGTTGTAATCTTCATTATTTCTGCGATATTTGTTACACTGCTTTTGAAACTTTGGATAAGTTTAAAGAACATTGCGAAATTGATCACGATAAGAATGATAATTACGTTTTCGTCGAATATCACAAAGAATTTAAACTAGTAGATCCACTAGAGATATTACGATCAAGAAAGCGTAAGTATCCGGAAACAGAACCTGATCCGCAAATCGATCTGATAAACCCGGCGAAAAAAATGAAATCCATAAAACTAGAAAAAGCAAGAAGGGTCGATGAAATATCGGAAGATGATCTAGACATTGACGATGTCTATCAAAATGATAGTTCAAATACATCTTATAATTTAAGATCACCAACACTAAAAACACCAAGGAAGTACGGAAAATACAAATTTAACGGTTGGAAAACCGAACCTTCAAAATGTGAAAAATGCGATCGAGAATTCTCGACTTACTATAACATGGTGCGTCATATGAAAACTCACGAAGAATCGGAAAAGCATTTGCAATGTTCATTTTGCCCAGAAAAGTTCCGATTAGTATCCGAACTAAAAGAGCATTTAAATATAACCCACGGAGAAGCTCACATTTGCTCCGATTGCGGTAAACAATTCGAAACATTCAAACAACTCGATCAACATCGATTCATTCATCTAAATATTAAAGTATATCGCGATTCTGAAACATCTTCATATCGCGTCACAAACCCACGTTACCAATGTGAAGAATGCGATTCAGCTTTCGAAACTGAACCACTATTAAAACAACATTTATCCAAACATTATGTGGTTGTTAAAAGGGAACCTGATATTGGCAGACCAAGATCGGAAGATGGTTTCGAATCTTCATCATCGAAACGTCTAAAACACTCTTGCGAAGATTGCAACAGACATTATTTAAGCGCGAAGGGGCTATGGTTACATAATAAACGTCACCATCCGAATCGGACGGTACCCCAGCAATCTTACAAGTGCGACATTTGTGATAAAGTGTGTTCTACAAACGCTGCGTACCATTCCCATCGAGCGATGCATTTCAGACATTCAGCCAAAAATAAAACCGAGTTACAAAAAGACCCCAAAGCCGTTGAAGAACAAAACGATGAAGATGATGATTATTTCACCTGCAAACGTTGCTTCAAAGTTTTTTCAACCAAATACAACTTGAAAACACACTTAAAGACGCACGGTGTAAACATTGCAGGTGGTAGATCCGTTTCGAAAACTGGAAAATCAACAAAGACTTTCTGGTGTGATATTTGTCACCAAGCATGTCAAGGTTATCAAGAACTCCAAAAACATAAACAAGAACATGTTAACGAGAACTTAGGTGATACCGAGAGTATCGAAGATGATGTCGATATCAAACCTAACTTGAAAACATGCGAATTATGTTCAAGAATATTTATAACGCAATTGGGTTATATTAAGCATAAACAAAAACACGAAAAAGTGGATAATTTGAATGCGGCTCCAATTAAGAAAGCGGGATGTTTCTATTTTTGTAAATATTGTAAGATACCATTTTCGTCGACGAACGCTTTATGCGATCATATGTTAGAAGAACACGATGAAGTTATTAAGCAAAATAAACCGAAGCAACAACATGCGAAGAAATACGACTGTAATATTTGTAACAAAAGTTTTGTAAGTTCAAATGCTTTATGTTCGCACCAGGGATGGCATAAACGTACAAATAACTTGAACTCGCCATTAAATTACGCTTTGAAACCACAACCAAAAGGATACAACATCAATGAAAATCACCATCAACAACTACAACAACCGACTAATCCGAAGTTATTAAGAGAAATTAAAGAAGAACCGCAACAACAACCTACAGTGATGCCATTTAAAGCTAGAAATACCTGCAAAGTATGTGGATTATCATTTTCCACAGATACCGCCTTACAAATTCACGTTTTGGAAGTACATCGGAACGTAAACGCTACATTAATTACTCCGAAATGTACAACATGTCAAATTGAATTTGCTACAAACGAAGCGTTTGATGAACATCAAAAATTACACGCGTTGCCACCACAGCTATTATTCAAATGTAAATATTGCCCGAAAATGTTCCCGAAATGCAACGCTTTTAATATGCATATCAATACGTTCCATCCACAGTATAATACTGTTGGGAAAATAAAATGTCATGAGTGTAATCGGTTCTTCGAAAAGCAAAATGCTCTAGCGATGCATCTTAAAGTTCATGATCGGCAAAAAATGTCGATGGGTGCAACACAGCCAATGAAACAGGAAACAACACCGAAACCAGCTACAAAATTGTTCACGTGTTCGATTTGTTTTGCTAGTTTTACTATAGCCAAAGATTTACGGAACCATATTATAGCTACACATCCGTTTTAAATTATGATTTTTCACTTGATCTGATTCGTACAGTGAATGAAAGTTTCAGCTTATTTATTTTTATTTTCGATTCTATGTTCGTTTTATTTTTATTGACGCCCTCAAACACATTCATTAATGCAGACTTATTTTTAAGGTTAGGAGAGGTTAGGTTAGAGATTATTCCTTTTGTTCTATGTTAATTTTAGTAAAATTCTTTCTAGGTTAACTTTCGTATTACATGTTAAACACGTTTCCTACGTAGTTTAATTTTTATAATACTGTTAATTAATAATAAACACTTCTTGGAATTAAATTTTTTAGTTTTAATATTTTTTATACTATCGTCTGATTCAAATTAAAATATCTTTTTTCTTTAATTATTAATTATTACAAGCATTAAAGTATTACTAATTGTTAACTTTAATAAATTTATTAAAACCTAACCTAGCTTTATTGTTAATCAAACTTTTTCGGTGTTGGAAGTATTTAATGGTTAGGAAGCTACAGATTATCATGAAGAAATAAATATGGTATTTGATTTTTTAGAATTTAGAAAAATAATAAAATATTTTTTTTTTAATTAATATCCTTAATATCGTATGAAATTAATCTTAAAAAATATTTACATTTATGTCGGTAATGTAGTTTTCTGTTTTACTATAACGTTTCCTACATTATCGACATTGCGTCGATTGAACAATTTTTGTCGAATTGCGGCAAAATGGCCGGCGAACTGCTGTGCTGAAAACGAAACGTCAGTAGACGAGCGGTGGTCGGCTTTTTTACAACACACAAATGCGTTCCCTTTAGGTTTAATTAGTTTTTATTTATAAAATAAATTCGATATAAATAGTTATTATACGGCCGCGTTGTGTGTGGTGCGTAAAATTAAAGAAATGTCGGGTGAACGCGAGATCCCGGCCGAGGACAGTATTAAGGTGGTGTGCAGGTTTCGGCCCCTAAATGATAGCGAAGAAAAAGCTGGATCGAAATTTATCGTAAAATTTCCATCGGGATCAGACGACAACTGTATATCGATAGCGGTGAGTAAATCGCATTAAAACAAAATAATCGAACAATCTTTTTAAAAATAGCTCAATTCTAAATCGCTGAAAAATTTCGTGTCTATACTCAAGTAGTGTATACGGTTTTAATTTTCACTTTGGTCTCGCTACGCTGGCTCCGCTATGCAATTAACGAGTTTTTATCCGAAACGGTTTTTTTCGAAAAAATATTTCAACTACGAACGGATTTTTCCTTCGACCTGCGAAGCTGCCATTTTGTTCCTTTTTTTTAAATGTAATATCGATTTGTTATTATAATAGACTTACATCATAAGTGCAGGTTGAAACATATAAAGGAATTAAAAATCTCCTCTCCTACTTGACATTAAGTCGTTTTATTTGATGAATCATAGTCTGGTGCGGGTTTTTTATCGATATTTTTACATCGCGATTCATAGGGCTTTAAAATAATAATTCAAATTCGGATATTTTTGACTTTGTTCGTGCCTTATCAAATTTGTGAGCAATTTATATTTTTATACATCATTACCTTAAATAGTTATGACATGTTATTGTTTGTTAATTATGTTGTAAGTTTTTTCAAAATAAGCATGTCTTATCAGTTTTCTCAGAATGTTTGAGAAATGTTCTGTTTTCTTTGTATAGTTTATAGCTAATTTTCTGGAAATTGTTTATTATTAAGTTAATTTGTATGTGTTTCAAAATGTCTGAAGCTATATCGTGACTTAAAGATTATTTTTTGAAAAAGAAAAGAAGGTGCATCATATTCGTTGGTATATAAGGCGTGGTTACAGTATGAAAAGGAGTGTTGAAGCATTTATTTCTTGCTTCTGTCAACAGTTAGCTGTGGCAACTCTAAACCATACAACTCTGTTGTTAATCTTAATTCTTAAGGATACAATTCAAAGAAAAAGTCGGCGATTGACGGAACATACTTGACAATATGTACACCTAGTATGTCGCTTCCTTTGGGCAAAATGTTAACTTAGTGCAAGATACGAAAAATGCCATTTTTGAAACTTTAAACCATTTCACTTCTATCGATAAACATACTCGAGATAAGTGTTAGTCCAGAGCTAATAGCTTGTGCAAATGAGGATTATCGAATGAAACTTGAAAGCAAATAATACAAAACATAAGAATATGTGTACGATTTGCGAAGAATTATCAGGTGGAAGATTAATAACAAGATGTTGAACTGTTGGTTTATATACCTAAAATCGAGTATAAATAGAAGATCGTCGTAGTGTCATCTAAAGAGACAGAGATTGGCTTGTGGAGTAGCACTTATTGCTCAAAATGAGTTCATCCAGGAAGAATGAAGAGGTGAAGCACCAGGAATAGGACAGTCAGCTATTGGTAAGTTTTAAATATACACATTTTTCAATAAGCTTTAAACTAACTATTTTTGTTGTTACAGGAAAATGAACACTACGAAGAGTTTGATTTTAGTTCACAAGAAGCGCTTCAACTTTACACGGAACAAGATTTAGTGCATTGTCATCATCTGGAAAGGCTTACAAGAATGTCGAAATCATCATTAATACAATAAAGGTTATAATGACTTCCCATTAATTTCTGCAATTCTACAATTCTTCTATTGACTCTATCAGGCTATTCTTGTTCTATTCCCAGAAACAAGACATTGACATCCCCTATAATTGTGAAAGACTCATCTTTACTGCTGTCTAATGAAGTATTTCAATCTCCATACATAAAAGTCTACATTAAGGGAAATATAACAAATCAAGAAAATAAATTAAACAAAATGAACGTTTGCCGTCATTCAGCCATTGTGTCTTCTCAGTTTTACCTCCATGTCTCAAAATCTCTGACAAATATCGTCCGCAAACTTAAGATCCTAAAAGTTTATGTTGCATCTAAGCGTGACAGAATGGACCCTTGTTTCGCTCCAGCATTTGAGTGGATAGGGTCGGAAAGTTTTTTATTATGCACCACTTGACAGTCATACCCTTCATATAACTTCCTGATAACACTGATGATTTTCAAAGGGGCCCCATGTTCTTCTAGGGTACTCTGACATTCTGCACTCTCCTCAGTAATTATGCGGATTGTATTGATAAGATCGACGCAACTTCGGTGTTTGCGCAATCTTGCTTGCTCCCTCCTCAAACGCTTTCCACGGAGTCTTTAATCCAATTCAGGATTATTCTGAAGAGAATACTTTACTTGGCAGTGATAGAAGAGTGCCGTTTGTTAATCCACGTTTTCAGCCTCTAGGCATCATTTTATTAGATACAATTCACGCATTTGAATGTAGAACTCGTACTGTGTTTGAAGAATTTAAGAAACGGAATAAATGTACTATATTAATCATGAGCATTCTTCTCTGAAATCTTTAATCAGAGTCATAGAGTTAAATTCTTTGAATAAATTATGATAAGAAATTTAATTTTGCGCACCGATGTATACAACCTTGATTAAGTTTTTTAAACTTTTTAAACATTTTTAAGATGTGTTCCATTTTTAACACAAATTAAATTTGACCTTTAAATATAAATTTAAAGCAAAACAAAATTAAAAGCGAGAAAATCCATAAAAAGGAAGTTTGATCATCAATTCAAATAGACGCCTCTCTCTTTACTTAATGTTTATTAAGAGAAATTTAGATCGTGTGCAATCGTTGAAAATGTTCGGATGAGTAATGCCCCGGACCGCGAGCTCGCGGTTTAGAAAGTGTGAAGCCGTCGTTGAAGAGGAACGCCACGGCCCTGCCGCCGATTGCTAATTTCAAAGCGGACGTCAGCCCCACGGGATGACGTCACTAAAGCGCCGCTAACAATTTTTGGTCTAGAATCAAGATCGTCAAGGACAGATACGACTCTGGCTTTTCTAATTTTAACCCGTTTCTAACGGAACATTAAGCGACAGAATAAACGCATTTTTACCGTTTGAAAATTGTTTAAACGAGAGTATGTTAAAAGAAAGTGACATAATGGGATTAAAAATTTAATATAGATGTTGTGAGATGAATCGAAATGAATCTGGATTTGAAAGAAAGAGGTCAAGGGTAACAAAGAAAATAACCACTAACAGCGGGTTATCGATTTTGGGAGAAGGTTGAGGCGCCGCTAGGTCTGAACTCGAAATCATCTCTCTCTCTCTCCTTCTTCCTATACATACAGACTCAAATAATCAATCGTAACCCGATATAATCCGAAAACCGACTACTAAGCCTTACAACCTCAATTATTTAATGTCAAAAACTTACAAGGTATCACTGAAAGTATACAGGAATAAATTAAGTATGAACAAATAAAATCCAATTTGAATATTATAGCTTCCTTAGGTCATTTAGTTTTTATGTATTATCAACGCTGCGGAACTAATGGAGGTACTTTCTCCGTTCCATCCAGTTGCTAAGAATTCGATTATAAAAAAAAGGAATATAAATTTACGAAAAAGTTCAAAGAACCTTTTTTGAGATAGAAAATATATATTCATTTAATTTTTCCATTAACTGTTTACTGTAATCGGTTATTCGTATGAGGATTAAAGATTTATTAAACCCACAAAAAACTTGATAAATAAAAATAATTAAATATAAAATGATAAAAATCGTTTATTCAAAGATTTTAGATTTCGATTGTATTTAAACATGTTGATTGCATTTTCCATGCATCATTTATTCCATTGATTCCTATATTTTATTATGTTTATCTTCTCCTTTTAAGAGATAAAAATAAATAAGTTTTTCTGAGTTAAGCCTCCGAAGAAAAGAAACTTCACACAAAGCCTCGCACCGTCTTAACATAACAGTTGTTCAGCCTACATGTGTGCAGATGTGCCTCTGGCCGCCGTATACAACAAGAAGAATAGGAGTTATTATTATCCTTTTGAAAGAGATATTTAAGTATTCTTTCCTAAAATGAATTTTATAAAAAGGATACTTTATGATTAAAAAATTTATAAAGAAATATAAATTTATTAATATAACCTTATTGATATATATTATGAAAGAGTTAATGAATATTATAAACACATTTATTCCTAGAAGCAAGTTTTATAGATCTCGTTATTTTCTAGTTTATATTCACAGATCACAGAGATAACATACGTTTACGCGCTCACGTTCACGTTTGAACTTTTTTTATAATGCGCTAATGCTGGGATAAAAGTAAATTATGGCGAATAAAACATTAAAACAATAAAGATAATTATAGCAAAAAAACGAAAGTAAAACATTAAAATGGTACAGCCTGCTTTGAAGCACCCTCCAATTAACAACGCTGATGAGAACTTGGCTAGATTTCAAAAACCAGAAGTTTTTGCAAAACATCTAGAACAAATATTTAAACATTTCAAAAAGAAGCAATGACACTTACGTTACCTAAAGAAGTGTGTACTGAGATAAAAGAAAATATAAACTCGAATGGTCATTGCTATCTGCAGATTAAGATATGTTCTCAAATTCTGGAAAATTTCAGAAAAAAATCCAAATTAGGAACAGCTCTTCATGAAGTAAAGCAAACAAATCACCAATTTGTTGTTTAAATTATAAATTAAGAACATATCTACCGAAACAGTTTTCTGAAATATTAGAGTCCTATATATTAGACAGACATTTTAGAATAAATCAAGAAGAAGCTTACTTGGAATTGAAACCCATTCAAGCTGGAGTAACTCAAGGAAATGTATTGGGTCGGGTCTTGTCCCTTTTAAGGTGTCTCCAAACGTTCGCAGGACACAATTCTGCCCCGCGTATATTTGGATATACCAAACAATTTTTGCGCGGCATATGCGAGACACCTTTATACACGTACGATATACTATATTACATTGCTGATGACACAGCTTTATTAGCAATAGAAAGAAACAGTAAAGAAGCAACTGGTAAACTACAAAGGGCAACCAACAGAATAAATGCTGAACTAAAAAATTGAAAATCAGACTAAATAACACCAAATTTATTCATGCGAATTTCACCTCTCAGGTGTGCCAATAGATAACCAATAAATTTCAATAATACTATAGTTCCATACACTTCATGCAAATCTCCGCTGGAAAGCACACACTTAAAAGAAAAGACAGACGCAAGAAATAAGACACAGAAACATGTACTGGCTGATAGGGAGATGTTTCTCTATGTCTTTATATAATAAGCTGTTGTATACAGTATTTGTATACAATTGTTTCAGGTGTCAAAAATTAATCATTGACTTTAATAAAATATTTGAAACGATTGGTTGCTATGATTACGCATAGCTAATGATGTTTTTTATCTCAATTGAATGGGAATTTATGCGTTACTTTTGAGAAACACTGTATACAAGCGGATATTAAAGCTCGTATGGACATATGGCATCCAGCTATGAGACTGCACCAGACAAAGTAACATAGCTGTACTTCAAAGATTTCAGAATGCGAAATCCATAAAGACTTGAAAATGGGAACCGTAGACCAAATTATCAGAAAATTTGCCAAAAGTAATGACTAAGTAATGAATAACGTGTGTTATAAAATGATACGTCTCTTTCCAAGTACAAAGTACAACGAGATATTTACCTCTTACAAAATTCAGTGTAATCGATTAATCATTTCTCTTATCGTTTTTATTAGATCTCGCGATTAAAATTGGATTTTTTGTCGTTACAGGGGAAAGTTTATTTATTCGATAAGGTCTTCAAACCGAATGCAACGCAAGAAAAGGTCTACAATGAAGCTGCGAAGAGCATCGTATCCGACGTGTTGGCCGGATACAATGGAACGATATTTGCTTACGGGCAAACGTCATCGGGGAAAACGCACACGATGGAGGGCGTGATCAGCGACCCCCAAAAACAGGGCATCATTCCCCGAATCGTCAACGATATTTTCAATCATATTTACGCAATGGAAGAAAACCTAGAATTTCATATTAAAGTCTCGTACTTTGAAATTTATATGGATAAAATTAGGGATTTATTAGATGGTATAAAAACGCATTTTTAATAAATCCCCATTTATTTAATTTTTTTAATACTTTTGCAGTGTCTAAAGTGAATTTGAGTGTTCACGAAGATAAAAATAGAGTCCCTTTTGTGAAAGGAGCAACGGAACGATTTGTGTCGAGTCCAGAAGAAGTATTTGAAGCCATCGAAGAAGGAAAATCGAACAGACACATTGCTGTAACAAGTAAATCCGAATAAGTTTTATTTCCTTCATGATTTTATTAAAATCTAATTATTTTTAGATATGAATGAACATTCCTCGCGATCTCACTCCGTGTTCCTGATAAACGTAAAACAAGAAAACTTAGAAAACCAGAAAAAACTCTCCGGGAAATTGTATCTGGTCGATTTAGCTGGTTCGGAAAAAGTTTCGAAAACCGGTGCCGAAGGAACGGTGCTGGACGAGGCTAAGAACATTAATAAATCTTTATCAGCCCTCGGAAACGTAATCAGCGCTTTAGCCGACGGAAATAAAACTCACATTCCGTACAGAGATTCGAAATTAACGAGGATCTTACAGGAATCTTTAGGTGGTAACGCCCGAACGACTATCGTGATATGTTGCTCTCCGGCCAGTTTCAACGAGTCCGAAACAAAATCAACACTTGAATTTGGCAAACGGTAAAACAAAAAAATTAATAAATAATATTAACTTAAAATCATTTTTTAGTGCTAAAACCGTTAAGAATGTTGTATGCGTCAACGAAGAACTTACAGCTGAAGAATGGAAAAGACGCTATGAAAAAGAAAAGGAAAAAGCTGCGCGTCTTAAAGGAAAAGTCGAAAAATTGGAAGCTGAACTTCAACGATGGAGAAGTGGTGAAACAGTCACCACTGATGAACAAGTTACTTTCAACGATGAAAATTCAACACCAATTGCAGCTATGGAAGAAAGCACTACAGAACCTTTAGGTAAACAAAAATTATTATACTTTAAAATATATTCTTATTTATTTCATTTTTTTTATTTTAGTCGGCCCAATGCCTGCAACACCAGCTTTAATGATCGGATCAACTTTAGGAAGCGAAGAACGTCAAAAATTAGAACAAGAACGCGAACGCCTCTACCAACAATTAGACGAAAAAGACGAAGAAATCAACCAGCAAAGTCAATTTGCCGAAAAACTAAAAGAACAGATAATGGAACAAGATGAATTAATAATGAGTACGCGACGAGATTACGAAGCGTTACAAGGCGAAATGAATCGTATTCAACAAGAAAACGAAAGCGCCAAAGAAGAAGTAAAAGAAGTGTTACAAGCTCTGGAAGAACTTGCCGTAAACTACGACCAAAAATCGCAAGAGGTCGACGCTAAAAATAAAGAAGTCGAATCGTTATCTGAAGAGGTAATGCAAAAAACAACCCTCTTAAACTCGACCGCTTCCGAATTGCAACAATTAAAAGATATGAGCACACACCAGAAGAAACGCATCTCAGACATGTTAACGAACCTCTTGAAAGATCTTGGCGAAATCGGAACCACTTTGGGCGGGGAGGGCGTCGATATGAAAATTACCAACGATTCAACGAAACTCGAAGAAGAATTTACGGTGGCGCGCTTGTACATTTCAAGGATGAAAAGCGAAGTAACTAATTTGTCATCGCGTTTGCACGAACTCGAAAACTCGCAACAAGATAGTAACAAGAAGGTCACCGAGTATGAGAAGGAATTAGGCGAGTGTCGTCTTTTAATTTCGCAACATGAGGCGCGAATGAAGAGTTTACAGGAGAGTATTCGCGAATCTGAAAATAAAAAGAGGAGTTTGGAGGAGAGTGTTGATGCTTTGCGAGAGGAATGTGCTAAACTTAAAGCTGCCGAACAGGTATATTATTTTAATTATAAATACAGTAAAATCTTGATTAAGATGGGGAAGGGAGTGTCTGTTATATAAAAAAGTTTAATTTGTACTGTAAATTATTTGAATTAATAATTTGAAAGTTTTGGGTTTAGCTTTGTTTGGAACGTTTCTAGTTTTAGGCTTAGTATTAGTTCTATTTTTAGTTAAAAAAAATATATACAATAATCTAATGCTGAATAACAACTAAAATTTAAAATTAATTTTATCAAAAGTTTTAATATACTCATTTTTTTTTTTTAATTTTAGGTGCATAGTGCTAGTGAAAGTGAAAAGAAAGAAGCAACTGAATTAAGAAAAGCACTCGAACAACAAATGGACCAACTACGAGATGCTCACCAGAAGCAAGTTGGAGCTTTAAGAGATGAAATCTCTGAAAAGCAACAATTAATCAACGATCTCAAAGAGTACGAAAAAAACAAATTTTAACTTAATATTTTTTTATAAACGAATATTTTTGCTAAACCGAATACTAAAACGATATATTTTTCTTTTATTTTTCTAGTTCAAGTCAGAAATTGCAACTGGCTCAACAGCAACTCCAAACAGATTACGAGAAGCTCAAGTCAGAGGAGGCGGACAAATCGCAAAAGCTCCAAGAGATGATGTCAGTAAAAAAAGTCGATTGCAATCCTTTTAAAAATACCGATAACACGTCCCAACCTTATATCCGTGGGCCAAAAACGGAAAAATTATGGGCGGAATTTGTTAAATCGAAAAATAAATTGGAGAAAGATCAAATTAATTCTAATATTAAATTGGCTGAAAAGGGGCGCGTTTATTCGGTTTTTAACATTCACACGTTACACTTGCATTTATTTATTTCGTTAACGTTGTTGTTTGTTACGCACAAGTGTCCTCATTACGTAATAGTCCTTTAAAAACGATCTGATTTTAAGAAGAAAGATAAAGTTGGAAGTGCTTTTTTTGATAAGACCAAAAAGTCATAAGCATTTCGAATTTTTGACATCCAAGTTTATTAATTTTTCTTTACTTCCCTAGTCAAACTGTACTAAAGTATTTCTGTGATAATTTCCAACTTGTACATTTTTTATTTTTCCTTTATTAATTTTTTTATATTATTTGTTTTTTGGCGTCACACCACGTTTGGTTACGTTTTATTTTGGGCCAAGTTTAATGTGCAATAACGAAGAAAACATTTGGCAATACTTACATTTAAGCATTTATTAACTTAACTATGAATTTTAAGTATACAAAAAATTTTTTTAGTTTTTTATCATTTACAGTATTAATGTTACAGTATTTTACGGCTTTTTCAACTTTGCTAATCTGCTTATCAGTATTAATGTAATGCAGGATATTTCATACATCATAAAGAATGTATGGAAAATTCTGCTTTATGATTTAAAAAGATTAACATTTTCCAAACACTTTTGTGTAGTAAATAGTGATTATTTAGACAACTTTATGCTAAATCCTTCGATAAAAGTGATTTGATAAATGCAAATCGGTGATCTAGCTAAAGTTGTAAGCAACATTTCGTTCCTTATTAGTTGTGATTTTAAAACTTATTAGTATTTTATTTAAAAAAATTTATGATAAATATTTAAGCGCCCAAAAATAAAACAATTCGTAATTGTTATTGTTACTTAATTTTCCATTTAATTGATATCTGTACAGAAAAAAAGAGTGCCAAGAAAATTTTGTAAGTTGGCATTCTGAAAATTGACGTTTAAAAGTCATCATATAATACTTTTAGGTTAGATTTAAGGATTTTTGACACAATATTTGTTTTAAGAGATAAAAACTGGTTTTTATGATTCAGTTTTTATAAAAAATCTCTCATTTTAAATGCCACAATGACGCCTTAAATAGTATCAAAAAAATAATTTATAAAAGTTGTCTAAATAAGTAATAACAAATTAGTTGCTGCATTTATTTCTTTCGGAATTCTTTTTGCCACATTTTTATTATTGGTGCTTTTACACACTTTCTTCTAGCGATGTGATTTTGATGAAACAGATTAAAATCTGCCTAATTTTAATCTTGTAATAATCGTTAAGATTTTAGGCAATAGCTAATAAAATACGCTCTTAACTCTTTATTTCACACTTTATGTTATTATAAAATGATGTTTTTACTGAAACTGTAAAAAGAAAATTTATATTATATAATTGTCCCAAATAATCAAGCTGATATGGGTACCTTATTTTATTATAATTACTTGCTTTTACATTTTCGGCAAAAACAACAATTTTAGATCGCGCTAAAGAGTTAGTTAACACATTTAGTATATTTTTTAAAGAGTCTTCGTGGAAAAAACGAACAATAACTTAGATTGATAACACGTGTATAATAACAAAATAAATTTATATATTGTTGAATATTTTGTATAGAAATAAATAATCTTGTTGATGGTTCATGTAAATAATTAACCACACTGAAGTATATTTTGTAACAAAATGAGACAAAATAAGAAATCTAAAATAGAAGATGTAAATTTGTGTGATAATAGCTTCCTATATAAATAACGAGATGAAGTATTGTAAAAACTAGAAAAAAAATCGGTATATTTTTGGTAAAAAATTCTTTCAAGCACACTATTTAACAAAATGAAACCTAACCAAACTGTGATCGTACCGAAAATTGAAAAACTTGGTGTGACGCCGCGCTCAACTTGTATGTTCTACAGCACGACCAACGATCGTCGAGAACAAGCGAGGAAGGACCTGAAGGGACTGGAAGATACCGTAGCCAAGGAACTCCAAACGTTACACAATCTACGGAAACTTTTCGTACAAGATCTACAAGTAAATTAATCAAAGAATCAAAACATCGTAAATATTTCTTAACCTAATGTTTTCGTTTTTATTTCTTCTTAGGCGCGTATTAAAAAGGCGGCAAACCCGGATGATAACGAAGAAGATGGCGGATCTTTGGCGCAGAAACAGAAGATTTCTTTCTTGGAGAATAACCTCGATCAATTGACTAAGGTACATAAACAATTGGTTCGGGATAACGCCGATTTGAGGTGCGAATTGCCGAAATTAGAAAAAAGACTTCGAGCGACCATGGAACGTGTTAAAGCGCTTGAAACTGCTTTGAAGGATGCTAAAGAAGGCGCTATGCGTGATCGAAAACGGTAAGCAAAACTTTTGATGAAGAAATTTTATTAAAAGAGTATTTTTATGATTTACTCTTTAATAAAATTTAAGTAATCATTTATTAGGATAGATTTAGTATAATAAAATGTGTGTAGCCCTCCAGGGAACCCTTTTTGGACCACAAGTAGAAAATTGTTGTTGACTTTTCTCACTGTTGTCGTGATTTTGAGACTGGTGTATTTTAGGAAACGTACAAACTTCCGGCTTTTCATTAAAGGTACTTTTCGTTCGTTCAAATTTTCGATGGGGATAACGTGTCTTTTTTTAAATAACTATGTCTACTTGCTACCTATTTTACTGGGCTTGTATGTTTCATAATCTTGCATGTTCTCGGTCTCAACATCACTAGATTAATTATTCTTCCTATCATATATCATCGTCGCTTTTAATAAATTAATAAGTAAGAAAGCTTTACTGGTTGGTTACTTATCTTAAAGAAATAAATTGGGATTTTATTTTATTTATTTTTTTGGTTTTTGTTTAGGTATCAATATGAAGTGGATCGAATTAAGGAAGCTGTTCGACAGAAAAATTTGGCAAGGCGCGGCCCCGTAGCCCAAATCGCTAAACCCATTAGGGCTGGACAACAGCATCATACGGTTTTAACTGGTGGGGCAATACGCGTTGGCGGAAATGTTCCCGCTCCCCAGAGGATTATAGCTGACGACACTGCTCAGAAACGTAAATCAATCGTTTCCGGCGGTAATAGAGGTTAGATTTTTTTGATTAATACTATATGTTCAATAAAAAAACTCTAGAGTGAGTCTTTACACAACAAATTATCCCATTCAAAGTTTAATAACAAAGGTTCTTTTTACACGGAGAAATACATATTTTAAATAATAATACTTTTTTGTAAGATTTCAGTCGCAGAAAGCAATCATCCAAGTGCAAGCAAAATGTACTGCAGGCTTCATCGTTTATGTATCTCTAATTTTATATCAAGAAAGTTTTTTTGTATATAATGTTTAAAGTTCCTTTTTGATACTAAAGCTGTTTTTCTTTGATTTTATAAATCGCTAATAAAGAGTTCGCAAGATTTTTCGAATTTTAAACGAATCACAAATTGTGATCTCTCATTCTTTGTCTACTTTGATGGGTGTAAGATGAAATTCAATGGATTATTCATGTTTTTCCTTGCTTCTTTAATAAAAATCTTAAAATAGGCTAGATCTGCATTAGGTGGCCAAGTTGCGGCAGCCACTGAAACCTAAGCTATCTTCTACAATTTGATATATATACCGCACGTATTTTTTTTTGGACTTTCACTCCATATTCACTTAAAAACATACTTCATTATTGACACTATCAGACCCTGTATCTAAATAAAATCTTTAATAAAAGCCATCAGTTTTATTCTTTATTAGATTGTATGTAATTAAATACAGAATTTTTTAATATTAGATTTGTAGCAACGAAGTCGCTATTTGGTAAAAACCTCGTAAAAAAATTTTATGAAAAACTTATGTGACAGTTACTTTTAATTCAGCTGTCAATGTTGAAAGACAGTGCTACCACACATTTGTAGTAAAAGTCACGATATGCATTTTTCTTGTTATTACCAACTTGATAATACTTTGACAACTCATGTCAAATAAGAACTTAGGTTATGTGTAAAAAACTTAAAATTGTTTAAAAATTTCCCTTCAGCTCTAGAGTTTTTCGTTTATTGAACATAAATGAGCAATTAAACACTGCAAGAACATTTTACCGAGCCAATCTTGACTTCACAATAAGTTTCTGATTATTTTATAAACATTTTTTTTTCTTATAGATGAGAGTTGAACGGAAAAGTTACAAGGTGCTCCAATCACTCCAATAGTAAGCCGCATTATTTAAACCTAAAAAGAGGAAGAAAAAAGAAAACTAAAAAAAAATGTAATGATTAAAATATAAATCAATTTCGAGGATTTAAAAAAATAATAAAAAAAAATAATGGTAAAAGTAAATGATTATAGACGAGTAAATACCAAAAATATACCGTTATTAACGTCAGTGTACTTTGCAAGAGAAAGTTTTTGATTTACGTAAAGCTTCTTTTCTATATTAGAAAGATGAAAAAGGATTTTTTTGTAGAATCGAAGCTTCGTTATCAAAACTACTTTTACTCGCTTTAAATTTAAAGAAAAAGTGGTTTTTTAAAATAATTATCTGAGAAATAGGATGTAAGATGCACTAAAAAATAAAATAATATAACACGTACACAATTCTATTTACAAAAAATAAAAAAAATGTCTCTTTTCGGAGCTTTTTAAGTTTCTGTTCGTAAAATGAAATAATAAAGTGAGACACAGCAACGAATAAAATAAATTTAAAAACATGCTTTCAGTGTCTCTCCGCTACAGCAGACTTAAAAAATAAAAGAATTATTAATAAAATAAAAATAATCATTGAAATCACTTGAAAAAAGAATTTATTATTATTTGGTGCAAATCTTTTATATTTTCCTTTTAATGGGGTATTATTAAATTATTTTTAAATTAAAATGTCAAAACATAGAGATGGTACTAATAATAGTTTATTATTTAAATAAAATTATTTGGATTTAATTTTTAATTCGTCTAAACAAAAAAAAAATAAATAAATAAAATAAAGTAATTTAAAAACCATGGGTGTGTAATTCTTGAATCATAATATCGATGGTTAACTTTAAGATTTTAGAGCACTTTTTTAATATGTAATTAAGTTTTAGCGAATTTTCTTTTTAATTAGTAAAATACTTACCAATTTAACTATTACAATTTGTTTTTTTCTTTAATTTTCTTTTTTGGAAAAACATCTAAAGGGCTGGCTTATAATTGGTAAGCTTGATGCAGCTTTTGATGTCAATTCCAAATTCAAATTCTCCTCGCACTTCAATTAATTTATTAAAAGTGCGTTTAAAAGGAGCTTATAATTTTTTTTAATTTAATTTAAACTCGTGTGATATGTTTTTTTTTAAAGGAAAGAAATTTAGTATTATTTTGTTTACTGTGCTTTTTTGTGTTTACCTTAATACTTTGTTTTGTTTGTTTCGTTTTTTATCAAGCAAAGAGGATTTTATACATTTTTTTAAATAAAAAATTAACTTTTTTACATGAATCTTAAAAATATAAATGAGAATTTGATGTGTTTATGATGAATACGAGCTACCACCACATCAAAATGTGTTCAGGGATCTGTTGGAATCCGTAATTCAGAATATAATTAATTAAAGGGGTTAAAACCAAACGAAAAATTTGAAATAAAATCATTTTTATTAGGGAGAAATTATAATCAAAATTAAATCGGCAGTATCCCCATAGAATTAAGCTGGTGAAAGTTCGGAAATCATTTCTTTATTATTAATTAATTTAAAGATTTGTATATAAATCCTCTTGGTAATAAAATGTATTTTGGTTTATTTAAAAATCTTGATATTCATTTTAAAGAGCGTACATAAATTTTACAACTACGTTAAAGTGTAATAATTCTTAAAACTTGCACAGTTTTATGCTTAAAAAAGATCATTTTTGGGTATACAATTTACAATGCATTTACTTGACCAGATAAATAAAAAAAGAAAAACAAGGTTTTTTTGAAACGTTTTTTCTCCTATTTGTATATGTATATTGTGTATTTGCCTTTTTTTAGTAGAAAAATCTTATCCTTGTCCAATGTTTTTCTTTCTTTTTTGTATAGTATTAAGGTACTTTTCCTGTGGATAAAAAAATACGCAAACATGGCATATATTTAGTCGTGATGTCTGAATAGAGAACGCTTAACTACTACAATTGATGCAATTTATTTATTTATCTGATGAGAATTTTATTCTAATAAACTAAACTTATGCAAATTATATTCTTTCTTTTTTACCATACAGTAATATACTTATTCCTCCATTCCGCCCACCGCAACACACAATTGTCCGCTTTACAACAGGTTTAGACGTGTTTGACGCGTGAGGAATCGTTTACCAACACTGAGTTGGCTGTGATAAACTGTAACCCTTTATGGTGTGATAATCAAGTAAGAGTGAAAAATTGTTATGTTGATCAGAACACTCAAGTGCTTTCAAACTAAGCTAATTTTTGAAAGATTGAAAGAAGAAGCTGGTTTATTATTTAGCCTCATTTTAGATTTAAACCATATTTATATAGCATCAAGGACCCGGACACACTTGGGAAGCACATTGAACAGCTTGGTGGTGTAATAGTTCACCCCATCTCTAGCTCTCACAGTATGTGCAAAATTTATTTCAATATTGTTAATATTTCTAATTTGATAATTGTTTTCATCACTCACTTTATGATTGATTATGAAGGTTGGATTATTTTTAATGTATTGTAGACATTTGTATTAAACATATATACACAGAATATTCAGTTCAGAGACCTTGGTTCTGCAAGATTTGGCAAAGCACTAACCATTTATGACTCTCAAGCATCTCCTTTGCATTTGAAAAAGCTTTTACATAAATCCAATGTGTTAGTGTACTCAAAAACTAAAGTCCAATAAAAACCCAAATTATATTTCAAACATTTTTTTTATTAAATATGTTACATTAGAAGAAAAATCCTAATATTTTTCCTCCAAGATGTTTTCTTCTGGCTTCCTCATGATCCATAATTCCACCACTAGTTGTAAGCACTACATACCTAAATAATTCAACAAATTAATACTTTAATATTACCATAAATAACTACATACCCAAATTGACGAGAAGGTAACAAATTATTTGTCCACTTCTCGATATGTGTAATTGGAACATCAAATCTAGGCGAAATAACACCACATTTATTTAATCTACCAGTAAGATTCACAACAATCTTCCCGCTACGGTGATCGTCAACGATTTCAAATTCCCCAATGTAACCATGTTTCATCATTACCGTTAAAAATTTAATGATCACTTTGGAACAAGGCCTGATGAGAACCTGGCGTTTGCCGCGTTTTTCTGCATTGTTTATAGATTTGAGAGCATCGCTCAATACGTTCATTCGCACCATGTCTAAAACATAAAAGTTATTTTATTCAACACAATTAGAATAGACAAAAATTCGTTGGATATTTGTCAATGTCAGATAAAAGATAGGTTATGTTGACATTTTGTCCAAATTATAACAGAAAGAAGGTTTTTACGTTAAAAATATAGTTTCACGCGCACAATTTAAAGTTTAGGAATCAATTTTATAAAGAAATAAAGATCGGATGGTTTACAAAAAACGAAATTACCTGTGATTTAAGTTGTGTTTATGCTCGGAACATTCACGTTTCGAAAACACGAGAAAAAGGAAAGTTCGCCATTTTCACCGATAGGAGTCTCTGTCATATTTCAGGGTTACCAACATATTTTTGCTTTATAAATAACTAAACACTTCAATATTTCAGTTTATTTTCAAATTACATTTATTAAGAATTTTAATTTACAATTTCAACATTATGTTCATTTTTATTAATACCAAAATGAAGCATATTACCAATTTGATAAGCCCAAGACATTCGATTAGAACTAAATGCAATACCAATTTCACCTTTAACAGATAAAGTAATAGCTCCCGCTGTATTTTCTAATCTTTTCAACATTTTATTAACACATATTTCCGTGGCTTCTTGAGCACTCTTCCCAGCTTCCATTTCTTTGCAAATATCATGAGCTAAACAAACTTTTGCAATCGAATCGCCATGTCCTGTTGTAGAAACGGCTCCTGATTCATCATCAGCGTAAGTTCCACTACCAATAATGCTGGTGTCGCTGCATCGTCCTACCATTTTACCTTCATAACCTCCAGTTGATGTAGCAGCAGCTACTTGACCATTTAAAAACGCTACAGCTCCAACTGTACCTAATTCAGCTTCACCAGTATTTGTTAATTTTTTTTCTGCAAGTTTCTTTTTATAATTTTCAAGCATTAACTTTCTTGCCTCAGTTACAAGTGCTCCATCACTTAAAATCTCAAACCCCTCACGTTTAGCAAATTTCAAAGCACCTTCTCCAGCTAATAAAAAATGAGGAGTTTTTTCCATAACTCGTCGAGCCAACGATATAGGATTCTTAATATTTTTAACAACAGTAACTCCGCCGGCGTTTAAATTCGATCCCAACATAATACTAGCATCCATTTCAACTTCCCCATCAAGATTTAAAACCGACCCAAGCCCAGCGTTAAAAATTTCATTATCCTCCATAACCCGAACAGCTTCTTCGAGACCATCGAGAAGCGAATTCTTCGATTTTAAGACTTTATAACCCGCTTTTGCAGCTTCTTTGACTCCTAAAAGTAATTCGGTAGCTTTCCGATCATCATTTATAAATCCCGCACCACCATGTACAAGAAGAATTGGCTCCATAATGTACTTCACACCTTTAAAGTAACAAGATAGTAACAATAAAGTTAATTATGAGTATAAATTTAAATTGTGTTATGTCCTTAGTGATAAGAGCTGTAATTTGTTATTTATACGAGTTATCTCGAATAAAATGCATTTTAAAAACGTTTTATTTTTTTTGAGTGATTATTTTTAAAATGTAACAAAATGTAATGTTATATTTGGGATTAAATTCAACATAACCTGTATTTATGTATTTCATAGAGACCATTTTTGTATAAATTTGACGTATGTATTGTTGGTTGTCTACTTTTAGGTATAGTGTTGTAGCTACTATTTTATACTTTGAATTAGCACAAATGCTTAATTTATCTTGTTCGTGTTTTGTAATGTTGTTAATTTGAGACTTATTAGGTTTATAATGTAATAGAAAAATCTTGATTGAGTTTACCCGTGGGTCTCTTAAGACGGTTAAATTTGAATGTTTCTAGTTCTATTTCTGGTGTTAGTTAGACTAACAATTAAAACTAGAACTAACACTAGACCTAGAACTAGAAAGCTTCAGGTTTAGCCGTGCGTCTGAAGATTAATTCTAGTTTTACTTCAATAGCAATATACCACATAGCGATATCTAGTGCAACTAGCGCTGAATAACAACTAAAACTAACACTAGACCTAGAACTAGAAATATTCGGCTCTTTAGACGGCTAAACTCACATTAGCATTAGAACTAACACTATATCTAGGACTAGAAACATAACCTGAATATTTCTAGTTCTAGATATAGTGTTAGCTTTACTTTTATTTCAATAAAAATATACAACAATCTAGTGCTGAATAACAAATCTGAAAAACAGAGCAAATGACTTCTTAGTCCTTTTTTGATTTGACGTCCAAGAATTAGACTGATTTTTATTGATTTATAAAAAATGATACATTATAAAAATAAAACTACATACATACATATACATTTCTATTTATTCATTTTGATGTTACTATTAAGAAAACAACCTCAACAACAATCTTATTATAGCACATAAATATAGCAACATAAATTCCATGTAGTACCGCATACAGAAAAGTGAAATAATCGTTTTGTTACAAGAATAACAATTAAGATAAAGTTTACAATAATATACCAAAAAAACAAAAGTGCAATTAAATTTTAAAAATAGTATATATTAATGCATTACAAAAAAATCGAAATAGTATTGCATGGTTTAAAAAAAAAGAAATATTTCCTAAAAGTCTGACCGTTTATCCCTATTTTTACCCCTAGATATCGTTCGGGCTTTGAAAGCTGCTGCATTCACCAAGTGCTACAAAGAAACAATAAGATTAGAATTAAAAAAAAAATTGTTTCATATTTCTTACCCTTTCCAACTTTGATTGCCGATTAATCGATATGTCACTAATCAATATTTTCTGTCCAAGTTGAAAAATGTCCCTCAACAATTCATTTTTCGCTAAATGCAAGTTAAACCCGGATCCCAAAACATTACAAAGCGCATCATAGTGTTTCCTACGCGCCCACGTGTCTAATACTAAGCATTCTTGACCAAATTTAATTTGAACATCAGGTACAGTCCGATTCTAAATAAAAATCAATTTAGTCAAATTCTTAATCATTGTTTAGTAAATTAAAATACCTCAATATACCGTAAAACATCTCTAAACGAAGCGCGCTGTTGTTTTCGATCTTTTTTAGCACGATATTTATGCGAATCCGTCGCCAAATGGTGTAAAGCTTCAATTAAATCTGGTTTGTAATCGTCTCCAAATTCTTCTGAAAATTCGGAACCTATTTCAAATACGGTCGCTAAAGCTTCACCAGCCGACATTCGAACTTCTAAATGAGGTGATTGTAACATTTCAGAAAGTTGACTTATTGATCTAAAAAAAGATTTTTAATTTTAAGATTATCAATTTAAGATAAATTCTTACGGTGAAAAGTTAACTCCACTCCCCATCATCGAATTAATATCCCCCGCTGTCATTAAAGTACACAACAAAGTCCAAGCACTTAAAGCAGCACTATGCAATAAACCAATTTCTGCAGTTACATTTGCTACAGTTCCGTCCCCTTTTAAATAACTTCCAGCGAAAATGCTTTCAAACTGTTGCATCAAATGAAGTACATCACCCATTTCCCCGCCAGCGAGGAAAGCCATCAAACTTAAAGCTATACAACACTAAAAAAAATAAAACAATTGGAATAAAATGTATCTTAATTCATTAATTTTCTCTTACTTCACTTCTTGTACTTGGTAAAATCGATTTATCATTAACAGTTTGTAATAAAATCGGTTTTAACATTTTACAAACTTCTTCACATTCATCCAAAGCTCCCAATTGGACGCATAATAACGTTGCCAAACGAGCTGCGGCGGTTTGTTCGGCTCCTCGACCACGTTTTAAAGATTTTTCAACTGCATCGCATATCGTTACACGTCTATCAACGATATAACCTGGCATATACTTTTTAACCAAAGCTTTGGATGTTAATTCGAAACAATTACATCTTCCTTGTGCAGATTTTTGCGTGAAACCGTCTATCGCTTCCGAAAGTTTCTCTTCGAACGCTTCCTGTTGATTAACTTCATCCATTTCATCATTACCGTCATCGGTACTTCGCACTTCTGAGATATTCGATGTTACACTTGCGTTATCATTGAAGGAATCATCATCAGAAGTTTGTACAGAACCGTTAGTACGAGCTTCTCGGTCTATAAATACAAAAAAAGTATGAGAATAAAATTGATTTTAGAAAAAGTTAGAATCAAGTTTGAGATGAAATTAGTCGCATTTAAAATCATAAAAAATGACAAGTTCTGATTAATTATCAGTTGAGATTGCTGAGATAGCTGTTTATTTAAATAAAGAAAAATAATATCAATGTGATAAAGAGAATATAAAATAAACGCATTAAAAGATTATTTTATCAAAGTTTCTTCTCCAAATTCTGTTATTTTTATTTATTTTTCTTTTGTTGGTATCATTTTTGATTTGAAAACGAATTTTTAATAAATAATTTTAATCTATTGGTTCCTAGAAATCAATTCTAAATAATAATTAATCTTTGTTTTAATGAGATTACGATAAAAAGTCGGTAAAAACACAAAAAAAATATTATTTTGACTATATTTGACAAAGAAAAAAGTTGGTGACCTTCGCGATTAACATGAAATTAGTTCCAATTAGATTTTAACCCTTAAATATCATTTTAAAATGTTAAAAATTAAATTTTTAGGTTATGTTAAAATTTATCAAAGAAATTTCTAACAATTCCTTCAACTAAATCCTAAAAAAATATATAGCAATATGATAATGGTGGGAATATAAATGCACCATATTAATTGTTAACATAATAAAATAACCTTGAAAAATTTTCGGAACACACGTGTCACTTTAAATAGATTCAAAAAACCGCCAAAAATTTGCCCTCCCGAAAAAAGGAAAGCTCGGCCAAGACAATATATTCGCCGTTCTATTAAAAACTTAACTCCTTTTTTTTATATTTGAATTTTTCGCAACCATATTGCTTCTTAAAATCGCTAACGGTGGAGTCCTCGAAATTCTAGAGCGAAATGATCTGACGAAACTCGACCTTACGTAAACTGTACGTAAGGATGAAGTTTCGTAAAATTTACGTTCACTATTCTCTTAAACTCACCAGACTTTCCTTTACGTCTCCTATTATTGGGCATGATGATTGTGTTACGAATGATTATTACAGACGACACTTTTCCTTTTAAATTTACTATTATTATTAATAATTGATACTAGTTGAAGACACGATCAAGAAGGCAGACAACGGTTTGTAAAGGTTCCTCTCGCGATCGCACACAACTCTTGACATTTACCACTTCTCGACGTCGAACTACTTGCGTCAAAACTATTTAACATTATGTTTAAAACGGTAATAGCACTCAAGTCTTCGGCGGGCAAACGCCAAACTGACTCCTTGCACGGGAGGTCCCGAGGTATTTATAGTTCGATCTGCGTGAAGTTAGCTGCTATCGCATCAATATCCAGAACCACCAACAATTTTTGAACGATTCGTGATTAATAATTTGTTGCACAATTAAATGCAATGTTTTGCATTGATGTTTATTCACATTGTGAAATTATACTATTTTTGTAATGAAGTTTTAATGATGATAAACCTATCGATCGAGAATTTTGATTATTTTGAAAGATTTTGTTTCTTATTCCAACAAAAAATGTCACTAGATCAGATTTCATAACCTAAAAGATATTAAAAAAAGATGTTTTTTTTCTTTTAATTTTTTGGGGCGTTTTATGATGTTTTATCGCAATGTGTGGGTATTATGAGACGAAAAATGTTGTTAAGAACCCAAACGACGGGTTTACTCGTCGGTTTGGTGGTTTTTATGTTTTTAGTGACAGTTTTTTTAAGTTTTTTATTGTTAAACAAAGGTAGTTAATTAGATTAAAATATAAATAATATATGCAAATTCTATTTATTTTAGATTTAAAGTGCATAAACCCGACTTATAACCCATCATTAAAGCAAATTAGTGAATCCTGCGATATAAATTATGATCAAGAGCATACGTTAGCTGTATTAGTGCCATATAGGGATCGTTTTGAAGAACTCCTTGAATTTGCTCCGTACATTCACGATTTTTTAAATCGCCAAAGAATTAAACACGACATTTTTATTTTAAATCAAGTAGACAAATACCGATTTAATCGAGCCTCATTAATCAACGTTGGTTTTCTTTACACTAAATCCACCCATGATTATGTAGCAATGCATGATGTCGATTTACTCCCATTAAATGACCAATTATCCTATGCATATCCCTTGAATGGACCTTTTCACGTTTCGGCTCCATATTTACATCCTAAATATAATTATACAGACTTTGTTGGTGGAATTTTATTATTAACAAGAGAACATTTTGAGTTAGTTAATGGCATGTCAAATAAATATTGGGGTTGGGGATTGGAAGACGACGAGTTTTTTGTGAGACTAAAAGAAGTAAAATTAACAGTTTCAAGACCAAAAAACATAACGACCGATAGAACAAATAGTTTTCGACATATTCATGCAAAATCGAGGCGAAGAGACACAGTGAAATGTTTTAATCAAAGGGAAGTAACGAGGAGGAGAGATCGCGAAACTGGTGTGAATAATGTTAAATATACGATTGTAAGTGAGAAGAGTGTAAGTATTGAAGGGGCGCCGGTTAATGTTGTTAGTATTCAGTTGAGTTGTGATAAAAATGTTACTCCTTGGTGTGATTGTAGCAAAAAATGATTTTTTTTTAATAAAAACAAATATAGAGTTGAGTGTATTTATTTTAAAATATAGTTTTGCAATAATACATAAAATATTACAGTGAATTTTACTTAAAATGCAATAAAACGCAGTGTTATAAGTCAATACGAATATACAACAATATTATTAGTTCTAGTTTTACACTATCACTAGAACTAACACAGGACATAAAACTAGAATCATTCGGGTTTAGTTCTAGTTTTAATTGTTATTTAGCTTTAGGTTATGGTATATTTTTATTGAACGAGAAGTAGAACTACCACTAGACCTACAAGCAGAAAGGTTCGGGTTTAGCCGTCTTGAAAGTCGTGCGGCTAAATCCGAATGTTTCTAGTTCTCGGTCTAGTGTTAGTTCTAGTTTTGCACTAGCACTATCACTAGAACTAACACAAGACATAGAACTAGAATCATTCGGGTTTAGTTCTAGTTTTAATGGGGTCATACACGATTTTTTTTTTATTATATTTTCTGAAAGTTTATATAAAAATATAGTTACCGTTATTTTTTTTTTTAATATTTTCGAACAAAGTCATTGTTAAAAAAATTATTGAAAATTTATATACCCATTTGCGCTTTTAAAATTCCCGCGTTGATGACGTACGATTCTCACTTTTGCGTCCCCTGCTCCCCGCTCAAATGCGAGAAAGAGATGAACGTCATTTAGATTGTATTGAAAAGAGATAGAGTGTTTGTAGGTTATGTTTATTATGTTTTGTTCATGGATATAATGGAGACACTCTATTACATCCATGGTTTTATTTTGACACTGTCACACCGCAAGCGCTATCTAACGGACAATTTAACTTGTTTTAGGCAGTGCGGTTCCTACGTCACAGAAAAGCCGCGAAATTATTTCGTTTGAATATTTGCTATTTTTCACTTCAAATTACGCAAAATATAAAATTGATCAAAATATTTCTTTTACTTTGTGTTCATGCATATATCGTGTGACATAAAAATTTTCTCTAAATTTAATAAGTGTGTATGACCCCATTGTTATTTAGCTTTAGATTATGGTATATTTTTATTGAACGAGAAGTAAAACTACCACTAGACCTAGAAGCAGAAAGGTTCGGGTTTAGCCGTCTTGAAAGACGTGCGGCAATTATATATTGCGAGTTATTTGAAATTCCCGGTATAATTATTGTAAAGTGAATCGTTTTTTATTAGCGCCATCTACAAAGATGATTTAGAATTATTGAGTAAATAAAGTAGAAAACTATCATTTCCCTTTTCATTTTGAGTTTTAATTGATTTGCGAGATTTCGAAAACTCGAAAAACATTTTTGTGTTATAATATACAACAATTTAATCGAAATCTGGTGAAACGTACCAAAAAGGAAATTTGAACCAAATTTGAAAATCGAGTACGAATTAACGTTAGAAAGTTGTACGAACTGCGCATGTCCGGTGTGTAAATTTAGTGCTTCGGTAAGCGTCCGCCATAACGGTCTAAAAATTCTTATTGAATAAGCGTGTTTCGCGTTTTCGTAATCAGTTTTTTTTGAAGATATCCGGTCTCCGTTAAATATCGTAAAAATGGTCGATAAAATCGAAATGAGTCTTGATGATATAATAAAGTCTAGCAAGGGAAGACGCGGTGGAAAACGCGGCGCCAGAGGGGGCGGCCGTCCCGGAGGAGGTGGAGCACGCCGTGGTACATTTCGGGGCCAAAAATCGCCCGGAGGCGTACAAAGAGGTCGTAATCGTGGCGGAATTGCGCGGCCGTATACCAGGGTAAACATAAAAAATCAATCTTTCAGAAATTTAAACTAGATTTTTATAAAATAAATAATATACCACTCACGTCAAACTCAAGTTTTTCGATGAGCGAGAAGTGTACAAAATGGTAGCCAATTTTGTGTTCCTGTATTGTTCTCTTTAGGGAGACGTTAACAGTGCGTGGAAGCACGATTTGTTCGAAGGTTATGGGCCGAGAAAGGTCGCGGCGGCCGTCGCTCGCGCCGCTCTACAATCAAATCTCGGTCCCGCGAAGTTGCTCGTCTCCAATTTAGATTTTGGAGTCTCCGATACGGATATACAGGAGCTCTTTGCCGAATTCGGCCCGTTGAAAAACGCCTCTGTCCATTATGACCGCTCTGGCAGGTCTTTGGGCACCGCTGACGTTATTTTTGAACGCCGAAACGACGCTGTTAAGGCAATGAGACAATATAATGGGGTTCCGTTGGACGGTCGAGCAATGAACATCCAGATGACAACTTCAGAAATACCAGTCATGACAAGATCGCCTAGAATTCCATCAGCCGGTGCCAACAATGTGGAGAGGAAGCAATTTAGGAGTCCTAGAGGAGGTGGTCGTGGGCGTCCCATGAGGGGTTTGTACATCATAAGTCGATGAATTTTCCATTTTAATCAATAAAAAACCTTGTTGATGTCAAATTAAAGGTCGCGGTGGTGGTGGTAGGAATCCAAGAAACATTAAAAAAACTGCACCAACGGCAGAAGAATTAGACGCTGAATTGGACGCCTACAGCAAAGAAATGAAATAGCCATTATAGCCTTAAACTCAAACATGTCTCAAATTTATATAAAAAATCTTCTTTTTTACGTGTGAATTGTAAGAAAGGTGTGTTTTGTTTCAATTACTCTTTTTTATTGATTACTGCATCTTGAGTTGTTTCGTTTATTTTTAAAACTGTACTTTAATTGTAAATGCGCGTGTGATGACGCTAGAATGATTATTACAAAAATGTTTTGAAAAGGGGAAAACATCCCTTTTTGGACTGTTCATTTACATATTGACTAATTGTCAAATTATTATTAATTAATTCATTAAGGTTTAGTGTGTATTAACATAAGATTAGAGTTGAATAAGGGATGTGTTTTTAAAAAAATACATATTGATAAAATAAAAAAGTTTTTTGAGAAATTTAGCATAAACTATAACTAATAATAAGATCAGAAAAAAAATCAAGAAAATAGATCCTAAAGAATAATAAAATAATTTTTTAACAAATTTGATGCTGTTTTTGTTCTATATTTTTACCTTATTTACCCCTTTCCATTTAAAATGGAGGTTATCACTCATCTTAATAAAACTTGCAAAAACAACAGTTTTTTTTTAATATAAATATTATATTACCATAAATTAATTTTCTGAGAAGTGTCCTAAATTTTCCATTTCATCATCTATTATCTATGCTTTTTAAGAATAAAGTAGATGGCACCGCATACTTCAAGAACTTTGATTTCTCTTTATATGGTGCGCGATTGGTTGCCTATGCTAATTTAAATTATTAAATTTAAAGATTTGTAGTTAGAGATACTTTAAAATCATTTTAGCTTATAATTATTATATTATTAACTATTGGAGGAGAGGAGGGTTCCGTCCAACCGTAAAAGATGGCGCTGGTGTGTATTCAATATAGACAGTACGTCGCGTCTATTTTTCTTTTTGCGCAGGTAAAGTAATAATACAGAGCATTCAACAATGATTGTAAGGCGTTTGAATTTAACGTCACTTTTTTTTATAACTAGTGATGTAATGAATTCCATTACCAACTACAAATTGACATCTGTCACTAATAGAATAAGTCAAGTTTTGAACAAAAATTGCTTTTTCAATGGAATTAGATAAAATTTTGTACTTAACACTTTATGAAACGGTTACTGGTTACGTAAATAACTATTATCTCACTATAAAAGATGACTTGTTTTGTATATAAATGAAACACAAAAATAACAAAAACACGTTTTTTTAAATTTTTATTTAAAAGTACGGAAGCTACGTTTTAAGTTTCTTTTGACAATGTTTCTCGAATTAAGACCTTATGTAGGAAATAGAAAATCTGGTTAAATTTTTTTTAGCTGTACACCAATAATTAAAATTAATGATTCTTTTATGTACAATTTACGGTAATTATTTTTTTGTTTTATTACTATTTCAATTATTATTTATTTATTATTACATCCTTACAACCCAGCACCTAAAAACAAATGAGCATTTTCCACTTTTATCATTATTAATTTAACGTATGCGTGTATAATAAATTCTCTAAAACATGAAAAAATATGATTGTAATAACAATAATCAATAATTCTTAAACTTTTTTTGTATGTACGTGCGTAGTACGTGTTTAATAAAGAAAAAAAAAAGTTAAAGTACAAAAAAATAATTATTATACTCCTTAAATCATTAAACAATGTGTAAAAAAAATGCATTTTTTCTATCTTTAATTAAGAGTTAAAAAATATATATATTTGTAGTGGAATCGAAATAAAATATAATAGTGAACGATTATTTTATTGCATTTTTGTGTGCTCCTTATTTCGTTTTCTTCTTTTTTCACATCTTTGGACAACACCATTTATTTATTTAAATATTTTTATCAAAACATTAATCATTTAAACGCGGGAAAGAACTGACCCGTAGTTCCAGCAGTGTGCGGCACATTAACATTCATCCCAGTTGCTCCTCCCCCAAAATTTCCGGAATTATTAAAATTTAATGCCATCCCAAACGTCGGTTGCGTCGTAGGCATTGCATTTCCGGTTATTATAGGTCTTGGCTGATTAATTGGCGACGTTGGGTTACTTGCCAATTGATTCATACTCGGCGCAGAACCCTGTTTTTGTTGTTTAGGCACTAATAAATTATCCAAATCGATTGTTAATCCCGAATTAGACCACGTTGCGCCTACATTAAGCGGTTTTGTTGCTTGAGAAGATTGTTGTTGATGTTGTATTTGTAATGGATCTTTGGAAGACGGTATTAATGGCGCCGTTTGAACTGGATTTAGTGGTGGAACTATTAAAAGATAAACAAATTATAATTAGAATTATTTAAATAAAAGTAGAGATACTTTAAATCATTATTTGATATAAAGCACTAGTTTTTTTATGAGAAAATCTACAAAAATAAAGAATTTAAAGCAAGTGACGGGTGGTTCCAAAAATTTAAGCTAAGATATGTAATTACAATGTTTTCTCCCTAACGGGAGAAAAACAACGAGATCCGTGATATCGATGTTATACTGTACTAAATTAAAACACATATTTGTTGAAAAATAATCATTTTATTTCATTTTAAACATAAAAAAAATCTTAAAAGTATCTTAACCTCAAAAGTAATTTTAGAACATAATCTATATTATTTATAACCTTTCTTTAATTAAAGAAATTTATTTTATGAAATACTACTATTTTCCTTTAAGATCCAATTAATCATCATTAACAACTCCTCAGAAACCTCTCGACATTCAGAATTTGGTTCCCCACGCTGTACATTTGCCGATAATCTTTCAATTAACCACGAACGTATTTCAAATAGTTGTCCCAAAAATTCTTCCATTAAAATTGATTTTGGAATGGCGAAAATCGCCGCACCCAGTAACTTAACCACTTCCGTTCTCACTTTAGGTTCCTTATGATACTTTAACATCCAACAAACGTAAAAGATTTTATTTCCAAACGTATTCGCGATGATGCAATTATGAGAATTAAATGTAATTACTGCTAAACTATGTAGTAATTGGATCAAAAGGATGTAATCGCCATCTTGGGGTACAGATAAAGTAATCGGAGATGTTTTCGTCATTAACCCATTAATTAATGGGTCAAAAAAGTGTTTAGCTTGTTCGTTAAATAAATTTTTCGTTCCAATTTGGGGTTTTGAAGTTTTAAAACGTCGCGTTTTCGATTCTAATCGTTTTCGAATAATTTCTTGTGAAGATTCAATTAATTCGGTTGATTTTGAATTGGAATTTCCTTTTTTTGTTTTATTTGACGCTGAAAGATTTTGAACAGCACCGACAAAAATTTCCAAGATAAACACTCGATTTGATATAGAATAGTTTCCGGGTTCACTAAAAAATTCTTTTATTAAATAAGGCGCGTATATTTTAGGTGTTGTTGAAACGATTTTTATCGAAGCTTTAAAAATTAATTCTTGAAAATTTTCAACGTAAAATCTTGGAGATAGGTTTATTAAAACATCTAAAAGTTCTAATCCGATTTCAACGTCGACGTTTTTTAATTGATTTTCAATAATTTCTTCGGCATTTTCTATACAGGTTATGAAATATTCCGGGTCGTTGGTGGTTGAGATATGCCTTGCGAGGGAATATATAAATTTGGGGGGATCTTTTTGCGTTTTTTTGTCGTTTGATGTATCGTATGGGATCAAATCATCGTCGGAATCTAAATCAAAATCGTTTGAATCGATTATTTTTATGATGGAGGATTTTTTATTTAAAGTGTGTGCTGTTATCGAATTCGTTTCTTCAATTTTTGTTGTGTTTTTATCAACAACTTTATTTTTATTAACCTCTTTTAAGCCTTTTAATTCATCAATAACCTTTTTTATATCAATTTCTTGTACCGCAAGAGATCCAGAAACACTTTTAAGCTGGCTCAACTCATTTAACATTTCGTCATTATCTTTGGGGTGATGGAGAATAATTTTTTGATCATTTTCGTTATTTATATTCAATACAACATCCCCGGTTATAGTTCCAATGCTGCGAACACTTTCAATTGGGCTTTGTAAATGTGTTGGAATCCCCGAATTAATTTGACGTTTAAAATCGTTCAATTTTTCTTTATCTCCGCCGATTTCAACCCAAGTTTTGATTGATACAATTAATATTTTCGTTATAAATAAATGTTGTTCAACACTTGTTCGGTTAATCGACGATTTACTTCCCCAAATGCCCAGTAAATGAGTTATTAATTTGAGTAATTCGGAACTTTTTGAAATCAAACTAATCAAGTTATAAATAAATAGATTCGACTTTGGAGTGAAATTAGTTAATAAAGGAAGTTTTGTGCACAAAATATAATTACAGCTTGAATTTTTTAACATATCGATGGGTAAAAAGTTAGAAACATCAATTGGTAGTGATAAAGTCGTTGTTAAAAAGTATTCAAGCGAAGATTTCGAGATTTTGCAACAAAACATTTGATCCAAAACGTGTTTAACTTCAACATCGTTTTTGGATAAATAATTTAAAGTGAGCAATAAATTTTTGCTGCAATCATTTCGATATTGGACAAAAATCTTGTCGAAAAGAACCGCAATTCTTTCAAAATCAATGTTTATATTATTAACCCTCGAAGAAACAGCAATTAAACAAATAAAAAACCTCACAACCAATTTTCCGAATGAATCAGCCCCAAAAAATTCATCGAAATTCCCATTTTTAAGCAAATTACAAATCCGCGTTGGTAAAGTAACAAAAATCTGCGCTAAATCTCTATATTTCAAAGTCAAATCTTCTTTAACAACATCCACTTCACCGCAATCAATCCAATACATTAAAAAAGTCTCAAAAAACAATTTCGATTTTATAATTTCCTTCAAATCGCTTTTATAAATGTTAAAATATTTCGCCCCATCAATTTCCTTCATCATCTTCGTTACAACACTCAAAAATGTTTGCTCAATAATAAACCGATCGTTGAATTCTTCGAAAATCCATCGAATCGGAACGAAACGTTCCATCGAAACTTCCACGAACCTTGGAATTAATAAAGTTACATAATTTTCGTATTCCGGACATTCACTCAACGACTTTATATCGCCCAAAAATTGTTTTGTTAATCGGAATTGTTCTTCGAATTTATTAAGTTTTTTATTAAAATCTTCTTGGAGAAATATTGTAACTTTTTGATTAATTAAATCTTCGATTAAACTCTTAGTGATGATCGATAAACTCTTTACGGATTGTTCCTGTTGATTTCTTAAGTCTTCTTTGTACGTTTTCAACCATGGCACTTCACTCGCGGCGAAACGAATCGAGACGGATTCTGTAACCGGAAATCTCAAATGAGTTCCCGGTTTAGTTAATAATAAAACAAATTCTTTTTAACAGGTAAATGGGTTTTCATCCATATTGGTATATTTTATGCGATAGTTTGTAAAATAAACGATGTTTTTACTCCAATATATTTAATAAATTTAATGGACTACCGGTTTCGGCCTAGACATTCGTCAGGAGTCTATAAGGAATTACGATCAAAAATAGAAAGGAATTGGTAGAAGCAGTTTCTACTATCAACCTCCCTCATAACTTTGAAATGGTCTCATTTGATATCACTAACCTCTATACCAACATACCTATCCACGAAACCTTAACCATATTCACAATTACCTGAAAATACGCCTAAATACACCAATACCGAACACTTGTTTAAATTAATAAAACACTGCACCGAACTTAATTTTTGCCAATTCAATGGAGAAATTTTTAAATACAGGGTTAGGCAGGAAGATATGGATGATTTGAACGTGGCGCCACGCAAGGTGTGGAGAACCTTGGTGGATAAAGAGTGGGGGTATCAGTTCGTCAGGAGCCACCATTTAGTTATTAGTAAGAATGGAGACGTGGTCGAGTATCAACCTCAATGCTGTATGGTTTCAACAAGATGGAGGCGACATGCCATACATCGAGAGCAGGTATGGAATGTTTAAGGCAGACCTTCCCTGGACGCCTCGTTTCATTGCGTGGATTTGTGGAGTGGCCTCCTTGGTCACCAGACCTGTCACCTTATGACTTTTTTTATGGGGCTACCTCAAAGCACGAGTGTACATAAACAAACCACGTACACTTCAAGCTCTAAGTGAAACAATAACACAAGAAATTTTTTAATTTTTGTAATGACAACATTCAAGCTACACATTGAAAAGATAAAATTTGAGTTTCGTTGAAAAATGAGTGTGTAACTGTTATTTCAAATCATCCACACCTTCCTGCCTAACCCTGTACAATGATCGACTCCCAAGGGGTTCACCAACTAGAAACGTCATTGTTTGAACCTACAAGAAACTAGAACCATTTTACTGTGGAAAAGATATGTTGATGACATCTTGATTTTCTGGGATAACTCTTCGCCCAACAGCATCACTGATCTCCTACAGCATATCAATACTTTCCACAGCAAAATTAACTTCACTAGAGAAATTGAAAAGAATGCATCCATTAATTTCTTGGATGTTACTCTGCAAAAGGTTAACCTACTCAATCAGATGTAGTAATACCTGCAGATTCCTTGCACCACCATATACACAAACATGCTGCTTTTAACTCATAGAATCCATTAGAAGAACAGACGTACTTTTTCGACGTGGCTATTTGAATTGTACAGCAGACATATTAAACTAATGCTATCTGTTTCTAACACACATTACTCTCTGGCGGTTTGTGAATTTTAATTTACTATGTATGGCATTTGTAAGAGCGGAAAACGATGATTTACTGTCACCTTTCGTGGTTTCTACTATACATCTCTATTTTTGGGTTTTTTTCTAAGTTTTGGTGATGCAATAGTTGAAACTTTTATTTTACGTCAATTTCAATATATGTGTTTCCTAATCTCAACTTTATAGGACGAGGTAAAGTAGCATTTTATTTTTAGTTTTGTCTTTATTTTAATTGTACTTTCCTCTAGACTCCTGATGCTGGTCTAGGCCAAAACCGGTAGAGTCAAATTTATGAAATATATTGGAGTAAAAAACTTGTTAAAACTAAACTACGAACTTTAAAAAAAATTGTTTGTTTTACAATCTGTCACAAATTCTTTTTAATTAATTTGGCTTATTTTATTTAAATCATAACACACTTTTATCTCATATTGGGATAATCTGATTAAATAAAATCTTACCTTTAAAGTTATCCATGAGGTTATCGCCTCCCAAATTATTTCCATTCATATTTGGAAATCCTCCAGAAATTTGCGAAGGTGGTTGCATACTTAATCCACCAAATCCAAGATCGCCCAACAAATCACTATTTGTCATACCAGAATTTATAGCTGAAGGAATAACTATGTTACTACTATTAGGAGCAGTACTAAATAAATCAATATCCGATGAATTTCCAACTCCACCCAATAAATTATCACTTTGAGTAATCAAATCATTGCTTATTCCAGCATTAATTCCCCCACCCGGTCCAAAAGCCGAACTAAAATCCGCGAAATCATCCTCATTTTTTGTAACTGAGTCGCTTTCCCCAGCTCTCGGATCAAAATCATCTTTCAATAAATCCCCTAAACCGTCACCACTACCACTTTGAGGTTGTGGAGACTGCACACTCAGATTGGAAGTTGAATTATTAAAATTGGCGTTTGTATTTGTGGCGGCGTAATTTGCAGCTGCCCCCAAATCGACTTGTTTAATTTGTTTTGGGGTTTTAATTGGTGATTTAGCAATGTTTGGGTTTAAGGTGACATTAACTTTTTTATCTTGGTGCCGAGGACTGTTGGAATCGAAACCGGCATCGCGATAACCACCGCGATTGTTATGATTCGATTCAAGGTCGCTATTATTTTCATCGTTTTCGTAATCTTCGTCGTAGGAACGATCGCGATATTGCCTTCCTGTAGTTGTAGTAGACGTTGAGTTGTTCTCATAATCTCGTTCACGTTCGCCAAACATATCCCAACGTTCTGAACCTTAAAAAAAATAATCAAACATTTTACATTTGTTAAATTCTCGCTTATCTTATCATATTTAAATTCCACGTTTATGACCCTACCATTTAACAAGCCAATTTATCAAGTAATTACTGAATACCTGGTGATATAAATCATATTATTTTTAACATAAGATTACTTACTAAATCCAGACGTCATCATATCGGAGCTCATTCCAATGTATTTATCCTTGTTTTTCTTAGCTTTCTTCCTTTCTTCTCTAAGCTTATCATCATCTTGTATAAAATCAATCAATTCGCGTACTTTGTGCCTAATATTAATTCCTTGGTCCTTGCCTAATTCATCTATGCAAGTGTAATTTTCTAAAGTTCTTAAATCGTAGATATGTTCTCTTGCTGATGTTACAACACGTTCCGAGCCATTTTTTATTAAGTAATTTAACACTAATAAAGACTAAATAACAAAATTAATTCAATAAATAGAACAAAAAACCTTAATAATTACCTTATAAGTTCTTCTCCAATGTTGTTTATTATCTTGTAACATTCGTTTCCATAACATAGACATAACTTCCGGAAAATGTTCATAAGTGAATGTGGAGTGTGCGAGTTCTTGCATAATTTGCCCAGTTGGGCCCCATGCTTCATCATTAGTGGCTTCTCGAACTTTAGCTTCAACATCAGTGTAATTCATAACAACATTTGTGCTGTAAATACAGTATTTTTAACATACTAATTTCTTGTAGAAGCGATTAAGATTTAGTTATGTTGGCGAGAATGAATAGATTTGATGGAAATTAAGCCATATAAAGATTACATCTGTTTCAAGAAGTGAAAGGATATTTCTCAACTTACACTTTATCCGCTAATTCACGGACTCTCCAAAAACTAAATACGTTCTCCATGGCGTTGATGGTGATTTGGAACCGATATCGAGCGAGTTTTGCTTGAAGCTGAAGGTTTTGAGATATTATTTATAAAATAACACTAAAACGATGACATGGCTTGCGGCCATATTTCTTACATCACCAACACACTGTCAGTGTTGACAACATAAATTTTTAAATCACCATTTTTTTTAATTAATCGACTTTAAAAGTAAAATTTAATTTATTTATACATCTTTTTAATTACATGTAATAAAATTTTATTCAAGCTTTCTTTATTTTATAATTATTATACTTTCACAAATTTGATTTCAAGAATGAAATTTTTTAATTTAAATGAAAACAAATTAAACGTCAAATTTGACAGTTCTCAATAGTAAGGTTATCAATGTAGTATTCAAAGTTCGATTTCGTAAAGTTCCATCAAAAGAATGGCCCCAAACAAGGTAGTTTTAATAGCTTGTGGTTCTTTTAACCCTCCTACACATATGCACTTAAGGCTTTTTGGTAAATATTCCTGAAAAAAATGCGACTCAGTTTCATATTGTAACATTGTTTTTTTTAGAAATTGCTCGCGATTACCTCCAGAAAATGGGCATATGCGAAGTTTTATTCGGTATAATCTCTCCTGTACACGACGCATATGGCAAAAAGGACCTCGCTCAAGCATCACACAGATTGGCGATGGCTAAGTTAGCTTCAGAAAGCAGCGATTGGATTCGAGTTTCCGATTGGGAATGCAAACAAATGGGGCACAGCAGGACATATCTAGTCTTAAAACATCACCAAGATCTGATCAATAATATGATTAATAATAAGTTAAATGATAATGTTAATGAAGAAGAAGTTGGTTTCATTCCAAATTTTGTATTAAATAATTTGCATGGAAACATACAGGTTAAGTTAATATGTGGGGGCGATTTATTGGAATCTTTTGGAATCCCCGGATTGTGGAGTGATGCAGATGTAAGAAATAAAAATAAATTTGAATTAATTTTGTTGATTTTATTGGATCTAAATGTGCTTTCAGATTGAAGATATTGTTAAAACTCATGGTTTAGTTGTTATAAGTAGGGAGAATTCAAATCCACATAAATTTATTTATAATTCCGATATTTTAACAAGATATATGGTAAGATTGTTGTTTAACTTTCAGGTTATATGTTGATATAATTAATTTTTAGAGAAACATACATATTGTTACCGAGTGGATAACGAATGATATTAGTTCAACAAAAATACGAAGGGCTTTAGGAAGAAATGATTCTGTTAAATACTTAGTTCCAGATAAAGTTATTGAGTACATCACAAAAAATGAGCTTTATAATTCTGAAAAAAGGTAAGTAAATATATATTTAAAGGTTTTATAACTGTGATGGGTTTGTAAAATAAAAATGGGTTGATTTCAATTAAATTTTAAAAAAGGCATGATATAGGTTTATTGGTCTATTTATATATTAAATATTTTAGGCCAAAAAAACATAAACTAATTACTCGAGAAGAATTCAGAAAATGCATTTTATGCGTAGAGAAGAAATCAATTCAAAAAATTAAAAAGAAAAAAAAATTTAAAATAATGCAAACGAAACGTTATTGTATTGCATGTCCTAACAAACCCCATTTTTGCAAAAAATGTTTTAATGAGAAACATAAAAATAAACAATAAATAAGTTCTAATGTAATTACTTTTTTAACGCTGCTATTTTTGTGGATAAAACACTAATCCTTTCAAAAAACAGTAAGTATCTTTTACCATCAATCGCACAAGATGGAAATTTTCTTATCCCATCACCAATGGACATCTCAACGGAGTCACCGAGTCCAATAAATCTCAACTGCATCAACTTGTGCAACAGCAATTTATTCAGTAATAGGCAAGAGGTGTTGAAAAAACCAGGTTTGGCAGTCAAAATAATCACGGACAACACTGGCGAACATGTGGTAGTCCATGATAACGGCAACGAGGAGGTACGTGAAACGTCAAAAATTGAAAAAAAGGGTTCATTGATAAAAGCGTCGAAAAGTTGTGTTAGTTTTGAAAAGTTGGAGGCGAAATGGTCGTTACAGGGTAGCAAATCCAACGATGATCTCAAAGGATATAAAAGTTGTGACGAAAATTTGATTAAATTTATTTTTACTAAACATGGTATTCAAGTTATAAGCGATATAGAAACGATTGTTTAAAGCGTTCGTTTTTTATACTTTTAGATATTAGTTTAAAAAAAGCTTTCTTTTGTTGATAACTGTGATTTGTTGTGATTATTTGGAATGCATGTGCCAAATTTGTTGGAAAGATTGTTACTTTAGCATGAAATCCTTTAAAAAAATTAATTAAATTTACTGGGAATTTCATATAACTCGCAATATATTAATGCAATAACCATAGTTACCAAACTACTGTGCACCTGCACTGTCCCACGTAAAATGCAACATAACTTAATAGTGCAGGCATTGGGTAGTTTTGTAAAGGAAAAGTTTTGCTTGGAAAAGGTGACGTCCTTATGATAACCTTGAGTTTTCTAGATCTAGATCTAGTGTTAGTTCTACTTTTCGTTCAATAAAAATATACCACAATCTAACACTGAATAATAATTAAAACTAGAATTAATACTTGACCTAGAAACATTCGGTTTTAGCCATCTTGAGAGACGCACGGCAAAACGGAATGTTTCTAGTTCTAGTATTATTTGTTATTCAACACTAGATTAGTGTATATTTTTATTGAGCTGTAACGGACACTGCGTTCTCCGTATTGATCCGTTATATAAAGGTTTTACTGTTATGTCAAATTATATTGACATGATGCATTTTATGTGGAACAAAGTAAGTAGGTACGCTCTGGTTTGTATGGAAATATATTTTAGTATATTGCATCTTAAGTGAAATTCACGGAATATCTCAAGTATTACTTTAGATTTAGTAATAAACTATTATCTACAATGCATGCCAACTCCATTCTTGTACTTATTTCTGTTGCAGGTGTACCTAGATCGTACTGCATGCCTCCTCTAGACTTTGCGGTAAATATTAATTAAAAAAAAAGCCTAAAATACTACATTGGTCCAAAATAAATTCGAATATAATTTTCAGTTTATTTTGGACTTTTTTTTCTTTAAGCTCCGTGTAATTAGTAGATGTCTATTGTGTCTTCACTGTTTTTTAGACGTTTTAAATGTAAATAGGAATAAATCGTAACTCTTTAAAACAATATTGTAATTAAAACATAAAAACAAAAATGTTCTTTCATGTGCTTAAACATTTATTAAAGATTTTATGGAAATATTTTTTAAATGATCTTTGTGATAATTTTTTTTTATATTTTTAGGTCATTGTTTAAAGGTAGGCGGAAAATAAATTAAAAAAAAACTTTGAGTTGTTTAATTTTATATAAATTAGGGGAATGCTTTTCTTATGACTTCATACAAATTGTTTGTATTCTTTCCTATATTATTTCAAATCTTATTAGTTATTATTATCCCTATTTAAATATATTAACATTAGACATTTTTTTAAACACATTTAATACAACTAATTGTTTTTATTTCTAAGTTAACAACAAATAAAATTAATATACCTGATCAATAACATATCACAATAAAAATAAATTAAACTTAAAAAAAAGCAATTATTTTTACAAGGCATTTTTAAACGTCATCGAAAATGCCTCTAGGAGGTGCACCTACTCTATCTCTATTATTAAGTTGATAAGTATCAATGAAGTTCGGTTCTAATTCCGTCGAACTATCATATCTTTCATTTATAATACTCCTGGTGCTTATACCAAACCGTGAATCAATATCTTGCGATAAATCCGGTGGAAATCTTGTATCTACATCATCAACCTCCATTTGAAAGCGAGTTCCATCATAGGAATCCACGTTATCATGATTTCTTAGTAAATTAGTGTGTGTTGATTCACTCAAATCTTCTCTAATACGAACTATTAAACAATAAAATTTAATAACAATTTAATTATACAAAGTATTTTATAATTAACTTGTATCTGTACTGCTCCTATTTCTGAATCGATTTCCTGGAAAACGTTCTTGTAATTCCCTACGACGACTCATTGATTCTTCAATACGTTGTCGCTTACGTTTTTCTAAATCAAAAAAAATTAATAATCAAATTTAATAAAATAGATAATCTTATGAATACCTCTTTTAAGTAATTCTCTTCCATCATTAATTAAATCAATAGTCATTTCATCATCCCCTAAAAATTGGTGAAATCCCAACATGGATAAAATTCTCGATCCAATACTAAAATAAGTCGCTAGGCAAAATCCTAAAATCGCCATAGGAAAATACACGTTAAAACCATCGGATATTATAGCAATAACGTCCATGTGACCCATAATCTAACCAAAAAACATTTTTTAACAAATTTTTGTTTTATAAATTTATTATTACCTGTGTATAGTGAGTCTCTAAAACTTGTTTTTTAATAATATGACTATCCATATGAATTAAGCCCAAAAAGTTTAAACATAAAGGTGGAGTTAATCTGCTTAACATCATCCCAGAAAAAATTAAACTATATTCGTTAGTTTGGTGGTGCGGAGCTAAATAATAAAGATTTAAAAGTTTTATCTTTAAAACTGTCGAATAAGCGCAGTAACAAAGATATAAAATAACCGTTGTTGATAAAACCTAAAATGATAACATTAATTTTTAAAATTGAGGTAAATTAATAATAATACCTCAATTAAAAAATAATCATATTTTCTTTTAGCGACATCGACCATAATCGCAAAAATAGACAACGGTGGTTGTTTGCTAAAAAAAGTCACTTCCGACCAAACAACAGCAACAGATAAAATTCCAGCAAGAACTGCAAGAATCTTTTTGTAGTATGTGTAAAAGAAACATTTCCAATACCACTCTAAAAATAAGGATTTTTATAATAGTATATTAAAAAACTAGTTTCGTAAGACGCACAAATTCAAGTTTAAAAACGAGTTTTTTAGTGAATGAGTGCTTTAAGTCTTATGAAACGTGTTTCTTATGGTATTTTTTGTAATTCGCGTTTTTATCCTTTTTTTTTTTTAACAAAAATAAAATAAATTTTGACAATGTAGGGAAATAGGTATGCAGCAGTTGGTAACACCGTAACACTTGAAAATAAAAATTTGACAATTTCTAACTGTCAATTCAAACCTCACATCATAACTTGAACTGGTTCCATAAAATATTACTAAAATCTCATTAGAGCACCCGTTAGAGTACTGTAATAGCTGTCATTACCGTCGCGAATTACAAAAATTATTTTTATCTATTTCCCAATTATTTACCAATCACAGAATTATAAAAAATTCGGATAAAACGATTACGTTTCCTATCAAAAGTATGCTTGAACGATTTATCCCGCGAATTTAAATTTTTCATTGTATCCTCTAACTCGAAAATTTTTTCCACCAACAAATTCCATTGAGTTTCCGTTCTTTGTAACACTTGCAAAGATTTAATAACCTAAAATAATTTTGAGGTTATAATCAAACATGTCAAATTTGACGTTTTAAAATATTAATAATTTTTTAACCTGTTTATGGATTCTAATGAATCCCTTTTCGCTAGGACAATCGGTAGGTGTATCATCTGGTAATAAGCGCCGATTCATTCTTTCTTTTAATTCAACAGGAATTTTTTGCAAAATAGTTTCCAAATATGGATGTAAAGAATGTCCGGGTTTCACCGCAACGGACATTGCTTGTAAAGACTGCAAATATAAGTAAGTAATTCAGTATTTATTGCTTAATTTATTACCTCAAGAACATCATCGACACTTTCTTCAGCTTCCGCTTTATCTGAACTTAATTTAGCCGCTTTAAAATATGCATGATTTAAAACGTAGGAATAATTCGAATTATTCCATAAACTACGTGGTACTTGAACTAAGGCGTAGCCTAACAATAAGACTAAAAGGAACAATCCCCATGTATTACTAGCAGAAGAAGCTATAGCCTTTAATTTATAACTAATCAAAAAGTAATTATTAGTAATCGTTAATTAAATTTTGGTTTAAAAATACTACCGATCTAACTGTATTCCAGGTTTAAATGCTAAATACACCAACAACACACCACAAATTAATAAATAGGATCCATAGTAAATGGCGTTATCGATAAAAGCTGATTTTAATTTTCCTTTTATTGTAAAATTTCCAGCTTTTATATAAGATTGCATCATAGGCATCACAACCCTAAAAAAATAAAGAATTTATTTCTCAAACTAAGATAAAAATTAATTAATCTTCGATTTACCAAGTTAAACATTGAACAGACCAATACACAGTTCTCCACAAATTTGGGAAAACCTGCTCAGGCACATTGCTCCAAGGCTCTAAACAATTCACACTATCATTTTTACTAGTATTATTAACATTTAATTCATCTAAATTATGACTATTTTCTTCTTGACATTGCCTATAAACTGTCTACAACACAAACAATAAACTTAAAACTTTTCTTAACCTTATTTTTAAAGACTTACAGATATTACATCAAGTGGTAAAGCAAAAATAATTGAAAAGCTAAAATACCAGGCCAATAAAACAGTTAGCGTAACAATTACATGATGTCTAAACCAATTTCCATATCTGTAAAGAACTCCAGAGGCAATTACAAAGGAGATTAAAAGTTTTGAAATTAAAGGTCCGTAATGCATTTTGATTTAGTTATTTTGATTCTCTTTAATTTCATGTAATGTTTTAATAGCTTCTTTTTGCATTTTCTCCAATTTTTCCAAAGTGTAACTCTTAAGCGGTATCAATCGGGGTTTGCACAGAACCAATTCTTCGGGATTTTCTATTAATAACTGGCCGGTCTTTGGTACTATCGGTTTCAAATCATTTTCGGACATCTTTTAGATGAAATCGACTCATGTCTACGTTAAAATTTTAATTAAAAAATCCGTCGTGTATCGAATCAATTAACGTGTTATCAAGTTGACGTAGATGACAACTGTCAAAATTTCTACGGAAATCAATAGACAACAATGCGACATGGAAAGTCACTAGAAATAATCCGATAACAATTTCCTTTGATAATTTAATTATTAACTTATGGTCATGATTTAATTATGAATAATATTGATTCATTTATAATAGTAAGAGTTTTGAATAAATTGTGTAAATTATTTATTGATTTGTAAGTGGGAGGTTATCGTTTATGCAATACCAACCTTAAAATGCGGAAATAACTACACGGTGGGGTCATCTCTCAAAAAAAGTCAAAACATGTTCTTCTTCGTGTATTAAAACAGCTTGAAAATGAGTGGAATATTTCAATCAGCGCTGGGTTATTTTAGCCAACCGAGCAATAATCAATCAGAAAATAACTTCGTGGGGCAAATACTCGAAATTTCCAACGTTAAATTGAAGGTAAAACGGGTTATAGCCGAAGGTAAGTCTATTGATTTTACTTTTTTCTTTGTGTCTTTACGTTTTCTTACGATTCCAAGGCGGTTTTGCAATCGTTTACGTTGCCCAAGATATCCTATCCAGTCGGGAGTACGCAGTCAAAGTAAGATATTATAAATGTTTTAGGCCCTTTTATTAAAACAAAGTGTTTTTGTTCTAGCGCATTTTAGCTTGCGATGAAGAATCTAAACAAAATGCACTTAGAGAAATTAATATTTTAAAAAAATTAAGTGGTCATAATAATATTATTCATTTCTTAACTGCTACTTATATAGAAAATGGTTCAATTACTCCACATGAATTTTTAATCATCACTGAATTATGTCCAGGTAAAAATTAAAATTATTTTAACTGTCAAAAATGACAGGTCTAATTAATGTGAGGTTAGAAGAATTTTTTTGATTATTTTTTATTTTAAGAAACTTTGGTGGAAATATTACAATCGAGGACTACAGCGTTCGAACCAGATATAGTATGTCAGCTATTTTATCAAATTTGTCAGGCTGTTGCGCATATGCACAATCAACGAGACCCAATAATACACAGAGATTTGAAAATTGAAAATTTACTTCTCGCTAAAGATGGATGTGTTAAATTATGTGATTTTGGTTCTGCTACAACGGAAGTTTTTAAACCAAACGATAATTGGTCATCTCATCAACGATCTACACTTGAAGAAAATGTGAGATTTTATATTTTATTTAGATTAAATAGTAATGTATTGATTATTATTTTTAAATTTATTCAAAAAATAGTTAGCTAGATTTACAACACCTATGTATAGAGCCCCGGAAATGGTAGATACATGGAGTGATTATTTTGTTGGCCCTCCAGTAGATATTTGGGCGTTAGGATGTATTTTATACACCTTGTGTTTTATGAAGCACCCGTTTGAAGATGGGGCTAAGTTGAGGATAATCAACGGAAAATATACAGTGCCGCAAGATCAAAAATATGCATGTTTTCTTGATATAATTAGTAAGATTTTAATGATAAATATTTTATTAATTAAATCCTTAAAATATTTTTTTAGAGGGATGTTTTCAAGTTGATCCAGAAAGAAGATTAACGATAGCTTGTTTATTGGAAAGAACAGCTTCCATTGCGGAAAGTCGCGGGTACGACATTAAAGCACCTTTAAAAATAAAAAAGGAGCCTCCTACAAACGTTGGAGATTCTGTTGATAATGGGGTGGGTTCTGCTAAAAATGGAAATTTACAACAGCCGCAAAGACCTCCACCACCCGTAAGTAATAAAAAGATTTCAATTGATTTAATCACATCTCAAAATGAGATGAAAATTTTATTATTGATTAGATCAAAAATCTTAATAACGTTATAAGTAAAAACGCATTATTTACCGATTCAATTCTTTTCCAACCAAAACTTGTCACACCTTCTTTTTCTAACCACTGTTGAATTGTATCAATTCTCAAATGATACATAATATCGGTTCCTTCAAACGATATTAATCCAACCAATAAATTCTGGTACACAACTGGACTCCCTAAATAAACGTTATTTGAACCCGTACAAAATAAAAAATTTCCATCACAACTCGCCTTACTGAATCCACATTGATTCGATGGCATTATATTCGATTTATCACAATGAAAAATTATTGGATTCTCATTGTGTGGTTTACTACCTGAGGTGTATTGTAATCCATATCCAACAATTTCTACCATCAAGCTGCTGTTATTTAATAATTCACGCATTGTATCGACACTTCCAATATGCACAGTTTGAAATTTTTCGCCTAAATCAACTGGTGAGTCTAAAGTTAAAAGACAAGCGTCGTAAATTGTCAAATCTGCTCGTGTAGGGTCTAAAGTTGCGATGTATGGATGAATTTCGATTTTGGAAGTTTTACGTTTCAACTGGTAATTATTATCGTCGAATCCGAAGTAAATCGTAACAGAATCTTCACTCATTCCATTACAACATTGACCGCTTGTTATTACAATTGAATAGGTTAGAATCGCACCGCCACATAATCTTCGTCCAGACTGAGTATTTCCACTTATTTCAGTGTAATAAGAATAGTTTTTAAAATCGCAGGTTGATTCACGAGATATGATATGTTCATCAATTGGAGATGTTAAAGTTTGATTTTTATTTTCTGATTTCTTTTCAATTGCGTTTGTAGTGCTGTTTGTGTTAGATTGTGTGGTGTTTTCAAACATGTATAACTTAAATAGAGGTAATACAAGTAAAGTTGTGAATAATAACTTTTTTAAAATCATTATGTTAAATGTTTTGTGTCAAATTTGAGTGATTCTTAATTGTGATTGAAAATTATGTAACCTAAATTTTTGAACATAACCAAAACAACCATAAAAAATGTAACTACAGTAATAAAACCTCGATATAATGGAATCAAAATCGGGTTGTTCCCCAAGTTGTTCTATTCCATGTTCATAGATAAACCTGGGAAAAATTCAAGAATCGTCATGTGGCTTAAAAATCGACGATTTTTTTAAATCAATGTGAAATGACCCAAAAAACACGTAAAAAATAAAAAGAAAGTGCGGAAAAGTGTGGAACATACCGAAAAATCGCATTAAAGTTTCGATGTGACGTCACAAGCAATGTTAACTTTGCATATTCCTATTAAACCGGTCAACACCTAACCTACAAATTGTTTATTTTATAGCCATGCACAAAATCAATCTGATAAACTTAAAAGTCAAGTTATTTTCACTAAAGTAGGTGAGATTAAAACGTATATTTTCTGATGAAACACCCTTGTTTTTCTTAGGCTTTCGATGCATAACGACTGACTACCTGTCATAGACTGTGTATTAATAGACTCTGTGTTAATACTAGAACTAACATTAGATCTAGAACTAGAAACATTCCGATTTAGCCCCACGTCTCTCAAGACGGGTAAACCCGAATGCTTTTAGGTCTTGTGTTAGTTCTAGTGATATTGTTAGTGTAAAACTAGAACTAACACTAGAACTAGAAATATTCCGGTTTAGCCGTGCGTCTGAAGACGCCCAATATGCAACATAATGATCTTATGCTAACTAGCGCTACCTACCACTCTCACTAAAACTAACATTAGAACTAGAAACATTCAGGTTTAGCTGTCTTAAGAGACACACGGCTAAACCTTGAAGCTTAATTAAGTGATTTCCCGTCGATTAAAAAAAAATTGTCGATTTTTAAGCGACATGATGATTCTTGAATTATATCTAAACTTGTTTTACTTGTTACTCAGCGCTAGATTGTTGTATATTTTGTATTTAACTAAAGTTCACCAACAATATTTTTATACTGAACGTTGAATTAAATTTAATCTTCGATTTTTATCATAATCCAACTTACTGATACAAATAAACCCGATCCGTATTTTGATAAACCTTTAGATATTCAACATTCGCTTCTGTTAAGATTATTTACTATAAATAAAGCAAAAATGGAATACCAACGTTACATGTCATTGGTTTTTGTGCTAATCTACCTGTTGGTATAATTAATTAATTTCTTTTTTTTATAGAACCTCCAAAATAGTCCTCCACCATTACAAGCAAGACAACCTCATTTACCACCAGACCAAAAGCAATCTTATTATAGTTCCAGTTTGTTTTCATCAATAAAAGGAGGCGCAGGGAGCTTTTTGAAAAATCTTAAAGATACCAGTTCGAAAGTTATGCAAACCATGCAACAGTAATTCACTCATATCTTATATCTTAATAAGAATTTTAATTATTTTTATTGTTTTAGAACGATAGCTCGTACAGATCTTGATATAAGCTACATAACGTCGAGAATTGTCGTTATGCCACATCCATCGGAAGGAATCGAATCGGCCTATCGTGCTAATCACATCGACGATGTTCGTATGTATTTAGATAGTCGACACCCAAACAATAAATATTCGGTTTATAACGTATCTGGAAAAAGTTATGTGGCGAAATTTGGACCTGCACGTGTCGTCGATTGCAGTTTTGCGTACCCGGATCATTTTCATGCGCCTTTATTAAACGCCCTGTATCAAATGTGTGAAGATATCTATCAGTATTTATCTGGCGATAGCCGTAATGTTTGTGTTATTCATTGTACCGTAAGTAATTTAATTGATTTCATTATGGGTCTCTTATTATTTCTTTTTTAGGATGGAAAAGCAACATCAGCAACTTTAGCTTGTTCTGTGATGATGTACGCCGGTTTATATCATATTCCTGAAGATGGGTTGCAACTATTTGCCGTTAAGAGACAACCACCTAACATACGAGCATCCGAATATAGATATTTATATTATTTATCAAGCATCATTCAAAATCCACCTTCTTACCCGCATTATAAACCGTTAACTTTGATCTCAATACAAATGCAACCGGTGCCGCTCTTCACTAAAAGCAGGTTGGGTATTTTACGGAATAAATATAAGTATGTTTTTCCTAAAAAAAAAACATTTCCTTTTAATCCTTTACAACCCTATTTCTTTCGTTGTTAGGCAATAAATATATAAAATCGTTATTTTTTAATTAATTTTTATTTTATAGGGATGGATGCCGGCCATATTTTGAAATTTATAGTGAAAATCGACTTGTTTTATCTACCTTACAAGATTATGATGGTATGAAGTTATATTCAGTTATGGAAGGAAAGGTAGGTGGAGACAAATAAACTGTTAGTTATAATCTTAAATGACGGTCAATGATTTCTGAATGTATCAAAGTTGCTTTTGGAATAAGGATCATGCATTAATCGGATGCATTACTTCTTAAACTCATTTTGCTTATTATTATTGAAAAACTATGACTTAAAAAGCAATTTATTGGAGAAAAAAAGTGAGGTTAGATTTTATTTTGACGTTTAAAAGGTGATTTCTAGTTTAAACTTTTTTAAAGAATTTTTATTACAAAGTTGCTTTTGCAATAAATATGATGCATTAATCGGTTACATTACTTCTTAAACATATTTTGCTTATTATTATTGAAAAAAAATTCATTGGCGAAAAAAGTGAGGTTAGATTTTATTTTGACGTTTAAAAGATGATTTCTAGTTTAAACTTTTTTAAAGAATTTTTATTTATATTTTTCTTACAATTATTATTAAATAAAATGATAAATAAGTCGTTTAGTAATTATACTGTACAATTTGTTTAAATTTGTAATATTTTTTGACATTTCATAAATTAGCGCCATCTCGTAGATGATTCGTATATCTTTTTTTATTAAATTTGAATTTTAAATAATAAAAATTTCTTTTACATATTTTAAAGGTGGTACTCCCAGTTAATATAACAGTTTGCGGAGATGTTTGTATAGTAATTTATCATGCTCGTAATATACTTGGAGGTGTTATGACACATGGAAAGGCAACAGGAATAAAGATTTGCCAAATACAATTTCATACAGGGTTCATTTCTGAAACTGAAACATGTCTCAACTTTACAAAGTAAGTAATAACATCTTAAAATGTTTAAGAAATCTTTAAAATCTTTTTAAGGAGTGAATTGGATGATTTAGCGGAAAGTCCAGATCATTATCCGGGCAAATTTGTGGTTTCTTTAACTATTTTTGTATCAGATAATGAAAGAAAACCTTCCCAACCATCTCCTTGGTTTATTGATAAAACCGAACGTTCTTCGGATACGATATTTTCAACCCAAATGGAAAAAGAGGAAGTTGTTGATAATTTTGGTAAATTTCTCTTTTTTTTACTTCGTAATAAAAAGAATTCTTATTTTTTGGTGTAGTTAGTCGCCCTCCTCGAGATCGTGACATCCCCCCTGTTGTTAAACAACCTGAATCAAAACCAAACAGACCTCCACCGCCTTCAGTTCAACGAGAACACGAAGAAATTCAAGAAGAAAGAATTGAAGATGAAGATGAAGGGCTTCCGGGTCTGGAAGAATCGGTTGATTTATTAAATTTGAATTCGTTTTCCGGTGTTTCCGCTCCAAGACCATCTCCAAGCACAAATTTTGATTTATTAAGCGATTTAAATCCATCGTCAAATTTTTCCGAGTTTATATCCGGTTCTTCTGTTTCCCAAACGGCTTCTACAAACGATCTTTTTGATCCATTCGGAACAAGTTCTTGGTCTAGACATGACGCAAAAGATGAAATAAGAGATGGTAAAGCACAGATACTTCACGATTTTTTGAATATTAGCCAACAACATTTTAATACGGCTCAAGCTCAACAAAAAAATGGTAATAATTCATCCGGAAATGGGTTATTTGATGATTTAAATTGGGGTTCGTCGTCGAATTTGGCTTCGAATGGCAATAATTCTCCGCAAAGAGCCCCACCGACAACTCCACAGTATTCCGCTTCACCAAAAACAACACCTCAGCATTTCGCCAAGTCCCCAAATGAACCGAAGCCTGATTATAGCCGATCCCATTTTGATACGGCTTTTAATAAAAACGATAATAAAGGTAATAAGCAATCGAAACCGAGTGATATTTTTGGGGATTTATTAGGATCCCAAGGTTACCAGTTTTCGGCTAAAAAAGATAACGCCCCAAGAACTATTAATGAAATGAGGAAAGAAGAAATTGCGAAAGATATGGATCCGGATAAATTAAAAATTTTAGAATGGGTAAATTAACGAAAAAAAAAATTTAATAATCGATTTCTTACCGTTATTTTTAGATTGAAGGTAAAAAGGGTAATATTCGAGCCTTACTTTGTACGATGCATACCATCGTCTGGGAAGGTTGTAAATGGCAAAAATGTGAAATGCACATGTTGGTGAGTCCGGGAGATGTTAAAAAGGCTTATAGAAAAGCATGTATAGCTGTACATCCAGATAAAGTAAGAAAAATAAAGAATAAGTAACGATTTATTATGATTCTTTTTGTAGCAAGCTGGAAGTGACAATGAAAAAATGGCGAAACTAATTTTTATGGAATTAAATAATGCGTGGAGTGATTTTGAAAACGACGTCTCACAGCAAAATATGTTTGCAGCGGCTCGATAAATGTTTTAAATAAATTTCTTTTTATTAAATAATTTTTAAAATTAACATTCCACTCCTTCATAGGATGCGTGTTAATCCCCTAAAACGACCTAAACAAAAAGAAAAACTATTAGCTTCTTGTGTATATATGATGTAAAGTCCGTTCCGTTGTTACGTAAAAAGGAATCATTTAAAAAGAACAAAGAGAAGAAAGAAAACTATGAAAAAAAAAGAATTATTTATGGAGAAATAAATAAATGTTAGTTGGAGATTTTAAATTTAAATGTTAAGAAGCATACAATTATAATTGAATTGATATTTATTGAAAATAATTTAATGAGGAACAGATAGGTTTTAAAATGTTAAAGTTTTATTTTTTTAATGGTATCTATTCTTTTTTTAATTCTGTCAGGTGTTTTACCCTTCCTATTACATCTGTTAAATGTATAAAAAATTGTAATGAATCCAATAAATACATAGCACAATTAAAAACATATTTTTATTTTCTTATTCTAAATATGGCACAAAAGAATCTTATGAAAATAACAATAATACAGTAAAACCTCTATATTTTTAAGTCGTACTATTAACATTATCTATTTAATATACCAATATATTTATAAATAAATTTTAGCACTCATAGATTGAATCCAATTCGTGGTATTCCCCGAGTTGTCTATACGATGTATAAATCGTAGACACTCTTTTCCCCGTATTAAGCTGTTATATCGAGGTTTTATTGCACTTTAACGCAAACTTAAAAAAATAATCATAAAAAAGCGTTACTTAAACATTACTATCTTTTAATTTATTAATTCATCCCTGATTATTTTCAATTAGGGTCATAGCAATGGCTGCTCCTTTAGCCGCATCACCCCCGGTAGTGAAAACAAGCGGAAGTTGATAAAAGTGTTGCACCTCGAGTTGTAATACTTTATTTCTTGATAATCCCGATCCGTTTCCGACGATTCGTTCGATATTAGCCGCTTCTAAAACTTCCCTCGGCATCATACTATGTAAATTTTCCAATAACCCGTGACATAAAGCTCTAAAAACTTGGCCCAAACCCAAATTTCCTATGTTAACATTTAAAACTGTTGCTCCGTTTTCCGATAAATGTCTTTCGCCTAATAAAGTCGGTTGGATTCGTAAATTTGAAACGGAAGATTCCTCAAGTCCTAATTCTAAAATTTTTTGCCACACCTTAGCTAAAAGAATATAATCAAAATTAATAATGATATTAAATTAATTATTATTTATTACATTGTGGGACTGAAAAACCTAATTCCATAGTCCATTGTTGTAACATTTTAACAAAAGTCGCTAAAACATTGCCACCATTTAACGAAGCTGCAACAGCTAAATATCTTCCATCAAAAAATGGATAATACTGTACTGGTTGTAAGGAAGATTCTGATGGAATTTCAGGTACGTAATCTTTAGCTATAAAAGCCATTTGGGCGGACGTTGATATGTTTAAAACCGCATCAGTTGTCTCTTGTTCGAGCGTAGCCAAAACGGAACATTGCAAATCGCCGAGAGCAACGCCAACAGGTGTTCCACTCGGAATCGTATGCCAACACTCAGCTAAACAACCAGCCACATCACCGCTTTGTTTCACTTGAGGTAATAAAGCAACAGGAAATTGGGATTCTCCTAAAACATCATTCCACTTCATTTCGACGCAATCGAAATATCCCCAACTAGCAGCATTTTGAACCGACATCACCGGTTTTTTTAAATTACACAACATCGCTACGGCAAAATCTTGAATCGTTCCTGAGCAATTAAATTTTTCTAATTTTTTCGGACGGTTTTTTACCATCCAGAATAATGTGGCTACGCCGTAACCGGTATGAACTGGTAAATGAGATTTAGCAGGTGGCAAATTCGTTAAAAATTCTAAATCACAACGGTTATCTTGCCAGGTGTAAAGGGCGGAAACTTTATCTTCCAATACATTGAAACGGAGAAGATTTCCATCTTTTTCAACACGTTCCCATGCGTTATAATCACTTCCGGTGTCCCAAAGCATTATTCCATGCATTTGACCACATACACCAATTTTTGTAATCTAAAAAGTTTAATTTTTTTAATTTTAATTTCAATAAGTAGGTTTACCATGTATTTTCTAACAAATTTAAGTATATGTTTTTGATTTAATTTATGTGGATAATACCGATTCAACCAGTTCAGGTTTCTGTCTGTCTAAACAGTAAATCGCGGTTGTAAAAGCATTTCTAACAGTCTGTGCCTGTGGCAGAGGAAGAAACTGAAAGTTTAGGAATTTGGGCATTAATAGCTTAGCTGGTTTGTTTACCCAAGTTTCTCATCTAAAGTCTAATGAACATTCTCAGATGGCAGAAAAAGGCGAAATAAAAAAAGAACACTTAAACAATAACATTATCTGGAAAGTAATTTCAGATTAAATTTAAACACAAACTGATTCGTTTTCTTTCATCTTGGAATAAACTGAATAGAATAAGCTCTTTTAGATTTAAAAACCACAATCATCAAACCCGTTAAGTATCCTTAATAAACTAGAATCGGTAATATTGAAAACAGAACGCGTTAAAAGCGATAATCCTAAACAGCACGTCGAAATTGAGCTGATAAATTAATCACACGGCGGGTTTGAACGGTGTTAAAATAAACGATAAAATACACAGATATTTTCATAATAAGGTGAGGTGTGGGTTTAATCTAAAGCACGACTAAACGTACCTGACGAAGAAGATCTTTAGGCAATTTAGCGACGCATATGTTTAGAGCGGATATTATTTTAGTTACATCCTGTTTGTTTCCATCTAATCCTTGATCGCTAGGAACGTTGGATTGGGTGTCTTTATCTTGCTTCGCGATTACTTCTTTCGTTTCCGAATTGTAAACGACTACTTTTACGGAAGTCGTTCCTATGTCGATACCCAAAATTAGTTTTCCAGACATTTTTGTCTAAAACAAGTTTCTTAGGTTGTAAATATAAAATAAAAAAAATTATGTTGGTATCAATGTATTAATTTTGGAGTTTATAATAAAAGATGTCAAAATAAAAAAATTAGGTTAAATCAAGTTAATAACTAATAATTAGTTTGTTTATGTAGGTAAGTTCATGTTAACAATCCAATTTTTTAATTAAGATCAGATTATTTAATTTAAAATCGTCGGGAGTTTTTTTTTCGCATTTATAGTTGGATAAATAGAAAATATGAACGAAAATTAGGAAAAACTCACTTTGGCCATGTTCCCTCCTGTTTTTTTAAGGCACGTAAAGAAGTGTAGTTACGAACTGGCCCGTTTATGATATTATCCTAGATTTTATACATCGCGGCTAAGCAGCTTTTATGAAAATAATCAAGACCCCCCAACAATGAATTGTGTGTTTACTCTATACTCGAAATGAACATCGTTTATCTCGCTTATTAGCTATCGTGCTTGTGTAAACTACCGTTTAACAAATACCATACATTTTTCATTTTAAATCTCCCGCTTCTAAAATTAACACTATTCGCTACTAGTCTAGTAACTAATCATTAAATTAATCAGTGCTCTAAAGGAAAGCGTGATATATATACATTTGTTAATTTTGAAGCTTTTTTTAACAAATACTCACTAAAAAATCGCTAGGAGAGATAAGAGATTTAATTTTTGTGATGTGTAATTCGAAGGTTATGTTATAGAATGTATGAACGGTATTTAAAAGTAAATTATAGTTGAAACGTGGTTTGCGCGTGATTATTTCGTAAGATTTTTTGGAATTCGCTTCTAAATTGACGTATTATCTTTATTTTAGTTAGAATTATTGATTCAAAGCAACATCTATGAACTATTTTCCCTTAACAGAAATAGTGATCTGTTTTACCAACCTCTCATAATAAAACACAATCATTTTTTTAAAATATTTATATCTGTAATATATAAAACATCTAAGTATCGAATGGTTCACATCGAACAGGTACAAAATAACAGTATAAAAAATAACTAACAATAGAGAGAAACATAAATATACAAAACGAAATAAGGCACATTATGGAATATTTGAAAAATGTCACTTTCTAATGGAAGTTTCTGAGAGAGCTTAAATTAAACAATTATTTTAAAAATAATACTATAAATACTAAATAGTGAAATGATAAAACAATACTTTTTGTGTTATTGAACCAGCTGCTATTTATTAGCTCCTAGTTTTTGAAATAAAAATTTTTAAAGCTTATTGCATTAATAAATATTGATATAATCTTACAGAACTTGAAAATGTAATATAACAGCCAGCGTCGAAGTATTGAAAAAATTTGAGATTTAAAGTTTTTTCCAATCTTTCATTTTTTCTAATATCAATGTCGCATCTTGTGAACTATATATGTTAATTCGATTGTCAAAAACGTAAAAACTACCAGGATTTGTTAAAACGGCGTCAATAAAGAGATCAAACATGGTGGTTTGAGTAAACCATTGCAAAAATCGTTTAATTCCTTTGCTTTTCGGAAATAATTTGAAACCTTCCCTCTAAAAAAATAAATAAAAATTAATTATTAAATAATTAAACAAAAAAAAACTTACATCAAAACTGTTATCTTTAATAAAATCTTTGTAATGGCCACAAGTTTGGATAAAAACTCGAATAAACGCGTCGCTTAATAAAACGTTATGTTCATTTTCTGAAGTAACTATACTGTTTGCAGCTACTAAACCTTTCTTCCACGATTTTATTGCGCACTCTGGAAGGATTTTTTCGTCGTCCTCAATTTCGAGAATAATATCTTTTGAATCTAAATCAACTACAATAGCCTAAAACATATTTATAACAAAAAAATTCAGTAATAAATAATTATTAAAATATAATTAATAAACTTACATTTTCAATTTTGTAATCATTAACAACCGATACTGATAAAACACCGCAAATAAGCGGTGCTGGTGCTTCAACGATTTCCCAACGGGTTTTTGGTAAAACTGGAATAAACGCGTGTGGCCATGAAAATGGGTAGAGCACACTTTGCACAGCTTCAATACATGAAGATAATTTACTAAAATAAAAAAAAAGGATAAATTCTTTTTAATATTTAAAAAGGTTTTAATTAGAGATGCACCAGGTACCAGTTTTTGACAATGCCAGGTACTGGGTAGGAAGCACAAATCTGGGATTACACCGGGTATCTTTAAAACATACGTATCATAACCTCAACTTATCCTATTTATGATAGATTGTTGTATATTTTTATTGAACTAAAACTAGATCTAACACTAAACCTAGAAATAGTAACATTCGGGTTTAGCTGTACGTCTCTTAAGACTGCTAAACCTGAATACATGACACAATAAGCAAAGTGACACTTTCACCATGTTCACATCTTTTATTAATTTCTAATTTTTTTTCCACTGTTAAAACTACCCGCGCGGCTAACGCGCTACAGTACAGTACCTACGCAACATGAATTTACATAGAAAGAATAAAAACCATTGTAGTAACACACCATATGAGAAAATAGGGTTATCATCCGCCTGGGTTTCCCCAGATTTGTTTTAGTTTCGGTTACTCCGTTCGCCTTTTTTCGGATACATAATAGATTTTTTTTCTTGAAAACGAATTAGGCGTGGGGGAGTATGTAAAGAATTTGCTGTTAAAATTAAATTAAATGGTTAAATGGTTCACGGATAATCGGTACTTCACTGTATTTGCTTTTTAAATAGAACATCAAGTTCTGATACCTTAAGTATACAGTTTGAAACTGGGAAAACCAGATACCTGGTGCATCTCTAGTTTTAATATTTACCTCAAATGACAACTAATAAAAATAACCTTTCTTTCCAATAATAAATTTTCAAAAACTTTTTGTAATAAATTAACATGTAAGGTTTCACACAATTTTTTCAAATTAGTTTCTTCATATCTCATATCTTGGTGTAATGTTAACACTAAAGTTTGATATGTCACTAAAAGGAAATTAATAATAAAATTAAGTCGTATTAAATGAATAAATTTTACCTTCTGAACAGATGGGACAATTATCTTTCATCCCATTCTCCCCAGATCCTCTTCCTCCACTTAAATTAACAATTCCATGAGGACATGGTTGCTCAACGACGCAAAATGATTTTAAATCCTCCTCGCTTTTCCGATTAATTTCGTTATTATTCTCCAGATCTTTTGGTGAAGTAGGATTTTTTGTGTCATAATATTTTACTTCGCTTTTAATAATTTTACTCAAATCCAACCGGATTGAATGACCCGGTTTTGGAAACTCCAATTGGTGAAATTCCTTCAACAATTCCTCTCGTTGCTTATCAGGCAAACCATGATGAGATTCAAGCTCTTGAAGTATTCGTTTATAAAATCGAGGCGCGCGATGTTTTGTTAATATACAATAAGCTAATGGAAGACAGGTACAAGATCCTTCAGGTAGAACTCTCCGACAATAACCATATATTCTATCTCCGGACTCGTCGGTTACAACTAAGGAGTAACATTGTTCTTTGGCACTATAATTTATTCTATGATCTTCACTATCAGGAAAACATAACTTTTCAATGTATGGAGGAATTTCAATCTAGATGATTATAAAAAAAATTAAATGATAATTTATGCTTTTTCGAAAAACTTACATTTGGTGGAAACTTTGATTTGATGTAGGGACACTTTTCATCCAAACCAACCAATAAACAACAATGAAACAACTGTTTACCAGTCATACTTTTTATAGAAAACGCCCTAACTGTCTTTACATAAATCTCAAATTTACTTTCCTCCCTTTGAACCACCTTCAGCGGTGTTTGTATGTCGCAAACCACCCCATAACGATTTGAAAGATTGTTTCTATCCAAAGATTTCGCTCTTTCTCTTAAACAAACACCGCCACCACGTTTCGTCCTGCTCGGTTCATTTTGTTTGTGTTCGAATGATTTAATTAGATCTTTAACAAAGGCACTGTTCGAAGAATTAGCCAATTCAATGGGCGTTGAAGCGTTTGAGTCGCTATCCGATGTACTAAATGATAAAGATTTGCTTCGATTTAACTCCTAAAATTCAACTCGTTGGAATTTCAAGATATATTTGTTTGTTAGGACTAATTTAGCAGACGAAAATACACTTGTAACAATAACAAACGTACTTGATTTTAAATATGGGTGTTGTGTAGGTGGAAACTTTAATGTGTACTAAATTTGAAGTTATTTTTAGATGAATCAATCAATAAAATTGGCACACCTCATTGATTTCTTATTTTAAACTCGTTTTTTTAGTCACTTTGATTGTTTATTTTGAGGTTATGTTCACTTTAAAAAAAACTTACCCCTTCTTTATCGGCAACGTCATCCATTTTAAAATTCGAATTATTTTCGACGTTTTCAAGACCCAAAATGGGGCTGCTCTGTAAGTAAAACATACTTTTTTAGTTAAATATGCGTTAAAGAACAGTGAATTTGAACGCGTTTGATATCTTCGAAGTTGTCACAACGAATGAAGAGATCAATAAAATATCATACGTGCATCGTGTTTGCAAATGACACAGAAAAAGGACGATTATGGAGTGGGAATTTCCTGAGCAAGCAAGATATGTGTTTAGATTGTGATATAAATTTAGACTAAGAGATTACGCGTTGGAAACCGACGCGACCTTCAGGGAAAGTACCGAAGAGGTCGCAAACCGCAAAGTTAAATTAGGTATGTATGTCGATTTTGCCTGTTAAAACCCCAGCAATACAATCTATATTCTAAAATTAAATTTTGTTAATGTGGCGGGGTTTTATGTAACGTAAAAAATGCCGTTTTAAAATTTCAAATCATACTTTAAATATCGCGGGATTTCATACCATGCGATATAATTGGTTAGTAAATTAATAGATGGCGTCTTCAGATGTCAAAGTTAAAATTTTTTAAAACAAAAATGATAAAATTTATCAATACAAATGTAAAGGTAAATAATCGTATGCAATTGCAATATACATAATAAATACATAGGAAATTCCGCATCATTGGATCAATGAGACCCTTTCTAGCATTCCAAGGTCATTTAGATTAAGAAGATGTGTACTTTTTATTACATATTCCGATGCTCACATGTACCAAAAGTTTAAGAGGTTTCGTAATACACATTGGAGAACCCAATCGTGACCTTGAGCTTTCCTGCTTTTGAACGACTTCGTCTGGTGTGTCTTTCTTAAAATACTCCTAGGACACTTACATGTCAGAAGTGTCGCGGTATAAGTCGTTTAGGAGTTCCTTGTACTGTGATTATTTATTTTTATTTATTCCCTACTTCGCAAATTGCTGCCCAAAGACGGCGCGAGGACGCCCTTTATTGGAGCCCAATCCGGCTGTGGACTACAAGATAGAACAAAGCCACTTAAAACAGGTGATAATCACATGGAAAGACTCAAAGGTAGCCTTGCACTGGAAAGATCTTCCAAGACACAGATGCCTTAGCAAAGGGGACTTAAGGACGTTCTCTGGGTTTTTGACCGGCTACATCTCCCTAAATTATTATCTCATAGCCATTGGACAAGCTGAAGATCAAAATTGTCGACTTTTGCAACGACAAGTCAGAGACTGCTAAACATATTCTGTGTGCGGAGGACGAGGAGACGGTTGAGCATGTTTTATGCCACTGCCCTGCTGTTAATCGTATCAGATTCTCGATTTTCGGGTCGCAGTTTATCTCCCCAAAGGATTTGAATGACTTTTCACCGAGCAAGGCACTTATATTCGTTAAGATGGGTTGCACGGTGAAATTTGATAATGTTATCTATCGATATACAATAGATTTTTGAGGTCGCGGTGCAAGGTTGGTTGATCCGCCTGCCCGATATATGTAATTTATGTAATGTAATGTAATCATGTCCCAGCTATTTTCCCTGTCCCTAATCCATCCAACTCAGCAGTATCAAATTTTTTGTTTCATATTCAATTGATTTAAACTATCAAACACAAATTAGGAATATTTAATAAGAAGTTATTAACTTATGCTTATATTAATCATCATCAGACTTAATCTAACGAAAAATTCAAAGAACTTAATCTCATTTAAGATAAAAAAAAAGTACGCTAATTTAGATCTTGGGCAAAACCACATCAGCGTCGAAGTTAAAGTTTGCAGAAATCTATTCGTGAATAAACAACAAATGGATAATTGATGAGTGCAAAAATGATTCAACTGTGAGTCATTGTCATTAATTATTCTCCTTCCGCATAACATTTAAAGATGTAAATAAAACTTTTAAATAAGCTAACGTTTGTCGCGTTACAATTAGGATTTGATGCACTTTTAAATAAGTGTTTATTTGAAGTGTTAATAGATAGAGAAAAAATAAAACGCTGAGATACCGTTTGTTGTTTATAACGGGTTTTCAACGTGACAAGCACCTTTATTGACTGCATAATCTATAGGTCAATAGAGTGGTAAAAGAGATAAATATTAAAAAGAAGATAACGAGGTTCTCCAAGTTTGTTATCACACTATATTCCCGTTATAGATTTTTTGATATTTCTTATCTACTAAAATATTTAAATATTAAAAATTAAAATTATTTTTAATCAATTTCTTATCACTTATAACTGCAACAATGAATAACATAGGGGTAAAGATAACAACAAAAATTAGCATGCATTGATAATGAAGTATTTAAAATGTTTTAAAGCAAACTCACCATATAATAAAGACTGTTTCTTTGCTCCTTTTCTTTGGCGTCACCAGAATTTGCATCTTTTTTTCTTAAAATCTCATCAAACTGATACGGTTCAGCATAAATCGGTTCATTTTTATCGACAAAAAACGACGACTTCGATTCAACTATCGTTTCATAAGTAGGTTTAGTGCACATTGAATTTAAACATCCGAAATTAAATTTTTGAGATTGATTCGTTTCGTTCAGTCTTTTCAATAAAGGTGATGATGTGGTGCTTTTCGTTAACCTTAAATTATCATCATCAGATGAATAATCAAAATTTTTTTGTTTTTGCAATTTAATTTTATTATTTTTTAAAGCAGTTTCGAGTTTTTCCAACATATATTTCGGATCCTTTTTCGTTTTTGATTGAGTATCATGTTTTTGAAGAGTATCATTGAGCTTTTTTGCGAAATCATCTTCAATTTGTAAAGTTGATGATTTGCGATTAGTGGTTTGAGAATTTGGAGATGAATGTTGGAAGGTTCGTGGCGGTTTCTTCGGAGCTGGACCAGCTGGTAATGGCCGCTTTAAGGCGTTTTTTATCGTATCACTTCCATTTAAAGATTCGGCACTTTTTAAGATATCTATCACGTTTTCGGCTGTTTCTATTTGGTTCTTCGGTTTACTTTGAGTAGTTTCGGTTAATTTCAGCGTTTTTACGTTATGTATTGTCTCTGTAACTTCACTTTTATTCATTTCCAGTTTAAGTTTTCGTTGTGATTTCGGAATTGGTTCTGAATATAACATTTTTGTTACAAGTTGATTTAGGTCATGATTCAAATTTTTGGAATTAGTTAAATTAGCATCATTATTACTAATTACAGAACTATTGTGATTAATTGTTGGTTCCTTTGTGAACTGTATAAGTCTACTAACCGCCGATTTATCATCGTCTGTAAAATTATCATTATCACAGCTTCCCGTCAGTCTTGTATCATCCATCAACCTGAACTTATCAACTTTACTTTTAATACTACCATAATAATGTCTTTGAAAACCATGATCTTTATCTTTAAATGTGTTTTTATCTAATCTAAATGCTGGAGTACGTTTTATATTACATTTTATAGGATCACTTAATTGACACTTTAAATTCTCTTTCATCTCAATCTTTGGTTTTAACTCTATATCGTCTTCAACCTGCCCCAATCCATTATTTCTATCTTCTTTTCGATCTTTAGCTCCAACACTGTGATGTTTCTTAACACCACTAACATTCGTATTTTGGATTGTTGTTGTTTCTTGATTTTCAAAACGCATTTTGATCGTTTTGACCCGGTTGGAATTTGCGGGCGGCTTGTACATTATAAATCACTTAATTTTGAAGTGAATATCGTCGAACATCGTATAGCAAAAAATCGTCGAAAGCTGCCGTTTCTCAAAAGCAACAGGTTGTCAGAGTCAACCCATATTTTGAGGTTAAAGTATTAAGAAAAAGCGAACGAAGGCGGATGTAGAAAAAAAAATAAAACCAATCCGTCGTCCGTTTTAGGCGTAGGTTTTTAAGTAACTTACCGAAGTAGTTTTAAACGAACACAAAACGAATAATACGCACGCGAAAGTCCCGACTGTTAACACTTTTTAATTGATTGATCAAAACGAATGAACCGTAAACGCTGCAAGGTCGGTCGCATTTACATCTTATCCATTTTATTCGTTCGAGTTATTTGTATACAAACATCTTGAGCTCCAAGTTTTACGCGTTGACTACGTTTCAGGCGGTTTTGACACTGATGGTGTGTTTAAATTTGACGTTTACTTGACGTTCATAAGTAATGTTTTAAAATTGCCGATAGATGGCGTTAAAAATTAATTTAATAACTATAATGTTTTTTTTACATATTAGGCACCTAAAAAAAATAAATTATTGATAATTTGTGCATAAATAGTAATTTTTAAATAAATAAGTTTATTGTTGATTTAAAAAATATTAATTTGGTTTGGTAGAGAAATAATTTAAAGAATTAATGATAGATGGTGCTATAACTCTTTACGAAGACTGATAATTATTTAAAAAATTATGATTTATTTTATTCAAAAAATATTTAAAAGATTTGATATTGTCAATTGTGATTTAAATTGATATTATCTAATAAATAATAAACTATTTATTTTATTAATTTAAGTTGTTGGATAAGTAATTACAAAAATGAATGATAGGTGGTGGTGTAACAAATAGGTAAAAAGAAAAATTTATTAAAAATCAAAATCTTACATTATTTTATATTTAAATTCTAAAAAGAAATTGATAAATGACACGTGCTAGAGTTTTAATGAAAATTAATAATTAATAATCGAACAATGATTTCAATAAAGAATAATCATTTTCTTAACCTCACTTTATCAAACGTCAAATAAAAAAATATGTTTACTTTTCGTCAAAATTGAGAAAAAAGGATCAAAAATGGATTAAGGAAGCCAACTCGTAACGTAAGTACATTAATTATCATAATTTTGCCAGAGAAAAATCATAATTCAAGTTCTTTGGGTACTAAAATAAGCTTAACTTGGCATTATGTTTATTTTGGTAAATCGATAAGCTCCGTTTTAAAACCAATTCACGTAGCGTTTATTATTTTGACCATCGAGCGAGTTGGGTACGTAAAAGCTTTTAAAAGACCGCCTTGCGACCTCTTTTGTATTATCGTATGGCTTTGGGCACGGCGCGAGTAACGGTAAAAAGCGCACGTCGTGTCCAAGCAGTTTCGTTTCGTTTCGGCGACGCGGCTTTTCGCTTTAATAAATTGCGATTTACCGCTCCGAGAGTAGAGCTGTTGTGTTTAACTCGCTGCTTTATAAACGTATGCCCCTTTCGCGTTCTAATCGCGCGAGTTTCGCATAATTACCAGATCTTATCTTCATACACGTATAACTGTATGCTTTAGATCTCTACGAACTCCATTCAACGTCTTGGTTACTTCTCGTTTGTCGATTTTATTTTGTACTCAAAAGGTCACCATGAGTGCCATACATCATAAAAAAACTAATCTTGTATTCGTTATTAAATAAGAAATTGTTAAGATTATTGTAGAATCTTGTATCAAAGAGATATACCTAATATATTAACATAAACGGTGCTGTCGAGTCATTACACGTACCGGTAATAATAATGGTTTATCTCGTGTTGCCTGGAGGCTAAGAACGCAGCGAAATAGCGAATTACCGAGAGATGATAACCGTCCGTTTTGAAATAGCAAGACGGCAATTGGTCATAAATTACAAACGACGACCCAAAAATGGAGTCCTTATAAAAGTTTTCTTCTTACATTTAATGACACGAAGCGAACGGGAGAAAGTCTCTCCACATCGTGTCTTCTGCGGCGGCTTTTGGGTTAGTTACTAATTCCACTTATTAACTTGGATATAATGAAAGATAAGAAAAAAAAATAACCTGTCATTTTTGGTAAAAGTATACGCACGAGAATCGTTGGAACAACTTTCCGTATACTTTTTTCGGCCGTTAAACTCATCATCATGAAAAGTTGAAGACTCACGGTCGTGTGCAGAAGATACGTAGAAGTAAATGCTGGGTCGTGTTTGTAATAAATTTACCTTTCTCTGTAAGCGTATGCGTTAAGAGTTAATTGCATGAATTATTGGTAAATCGTGTTTCGACGACTTTTTGACGGTCCATTAGATTGTATACACGCGTTTTCCGTGTTATCCATGCAAAATCTTACTATTTATGTGGATACTTTATTCGAATATGTTTTATGGTTATTTTCGAAAATTTCTTATCATTTTGTGACCTGTAAATAATTATTCCACGACCTCAGTAAAACGTAACGGTTTTCGCAAAGAGACGATTGAATCGACCGCACACAACATACTCGTTAGGGAGACGAGACATACGAGGCCATTATCGCCATTTAGGGTGTACACTTGACCCAGATTTTCGGAACTCTAGCGGCGCTCCGATATAGGAAGAGGTTTTAAATGTCTGAGAAAATGCCACGATTTATACCTGTACAGGTATTGTGTAGACTTGTGTAGACTGTGGATTATTTATTTATTTACAAGCCGTACCAGTTTATAAGAAGAAAAATCGAAGCTTTCTATTAAATTGACAGAATTGAGGGATTTACGACCGAAATCAATGTGAATTAAAGCAACCTATAATGTTTGAAGATAAAATGGTGAGCAATTATGTTTTAATGGACGTGTTGGATTTTGAATTACCCAAGTTTTATGGGTAATGAAAATATAAAATGTTTATTGAACGTTAATAAAACAGGGAGATATTGTTAAAGATGTTTTCTTACTTTCTAAATAATCCAATATCGAATAATCCAAATACATATAAAAAAGGTAGGATAAGGAATTTTTATATATGAATTTTATTGTTATCATTTTTTAGAACGGGCGAAGTCGAATAATCTTGAAAGAAATAGAAGAAGAACCACGTAGATTTGTGAGACTCATTAAATTTGATTGAATTAGAAGTTGACGTTTCGTGCATATTTGTTAACTGATATTGGTAATAAGACGCAACTCTTAACGTTTGTCTGTTTTATGTATGAAGATCAAACTAAATCAGTTTGTTTGTTGCAATACTAGAACAATGTACTGGAATATACTTATTCCAGTGAGCAATTCAGTCACTAGACGGGACACGGTCTACTTTTTCACTCCAGTTCGCCCATTCTAGCGTCACTGAAACAATGTAGACGACCAATCCAGTGCTGGTTACGTTAAACAGTGAACACGCACTGGACTGGATTGACTCGCTGGACTACTGGACTAGAATAATATAAACCGGGCATGAATTAAGTGTATCTACAAAAGGTGCCAACCTTTTATATTTTGAACCTTGAAAAATGACAGTCTGTAAACAAGCCATCTGTATACATGACGTCAATTTTATGATTGGCAAGATATACAAGATGAACAGGATGGATCTTAAAATTGATCTCAATCTATGACAAAGTTACCAGGACACTATCTTTGATTTCGTATTATCAAGTGTATACATTAGATGATTATTATCTCGTTGCTTTGTTCGTTCAATACTAAACTGTACTGATCTAACATCTTACAAAGTGGCTTACAGAAATATAAGACGCCCCATATATAAGAAAGGAAGCTGCTTTTAAAGGTGATTTTCACTTCATATCGCTGTAACAAAAAGCAAATGTAAAAGTATATTTCGTTAATTTTATTATTAATATATAATTAAAATTAAAATTAAAATTATTAATATTAATATTAATAATTTTATATTATCTTTGATATCGAATATCTCGAAAACACTTAAAATTGTTCTGCATACATCTTGTCATTGATCTCATAGTTCAGTGTCTTGAATTTTTTAATTGCTTATCATGGTTTGTTGTAACCTCATCGCATATTTTACCATCCCTAATAGTATCTTTGAATTGATTTTATTTGAAATTGCAAGCTAACAAAATTAGAACATAAATAAATTTATAACTGCTGTCGCAAAAGATTAATTCATTCCGATAAAATAACTGCAACATTGTTGCCAAGTTAAATTTTCTTTTGTTGTTTCATGAGTTGAGGTTAAACCTCGAAGATAATTTTTGTGCGCCGGATTTAACTTAATGCATAATACTGGAAAACCTGAATAAAAATTGGCTTTTTTTCTTTAGGTAAAAGTTACGCAAGAAGTGTGTATGTTTAGGAACGCGCACAAGTATGAGAAGATCGCCATTCTAAATTCGGCAAGACCGGTACTAAAAATAACGCACGGTGGCCAAGAGCCAAACACACTTAAGTTCCGTTATAAACTGTCTCGGGCGTAAAATGCCGACGAGATATCGCACTATTATATTCGCGATAGTATTTAGGTCTGCTCGGTCTACTAAAACGTCTTCGTTAAACCGATCCCAATCTCTCACGGCTTATCTACCTTTAACGATTTCTATCAATGGGTTTCTTTTAAATCGAGCCGTGCCTTCTATCGGTTGCCTCTAATTAACAACCAGCAGATTGAAAGAGATTTCTCTTTCCATATACGAAACATTCTTTGCCTTAAGCAATAAAGAAATAAAAACGAAAAAAAATTTTTTTTAAGAATATATAAACTTTATTTTTGTTATTATTATGTTTGTTATTGCGGTGGTAATCAACTTAATAAATTCTTAACCTAACTATGTTGACGTACTGCAACGATAATACGGTTACGTGTTATCCATTGTGGTATGTAGTCGCATTCCTCAGCCTTAAAAAAGTACGTTGGCAATACAACTTTATATTTTAACTTCATAAGATTTCTTTCAAAAAATTTAATTTCCACCATCAAACTTAATTAATTGAAATATCCTTTTTAGGATTTATAAAATACATTAAAACAGTTACGTTAATTTTTCTAATTTACTCGTTTAATTGATGTTTCGATTTTGCAAATTACAAATTACCACTCGTAAAATCACCATTTTAACGAGTACTTTTCACTCGAACGGAAAGAAACCTACTTTCATCGTATATCGTTAATTTCATCATCCATCCCAGAGGATTAAAATTCATTTTAAATTTTAATTTTTTTGCAAAATAAGATATCAATTTGGGTTATTAAAAAAATCAAATTTGTTAATTCGAATAACTTGTCGGATTAAAACGGAAATCGTTTACGAAACGAATCGAAATGGACTTGAAAGAGCAGGAAACGTGCGGAAAATTAACGGACATATTCTCAATGTTTTGTGGAGCGAATCGAAATGGATTTACACGCCGTTTTTCGAGTAATATTTTATTATAACATGGTGTGGTTTGGAAATTGAATAAAGTAATTTTCAAGTATAGAAATAAAATTAAACGGTTTAAGTTAAATGTAAAAGTATTGATGTTAAATGTTATGTTGGGATTGAAGAGTTAGGTTAGGTTATATTATTTATCTAGATTAGATTGTATTGTGTTTTCGAATTCATTTGACCACGCTGCTGGAAAATTCGACCTAAAAACTTTTCATTGTCCTGGTGATGCTGAAAATGTACCTTCACTATGATGTAAATTGTAAGCATCCAATTCATACATTAAGTGTAGTTTTATGGATTTAATTTCCTGCATATGAGATAACATATCAGACCATTTCGAAAAATCCTGGTTCCATCGCACTGTTATTAGAACAAATCGATAGAGATAGAAACAGAATATTCTGGAATCAACACTGTTTGGTTTAGAAGATTAAATAGTTTCGTACTCGTCCAAAACAAATTGATTTTCAAAAATATATTCCAAAATATTCATGACAAATGAATTGTGTATGAGTTTATTTTAAACGATAGCTACACCTAGGTATCTCCAAAAATATTTATCTATAATTCACATTATGTATCTATTTTTATATAAAACTAAAACGCCGTGTCCCAAAGTCATAGCCTTGTTTATTAACAAAAAATACATATCGAATTTATTCCAAGAACTCTATCAACGATATAAACCCGTAAAATTCTGATAATGACCTTGGACGGTGGCGTTAGTAAAAATAGCGCTCGGGAACCAGAAGCAACGAACCCAGGAGAACTTTTTCCTTTGCCAACTGGCCAACACCGCAACCTCATACGTCTCTTTCCGTCGACGATGATGATTTTACCTTTTGGAAACCTAACAAAAGCCTTTCCCACCGCGGTCGCGACATTCAAGACAATAATACATTCAAAACGATTATAATCGTTTATAATTGCGGCTTATAATGTTGCAATTTTCTTATTCTTACATACAGAGACGTCGCGGTCAATTATTAAAAAAACGTACTTTCCCGGTTTCTAACCGTCGCGCCGCAAATTATGCGCTTTATGCAACTCTGAAACGTTGCAACAGAGAGTCTCTTTTTCATTCCCCTCGTCGTTTTCATATAGGTATCGTTACATAGGCGGATAGAGTAAGACCGTATGCGGGTTTTGAACCCAACCACCATAACGTAATAACCAGGTGTGTTTATGTATCTCTTATTCATTTCAAAAGTTTATTAAAAATGTATTCCTTTCCAAAATGAGTCATGATTTATGTTGGTTTTATAAATACACATAGAAAATTATTAATGATAGTAATAATAAATTATTATTATAATATAAATTTATTATCAGAGATTACATTGCTAACAATCGGTGTTGAATCTTTAAACCCAGCAACCGCATTTAATTCGTTAAAAGATATTATTTTCAGATACCTAGTACAATTTATTGGGTAATGAGAAAGTTTCACATTTTAGGCCTCTCATTTACTATCATCGATGCAACTTCTAGTACCTAGTTGGACTGTACATTAAAAACACAGTCAATAATAATATCATGGCAGTAATCTACAACTTGTAGTAAGAAGCTTTTTTGTCAATGCCCTGAAAAGTTTACAGTTTATAACCCAAAAATGCATTAATATTGTCATAGTTTATCTCCCAAAGGTGGCGGTCACTATGACACTAATAGGCTTGTCGTATATAAGAGAGAATAATTTTAACCCTTCAATTGCCATCGGTATTTTAAAGTCCTGCCACTTTTGAAATTCATTAAGAACGTTTATTAACGTTATATTGCTTGAATGTGCCAAAAGCACTTGTAAGGGTCATTTTTAAATTAGGAAAATCGGTTTTGTTAGGTTGGTAGTTCGAAATAACACAACATTCACTGTATAGTTTTTTTGTAGCAATTCGACGGAGCACTATATTCCATCAAGCATATTGGTAGAGATTAGCTTGAGATATCCATCAAGCGAAGCTCGAGATAATGGAAGAGCTACTCGTCGCATACCCTTTTCGCCACAATTGCACAACGGCTTCCAGAAAGAGGTACCTTCCCCGCCTGCAGGAATGAATGTGATGCTCCAAGGAGATGCCGCATTCCCGAATTGGAAGAGGCTATACTGAATGCATGAATGTTCTGCATGAACAACAACTACATCCATACCTATTACTTGTAAAAATGGTCGCAAAATATTGTCTACTCAGTCCCATCTACAAGCCCTAGAAGATTGTAAGAGTATACCGTTTACTTTCTGTTAATTTAATTTAAAGTAATGGTAAAATTAATGGTCGCTGGCTCATTCATTGCAAATAGATAGAAAGTGGTTTAAAAGCACTTAGCTTATTGCCGTGTAAGTGTTTTAACCTAACAATGAGCCGATAATTTGTGCAACGACACTGCAATGTTTAAGAGCCCCATGAAAAGAAAAGAAATTTCCTCGTATACATGTTCACGGTGATCATCCGGTGTGTGACAGAAACGCGACGAAGAGAAATCAACTAATTAACCTGGCCGAGGGGCGCGCCAATTGGCTTTTGTTTCGGCGTCCACTCTCATCATCCTTTACGAATCGATAATTACTTTCGAAATGTCGGTTCCATATTCCCGTAAGTTCTATACCGCAGCTATTAAGTGCACTCGATTATTGGGATCTTGGGAAAGCGGATGTCGAAGTTTATGATTCTGATTTCTTCTTAGAAAGCAAAATTAGAAATGGTGGTATTTAAAAAATTAATTAAACGCGCCAAAATAAAAGATAATAATCTTACGTTAGTTAGATCGACAAAGCGTAATTTAAATAACTTAAAAATGCAAACAGGAAGTGTCTTCATCATCACGAAGCGATTATTGTTTGTAAATGAAGCGCGCGTAAAAATTTCAAACAAACAGTTTGAAGTTAGCGGCTTTCAAAACGGACCAATCAGCTTGCGAAACGCGATAACCCTCTTCTCCCACCACCTCGCCGTCCATTCCAATAACGCCCTCTGTGCGTCAATGTTAGCCTTCGAGTTTATTCAATACGTTTAGTCGATCGTGCGCAGTCGTGGTATGTGCACACAGAACATCCGGTCGGTAGAATAGATTCACCGCGGTCGAATACAACAATAAACCTGACCGTTTTTATGTCGTTTTGTGCATTCTTATTCGCAAAATGTGCTCTCGTTTTAGTATAGTTTAGATAATTGAAACATTCGTTACAAGATTTAATAAGAAAACAACAACGACAAGGGTAAGTGGTTGCTATGTAAAAAGATAACCTCAAAAAATCAGTTAATAAAAATGGCTGATTATCTTCTTTTTATAACGTTTAATTTAGCTCAATTTTTATTTAATTTTGGATTGAGTGGTCTGTTTTTTTGAATCGATAACGGTTTTTATTCGACGCGTGTGCTATAAATAGCGCCCAAGGTTGTGGTGGTTTCGAGAAAAAAATTAAAAATATAAAAATAATAAGAAAAGAGCGTAGGGTGATATTTGTTGGTATAAAAAAATATTAATTGTAAGTAGTAGTATTAAATTGTAAGAGGTGTTGAAAGCAACCTTGATAGTTTAATAACCCATAATGGGTTCGATTCTAGGCCTACTCGACTTATTTATATTTTTAGGTTACAGAAAACAACTGCATTGTTCATTGTAAATTTAAACACGTGTTTTGCTCAGTTTTTCGTTAGCTTTGAACCTGGTGTTTATTGATCTTGTTTTCAAATGCGGTATGGTGGTTATTATTGTATGTTTACATATTAGAAAATTTGTAAGTATTCGCCTTTTCTCTTATTTATATACATATACCAGGAATTTCATATAACTCGCAATATATGAATGCAGTAACCATAGTTACGAAACTACTATGCACTTGCACTGTCCCACATAAAATGCAACATAGCTTAATAGCACAGGCATTGGGTAGTTTTGCAAAGGAAAAGTTTTGCTTGGAAAGGTGGCGTCCTTATGATGACTCTGAGTTCTACTTTTCGTTCAATAAAAATATACCACAATCTAACGCTAAATAACAATTAAAACTAGAACTAACACCAGACCTACAAACATTCGGATTTAGCCGCACGTCTTTCAAGACGGCTAAACCCAAATGATTCTCGTTCTAGTGTTAGTTCTAGTTTAAGCGCTACCTAGCACGGCAAAACCCGTCCAATAGGCAAGTGTTGATGAGAATTTGCAGAACGACATTCAAGCTACAATAGCTTTAGGGCGATCGTTACCGAAAGATGGTTTTAGTGACATTCAACTGTCAGATATTGAAAAGCTACTTGGGTCAAATGATTTTAAATTGACACAGGAGGAGCTGGAAAATTTAGTAATTGATGATAATCATGAATGAAAATAACGAAAACGATTTTCCAGTTATGTTAACTCTCAAAGCAAATATGTTGATAGAAAAGGATCCTATAACACAACGAAGTTTAAAGGCACATCATGAGATCTATAATGCCTTAACACCATAGAAACTTTTGCAACAGACACTTCAAAATGAATCAAAAAAGCGCAAAATTACAGACTTTTTATACTAGATGTATGTTTAAACTGTAAATTAGCTCCAAATTTATTAATTTTCTATATTTTGCGACAATGCAGCTGAGAACTAAATATAACAATCTTTGTTTTTACTATATAAACAATAGTGTATTCATTTCGTATCACTAATAAAATAATACCATATAATTCAATACTTCAATTTATGCGATTTCGATTTATGGACTACTGTATAGTAAGTAGGTGTTAAAGTATAGATAAAATGGATTCTTTGTATATTTTATCAACCGTGTTATCATCCTAGTTACAAATATTTAAATTATAATTATCGAAATTGTTTTTTTTAGTATCCTGATAAACTATCTAGGAGATAGTTGTCATGGTTACTTCAATTTTAAGCGCTGAAAAAATATTTTTATTTTTGATAATTGCCACTTTCTTTTGACTTGTTTTCAAAGAAATCTGTTTTAGTATAATCATAAAAATAGCTGACCGTCTGGTTGTTCGAAGGGTATGTGTTCGTTATACTCAATAATGAACGTTTAAACTGCGAGCTTATTACAAACAATAATTGTTTCAATATAGAAGTACCGCCATCCGGTGCAATTTATTTTAAAATTGCTTATAAGGACATCGCGTGATTTAACCTTATTAAGCGTCTGCATTTTTTTTCTTTCAATATACTCATCCTCTTCGTTTAACCTTCTCCGATATTTTGATTAGTTTACGTCTGAGTGTTCCATTATCGAGATTAACTTTGTTCTACAACACATAAAATAATAGCGAAACAAGAACTTTTAAATTAGATAAAATTAGATTACATTACGGAAAGTATGACACAATTGGGTACCAAGTTCTCCACACTTTGTCGACGTCATACAGGTTGTGCCAAACTACTCTGCCGGTTATTTTGAACTTTTGCAGGGAGGACTAACTTGCCAAAATAGTTGACTGTACTTTACGTAGTTGTTGCCGAATTGACGCACGTGTGAGGATATTTAACTTGATTATTAAAGTTTTGTCAGGAGTTTATTCCGGTTTTATTTGCAAACGGTTTTTTTTATCTATATTATTTTCGACGTAATAATCCATTGTATTTTTGAATTGTTTTAGGTCACCCCTACGAACTTAAATACTTTAAACTTAATTTAATTAACGGGACATGTATAAAGTGGTCACTCATTGGAATGATTATAAATCAACTTGACAGAACTACTCTCTTGGGAGTGGCATAGAATTGCAAAGGTTGCCTCCGGCTGCTATCGGATTCTTCATACTTAATTACAACCAACTACTTTTTATCAATGAAATTGTTACTCTACTTCACATCATCAATTTTTCATTTATCATTTCGATAATTTTATCAACAAGTATACAAAATTTACTCACTGTTGTGAAATATTTAAGTAAATTTCCGATTAACCGTGACTTTTCTGTTATGAATCATATTGACAGGAAGTTATCTGTTACAATCAGTTTCAAGGAAGAATTTCACAAATCAATAAGAAACAAAATACGTTAAAACGTTGCATTAAATCCGTGACGCCTACGGGATCACGTTACTATATTTAATTCTAATTATAATAGTGACACGGTGGATTACGTTCTCGAGTATAAATCGAAAGGAAATCTGAATGAAACCGTTCTCGAGGTGAAAGATAATAATAATCTTCCTAGAAAATCAGCTGTGTGTACGTCGGCGTCGTGACTCAAAAGTTCTTTAGATTATAGACGGAAAAACGAGCTACAAGAAAATTGTTGTATGTTGTACGTAATCGGTTAACAAACCGCCAGATGGTGTTTTCGCTCTAATTCGCTAAGTAACAGCGTAACATGATAACAGCGCGCACAGCCCCACGGTTGAGGTCGATAACAGCACGGAAACAGTTTGCATGGAGATTGTTGGACAATGACAACAAGATCGGTGCCCTCTTGCGTACACTGTTCTCCGAGTGGTTAACACGAGGTCACGTGAGCATTCGGTTGTATTGATTTTAAGTAAAACGAATAATTTATTGAAATGGAAACGTTTAATTGAATTTAATTGTATAATTGGAGAAGAATTGGATAGAAAGAAATGGGAGAAAGAAATTGGCCAAAATAGTTTTTGGAAAAGTATCAAAAACTTTAACGATCACCTCAGATAAAGATGTTTGGTCGATTCATGCGTTTAACTCATTCCGAATTATTATTCATTGGCTCTAAAATAAGCTGGCTCGTTAGGTTTAACGCCAAAGATAATAGTATCTTTGAGCTATGTACTACAAAATCGAAAACATTTTTTGTCATTCAAAAGAATAACACGAATTGAAAATACCCATATAACAATTTCACCTGTATGTATAATAATTTTGCAAAGAATACTTAATAATACCACAAGTGCAAAAATTGGTTGTTTTTAGTGTAGTGCTTGCATTAAGGCCATCTAGTTTCTCGGGGCATAATTCCGTTTTGCGTGGAAAGTATTAATGGTTTTTAATTATATTATTATGACTTAATAGATTTTTTCCTGACCAAGAATTGAGGTTTGGTTTGATTCTTTTGTTAAATTTGCGATTTTTAATATCTCGTGTTACTGCATCTGTAGAAGCATCAACCGTTCGATCTGGTTCTAAGGAAATCATGGATCCAAAAATTTCGTTAAATGTTCTACAAGATGATGAACTGATACTGACTATCATCAGTAAACCATTCCCTTAAAGGTAATTAATGGACTCTCATTTTTTGATCTATGTGCTAGTCTAGACTATGTAGTAGTCTACTTAACCACTTAAAAGGTTACCTCCATCAGTGGAATGATTGTCATTAGATTCTTAGAACAGGAGATTCAATGAAAGGTCTAGGCGGTCCATCAATTTGACATTTAATGGTTTTAACAGGTGAACATATCAAATCAGTTCTTCTGATGTCAGCATGTCCAGAATGAGCATGAATTCTAAGAAGTCCTTCTAGGGAGTTGGAGCTATTCAGCTTCGTTGCCATAACCCTAGACGTGGTTATATTCAAGGAGGTGTAACAGATTTGAGTTAGATTCGTTAGAGGAGCTTGATTCAGTTTCAGTTGATTCCAGTGAAAGTGTCAATGGTCTGAAATCCGACTCATGAGTCTGCATGTATATGTGGTAGACATCTATCGTATAAAGTATGTAGCAACTTGGTTTGAACCTTTCTGCTTATAACTGAGAAATTTTAATGATACAGATTGAAAAGATGTAATTCTACATGTTTCTATCTTTTTAACTCAATTAAAACAGAACGAAAAGAAAAAAGAATTCCAACCCACTTATTAATATGATATTCATTCTTATGTAAGACACATATCGAGATTTCGCACGTTTTGCCATTTTCCCAATCCGACATCAACCATTCAAAACCGATTACGTAATTTGGAGAGCTGAGACCGGTCTGTTATTCATTCGTACACAATTAGATAAAAAATGTCGGGTCAAGGTATTGCGTAAAAAGAAAGAAAAAAGAAACATGCAAATTCCGGAGACACTTTCGGTTTTCTTCTTGTACGGATAATAACAGACGATGTCGCACTGCGGCCGGCTGGCCGGCGCAATAACGGATATTTTGACGGCCTCGTAACGTAAGAGTTTCCCCCTATTACATTGCTGCTAGTAGTGAGAGACTCTTGAAAAGAGCTCTTGCTTTCGCTGCAAGTTGACCTTGAACTGAACGACAACCTGTGTAATCTTGGTTCTTCGTTGTAGGTACTTAAGAGCGCTTGGTCTCTGGTCTTCTTTGTATAGCATTTTTAATAAAACATTTCACTTAGTACGCTTTAGGTGAAGAAGAAAATGCAAGCAGGATATTATATGATTAAAAATATTTCTTTGTTGAGTTATGATTATTAATTATTCTTGAGCAAGATTATCAATTCAAATTATTGCAAAACGCATTCTTCTTATCCTATTTACCGTAACAACATCCAGATCGACTTGCGTGTCGAGTAATTACGATAGTCAAGCTTATAAAAGCAATTTCGAAAGCACAACAAAATGACTAACACAACGTGAATGTGTTAAGACATCGACATTTTTTTGTTTTACGATTCATTGACGATTATTTCCTAGATATCGTAAATTTATTTACGTAAGAAACCCGACCACCGACATTGCAACTATTTAAATTAAAAATACACTTACATACTGAAAGTTAAATCATGTCAATAAACTTAGACAATGCGATCTTCTTCCTAGAAATATATTACAAAGAGAAAAATCTTGAAAAACGTACAAAAAAAATTTTACTTAATACGGAAAGAAGTGTTGACTCAGATTTCTTGGTGGATTTTCTTGTGCTTTGTCGTCTGGCGATATGCGTCATTATTTAGTTTTTTTTTTCGGGCAGAAATCGAAATGAGGTTTGTGTAGGTTTTCGGAATCTTCGCGAAATTTTATGTTACGGTTCAAACGGCACCTGCGGCCGTCGTTGTAAGTTGTTGATGTTGGTGGAGAGAGAAAAGGATTTGTACAAAGGTAAACGGGTGTCCCACGCTTTCGTGAGTCATACTCTATTCGGTATTGAGCGGCGGGAGGTGTGCGTTTTGGAGATGAGTTTATGAATGTGGGAAGAGAAAATTAAAATATGATCTATTGAAAAATGTTGTGTTTTTATGAAAATATTTAATTCTTTTAAGTGTCAACGGTAATGATCCACCCACAATAATGACCAATATATTTAAAATAATCACTTCACACATTTTTTAAACCTTTTTTTCTACAAACACAAAGAGAAGTGATTATGATAGTGCATTGAGATTGATTCCGTCCTTCGGAGATGACGTTAAGTCGTTGATCCCCGCACCAGTCGTGCATCTCTGTTGTCGTTAGTACTCTTAGGAGCGGTTGAATGAAAGCATTCGTCAAGCCGTCTGGCCAGCTTGACGAATTATTAGATATCCTTCTTATCATAGTGATTTAAGGCCATGAGACCAGTGGACCTATGTTCAGCAGTGGAGACCAAAGGTTTAAGCAATAGAAGATGAGGTATTACTTATAAAAGATTAGAGGTTGCTAATATATGACTAGATTTTCTTTCTAGAAGCCCAATACAGTTGAGAGAAAACTGCATATATCTGATGGGAGTCTATATACCGTTATTGATTGCTAAAAAGCTAGTTTAGGTACTTATAATGGAAGATTTGATATTGCTTGCAGAAGACCAGATATAGCTAATGGAAAGTGAGATCTTCTTTATAGAATACCAGACATAGTTTGCAGAAGATTATGTCTATATACTGCTAACGACAAATTAGATACTGTTTGCAGATGATTAGATATTGATACCTAAAAACTAGATACTGTTGCTAGGACACTGGGTTTGGTAGCTGCAAATGAAAGACTAATTGCTTCTAGAATAATAGACACTGCTATTGGAAGGTTAGATACTGTTTGGATACAACTAGATATTGCTGACAAAACGCTAAATACTGTAGCAAAATGCTAGATGTTGCTAGTAAAATACTAGATACTGTTTAATGACTGGTTAATGACTAGATCATCTTTGTTATTGTTTGCAGATGTTAGACATTGCTAGAAAAGTATTATATGCTGCAAACAATTTCTCCGAAACAATAAATTGATGTATTTAATACACGTATTTGACCACTGTGAAGATTAGTGCTCAAGTAAGAAGTACACCTAGGTCAACGAACTCTTTTGATCCATTGTGATAACCTCTGACATTGATTGTTGCGTCATGTTGGTTTAATTCATCACTTTCAGATGCTATCTACAACAGCCAACACACATTTTTTTGAAAATATACCAACACAATATCGGCACACATAACAAGAACAGCACATTCTCTTTTAGTAGTAAATTGTAGAACATTGCATTATTATCTGCAATTCTTAATTTGATGCATACCATGAACGCCAAGTAATAGAAGAAATCCATAGTATTCATGCCGCAACTTGAAGTGGTGTTATCTTTCTCAAACTGATTCTTTTTGAATTTATGTAGTGTTAAAATTAAATTAAATTTCTACCGTACACACTTTATATAGTAATAATAAAATAAAATTGAAAGTAAAATCTACATTTCTTATAAATTAACTTCTTAATGTAGGCATTTAAATTCCGTTAATCTCTCTTATTAATAAAGTTAATCCACTTTCACTCGTTTCTATCCACCATTAAGAACCCATTTGCATTTAAAGAATCTTCGAATTTATAAAAGGTGATTTAAGTTACATTTAACACTCATAGTCAATTGTCTGTGTGTATATCTAGGTATATTTACACAGCTTGACAACCAGTTTTCTACGGCTTTCTTCAATTAACATGACCCTACCTCTTTGCTACTGTCGGTTAAGAAAACCAATTTCACCGTTTTTTCTTTCTCAACTAGAAGAAAACTTCGAATTGAGAGCGTGCGCGTGTTAGAAAATTTATTTGCTTTTAAAAAATGTTTACGAGGCAATTGCTCTTTTTTTTTTTTAAATAAATCTTTTTAGGTTTCGTTTGTGTAACGTGAAAGTTTTTCACTCGCTTGCATTAACACCTAAGATATAATAACACTCGGGACTTATCATATATGCAAGAAGGGAACGGCTTGTTTACTGCTTAGGTATTGTTTTCAAACGACGACGTTAGAAAGTCGGAGATTATTTCTTCTTTTATAAACGTTCTTATTTGGTTGGGTTTAAAATACACATATTTGGTTTCTTTGAGGTTTGAAAACTATCTCGGGACATGAACGAGAAGAGAGAGAATTCACTTATTCCGTTTGCGTACGTTTTGTACAACCTGAAAATAGAAACTGTTCAAATGCCTAAGTATAAGTGCGGATATTCGTTGATTCGTTTCATGCATTTTAACGCGTTACGTGAGTTTGAAAGATTGTACTTTGCATCTTAATTAATCAAAGAGGTTATTGATTTTATGTTATTTACACTAAAAAAAGAGAGTTGAGTTTGTTTATTATTAAGTGTAGTAATAAAATTCAAAGAACTTGACGTAAGTTTTGATTCATTTTAAACAATTATGTTTTAGTAGATAAGAAAATACACAGTTGAATTGTTATACGCAGTTTTTATGATGCTGCTGTTACATCAACTGTTCGAGATTTTTCTGTACCACTTTTATAATACTTCTAATCTAAAATGTTTCATCAACCCACTCTATTTTTTTAAACGAAGTGATATCTCGTCTTATCCGATTTTATTGATAAGATTTGATAAAAAAAATAGTAAGCCATGCTATAAGGGCTTGAAAGGAACCGTCATTTTCGGTCTTTTTCACGTCAAAATCGCCACTCAAAACGGTCTAAAAGTTGATTTGTAACGATGGCTAAATATAGCAAGTAGCAAAAAGTGAGTTTATAAACAAATTTCTTTATGAATATTACGATTTTGAAGTGTAAATTTGAAAGTTGTATCAAAAGTCTAATTTTGATTTTGTGTTGTTTCAGCTTGTTACTACATTAATACACAACACTGGGGCGCAACAATAATACAAGCGCCACGATGGTGGACTATTACAGGGTTCTGGAAGTCCCGCGTGGTGCTACCACTGCAGATATTAAAAAAGCGTAAGTAAATTCATTATTCATTTATTTAAAAATATGTTGTAATAATTTTTTTATCTGTTTAGATACCGTAAATTGGCGCTTAAATGGCATCCGGATAAGAACCCGGAGAATATGGATGAAGCTAACAGACGATTCAAAGAGATTTCAGAAGCTTACGAAGTTTTATCAGACGGTGAGTCATTTAAGTAGAAAAAATGATTTTCAAGTTAATATTATAAAAAAAACAAATAAAATGTAATGATTACTTACTTTCGTGGTAAAGTTAAAAATTTTATTTGTAATCAACGACTTGGAATCGGTGAAATTTAGATTTCGTGTGTATTTATTCCGTTAGACACGAAGAGAAAAATCTATGACACGAGATCGACTGCTCAAAGGAACAATCCGAAATCATCGAGGTCCTTCAGGAGTTATTTCGATTCGCACACGCCCTTCCATCGTTTCTTTGGTAGTAGAAACCTTTCGTGGTTTTGATTTTTTTTTTTTTTTATTTTATTTTATTTTCAATAGGAATTTTTAAAACAATTAACTAACCAAGAACGAAGCAATGTGTTAACATAAATCAAACGATTTTTCGAAAGATTCGTTCTAATAACGTTTATTTTATTTTTCTTATTTTGTGCTATTAACAATATTTTGACGCTCTTCTTGTTTTAACACCACATAACGATTTAAAAGAAATATTTTAACTTAATAACAAATCTTTTTATTTTTATTTTCGTGGTCTTTCTCGAATCAATTATTATTGGAATTTAGGTTAGGTTGGATAATTTATCACAGGACATAAACAGCTTGGCTTTTTTGTTACCAAATTTCTTAAAAAAAAAATTGTTTGGTATTTATCCAACTTATTGAACCTCTTTTTCTTTTTTTTTCAGAAAAGAAACGAAGGGTTTACGACCAATATGGCAAGGACGGTTTAATAAACGGCGGCGGACCAAGATCTAGAAGTCGTCACGATGATGATTTCGATATGGGCTTTGGTTTCTTCTCGTTCCGAGACCCAGACGAGGTCTTTAGGGAATTTTTCGGAGGCACACCTTTCGCGGATCTCTTCAGTGGTGAGTTTTAAACGTCTACAGGGTAGCAATAATAAATTCCTATATCTAAAAATTGATTTTTATTAATAATTAAAGTTGGATAATCTAATATGAATGAGTGTGGACACAAAGAAATTATTACCTACTCTGGTATAATATTCTCTTTTTTCTTATTGTTCATACTCCCCCATCCCAGTCTTAACCTTCTTCCAACACTCTCTCCTTCCAGTCTTAACCTCCCTCCAGCACTCTTCCAAAATCTTAAAGACTCTTTGCTCCAGCCCATCCTCGTACTTTATCGGCCTTCTACCTGCTTCCACTCTCATCTTCTCCAGCTTCAGCTCTTCTCTCACTATATATCTTGGAGCCTCCCTGCTCAACCACAGGACCCACTACCAATATCTCTTCTGGTTCTCTTCCATCATCTTGTTGTCAGATATCTCGGAGTCTGCCTGCTCAACCTCAGGACCTACTACCAATATCTCTCCTGGACCTCTTCCATCATCATCTTGTTGTCTCTTCCAGAATCTTAGACTCACCTCTGCTCCAGCCCATCCTCGTACTTTATCGCCCTTCTCCCTGCTTCCACTCTTATCTTCTCCAGATATCTTCTCTCATCATATATCTCGAAATGTCTCTGCTCAATCCCAAGATCCCACTACCAATATCTCTCCTGGATCTCTTCCATCATCTTGTTGACTCTCCCAAAATCTTAAAGACTCTCCTCTGCTCCAGCCCATCCTCGTACTTTATCTTCTCCAGCTTCAACTCTTCTTTCATTAGATATATCGGACTCTCCCTGCTCAACCTCAGGACCCACTACCAATATCTCTCCAGGATCTCTTCCATCATCTTGTATTTTTTCCACCCCCATATTTCCGCTCCATATACACTCCTGACCAATACATCAAACATTATTATTTCCCGCCTGCACAAATCTTTTCCAAATGTTCATTCCCCCCGATCTGCCCCAATAATCTACTTGCCTTACTAACTCCTTACTCTATCTTTCTGGTTCAGCCATCCATGGCAATAAGATTATAAAAATATCTGTCTTTAATTATTAATGATTATTATGACTTTGATTAATGATACATTTTTCGGTTTAAATACTGCACAAATCACTGATTTCAACACCTGTACAATTTTAAATACCTTATCCTCATTAAAAGTAAATAGAAATTAAAACAAATTGATGTTATGTTTTATAGTGGATCGTGACCGACGCAACAGACGCAACCATCACCACCATCACCATCACCACCACCATCCACACTCGACGGCGCTCACCTCGCACATTTTCACCCCGTTTGGGTTTAGTTTAGGAGGCAACCTAATGGACGAGTTTTTTGGTGCCACTCCCGGCGGTTTTACGTCAATCAGCAGCATGAACACGACGTTTACCAATGGAGGACCAACAAATGCTAATGTTAAGAGGACGTCAACCTCAACTAGATTTGTTAATGGAAAGAAGATTACTACTAAAAGGTAATGTTTCAAACAATGCTCACACAACGATTTTCTAGATTCTAGTTTAGTATTACACTTTTTAATAAAAATTTAATTTTTTTTATAGAGTGTTTGAGAATGGAAAAGAAACAGTGATGTCCTATGAAAATGATGTCCTAAAATCAAAGACTGTGAACGGAGTCCCTCAAAGTATAACTTACAACTAAGAATGCTGTATGTAAAAGCGATTGAAAGTGGAAATGGTTATTAAAGTAAAACAATAAAAAAAAATTGACTAGAATAAAATTGAGTTTTTCCGATTTCAAAAACAAATTGCTGATTTTTTGTTACAATTCTCATTGAAAAATTCAATTTTATTAAATAATAAAAAAATAATAATAAACTCGATTCTTCAATCCCTTGAATTAATTTTTTGTTTGTAATTTCTAATTTAAAATAATGAAAAAAAATATAAATGTATTTTTTTTTTGATTATATCTTCCACTACGAACCAATAAATTACGTTTCTGTTTTACAGAGTTACTCAGTATCTTTATTATTAAGAGTCATCATTATTGTTTTCTTTCGTTTGTAATTTTTGTTTCGTTTTAATCCTATTAAAAATATAAAAATTTGTTGGGTTAATTACTACGTTTTGTACTTAGGTTTAATCGTTTTAAGTTCAATAAATTTTCAATAAAAGGATACATTTATTAAGATCGTAAGGAGTTAACGCAAGACTGCTACCGTCAAAGATTAAAAGAAATAATAAATAATAAAACGCTTAAAACGGCTCGACGTGTTAATAGTACGCAAGTTCTTCTTAGAAGTTCGATGTGAATGTACAGCTAACGTAGAAATTGATGCGTTATGAACATATTACAGTATGTTACCTTTCTATTGAAATGTATAGAAAGGTTTATTTAAACGCATATTTATTCAAGTTAGCTGTATATATTTAATTACATACTATTATCGTTCGATTCTCTACTTGTACATATTTTAGACCGATTTATTGGTGTCTGTAAAATACCCAAAATCACATTCTGCATAAAAAGTTATGTATCTTGATTTTATCTTAGAAGAAAAAAGGGATAAGACAGCGCACTTGGATGTAATGATGTTTTCTTTTTAAATGTGCGCTTAATTTTCTTTTTGGTGTACAGTTTAGTTATTTCTCATTCGTGTTAAGATAATCTGAAATAAGTACTTTAATGATAATTATAATAAAGAATATGGACGATTATTTTTGAGTTTATTTTAATGAACCATATATTAAGGCGATGCTTATAAATTTAATGTAAATAAAATAGATCATTACTAAAACATGGATAGATTTATTTATAATAAAAAAAACAAAATTTTTTTGGTAACCTAATCACAGTTTGTGAAATACTGCAAATACTATCTACAAGATTGTGAAAGATAAAAAATAACAGTTTATATATATTATTAGTTTAAAAAATTGAACTAACAACATTGAATCAACAAAAATATTAAATAAATTAGCTGCTTTTTGCTAAGATTTTTTTAAGGAGGGGGTAGTTGAAGTCCGTTTTTATCAGGCTCAAGAAATTCCTCGTTCATTTCTTGAACCATATTTTTTAATAATTCCTCAATTTCTTCGCGATTCCTTAAAATAAAAAATTAATCATAATCGCATTCCAAAATTGTATTAATTACCCTTGACCAGGTTTTGCAATCATTTCAGTGTAATATTTCAATTTTGGTTCGGTCCCACTCGTTCTTAACGTAGCTACGAGCCCATTTTCAAAATGAAACGTTATCATTTGACAATCTCTTTGAATCGGCAAAATAGCCTTATTATTTTCCCTAGAATTATCATACCCATTTGTTAAATCTCTTACATTAATTATTGGGTATTTTCCATTTCCAACGCTTCGAGGATACTAAAAAATATATTTTTTTATTAAGTTAAAAATTATATTAATGATTTTACCAGTGGTAAAAGGGGTGGAGCTGGATTACAACACCCCCTATACTCCCTATTATAATTCCTTAATCGATAAAAAATTCTTGCAATAATTTCGGGATCTGAACATATATAATAAGAATTTAAAGATAGATGATACCCATATTGTTTAAAAATCGCTTCCAATTGATCATTAATTGTCATATCTTTCGATTTTAAATAAGCTGCCAATGTAGCCATTTGAGCTGCAGCTTGAATACCGTCTTTATCCAAAATTCTATCAGTCCACATGTACCCAATGGCCTCTTCAAAAGCGAATATTGTTTGTTGACCGGCTTTTCTTAACGACCACGCTTTATTTCCCATCCATTTAAATCCGGTTAATGTCTCAATAAAATTGAAACCTTCATAAAGAGCCATCGTTTTAAGAATCTTCGAACTAACCGTACTGGCTATCATAAAAATATCTCTAAATGAAGACGATGCGTTGGAAGCTTTTAGATTTTGAAGTGCCCACCAACCTAAAAGAGCTCCTAATTCGTTTCCGGTGAAAATTTTCCATTCGCCAGAACTACAAACAAATCTTTTAGTTTTTGATGGATAAAAACCTTAAAATTTACTTTTTATTTTTTTCTGCACAAGCCATTCGATCCGCATCTGGATCGTTAGCCAAGATAATAGTAACATTGTTTTTATTGGCAGTTGCAACAGCTAAATTGAGAGCATTTTTACCTTCTTCTGGATTTGGTAATCTAAAAAAAATTGAAATAAATTTGAGATAAATGAGACGTAAAAAATGTTTTGTTACTTGACTGTGGGGAACTCGGGGTCTGGTTTTTTCTGTTCTTCCACCGCAATTATTTTTAACCCAATTACTTTCATCACTTGTTCCATGTAAGCTTGCCCAACACCATGCATTGGAGTGTAAACGAATGATATTTTACAATTTTTATTAATTTCTTTGTAACTATCAGGAATGTTTTGAGAAATCATCTCTAGATAACTATCTAAAACTTCTGGTAGGGGATCAATTTTTTTCTCATGATTAGCAACAATCGATGTATCCCAAGATTCGTCCAATGGTTCTAAATTATCCATGATGAATTGTTGGATTTCTTTATCCGCGGGGGAAATAATTTGACACCCATTTGCGGCGTAAACTTTATATCCATTATCATCTTTTGGGTTATGAGATGCCGTCACCATAACTCCCATTATACTGTTGTACTTTGTAACAGTAAATGGTACAAATGGGGTTGGTACTAAATCGCTGAAGAGATAAACCGGGTAACCCTTTGAGAGAAATACTGCTGCTGTTAATTCTGCAAATCTAAAAATAAAAATCCTTCATTCAGTTAGAATTAATAAAATCAATCCCATTTGTACACTTAAATGAGATCACTTTCTTATCTTTACAGCTGTTTTCAATGCAAAAAAAAACTTCAGCACGGGTTTTCTCAATAACTATATCTTATCAATTTCAAAACATTTCTAAATTCAATAAAGTATGTATTACAAAAAATCATTAAAATAACCCACCTTTTACTATTATGTCTTCCATCATATCCAACAACAATACCATTTTTTTGTAAATGATCAATATCTAATGCTTCCAAATATTTTATAACCCCTTGTGCAGTTTGCACAATAACCAAATCATTCATACAACCAAATCCGGCGCCCATTCGTCCTCTTAACCCAGCAGTTCCAAACTTTAACCTCTTTAAAAGTACTTTTTTCAACTTATCAAAATCTTGATTTGCAATTAACGTTTCAATTTCTTTTTTTGTCACATCATTTCTATCCCAATTTAACCATTCCTCAATCCTCCCATCGAGAAGACTATCACCAGAAACAACGGGAGCTTTATTCGCCATCGAACTCGCTTCAGTATATAAATGTTTAGTTTGAATTGTTGAAATTAACCGTCGACTTATTGGTTTATCGCCGTTGAGCGCATTCGGTGAACTAAAAATTAAGCGAATACGTGTAGTTTTTCGGCGCTGTGTAAAAACGGAACGCGCAACGTTCGTTTTCACGACTGTTATCGCTCGGTTGATAAACGTTTTTTTCGAGGGGAGGTGAATAGAAGATGTTAATATTGTCGACCGACAACGTCGTGGTTATTTTATCGATTTTCGCAATTTCGACGTCAACGTCAGCGACGTCGTAACCTCATCAAAAAAAAAACACAATAAAACGTTACCTGATGGGATGGAGGTAGGTAGGGTGAAAATCGCCGAAGATAGCGACTTTATAAACCTGAGGAATCTTATTGATGACCATGCCGATTGGAAATTGGATTACGATAAAGGCGATAACACCAAAGTAAGTGAAGAAAATTTACCATATTAATTATAATTTCGTTTTGTAATAATAATATAACTCCGTTAAATTATAAACGGTTTTAAAAAACGTACAACGTTAATCACTACTTAAAAATAACTTTCTAGTGACTTACCGACAAACATTTTAAACTGATTGAAACGATTGGAGTAATTATTTCAAGGTTTTTTCCTATTTGGTTAAAGTTTTTATTTTTTTACTTTAATTTGGTACATACTTACTGATTATGGACTGACGTCATGGAGGAAAAGTCCCCAATCTCCATTTTATTAGATCAATTCAGTGTTATCTGGAATTTAATTAAGGTTTTAATACATACATGGATTTAGGTCAATGGGTTGTTTGTTTTAGATAGTTTTTATTTGGATCTTAGAAAAAAGTGTCAATAATATTATTTTAATCGTGTTATCATTTTTACTTCTTCACATTTTGTTGTGGAACCCGATTAATTATTTTTTGAGCATAAAAGCTTCAATAAAATGACAGTCAATGAGATTTAATGTGTACTACAATAACAACTCTATTTAAGTCTCCTTTATTATTGTTATATTACAAACTAAATGCAAGAGATTAACCTCAACCCAGTGTAGGAAGTGCTGGCTTGCACTTTATGAATAATATGAAAGCATTATGGTGACAATAAATGATGGGGCCTAAACAAATTGGTTGACATTTCCACAAGAACTACTTCTAAGCTTACAATTTAGCCGTATAAGGTCATATTTAGAAGCAGGGATGATTGGATGAAGGGTGAGCCTCAATTTAAAAGAGGAGCCATTGCATATAATATTATATATGTATATTATATTATTATTATTTTATATTTTTATTATATTATTTTTCAAGCAAAAGTTTTTGCTATAAATTTCTGCACCGTTTTGAACCTAGAAAAAGGACAGAAAAGTGCATCCATAAACATTTTAACAGACAGTCGGGCCTTAAAGGCAATTTACGCCTACACGTGTGACTCTGCACCCTCTGCACTGATCAGAGAGTGTACCAGCAACCTGAGAGAACTCGCTAGGGGCAATAATGTTACTCTATGGTGGGTTCTAGGTCACAGAAACATTGAGGGCAATGATAAGGCGGACAAGCTGGCCAAAGAGACAGCGAAAACGGCCTTCATTAGACCCCAACCCGGTTTTGGACTACAAAAAAAAAGATTTTGTTGATAGCTGGATTATTTTATGTAATAAGTTAAGTTATTCACAAGACATTGATACAAAAATGAAAAGATTGTCCAGATCGTCCATACGCAATCAATAAAGCATAGTTATTGAGCCATAAAAATTACTAGAAATATATTTAATTTATTTTTTAAGATTTTAATTAACTGTCAAAAGTAGTACAGTTGGTATTGCAATTTTGGTATGGTAACACTGATTTTCCACCAAAACTCATGTCAACCAGTATTATGAAAATATTTTGACACTTAACATAACCTCAATAATCGGTAAACATTTCATTATATAAAATTTAAATAAAAAAGTTGAAAAAGTAATTTTTAAAGTTTATAGTTATGAATTTATCGTTGTTAGTCTGGATTGAAGCACCTATAAGTTACGATAAACATTCGTAACCTTGGTATGTACATAAACATTATTTTACACTTTTTAAAATATTGTTTTCTTCTCAAATTTTATAACATATGATTTAAAAAGATCGTTAAAGAACGTCAGCATTATTTATGATCTCTAAATTGTCGTAAAACTGTTATACTTACGTCAGCAACTTCCACTCCGTTATTGCACTTGCGATGACTAACTTGTTTGATATATAAATTTCTCCTTTTAAAGCTTAAGTTTCAATCTAAAGGTAATCCTCAAGTATTTTTATTTGAAAGTTAGACCAATGTATATTTAAATATATTTCGTTATTGAAATTGCTTCAAATTTTATTTTAAATTTGGTTTTAAACACGGCTATTTTAACGGTCGTTCCTCTTCTTATAAACACAGTTCGCAGACTGATGTACAAAAACTCGCACCTGGTGAACTTTCCCCTCTTCCAAATACGTGTACAATTAGATCCTGTCTTTTTGGTTAAAATCTATTTTTATGTTTAAAAATTATGAATCAATTTACAAACAAAATTAGGACTGAAATATTATGTATTAAATAAATTATTTTATAATTAAGAAGTATTATAAATTTATTATTAATTTTAATTGTTTGATAAATTGAGTTTTTTGATAGTTTTACGAATTGATTCTGAAATGTCACTTTGACAGCTATAAAACGTCAAAATCATTGTATTTATGATAAGAGATGGCAGCAGCGATTACATTAATATTAATCACAAATTAATTTATAAAAATCCAACTGTAAACTTTTATAATACATTAGGAAAAAAATTGGATAATTCTCCATATGTACTGTTAATAGTTGTTTACCACTTTAATATCATCCGAAGAGAAAGTAACAAATTTTGTAAAACAATTATAGTTGTTACCTCTATCAAGTAATTGGTGATATAGCTAAGAATGTATGTATAGAAACAAGTTTTTGGGGAAGTTATGTGTCACATTGTTTTCGAATCAGCTACATGAGACAACATATAGCAATAAAGAAGCTCATTTCATTGCCGACGTTCGATTTTATGAATCTACATAGTAGTACCTAGGAAGTCTCAATTATTATATTCTCTTAGATTAATCTCTTGAGATGTAGGAATTTTTGATTTAATAAATAATATATTCTTTTCCAAATTATATCCAATATTGGTTTTAATATTTTTAGGTATGGACACAATCAAGGCCAAATTCAAATTTCAAAATGGTAAAATTACAAGCAGTCTTCCAAAATATAACACCAGAAACAATGTTCGATGTTTTACACGATCCTGAATATAGGAAAGAATGGGACGAGCACATGATTGTCTCAATAGATATCGGCTACCTCAATCCAAACAACGATGTAGGATATTACGCACGTAAGTTATTATTATATAGAATTATTTTTAATTAATTAAATTATTTTTCTGTATTTTAGTGTCTTGTCCTCCCCCTGTAAAAAACCGCGATTTCGTTTTACAACGTTCCTGGTTAGACTTAGGTACTGAAAAATACATTTTCAACCATTCTGTCGAGCACAAATCGTATCCATCGAAAAAAGGATTTGTTCGTGGTATTTCGATTCTCACCGGATTTTTATTACGAAGACAGGAGAATAATTCGTGTCTTTTGGGTTACGTGACGCAAACGGATCCACGCGGAAAATTACCATCGTGGTTGGTGAACAAAATAACGCAAAAGTTCGCCCCTAAAATTGTCAAACAACTTTTTAAAGCCGCTCAAGGATACGAAGTGTGGAAAATGAATCAATCAAATCCGATGTTTAAACCGTGGATTTATCCAGAACAGATTATGTTGTCTCAAAGAGTTAGTCTAGAAGATGTAAGCATCGAAAAAGAAAAATTAATGAAATAAAATATAAAGGATATTTTTTCTTTTAGTGTGTTAATTCTGCTTCGTCAGTAACAACTGTAGGAATCACAACGGATTCGGATTGATTAAGATTAAAATAAGAGGGATTTTAGAAGTATTAAAAAGGTGACTAATAAACTCTCAAAAGAATTTTATCAAAATTATTCGAATAAGATTATTAATCGATCTTTTAATAGTATTATTTTAGTATTATTTTTTATGAGGTTGTTTTCTGTTAATAATATATTTTTGGTCTATATTATACAGGGTGAGTTATATAGAAAGGTAATCTTCTAAATAGCTTCAAAGTTTTCATTTGAAGATTAACTATCCTAAATAACTTGCTTGGTAAACAAAAACGAATTTGATCAAGTAATAATAATCTGAAACTATTTAATAAATAAAGTAAGTATATTTAAAAAAGTTTATGATATGAAGGTTGGGTAAAATTGAAACTGTTTGTAATTTCGATCTCCTCTATACTTATTTTATTGTATCTCGTTGTATTTGATGAAATTTACCTTTTATGTCTTTCTATCGTTGCTTTGTGGTTTTTCTATGTATGCATTTTCTCTATGAGTACTCCCACTCACTTTGGACATTTAAGTATGGATGAATTGATGAAGATAACTTTAAATTGTCTCCGTTGAGGACATTAAATACATGTTAAAAGAAGTTGTTACATTTTAAAGAATAACGAATATTGCCTTAGAACGTGAAGTGAAATATTTATTACTAATTAAAAATATTTTTGGAAGAAGCAAAAACTTGATAAACTTTTTATGATAATAAACTGTCTTGTAGATTAATGCGTTAAAATTGTCAAAAAAATATTAAACTTTTAATCTTATAACCTAAAATAGATGAAACTAATAAGAAAGTTAAGTTTTTTAAATTATAATATTTACATATTGTATTTGAAAATATTTAATGATAATAAACTTTTATACTAAGTTTTTACTCCTCGCATCTTCTTTTTAACCTGCTTAACACAAATTACTTTAAAATTTAAGCCACGTGCACAGGATTCACAGCAATTAACGCTTTTACTTATTAAATGAAATTGTTTTTAAAATGTCTGGGTATTCAATTTATAATTTATTTTATATTAGATTAGATTTTATGCATTGAAGTAGATTTATAAAGTGTTTAATATGTAAAACACTTCTACATATATATTTAAGTATAAATAATAAAAAAAACAATTTTTAATGGAAAAAAGTTTTATTTCCTAGAATACTTTCTTGTATCAATAATTTTAAAGCATATTGAGGTCTTTACTTTGTATTTTGTATTGGTAGGCTTAACATATCCGAACCTAAAAATAAAGCTGATGGAAAATGATAATAACTTATTTGTGTGATATGATGAGCTTTCAAAATGTAAGTTTAATTAAAGAAAGATTCAAAGAAAACATAGCTACACAAAAGAAGTGCTTGAAGAAGATTGAACTTGTTTATCTATCAAGTGACATTTCCAAAGATGTCCTTTCTAAATTGTACATTGTTGTATGTATTCATTGACACTGACATTTGAGACATTACTTTTTTTGCACATTGTACATATGTTATACAGTACGCGGCAAAATTATGGAACATATTCAATAATTTAAAAGAACAAATTTTTAATTTTTAATCAAACGCAAATTAGTAGTAACTTGGTAACCTTGGTAACGCATTTTTTTAACATTTTTTGTTTAAAAACATCAATAATTGAGTATCTCCGTAAACAAACTGTGTACCGCTTGATGTAGAAAATAACCGATTATAAAATTAAACAAGGCAAAGATAACATAGTTTTGGTAATTTGTCAATCATTATTCAAAAATATAAGAAAGCTGAACGTAATCTAATCCATATTCTTTAAGTTGGCAACACTTCACATGCAACAAATCGATTTTTGCAAATCCTTCACCACCAAACACAACTATCTACAGTTAAAGTATTTTTTAAGGTATGTTTCAACAAAATATGTTAAATACCTTTATTCTGAACAAAACATTTTTTCAATAAAAGAAAATTTTTTTGTGAATATTTAAAATTATTGTTATATGTTAACATAAATTCATAAATAAATTTATAAAAAAAATTCTATAAATAGAAATCATGATAAAGTTTAAAGTAAAGATTTAAGTTTAATCGATGGGTTGTAAAGAATTTAATGACCGCCAAGTTACAAAGATTTAAGTCTTTAATTGTCGTAATTTAAGATAAAATTTTAGATTTATTTGTTTAAAAACAAATATAATTAAACAAATTGTTCCTATTCTTTATTCTCAAGTATTCCATTATTATCTAAATTACTTTGAATTAAAACCTAATCCCTTTTTTTAATTCCATTTATATAACTCCTTTTTTTTCCAGTTTTCTCATTGCACCTTCATTTTGGCGTCATCTTTTATAGTTATAACACAACATGGTGAAAAAGAAACAGAACGAAGAAGAAGAATGTTTTACACTTCAAACGAATAAAGTGAAAATAATCAAAACTTTCGATCTTCGTAAAATTCAACATGTAGAAACAGTAGAAGAAAAACGCAAAAAAGTGAACAAAATTGTGAAAACCATCGATACATTAATCTCAATAACGATAATTGCACCATTAGTGGTCGGTTTTTGGCGAGGAACTTGGGAAATTTTAGAAATTTATTGGCACTTATTTCCCTGGGCTCAATCCTTCGTTTTAGCGGCCGTTCTACATATTTGTTTATTACTAATTCGGCAATTTATACAAGATTTTGTTGACAGAGATAGAGTCGCTATCAAAAAACATTTCCGATACATTGTTTTGCGACGAATTCACGCCTATTTTTACGCGCTGATTTGCGTGATGCAATGGCGCGGAGTTTGGCACTTTTTCGATTTTTTAACAGAAGATAAACATCACAAGATTTGTTTGAGCGCTTTTATATTAATGTCTTCCGTTTTTTGTTTGGGATTATTGAGATCTGTCAGAAATACGATAGCACCACCCTTCGTTTTAGTTTTGGATAGTAGCGATGCTTCTTTTAATTTTCCAACAAGATATAGAATAACGGTAAGTTATTAGAAAAAAAGTAAGTAAGTATTCTGCTTGTATTTAAATTTTCAATGAGATATGTTTTGTATCGGCTAAAATTGTTAATTATTTTAGTAAATACACGTCAGTAGAGTCAATGCGCTAAGTAATTTAAATTTACAATATTAATAATAAGAACTTAGACAAGTGGTTATTTTGGGAATAATATTTTTCCATCTGCTCATCTTTAGGGATCCTTAGGGGATCCAGGAATTCCTAAAAATCATTTGGAAGTTTTTAAAAATCTCTATCTTTGATCTAATTCACAACGGTGACTTGAAAGATCATTTATAGTTTAATGATAAAGAAATTATTTAATAAAACTGAAAAAATCTCATTAAATTTTTGACAGTAAAATTGTTTATAAAGCAATGTGTGTTTGGTTGCTTATATAAATTCGAATTCACTCATTTTTTGAAGTTAAAAACATAAAAATCCAAGTTTTAGCAACAATTATTAACATCACAAAAATAAACTTTAGTTACTATTTAAAATGGTTTATTAAAACTGATAATTAATTAATTAAATTTATGTATTTATTAAAAAAAAATTATGACATTGTATATTGGGCTGCCTATAAGATACATTTTTAAATTTAAATTTAATTGATATTATTTCATTGTTAAACAATTATTAATTATTATACAATTATATTATTATCTTTTAATATTTCTTTCTAAAAAATCAAATAAACATCTCTCTTCATATGAATGTTTGTCGTAGAAAATAATTGTTAATAACAATACTAAAACGACGGCGGTTCAAGGTGGAGATTCGTGTCGCCAATGTGCTAATAACTTCAAATAATTTAGAAAATGTAGCGCCACTGACTGAAACTATGTTTAGAATTATACATCAGTCTCACGAGTACATTCAAAAAGTGAAAACAAAAAATAATTATAATGGAAATGGGTGACATCGAATCGTTGGATTTAATAAAAAATAATAATACAACGATTGTAAGAGAAAAAATATCGACTTCGAATCGAATTAATCCGAAGAAAGAAGAGTTGCGTAAAGTAAAGAAAATCAAAAAGAAATTACACGCTATTGATTGTTTAATATCGGTAATCATAATTTGTTTCTTGGTAGTATCGTTTTGGCGATGCGTTTGGACCTTAATGGATCTCTACGTCGATTATCTCCCAAAATACGCAACGTTTTTTAATGCCGTTTTGCTTCACGTCTTTATAATGCAATACGCCGAAATTATTAAACGTTTTATCGGTTTCGATAAAGACAAGTTGAAGAAAAATGTTAAGTATTCAATAATTCGGAGAGTCTATGTTTATTTTTACTCCGTTATTTGTATTCTTCAATGGCAAACTGGTTGGTCTATAATGGACGAATGGGTCGGTATTAAAATGTTACCAGATGGAAGAGCAACGAAGGAAGATGGTCTTTATGGTACAATTATCGTTTTTGGATTATCCTTATTTTGTTTAATAACGATGAAATCTTTAAGAAATTGTTTGGCGGCACCTTTCGTGATTATTTTGGATAATAGTACTGCCCCTTATGATATTCCCACACGATTTAGAACTAACGTAAGTTGTTTTGCATATTAGAAAATTAAATAAATTAAAAGGACAAACAATAAAATTAAAATTAAGGTAGACCACCAACGTTACACCGTTTTGAAAATAATAATTATTAATGAAAAAAATTTTATAATTAAAACATTTTGATTACAAATAAAGAAGGGGAGAGGTGCAAATAAATAAATAAATTCTTTTTGGAGAAATTTAAAATTAATTAAAAATTATATTTAAAGTTGCCGACGACATATTAAGTTGGTGTAAATTGAGTTGCCGATCTTTTCATTAAAAATTAATTTTTATAAACAAAAATTAATTTTAATTAATAAATATTTATATAAATATTCTTTTTGGTCAAATTTGAAATTAATCAAGACATGCATTTAAAGTTGCCGATAACATATCGATTCAGTGTAAATTGGGTTGCCGATCTTTTCATTGAAAATAAATTTTTATGTATATAAATTAATTTTATCTAATAAATATTTACATGTAAACATTAATTTTTCAAATTTGAAATCAAAAATGATTAACAAAATCAAATCAAATGAAGAAAATAATATATAATTGGAAATAATGTTCAATATGGAAATGAAGTTAGCTTTATTAAATATTTGATATTTTTAATACAAAATTAATTTTTTTAAATTATATTTGAAATAAAATGTTAATATACATATATTTAGATTTTAAGGTGTTCAAATGGAGATATTATCGAATTACTTTGAAAATTTTCAATCACTCAAAATAAACTTTGAGATATATTTTTGACACACATTAATTTTTACAAGTCAAATAAGTGAATTTAATCATTCAAAGAAAGAATCCATCAGTTCGCAATTTATTTAACAAACGTCATTTCTGCGTGTGTCTCTTTTTGGCCCCATTATCACGTGGGGGTCCCCTACTACAACCCAAACAATTTCTATTAGGGCAACACCGATGTTATTCATTCGTACATCCATTCATTTTATCATCAGTATTCAGTTTGATAACGTGCCAAAAAAGAATGCCAGAAATGTTCATGGTTTCGGTTAAATTAGGTTATAAATTTTTAAAGCTATCAAAAAAGTAGTTAGAACGCGAAGGTGACAGATAAAGAAATCGAACACTGTATACAAAAAACTAAATAATAAAAATGCGTGGAAGCACCGCAGGAATAGCCGAAAATTTCAAAATTGGTGGAACGGCTTATCACCTATTACTAAGCGTAATGGATTCAATATTTTCTGCCGTCGTGGTAGCACCTTTAGTAGTCGGGTATTGGCGTAGCGTTTGGGAATTAATGAATATTTACGTTTATCCGGATGATAAACTTTTAAGTGCGCTTATTTCGACTATAATCGGGATTTGTGGACACTTATTCTTCGATATCGCGCAGGGCTTCTTTACCAAACGTTTCCACCCGGATAAGAATCGGATCATTTACTATGTTGTGTCGCGAGCTTACACCGTTGCTTTCGCTTTTGTGTGTGTTAACGGGTGGAAAGGACCATGGAACCTTTTAGATCAATACACCGATCCTAAAGATTTAACAGTGGTCGTAGTACCATTTGTAATTGGAATTATAGCTTTGGCCGTTTTGAGAACGTTAAGAAATGTTTCTGCACCTCCTTTTGCCATAGCCACAGATCACGTTGAGGAATATTTCGTTGTTATGACTATGTTTAGAATCAAGGTAATAATTTTAATGACATTTTTCGTTTTTTTTTGGCATTGCGTGTTATTAATGGGAATAAAATTGGATGATTATATGAAATTGTTACAACAAAGCAAATTGCCTCTAAGATTTGGTCATTTAGTAATTTTGAAAATTTAAATGGAAAATCGCGAGTCAATTTCAATCTTTTTCTTACCTGCAATAAATTGCTATTTGGTTACGTAGCATTATAAGGAATATTAGTAATGAAACAATTTCTATTTAAATTTAAAATAATTATATAAGTCATTATTATTTAATGGTCTAAAAAATAGAAATTATTAATATTAATTTTACCACAAGTCCTTGAACTTGTAGTTACATTGTAAAGTTGCCTTATATTTGAACATTTTTAACATTCTTTTTATTTCCACATCAAATTCTTTACATAAATTATTGTATATCGAGTAGGCGGACCAACCAACCTTGCACCGAGACCTCAATGATTTATTGCACCCCGATAGATAACATTATCAAATTTTACCGTGCAGTCCAATGCTCTTAACAGTCTGAACGAACATTAGTCCCTTGCTCGGTGAAAAGTCATTCAGATCCTTTGGAGAGATAAACTGCGACCCAAAAAATCGAGAATTTGATACGATTAACAGCAGAGATAAAACATGCTCAACCGTCTCCGATATTAATAAAGAACTTAGCGTGTCTCATTCGAGAAGAAATGGTCCACACTAGGCGAAGTCTCCCTTCAGTCCACAGTTCAATCCTATGTTTGGCCAACGCAAATGATAACCAACTGATGGCTCTGTCCCCACAAACGCTTTAGCGCTGCCTTTTCGTGCTAACTCATCTGCCGCTTCATTGCTAGCAACCCCAGAGTGACCTGAGACCCAGATCAGAGAATCTCTATTATCACAACTCAGTATGTTTAAAGTTTTTTTTACTACTGGGTAGGCAAATATCTCTGGGGGGGCAAATATCTGCCTGAACCAGAGAATTTTCCTTTTCGATCCAGGATTGTCGTTCAGGCAGCACAATCTGGTATCGAGCATTAATCACTGGTAGTGATTCCGTCAAATCTGACGCCATTGATTGCACACTTTCTCTATATGCAAATGCAAAGGAGATAGACCAAGCAGAACATCCATTGCTAGATTTGGCGTTATGCTTACCCCAGTTTGATATACTTACCACAGACATATAATTCTCTAATTATTTACTACGGACAATGAAGTTATGATTAAAAATTGAAAATTATTAAATTTTTTGCTTATTTAGTGTTCTTTTACGACTACCAGAATTATTTTATATCTCAATAATGGCATTTCCTAAAAATTTCTTTGAAAATTCATTCAAACTCGAATTATCTCACAAAATATTCGGAATTCACAAAGTTAACCGATTTTAAATAAGTTCATTTTCCCGCCAAGTTAAGCGTCACCACAACTATAATTCCTATTCGTCCTTGTGATAAAGATGGCGGTTAAGGGTAACTAACGGCAACCAACGCGTAACTAAGCAACGACGAACGGGTTAAAAATAATTTATATTAAAATTAAATCATTTTATTTATAATAAATTTTCATGCGCATTCTCAAACTAATATTTGTAGCTTTTAAATAACTGTTTAAGTTATCAAAATGATGATTTGTTTGGTTATTTTGATTTCAAGACTTATTTTGATGTTGGCTATGAGTGCCATCTATGGGGTAAAAAGAAAAATTGTGTATCTAATTGTGTGGTTTTAAGTTTTAAGCAATGTTTTTCTAGTTAAATTATAACAAAATGCGATAATAAAGGGGAAATCGTTTGAAAAATCTTTATTTACAAGTTTGTTGTATGACAAAATCAAATTAAAACATATCATCCATTACACAAAATATTAGTTTGTTTGAATAAATCGGTTATGAACATGGGATTCACCAGATCTGTTTAAAATAAGTCAACACAAATATTAATAAAAAGTACTATTATTTTTAGATTCTGTATAATAATTAGGAAATATGAGACGATGTAAAATGATGTAAGATTAACCTGTTATGTTCAAGAGGTATAAATTATTTCCTCTAATATGACTGTATATACTTATAAATAATTACTACACAATAAATAGCGGAAATAAACTCCTTCTCATTGTCAATGAAACTTACATTTAGTAATGTACAATTTTTTTTATTATATAACTTGTTTTCCAACAATTCAAATTGAAAAAACCTTATTAATACTATATATTTGTTTTAGATGGCCGAAAAAACAACGTTATACGTCTTGGATTGTATCTTTTCGGTTCTCGTTGTTGGAACTCTTGTAGTGTTCGTGTGGAGAGGTGCTTGGGTTCTTTTAGACGACTTTTTGTTTCCCGAAAGTGCTTCATTATCAGCTTGGTGTAGTTTGGTTAGTATTAAAAAAAAATTGCTGATGTAATTTTATTACCGATTTTAAATTGATAGTATTCACTCTAAGAATACGTCTTACGTAGCCGTTAGCACTTGACACAGTTGATAATGGGCCATTTCCTGCACTCCGTCTATTTTGTTTGCTTTTTTAAAGCCCGCGGTTCTTTACAAAGAATACAATTCAGACCTAATTTCATTTAATCCGGTCTATTTTGACCGATGAACTTGACATGTGGGATTTTTTAGCTTTTTATGAATTTATGTTTCAATGTTTTTAGGTGATTGGTTATTTAGCCGTTGGATTGGCGTTTCTTCTTCAGCCGGTAATGAGATGGGTTTGCGACCGACTCCAAGGAGGATTACGTTTAATCGCCGCTGATATTTTCTTGTTATTTTCGTTATTTGGAACTGTTAATGTTTGGAGAGGAATTTGGACTTTGTTAAACTTATACTTTTTGCCAGGTTAATATCAAAAATTTTAAAATAAACTTTTTCTCCATCGATTTACTTTTTAGATAATCAAGAAATAAGTTGTTGGATAACCCATTGGATTTGTTTGATTTTGTTGGTTTTATTGGGATGTTCAAATTCGCTCTTGGTTCGTGGTGTTTACATCGATGCCGAAGAACCGGCCGGGAAATGCGTGATTTTCCCTTGTTATTATTTACGATTAATTTTCCAACAAGAACGCGCGAAAAAAATCGCCAAACGATTGCAATTGGACATTTTGGCGAAACGAAAACAGGATATCGATAATAATATTGCAGATATTAATCATATGGTTCACGAAAAACAGCCTAATAACCACGTCGTGTGACAATTATTACATAAACGTAAAGTTTTTTATTTCTTAAATTAAAAATAAAAAAATCGACCAAAAATACACACTAAAAATTAAGCGAACTCATGTAACATATCAAAAAATGTCTTCAAACACCGCGTTTTCGAAGCTTTATCGAATTTTATATAACAAGTTATACGTTTTAGTATAAAGATTTTTATTATTATTATTTTGTTATGGTTATAAATTAATGAAAGGAACAAAAAATTGTGAATAAGGAGTGGATTGTTTTTAAAATTTTTAGTGTTAATAAGCAAAGTTGTTCTTGATTAAAATGATTTGATAGTTAAAATCTCCTCCCCACTCTAATGTGATATAATTAACTATTGTATTAGTGATAATAAAACGAAATTTAAGGCTTGATATAATTCTAAAAACTAATGTCGATTAGAATTATTACTATTTATTATTAACTAACAAGAGAAATAAACTAAAAAAGTAAAAAGGGTTAGGATAAATAAATAAGCAATTAAAGAAAAATAAATAAATACATATCCAGTTTGCTCAACTAGTTATTGTTGAAAATTATCTTTTTGAGAGTTTGTTAAACACTTTTCGCTTTGCTGTATATATTTGCATCTATTTATCAAAGTTAATAAAAAATTATGTCAAAAAGATCTCATTTGATTTTTTATTTGTCGTTTCTTTACATTTTTTTTTGTTGATCGATAAATAGCTGATTTATAATATTCCATCGAGTAAAATTCGTTAATGGGGGAACGAAATTAGCGCAAATTAGATTATTAGCGGCATCCTGATGTTTTTTATTTTTTCAGTTGCCTTTTTAATAAACTAATTGCGGATGCATTTTGCGCAATTAGCTAACTGGTGTAACTAAATGAACTCCAGCCACTAATCGGGATAATTTAATTTTTTTATTACTCCACCGACACGTGTTTTTCTTATTTTTCCTTTTGTCGTTATTTGGTAATCTCATTTCCTATAAGTTAAAGATAATGTCATTTTTAAATCATTATTATTATTATTATTACCCCATATTTTTGGATAATTGATGTTTTAAAGTCTCCAAAAACTCGTTGATGAATACATTGGTTGTATCGTTTAAATTTGTTCTTAATTGTTCTTGTTCTCTACAATTAATTTATATCATTAAAAAGTATACATTTTTAACTAAATTACTCTGGAGTGTTTCCTGGTCCCCATATCGATGTGTGAAGTTTTAAATATAGTGGGGTTAATTTGTAATTATACAAAGTAGTTTCTGTGTTGTTATCAAATTTAAAACTTAATAATTCCACGTTGGGATCTTCAGGTAGAGTGGTTCTTTTATTTTCTTCCGCTGTATCTAATTTGTTTGCTAAATCCCGAATAAATCTTATTACATATTTTCCATTTCCCATTGATTTAGGATACTAAAAAATTTTTTTTCTGCAATAATAATAAAATATTAATTCATAATTTACCTCTTGAACATCTTTATGATATCTCATTCGATTATATATCTCGTTAGTTTCTTCCACACTTTCAGTAGTAAAATAAAACTTTAAACTCGTGTAATAACCATATTGTTTATACATATCCTCTAAATGGTCTTCCAAAGTTATGTGATGATGATTTAAGTAATTTACCAAAGTTGCCAATTGCGCTCCGGCTCCAAGACCATCATTCGTAAATGATAAAGGATTTACAATATAACCATAACCATCGTATGCAAAAATTACGGGTCTCTCTTGATCCATTAATTGTTTTACAGTATGTCCTAATAAAATATAAATTCAAAACTTAATCAAAATTAATATTATTATTAACCTAGCCATTTTCCACCAAACGTTTCCATAAAATAAAATCCATCAATTCTAGCCATATGTTTAATCAATTTTGTATTAAAAATATTTCCGACCATGAATAAATTTGATGCTTCCCGTTGCGTATGGACATTATCTTGATAAATATGATAATTCCACCAAGCTAACAACAAAGCTATTTCATCGGCGTTAAAAAATTTATATTCATTGGTACTAAAACAAAACGGTTGATATTTTATAAAATTATATAAAAAAATCTAACTTTGGTCTTCTCTCGGCGATAACCACACGAGAACAATCTGAATTATTGGCAATAATATAATCGCTGTGTTGCTCTTTAGCAACTTGAACAGCTCTGTGTAGTCTTATTTCACCTCTGAAGTCCGGTACACTAAAAAAATAAAATTTTTTAAACATATAAGATTTAAATACATTCTGCGAATTGAACTCAAAGGACTAATAAAATCTAGTTATTAGAAAAACTCGAAATGTAAATTATTTCTGTTTGGGAACTCAAAGCAAATTTCTGCTATTTCGATGGAGTGCAACTTTAGATCCCAATCTGTGTACCATGCCGAGATAATATATTAATTAATAGGTATGGAAAGGTTGTTGAGTCTATTTTTTCTGCTTGAGGGTGTTATAAAAAAATTTGCAACCAGTTTAACACTACCTTTCTAATAACGTAAACTTAATATTGCTGTGAAAACTTGTTAATATTATTGTTTTTTACACAAAATTTTTAACAATGTTAAATAATAATTTAGTACTATTCTCGATTGAAGGAAAATAATGTTCATATAGCAGGGGAGAGCAGAGGTAACATCAACAGTTTTACTTTTCTTTTGCGAGTAATGTCATATTTGTAATAAAATTGGATAAGATAGTTTTAATAATATTTATTAAAAATATAATTGAAAAACTAACAAAAAAAAAACAAAATATTTAATACTTATAAGTTCAACTGATTGTCTTATTAAAGACCTTGAGGTAAAAAATGTATGGCACCATACATTCTACAATCTATCTATAACTATATTTTCTTTTGTGTGAAAACAGTATTTTTTTTTATTTATTCTTATATTACCTACTACTACTAAAGTCAGGGAGTGGATATTTTTCCGTTTCAACTGGAACCAAATGAACGTGAAGAATGTCCAAAGCACGAGCCATATAAATAAAACCAACCCCATGCAAAGCTGTATAAGTGAATTTTAATAAAGATTTTTTATTAATCTCTCTATAATCGTGCATGGCATATTCAGAAATCGAGTCCAAATACTCTTTTAAAACATCCGCCAGCGGATTCGTTCTTAACTCCGAATTGCTCAATATCGTCGTTTCCCAAGATAATGATTGCGGTTCCAAGCTATTTCTTATACAATCTTCAAGTTCTGATTCAATGGGATGCACGAATTGTACCCCAAACGAATCAAAAATCTGAATTGAAACAAAATAACAGGTTACTGATATTATCATGATATTGATGATATTACTTGTAGTCCGTTTTCATTGCTTGAACCTGTACTGAGTCCAACCATAACACCGGCTGCTGAACTGTATTTAATAATAGCTTTAACAACCAGAATACGAGGAACTACCACATTGAACAATTTAACGGGATAATTTTTTTGAACAAAAATCGTTGCTATCAGTTCAGCAAACCTTTTACTATTGTGACGCGCATCGTGCCCAATTACAATTCCAGCTGATTTTAATTTTTTCCATTCGTTCGTTTCCAGGTATCTTAATAAACCTTGACCACATTGCACAACAAAGATATCATTCATTGCGTTATACCCAGCTTCCATATGTCCTTTAAAACCGTATATCGAGTATTGTAATCGATTCATAAACATTAAACGAAGTTGGTTAAACTCGTTATGTCGTACTAAATGTTTTATTTGCTCAAGGGTTGTTTTATTTTTGTCCCATGCTAACCATTCCCGTATATGAGCATCTAATACTGGGTCCCCCGATGTCATTTTTACTCTAATGGGTTGTGGTTTAGGTGCAACTGATGGTTCCGGATTTTCATTTTCATGTATACTTTCTTCTTTTTTCTTACAATCATCCACATATCTCTCAGATTTATCTCTCATTTTTATATTTTATTTTTTTTTTTTTTTTGATTTTTAAAATTATGGACAAAAACGAAAAATTTTGACGAAATTAATCAAAATTTTGACGTATTTAATCAAAATTTTGAGTCATTTTTGAGTATAGTAAAGCAATATTGACATAGATGACATTTACATATTAATTTTTGTTTATCGGATGAAACATCTTTGTTTTTCTAAGGTTTTCGATGCATAACGACTGACTACCTGTCGTTAGATAGACTGTGTGTTAATAGACTTTGTGTTAATACTAGAACTAACACTAGACCTAGAACTTGAATCATTCGGGTTTAGCCGTGCGTCTTCAAACCTAACTCAAAGTGGAATTTTTATAGAAAATTCTGAAATAAATTAGTAAGTTAGGTAGAACCGAATTTAACGTTTAAAGAGGGGGGTGGGGCATCAGGTATAGATTTTTGGTTATCTTTAGTTTATAGATGGTAAACAACGATATTTTAGTCGTTGTGCGTCGAAAACCCAAGAAACAACCCATATCATTTCACCCAAAAATATGCGTTTTAACCAAATGTGCTACGAAAATATGTACAGTGTGTTAATTAATAAAATTATCGTACCCGACATCATCATTGCAAGTATGCAACCAATATCACAGTTTTGGTATTACAATACGCGATTTGCGTATTTGGTTGCATACTTGCAATGATGACGTCGGGTAGGATAATTAATTACACAGTGTATATGGTTATCACGGTCGATGACGTCACAAAAAGTGACGTCACGTCGAAACTTTAAAGTGATTTTTCGGTAAGTTTTACACTTTTCTGTACTTTCTTTTTATTTGTAACCACTTACATTAGTGATTTTCCGTCGATTAAAAAATAATTGTCGATTTTTAAGCGACATGATGATTCTTGAATTTTACCCTAATCCACTCTTAATCTTCAGTTGCAGTGAAGATACCACTGAAGAAACTACAGACTCACAGATATGTATTGCTACAATCTCTTCCCAATATATTCACAAATTTATTTTGAAGTATACCAGTATGCCATATTACTCATATTAGTGTTGCTGTAAACATGGTAAAAAATCAAGTAAAAAATACTATAAAGACAATCAATCTAAATAATAATTGGGGGGAAAACATATCCGTTATTGTATGAAGTCTTCTTCTAAATTTTCTCTGTTTTATCCCATTTAAATTATACACTTCTATTTAATGAGTTATAAATGTATTAAAGAATTTACAAATACAATATCATTTTAAAATCAATAATTAGATTAATATCATAACTTATCATAAGATAAGAATAACAATAAAATAACCTTAATTATATACAACCAAACCTGTCAGATATAAATATTCTAGGTTACTAAAACCACCTATATTCACGTTTGTTTTGATGGAAACACAACGAACTTCATAATTATCTTAGGGATTTTTTTGCCCCATTTATGATTAATTTAAATTAATATTTATTAATACAAACAACTAATATACAAATATAGCAATAATAATAATAATAATCGACTTTGTACATTAATCAAGCAAACATTACATAAATAAAAAAGTGAAATTAACAATAATATTTCCACAATGTGTTTCTAGGGGAATTTAACGTTGAGCACATCTGTGATTCTTCTTCACCTTAAAATTTCGTTCCAATGTAAGCAATAAAACGCAGTATTAGAAGAATGGCCGTCACTGTGGTCTGATAAGAAGGTATATTTCTTAAATAACACATTTGTCCGTAATCTTTAAACTTTAATTTTTTAAACCTTAATACTATAGCATCCATTGTACATAACAAAACATTAATTTAGTGGAAAAACTTTGGTCTCGGGGTCGTTTTTATCGTTTTACGGGCTTGGCCAAATTTCTCCAACCGCACGTAGTTTTATATTTTCTTTTTTCAAAACGAATCGTTTTAAGTACCAAGATATTTGGATTATCGTAAATTCATAAAGGACCTTTTTGTTTAAAATTGTTTTATTTATAGGTTATATAATTAATCTTTATTAATTGCTGAACATGTGCTTTGGGTTTTCATTTCTTTAATAGGTACTTAGAATGGAAAAACAATGTCTATCAAAAGCCAGAAATAACTTGAACGAATCTACTAGTTCTTTTGATGGTGATCAAGACATCCCCAAAGCTGATACAAGCCCTAGTCCAACGGAAACTGTGTGTTTAGAGAGTTTATGTACTGATAGTTTACCAGGTAATCAAAAGAATTTGTTTCAATTATTTTTTTTGTTATTAATAATACGTTTTTGAAGGTACATCACATAATTCATTAATATTACAAGATGAGGTGACAGAACATAATCCTTTAGAAGAGGATAGAACTGATAAATCAACATTTTTAAGTGAAGTGAATCTGGAGGAATGTGAAGATGACCAAGAGGAAAAAGAAGAGAGGTGGGAGGATTGCCTAGATGATATTATTGAAGTTCCTGCCCCTTATGGTTTATTAGAAGAAGTAATTATTGTTAAGGATGAAGACGAATCCCAATTTATTACTGAAACTGTGTCTGATAATAGTTGCACTACAATACCGTCTAGTTCTAATCATAAATATTGTTCTACAGATTCAAATCCTAGGTGTTGGGTAAGATTTATTTTATTTTCATTAAATTTAACAAAGAAAAATGATGACATATTTTTAAAATTGATTAAGTTATTAATAAAATAACTCAAAAATGATGTTTTAGCTAATCTTCTCTCTGATAAATAATTCATTTAAATTATTATTAATAAAGATTATAAAAAAAAAATTTCAAAAAAATTTTTTTTTTTGTTTTAGAGGAAAAGAAAATTGGATATTCAAAATGGTTTCCCTTGTAAAAAACTTTTACCCGATGATGATCATCAAAAACTTTTTTGCACCTCCCCAAATGAGACCATTGAAGATGGCGAAACTACACCTCCTAATGATGAAATTTGTAGTTCCAGTCACATGACACCTAATGATAAACTTAAAAGAGCTGTTATACCAACTAAAGACAATCCACCACCAGAAATGTCTGAATGGTTAATGCAATTTCAAGTAAAATTAATAAAAAAAACAATAATTTCTTTAAAAGAATACGTTATTTCATTTCTAGCGTTGGTCGAATGCAGAAAGACTATTAGCAATAAACGAATTAATAGCAAGATGCGAACCGACTCAAGTACGTCATATGATGCAAGTGATAGAACCTCAGTTTCAACGAGATTTTATATCATTGTTGCCGCGTGAATTAGCGTTAACGGTTTTATCGTTTTTGGAACCGCGCGATTTAATTAGGGCGGCGCAAACATGTCGAAGTTGGAGATTTTTAGCGGAAGATAACTTATTATGGAAGGAGAAGTGTAAAGAGGCTGGTATTTTTAATTGCGCAACTAAAAGGGGCTCACCAAAATCAAATAATAGTCAAATGTCAATGTGGAAGGTAAAAATAATTAATCAACCAAGGTCTATTTATCAATATAGAGTGTCGCTGATATGTATTCTGAAACGGTTGGTTATCTCCTAAAGTAAGATAGCTAAAGTTTTAGTGTTTTTTAAAATCTATTACAATAAAGACAAATTAAGTATACCAGGTCAGTCAAAAAGTTATGACGAAACCAAGTTGGGTTTTCTTTAATGGAACACCTGTATAGTATTACATATTTTGAGTCAACTCGAAATTCTAAACAAAATTCATGTAATAATATATCATAAACCTAAAGTTAACCGTTTTCGCGATATTGAAGTTTGAAAATCATTGTTATAAATTACACAAAAATATTTTCGTCGATTTTGTTCATAATTCATCAAGGTAACTTTGAAAGTTTCTCATCTCCATAGCAACGTAGCGACATCATAACACATGTCAAAAATACAAAAATAGTTTAAATAATTTGCCCACAAAAATAAATTACGTCACTAATTAGATAAATAAATTTAAAAGCTCAATATCTGGAAAACGGTTAAATTAAGGTCTATGATGCGAATTTATTAATAGTCAGTAAAATCAAACATTCAACAAAAACAAAGCTGTCATTGTAATATGTAAAGTTTAATTATTACATACAAGAAGAAACTCAAAATGCACGCTTATCGCACTGAAGAGTATGCTGATATAATTTTTGTGTATTTTTGCAATGGAAATGCTCGACAATCAGTACGAGAATATCAGGAAAGATTTCCACTACGTCATTTGCCATATTATGCAGTTTTTAGCGATTCTTTCAGAAGACTTCGAGAAACAGGTAATCCTGCTCCAGCAAAAGCTATTCGACCGCATGTAGTTAACGTAGGAGGACGAAGAAGCGTCAAAATTTTGCAAGACGCGTGTTGAACCGCGAAGTCCGTCATCCGTATCGTAAACAGAATGTTCTACAGCCAGGAGATAATCAGCAACGGTTAGCATTTTGTGAATGGTTATTGCAGCAACAATAATGACTTCATTTCAAATGTTCTCTGGACAGATGAATCATGTTTTACACGAGATGGTATAAATAATTACCATAATGAACATATCTGGCCATTACAAAATCCGAATGTGATTAGACCAAGGAAATTTCAACAACGTTTCAGCATCAACGTTTGGAGTGGAATATTTAGCAACAATTTACTAGGTTTGCATGTACTTGATGGACGTTTGAACACTAGAAATTACAGATTTTTTTGAACAATACACTTTTTGATTTACTTGAAGATATATCTCTTACTGTAGTTCTAAATATGTAGCACCAGCATGATGATGCCCCACCTCATCGCGGAAGAGTAGTTGTTGAGTGGTTAAACCAATATTTTCCAAACAAGTGGATTGGTAATAATGGTCCAACATCTTTAATTCGTCATTGTGAAGCATGTATTCTAGCAGAAGGACGCTATTTTGAACAATATTTGTAATATTTATGTTTAAAAAAAAAAGTTGCAGTTAATTATGATATAAAAATTAAAACTTTAATGTGTTATAATTTCGTAAATAACTGAAATAGGACATATGTTCATTAACATTTTTTTTTGGTAATTGGATTAGCTATCATAAGTCAAAGTTTGATGATGAGCTAATAAATCATCCTGTATATATAAAACATCAAAAGACTTTATACTTACTGATAAAATTCTTTATTCCTTATTATTATTATGTCCTTTAAAAGGTCTTTTGATGATATTTTATATATTTATTGTAATAGATTTTAAATAACACTAAAACTTTTGTATCTCAACATTTTTCTCTAGCTATCTTACTTTAGGAGATAACTGACCGTTTCCATACATATTAGCGACCCTGAATAATTAATATAAACCTGATTCTATGCAATATTTTCATTTTTTATTTATTTCAATATCGACAATACTAACACATACTTCGTAATTGATAAATAGACCCCAAAAGAATTAATTTTATTAAGATATATTTTTGTAGTTAGCGTATATGCGTCAATATGCAATCGAATTAAATTGGAGATCAAAATCAATTCGACCCCCAAAATTATTAAAAGGCCATGACGATCATGTAATCACCTGTTTGCAATTTAGTGGGAATAAAATCGTTAGTGGTTCGGATGATAATACGTTGAAAGTTTGGAATGCTGTAACGGGAAAAGTAATTGATTCGTTCGAATTTCTTTAGTTTAATATTAAAAATTTTATTTAATTTTTTTAGTGTCTTCGTACGTTAGTAGGTCATACTGGAGGTGTGTGGTCGTCGCAAATGTCTGGATCAATAGTTATTAGTGGTAGTACGGACCGAACTTTAAAAGTTTGGGATGCTGATACTGGGATATGTAAACATACTTTGTATGGGCACACCTCCACTGTTAGATGTATGCACCTCCACGATAAAAAGTAAGTTATTAACTTACTCAAAACATATTTGAAATTGAAAATTTTATTTTTAGAGTAGTAAGTGGTTCCCGCGATGCTACTTTGCGAGTGTGGGATATCGTAACTGGGGAGTGTTTACATCATTTAATTGGTCATATGGCGGCTGTCCGTTGTGTGCAATATGACGGAAAATTGGTTGTGTCGGGTGCATATGATTTTATGGTGAAAGTGTGGGATCCAGAACGCGAAGAGTGTCTCCATACTTTACAGGGTCACACCAACAGAGTTTATTCTTTACAGGTAGCAAAAAAATTTAGAATAAAATTTATTTTTAAAACAATTCTATGATTATTTAGTAAAAGGTCTGATTTATTAGTTGAGTCTGTTAAAAATTATCATAATTTTTGAACGTGATTCCTTTAAAAAATGATACCAAAGTTTTTATGAGAATAATATAATTTTCTTTTGTGGTTAAAGAAATGTTTTGGGAAAGATTTTTAATGTAACTCTAATTTCAGTTTGATGGAGTTCATGTGGTTAGTGGATCATTAGATACAAGTATTCGAGTTTGGGAGGTTGAAACTGGAGCTTGTCGACATACTTTGATGGGGCATCAATCACTTACGTCGGGAATGGAACTACGAAATAATATTTTAGTTTCAGGAAATGCGGATTCAACGGTAAAAGTTTGGGATATCGTCACGGGACAATGTCTTCAAACTTTATCAGGTAAATTAAAATACAGCAAAACTAAAACTAGAGCTAACACTAGCACTAGAACTAACACTGGACCTAGAACTAGAAACATTCGCGTTTAGCTGTACTTCTCTTAAAACAGCTAAACCTGAATGTTTCTAGTTCTAAGTCTAATGTTAGTTCTACTTTTAGTTGAATAAAGATATACAACAATTTAGCATTGAATAACAATTAAAAGTAGAACTAACACTAGACATAGAAGGTACTGCCTTATTAAAACAATATTTATGTGCAATTTGTTCATTAGCTTCTGTTGAGAGAATATTTTCAATATTTGGGCTTGTTCACTCTACTTTATGAAACAAGTTAGGTGTTAAAAGGCAGGAAAACTTGTTAAATTAAATTAAATTTTGTAATAAAGTACAGTTTTATTTTTGATTTAAATCATTGATTAAAGTCAGTCTATATTAGTTATAATGCTAAACCCGTCTTCAGACGCACAGCTAAACCCGAAACTTTCTAATTCTAGGTCTAGTGTTAGTTGTAGTTTTACTTGTTATTTAGTGCTAGATAGTTATGTATATTTTTCATTGAACTAGTACTTACTTTAAAATACATATGGCACTTTTAGTTGTTATTCCGCGTATTAATCCGTTATATCAAAGTTTGACTGTAATTTAGTTATTATTATATACCTCCATTTTATGTATTTATTTTTTTAAAGGACCATTTAAACATCATTCAGCCGTAACTTGCCTACAATTCAACAATCGTTTCGTAATAACATCTTCCGATGATGGAACTGTAAAGTTGTGGGATGTTAGAACAGGTGAATTTATTAGAAATTTGGTCGCTTTGGATAGCGGTGGTTCAGGCGGCGTTGTTTGGCGGATAAGAGCTAACGATACTAAGTTGGTGTGCGCCGTTGGAAGTCGTAATGGAACTGAAGAGACCAAATTGTTAGTGTTGGATTTCGATTTGGATCCAATGCTTAATCCGAACATACCTAGATAAATTAATATTTTATTGACTTAAACAAATGTGCGTGTACGTGCGATTGTGGAGGAGGTGAAAAAGATGCGAATGAAGAGTGAAAAAGAAGATTTCGTTGAAACAAAGTTGTGTAGAGAGAAAAAAGCTACCATTTTTAGAGTTAATTTTCATTGACTTTTGTTTTGTGTGCCATCTTACTTTATTATTGGATATCTTGATGTTGTGGGGGGAATTAACTTTAAAAGTGGTTTGCAGAATCCAATTATTTTTTTCTTAAAAAAAACTTTAAAATGAATAAGCGGTCTGGTGCTTGTTTCTTTTTGATGTGAAATTGTTTTTTTTTTGCAATTTTGTTTTTTAATAATTTATAGCGGGAGGCTTAATAATATTAATTCCTTTTTGTTTTTAAATTATAAGATGAATTTGTAGCCCTTTAATAGACGTATTTTTTATAAAAAAATTCTAAATATTTAAATTCATTTACTAAAAATGTTTTATTGAGTTTATTAAAGGGTTAATACTCAAATCATCTAAATGCAATTTTTTCTATTATATCAATTGTAAAGTTTAAGTTCAAATTTAAGCTAAAGCATTTTTAATCAAAATCTTATTGATATCGAATGTTGCAAAAACTTTTTTGTAATTATTTTTTAATCTTTTCCTCATTAGTACCTGAGTTTTCCCATTGAAACACATTCACTCTGCTAGTTTGCAGGTTCTTAACTAAAATACAAACTGAGAAGCGTCCCGTTGGCCAAGTAATAAAAAAACGAATCTCTGTTCCTATCTATAAAATATACAAGTGTTTAAAAAAATAAATAGATTGAGTTATTTAATCATTTTTTTTTCTGAAACACGTGTATAATAAGATTGATAAGCAGCACCAGAAAGACTGATGTACGTTAAGTTTCTACATGTTGTACAATTTAAGTTGTAATACCACGTAAATTTGCTGACAAAGATAAGAAAACATTAATATCATTTTAATTAATTTTAAGAACACTTTTTTTTGTTTATTTTTTATTTAATTATTTACCTACCGGTGAGATTTAACAAAAAATAAAATGAAAAAGAAAAAACCTGTGGTCGCTGCTCAATAAGAGTCTTGTCATAGCTCAATATACTGTGTATATAATTATTAATAGAACCGTGTATATGTAATAGTGCCGCAATTAAGACATCACAACATAATATTTTAAATAAAACAGAAAAAAAAAACAGAAACCCGCTTTAATATCTTTGTTTCAATATCTTTTCAGCATTAATTCATAACAGGTAAAGTGAAATAAATAAAAACCAATTCTCATTAGAAAAAACTTTTAATTCCTTAAATTAATCATTCTTGAATCATGTCAATGCTTAATTCTTCCCCTATGTTGCTGGGTGAGGTCTCCAGATCGCCGAGGTCATTCGATTCACTAAAATTAAAGGTAATACTTTTGTTTATAAGTAGTTAGAAGTCTTTACTTCAACAAAAAAGGATTAAATATAAACAGTTAGATTTAGTAGTTACCTGTCAAGCGATGGTTCATTACTAAACATTTCCGTTGGAACAGTTGGAGGAGCTCTTTCCAATTCTAAATAACTCTGCCTTGATTGTAGGTGTCTCTCGACCTCTTCAGGTGTCATATGACCATCTAACAGTGTACTGCTACTACTTGTGCTATTAGCACTTGTAGGAATTTGTAATTGCTATCAAAAAATCTTAATTTTGGGAAAATTTTTATTTTAGTATAATTACCATTGTTGAAGAATGATGACTTGATGATGCTGAAGCTTTCGGTTGCCTGGTAGGTGGATTTGGTCGTTTCCTCTTTACAGGGGGTACATTTCTACCAGAATTTACATAAGAACCATTACTATGTGAAACAGCACTTTCAAATCGGCGTCTAAAAATACAACATTATATTTCCCCACACAAAAAAGAATCACTTAAACTTACTTCCTAACTGGTTCAACTTTAACAGGTTCGTCTTCCGATGAATCAGAATCGTCAGATTCAGTAGAAGTTTCTTCAGTTTTCTCGTACAGTAATAGTCGATCTAATAAAAAATTTCTATCTCTACTTACGGTTAAAAGCTTTTTTTGTGCGGTACGTAAAGCGTGTTGAAAGCATTCGTTTTCCTATAAAATAACGTTTAAATATGATTCGTTATTACCTCATTAATTATGAAAATTTACATATAAGAGATGTTTAAGTTTTCCTTTTAAAAACTTGTACTGGGCTTTATGTTTAGATTCTTCCTGAGCTCTTTCTTCTTCTTCGGCTGCGGCCGCTTCGTTCGCAATAGAACGACAATACCAACCGTCCAACATTGTAAAGAAATATCGAAAAAAAATTGCAAGAGAAAAATTCGATGATTTATAAACATATACAAAAATTAATTAAATAGACATAACCAATATTTGTTTAACTGTCAAACATGACGGTCGGTAAAACAGATTTTTATTGCATTAAAAGAAAAAATAATCAATTTTATTATTTAATTTATGTAATTTACATCAAATTTCATATATAAATTAACTTGATTAAATTTTATAATCTAAGATTAGTAAGATTTTAATATTTTACTCGTTTAACATAACCAAGCAGTCTTTTTTATTTCAATCAAGGTTATATTATTTATTTGTACAAAATGATTAAAGTTATATAGTATTATACAAAAAGTTATGTACATTAAATAAAAAAGAGATTAATAAATTAATTTAAATTTTATATTAAATATTTACTAGTTTCTTTTTATTTTTAAAGGTTGGCAACGTTAAACTTTGGTTACACGTCAATATGAAATATCATTTTTCAACTCAAATAAATACTCAACACATACTGAATATACGTTTTTTATTCATAAATAATTATATCACAGAACAATATCTTACATTTAGAAAAAACTCATCAGCTTAAATAGTAACATAGAAAACATTGGGGGCACAGACGAATAAGTAAAACTCTTACCAAATTAATAATAATAAAAGTACCTAATTAAATTATGGCACTTATATGAATGATAACTATCATCAAAATACGCTAACACTTAAAAAATTATTCATTTGTGGTAACTAACTTAATTGACTAGGCAAAAAAGAAAACTTACATAACCCTATTATGACCCTCAAGTAAAATAGAGTAAAATGGGACCGTTAATACCAATTATATCTTATTAGGAGTTACATAGCATTACAAGAATGTACATGAAAAATAATAAAAAAAAAATAATAGGATATAAAAATTAGTTCTAGAATCTAAATAATATTTAAAAAATGGAAATCGTTTAATTTCAGATTTCTCCATTTGGCTATCTTTGGTACTTTCCTCGTTCCACACGGTATAGAAAAATAAATATCACCATATAAATTTAATATATTCATATGTTTTCTGATTCATAGTTTTTGCTCTCTTTTGTAGGATCTCGTTTCAACCTGAACACACTTCAGAGTGTTCATCCCATGCTGCAACCTAAAAAATTATCAAATCAAACAAAAAATCTTATGGATTATTTTTTTTTAATATACCTGGCAATCCCTGCTGCAATACCATTGATTTGCGCATCCTGCACAAACAAACTGCGCCTGTCTTTGGTTGCAACCTTGACATTGTGGGACATCCCCATCTTCTGAATTATTATCTTTAGATCTACCATCGACCATTTCACCACCTTCATCAATTACTAATCTATCCACGCTATCTTCTTGTTCATCTTCATCCTATTAAATAACAAAAAAAAATTATTTGATAAAAATAAAGCGTTTAAAAAATAATCTTACAAGATGATTTTTATTTTTTGCAACTCCATCATATTTTCCCATAACTGGAGTTATTGTTATTTCATTTCTGGCCTAAAAATTAAATCGTTATTTATAATTTTAAACTGTTTATAATTATGTATTTACTTACTTTGCTGTGCGATAAAATATCAGAAATAGACGCAACATTTCCTTGGGTTGAAACCACAACGTTGTGATTTCCACTTGTTTGTGGACTCGATTTTTCTGGTGCCGTGAGAAGTCTGGCAAGGGTTGGGCTAAATGTACTTTTAGTTTCTGATTTAGTCGGTTGATTCTGCGAATATAACTCGTTAATAAATTTAATTAACATTTAGTGTTATTACCTTGGTTAATATTCCATGAAGTAAAGAATTCGAATTTGTAGACGTAGTAGGAACAGGATGTACAGTAACTTCCGGGTAAGGTGGTGGTGGTTTTCCGCTATTATTACATAAAATATCTTGTTTTTCACTTTGCGATAATTTTGCAAATTCCACGAGCATATCTTTAAATGAAGTTAAATCGCTGTTTACGTCGGATTCCGAATGCGATAAATTGATATCGCTCGTTGATGATGTGTTGTGTAAAACTTGTGCTCCAGAACCCAATGCTATATTTGAAACGTTAAGAACGTTACCGGTTGTTTTAAGAATACTCTGTGGGATGTTAGTGCGTATTCTCCGTCCTCTCCGCGGAACAGTTTCGGGATGTTTTTGTCTATAATCGGCTATTAAAGATTTTACATCGACAACAGGTCGCTGAATCCGTTGTCTATAATCGTGAGCGTTTCCAATATCAATACTGTTATTATAAGATGATCTCCCGTTGAAATGTTTTGATTTGTGGTTCCCGTTTCGACTTCTTTGAGGATCATTTGTGTATCTTTCAGAAGAATTTTCGAAACTTTCATCGTCAAAATCTCCCAAATTTAATAAAAGTAATTGTTTTTGACGTTCTAAACGCAACAATAATTCTTCTTTTAACTTTTTGAAATGCAATATATTATTCCATTCCTTCTCTTTTTGTTTGGCCAGCTCTCCCAAAGTTCGTATTTCAGCTACAATTTGCTCGGTAGACGCTTGAATTTGTTCAAAACTATTCCCGCCAATATTATCCATACACTTCTTCAGGAACTTATCTCTAACAGAAAAACTTCTTTGCACCTCAACATGCAATCGTTTCATAGCAGACTCGTTAGCCTCAGCCTCCAATTTTCTTTTTAAAGAAATATCAGTTCCACTATCGTTATCGTTACTGCTATCTTCGTGGATGTGGTGAGTTCCTGAATCACCATTCATTTCATTCGGCGGCGTGTGATTATCGACTATCTCCATTTTGATTTCGTTTGGAATATCTTCTCTTTTAATTTCTGTTATGTTTAAGTTTTCAGATTCGGGTGGATTTTCTTCGAGTTCTTTTTTGCACATATCGTTTATCATATCTTGTCTTTGATCCGCGTGACCAGGCGAGGATGGTTGTTGCGTATTGCAACCTTCGTGAACATCTTCCATAACATGCATTTTATTTAAACTGAAATAATGAAAAGAAATATCGAGTTAATAAAATTAAAAGTTATTAAAAAGTTGCTCTATTCCATGTTCATAGATAAATTCGGTGTATTCTCCGAGTTGTCTATACGATATATAAAACAAGGACGGTACTTCTAGTTTTAGTTGTTATTCGCACGTCTCTCAAGACGGCTAAACCCGAATGATTCTAGTTCTAGGTCTTGTGTTAGTTCTAGTGATAGTGCAAAACTAGAACTAACACTACATCTAGAACTAGAAACATTTGGGTTTATCCGTCTTTAGAATGATTCTTGTTCTAGATCTAGTGTAGGCTCTAGTGTTAGTGATAGTTCTAGTTTTAATACATATTCAGCGCTAGATTGTTATACAAGGTGGCACAAAAGTTGTTCTTTGATTCTACTTTTGGATAAACATAATTTATTTGATGTCTTAATTTTTTTTTCATTAAGTTGAGAAAATGATATGAACCAAGTGGTCGCCGCCAGAATTGATGACCATACTGACCCGATTTATAACATATTCCATCACTCTCGACAGAACTTTCGGCGATAAGTTCTCCCATTCTTGACGGATATTCTGTTTAAGAGCTTCAACAGTCTGAAGTTTGTTAACTTAGACTCATAACTTCGAAAAACCCCACAAAGAAGAACTCTGGAACGGTTAAATCGGACCACCTTGTCGGCTGGTGCAAATCGTCAAAACGAGAGATAAAGCGACGCGGAAATGCAATTTCGGTTGTGGCTCGTGCAGTATGCGTCGTTGCTACATCCTGTTAGAACCACATATTCTCTAGTCCCAATTCATCCAATTGAGGAAGGAGAAAGTCGTTGAGCATGGCTGTGTAACGCTTGCCGTCCACAGTAGTCGTTTGGCCCGCGGCGTTTTCGAAAAAATAAGGCCCGATGATGCCTCCAGCATTAACTTTCGGCGGGTGTAGTGGCTCTTCGTGTGTTATACGTGGATTTTCGGTACCCCAGAAGAGAGAATTTTGCTTATTCACATATCCATTGAGATGGAAATGGGCCTCATCGCTCATGATAATTTTCGATGAAAAGTTGTCTTCCTCGTGGTCCAGATGCAGGATGGCTTGAGCGATTCGTGTCTTGTTGAGCCATCTTAAGAGATGCGCTGCTAAACCAGAATGTTTCTACTACTAGGTCTAGTATTAGGGTGTTTTAGTTGTTATTTATCGTTAAATTTTTCATTGAAATAAAACTAGAAGTAACACTAGATCTAGATTTAGTGCTAGATTATTGTATATTTTTATTGAACTAACTAATAAAGAACGCAACGTTGTGGAATTTGCGTGCATTAAAATTATTCATTCAAACATTTGTTTAAAGTGCAAATAATTTTTTTTTAAATAACAGAGTTTTGGCTATAACGGACACTCCTTTCCCCTTATTAATATAGTTCCGGATTAAAGATTAGAAAATACGATCGATTACTTGGCTGAACTTTGTATCAAGACGAGCAACTGCAAAAAAATAGATCACATTGATGAAGCTCATACGTAGGTAGGTGACATCAAGGTCTCGGAATCGACTGTTTTCTCGGTATGACTATCAGTTAACTTGAAAATAAGTTTGTTTACTTTAAGCGATGAACAGAAACCGTTTACGATTATAGGAGTTCAGCGAAACCCAACTCCGACATATTAACAATTAAGAAACCTTTACGGTTCAATAAATTTGAGCAACGAGGTTATAATAAAATTTAAATTAATATAGTCGTAATTAATAATTAAAAGGTGTTTGTAAGTAGACTTACATGATACGCTGTGGCGTCTTGCGATCACAAAGCCAAACAAGCTATTAAGCAATAAATACTCACTCAAGGTGATTGCAACGATACACCATGATAAGGGTACGGCCTTCGTGCCAGCGTGCGTGACACAGATTTCGGAGAACGCGCGTTGGACTTCAACGACGGGAAACCGGCGCAAAGTACGCTTCTACCTCCGTACTTGAAGCTATTTTCGGCCAGTCACAATGTTTACACGTCCTACATTCTACCGGAGGAGAGGCGTAATACTGATACCGTGGATGGAACACACCGTAGAAACGAAATCGAAACTGACCTTCAAAATGAAAACGTAGGGCTACCCGAACGTGTAGAGATTGCGACAGAGAATTTGAAGACTGATACGGGACGCGAAATCGTCGAGAAGTAGGTCAGAGATCCAAAGTTGTCGTTGTCGTCGAGGCGGTGGGGAAACGAAACGAGGATGAATCGAAAGTGTGCTCGATAGCGAAACAAAACAAATTGTTACAATCACTTAATAACTTACTCCAATGGTAATCCCCCGTTCTTCTTTTCTACCACTTTTCCAGTGGGTACTAAGCCAACCGCTAAAAGAACGGCGATTGCACTATCTTGGTGATCATCCTCTTGAAGGACTTCTTGGGGAAGATTTATATCGGGAACGGCGCCTCTCCGAAGACGGCACCTCGCGGGCAATCCAAGTAGTTCGTGTTGTACGTCCCTTTCGTAGCTATTTTCGCTAAAGTGTCTACTACAGATACGTGCGGTGGCGCAGTTCTGCACGTGCCTCCCGCAGGCTCTCACCCAGCGCGCACGCGTCCCGACGTCCCCAGGGAACCTATGGTACCGCACCGAACCACCTTTCGTCTTCCGGTGCGTGTTGCTACAACTAACTACGGCACACTGGGGCATCTTCTCAACACTGTACTAGCATATTTGGGTCGATAACCAGGTTCTCCTCCCGAAGGCTTCCCTTCGTACTAAATATAGACGCCGTGGTACGGCTATATACACTCTCTTCTTTAAATACACCGACGAGGAACCACTTCCGGTCTAGGAGGACGCGCGCGCCGCTCTGTACGTTGCAAGAGCGAGTGCGACGTTGCGACCTCGCGTTCCGAGCGACGGTCCGCCCCACCAAAACGATCTACTGAGCACCGGTGACGTCATGAACGTTTCCTCCGACGTCCAGATCGATCCCCCTTTTAACCAAAATCCACTTTCTCTTTCTTTAATTAACAAACTACAAATACTATTCCATTAATAATACTTTATTATTTACAATACACTCCATACAAATTTAAAAGGCTATCAATAAATGTTAAAAACATCAATAATTAACTATCAAAATAAGTCTTAAGCGGGCAACACTTTGGTACATGTATAATTTGTATGTGAAGTGCCGTCGCGCTTGTAATTAATCTCATGGAGACACATGTATCTCCATGACTGCTTGGAAGAGATTCCATACTAATGCCTAGTGTTAAAATTATCTTCTTTGATTATTATATTAAAATCATCCCCTCCAATACGAAAAAAAGAGTCACCCTCGTCATCATCCACAATAAACCCTCAGGAGTTACGCCCTCCCACGCTTCGCAATTAGAGGATGAACGTGAGGGGTCCATGAGGGGTTGGATCGGCGGACGGCCCTCCAGAGGAGCAATTGCTTAGGGTGTGGATCACGTGGTATGGTCCCAGTTATTGATCGGGGATGTGGCCCCAGACTGCGGGACTTATGAGTCAGCAGCCCTCGTTACGGGACGTTATCTCGGATGCCCGCCCCTTCCCATTGGTAGTTGTTACTAGGGATGGGCAAACCGCTTAATAATCAACGTCTACATCGTATCACGTTCTCACCCCATTTCCGCAAGATATTTAACGTTTTCGGTATATCTAAAAATAAGTCTTGTAATTGAATTATTTGTTTTATTTTGTAATAATAAAATAAAGTTATAAGAAGGTTATTGTGTAGTTGCGATAAGTGGGGAAAAAGACTCATACGACCATAAACGAACACAATGATATTGACTCAGACGGTTCAAAACCTTGAACTCCTTCCAGCTAAAAAAGAGACTTGGCTAGCCGCCAGAAAGACATACTCCACTCCAAATGTACTAAAACCACGCCTAACGTCAATAAAAAATTACGAAATATTATTGTATATGAAACAATTAATGTTGATACCATGTGCGCATGTTTTTAAAGAACAAAAACAAACACATACCGCGCGATGCTTTTGTTTATATTCCTTCGTTAAGCAAATATTTACATATAAAGTTTCCTACATTACCGGCGTTTACATTACTTACCATTTAATACTTTTTTTAATAAGAGCAAACGCGAGTATGCTTCCCCTTGATTTCTTCCTTCGCTTATTAATAATTTCCAAGGAAAATTTCCGAAGAGGGATTTCCTCTTCGTTTCGAATAGGTTCTTTAAAACCTCCCGCTGCGATTTCTTCGTCAGCGCCATCTCGCGGCTCGATCGTTACGTTCGATGGCATATCATTATTTTCCACAATTTCCACCGTTTCAATTCCATTCTCGTTAACATCCGACCCGGAGAGGGATTCTTCGACGATAACGCACTCATCCAAGATGTCGATTACATCCGGACGATCTTTGTTAACCACAGACATGATAACACAACAACTAAAACTCAGGGCTTTTACGATTCGTCATCCTACAGGCAGTTCTTGTGGTGTCCCGCATAAAATTCGAACTGCACTCACTAACTCACTCGTTGGAGAGATATTTACGCCACACACTCACGTATAATTCGCTTATTTATAAGTATTAATTCTGACTGACCTAAATATATTGATTAAATTTCATTGGTACGGTTACAGGATTCTATTTTTAAGAGTACTAAAAAGGTTGACAGTTGAAAGAGGGGTCCATCTATGGGTAGGTTGATGAACCGGTTTAAGATTACTGTATTTACATCTCTATTTTATAACTTGATTTGAGTTAATTTATATTTTATAATAATAATCATATTAATTAATATTATATAATGATTTAATTATAAATTTGAGGTGGTGTATAATAAAAATGTTATACTTATAATCTTTTGAAACATAGATGGCGCGACGTTACAATGAATAAAAAGGAGTGTCAACTATTGACAAACCGAGGTTTTATTTGAAGAATTTATTACAGTACTAAAATCCATACATTTTCCTGTTATACAAACGGTTGCCTTTTTAGGTCTAACATAAGGAGGAATCGATGAAGAATACATTAAAAATGTTTCCAAAATAGTTACTCCAATGCTGAGATTAACACCACAATAATAAGAGATATGCTTTTAGAAATCAATGGTGATGGTTTAATTACCATTACCATTTGAGGATGAACGCGTGAGCTCGTATGTAAACATTTTCGGGGGATACATTGAAGGATTTATTGAGAGTGGAGAATTCGCACGATGAAAACAAGTTATCCCGTTACGTAAACAACGAAGGGGTGTGGGGTCCGATGGTATTTCGAGTTTTTGCAAGGGAGCGACGATCGGCAAACATAATAGCGAGGGGTGAGAATTGCGATAATTTCTGAATGAGCTCAAATGATAATCCACTTTGTTTTGTCTCGATTTGAAGCACAAAATATACGAGTTCAAGATTTATAATATATGTTTGCTTAGAACAATTTTGAATTAAATTAGGGGTATACTCGATATTATTGAGGATATACTCAATTATTAAGTTAGTTTGGGATGGAATAACTTTTATATTTATTAATGTTCAAAGATTCTTTTTAAGCCGATATAAATCCGCAATTACGATACCATGTTTGTGTACCATGTTTTGTACCTTTTTCCTCGGGCTATTTTGCATGGATATCGTATCGATTTTCGGATTAATATTTCACGTTCATTTTATATCCTTATATAATTCACGATCCGGATTATTAGATGTTATACATCATTCACTGGCTAATATTATTATTATTGAGATGATTATTATTACGGAATATTCGATTCTGTAGTCACTTTGTAATGTGGTAACGTTGCAAAATGTTTTATCCTATTCATTGTTTCCTACCAAAAGGATAAATAAATACAAAATTCGATGAATCTCTATTTTGTATAAATACATTATCTTTTTTTATACACTTTGTAGCTTTGCCTACCTATAACAGTCTAATATTGGTAGAATCAATGATAAAACAATCGATAGGTATTGTAAGAAATCTAAAACGGTAGAATCGAAGAGGTCTGCTACATCAAAGCAACAAATACACAGCTCAACGGCCCATTTGTGACGTCATGAATCATTATTCCATTCGTGCTTTGTAATGTTAGTTTGAGACTTAATAAGGTTTATAATGACGGCTAAACCCAAATGTTTCTAGTTCTAGGTCTAGTGTTAGTTCTCCTTTTAGTGCAATAAACATATACAACAATCCACTACTGAACAACAAGAAAAACTAGACTCCCACAAATAGTGTTTGGAAGTATGTTATTATTTTTAACGTTTAGTTCATTAAGAGTCAACTTTAATACGTTGTAACTTCTTAAAGAAACCCTTCTATTTCGAAACGAAACCCTTGTAATTAAAAGTAATTATAGTAAATACATTGTACGAGCCAATTATGGAGCTATAAAAGTAAATGTGGTTCAGTATTAAATGAGAGATATAAGTGAGAGAATAATTAATCAACGATCGAGGGGCTGGCGCAGAATTGGTAACGAATAAAGAGCAAATTCCTTGACATGAATACAGGTACCGGGCGACGCGTACGGCGGGCATTTAATATGCAAATTTCGTCCAATAAGAATCGGGTCCTATTTGCATACGATTGAAGGTAGAGGTAGGTAGGGTACGGGGAGAGATTGTTGCCGAGGAGTGGCTCACAATGCCCTGTTATTGTCGATCGTCGCGGAGAAATTCGGTATATGTCGAGTCGAGGAGCCGGTCCCTTTCATAAAACGCACGCCGAAAAAATCGTATTCTTCGCACGTGTGCTGAATTTCACAACAGAATCTTTCGCCATCGAAAGATTCTCGTTTTAGCCTTTTAGCATTCGCAAAATTTTAATACCACCAAATTTCTTATTATTAAACATACCTATAGTATCTTTTGATTGAAGCACATCATGATATCTCACGATAAATAATAAACCATGAGAAAAATCAGTTTTAGACTCGATGATAAAGTTGTCTCTCTGAATGGCTAAGTTGTGAAAAGAAGCTCTGAATACTCATGGTTTTCGCCCTTAATTGTGAGTTCGCCCGAGTGGCGGTTCTTCTTTAATGTAATGGAACATAAGGAATAGTGACAGTACAAAATGCTGTTATGTCAAATACTGCAATACTGAAGCTTTATATGTAATTGTAGGAGATGTGGCATTTCCCTTGGACTTATTACTTGTGCACCACATGCCATAATTAAAAAAATTACACTAACACGTGGAATTACAAATAGAAACGTTCCGACTGGGGAAGGTTCAACCTTTTAGCGCAGTTCAGGGGCTAAAAAACTGACAAGAATTACTAGAAAAGCTGAGATTGCTCTGATAATGCCACAATATTCTGGTTCATGCTGAGTGAACCTTTCAAAGCAAATCCAAGTCAGTCACGAAATTCGTCAGAGGAAATAAAACTTACAAGGCAGAAGAGGGAGAGGAAAGCCTAGGATAACGTGGCGGAGATCCATTATGAAAGAGATAAAGGCAACAGGAAGATCATGGCTGAAAGTGAAATAGATAGCTCAAAACCGAACACGATGTAGTGTATTTGTCGAGGTCCTATGCCCCAACCCGGGAATTTGAGGATTATTAGGAAGTGAAGATATTGGGGTTGATATTACCAAAGAAGAAATTGACGGTTGATTTGACTGTTCTATGGTAGCAAATATTTCTGACTTGGCTTACTTCAACAAATATTGACGCTGCCAAGCCAAAACGGCATAAATGACATTTACTTGATTTCCCAGGAAACGTAAAATCATCACGTCTTAATGAAATAGGTATTTGCGCAAACTTTAAACCAATATTGTGGCGATTTGCAGTTATGCCGCTTTAACGGTTGGATGCAGATTTAAAAATCCTGTTCAATGGTGTAGCTAAGTAAAAGGTGACCGTTTTGGCGTTTGGAGAGTTTTCAAATTTGTCTCTTTTCAAAATTTTCTGTAATCAACTAATTTTACGAATTAAGTTCTGCTTTACTTGTAATCAATACGTTTGAAGATCAATACATTACATCGTCGAGTTTATATACGATACCATTCTCAATAAAAAGACGTTGGAAATATTTAGAAATATTACATCAGTGAAAATAATAACGAAAAATTTATCCCGAGTGAGACTCGAGCTTGCACAATTTCGCCATTTTTGAATACCCGAGATCAAAACCATCAGAATTAATTACTCATTAAATTTAGCAGAAGGTTTTATAGACCTAGATTTTGCAAAAAGTTTACAGAAAGTGAAGTATTTTATAACTAATTAGTTAACTTTAATTAGTTAGTTAACTAGAACGTAATATTACTATTTGAAATGATTGTTGGGATTAATTTGAAATTTATTAGTGTTTCTCTGCCTTCATGGTTCCGTGTAATCGAATAACAATATTAGACTTTTTGACCAATGAGAGTCCACTTTGTCCAATACACCTCACGCTGCGACCTTTAATTAAACAGAACAAGGGAACAACAGGCAATCGCCGACAGAGACGGTTGCTTTCATTACTCATTAATTTCAATTTTATTGGCTCAAGCCCGGGCAATCGATAGTCCCCGAAGCCCCGGGGGAACAAATATTGGAACTCTTCCTTTAATTATCTTCAAACGGAATAAAAACGAAGTGAAAAAAGTGAACGCTTTTAAAGTTGAATTATTCAGGTCTCTTTAATCGGACGTTTTTGTGGGATTAGGATTTATTCGGTGAATTTAGTGAGTCGGATGTGGGTGTGAGGATGAACCCTTTCCGTGGGACGGTTTAATGTCCTCCAAATGCGAGACGGAAACAAAAGGAAAAACGTCGAGATGAGCGGAAGGGGGAGAAAACAAATGCTCGAAATAATTACGAAGAGCCGTTGTCGTCACAGAGCGCCGCCCTGATCTGCATACGGTGACGTAGCTTCTGTGTCTATCCTATGGCGTTTGTCAACGTGGTCGTTAGCGGAGGCGAAGACGGCAGCACTGAAACGACGATGGCATCACCAGTGCGCAACCCCAAGTTACTATGAAATCAGTACCGGCTTTAGCACACATTATAATATACTCTAAAAAATCATCAATTATACGATGATGTTTATAATTAATTTTAGTTTTATTTTAACCCTAAACAAAAATTAAATGTATCGTTAAAATTACATGTTGGATTTTTTTGGAACTCTTGTAGCTACAATTATATATCGAAGCCGCCCCTGTCCGTATCGCTCAACCAGAAACCTTGAGGGGGATAGATACAATCAGAGTTTTTATTTGTGGAACGTCTCGTTGTCAAGGCCGCGTGGGGATCGACTTCAATATATAAATTTCAATTCAACGTACCCGTTCGTACTCGTAGCCCTCCGTCTCTGCCCTCTTCTTCCTTGTCTTCTTCTTCTTCGTTGTTCCTCTCGGTCTCTTTACTCCTCTCGTTGCCTGCTTGCCCACTTGCTTCCTCTCCACTACCTCGCGACCTTCCATGAGCGAATCTCTTTGTGTGTGCTTGCTACTACCCGGGCGACCAAGCAAGGAGAAAACGTCGACTTTACATTACTTCAACCATAACCGATTTCAGTACTTCAAATATACGATCCGAGTACTTGAATCGAAATTGATCTCGAATAAAAAATTCATTTTTGATTTAATATTGAAAGAGCTAAAAAGACGATCCTCGTATTGATTAATAACGACATTATTTTTATTTTTTACCACGTTCTCCCATACGTATAAGCGGTATTTATGAAGTTGAGTCGTAAATGCAGAACTTCCTTTGTCCAATCCGGACGATTCGTCCTCGATTGCACGTTTCCGCATTACGGCTGGGGAATAACGATTATGAAGAGAGATTATTCGATGTACGAAAACAGACCTTATGGCGAATCGGTAGTTCCTAACTTTTCTTGATCGCGGCACTTGTTGGTGAAAGATAACTATTAATTACAAATAAAACTCTGTCATTTTTAGTGTTTTCTTTATTATATTATACTTCTCTCAGATTATACAAGAGTACAGAGTAAACAAAAAAACGTAGTATTATACACTCACTCAACCCTATTTCTGGTCTATAACTTTTTTTTTCTAGTGCATAAATCAAATTGCAACAGATATCCGGTCTTAGAATCGATGTAGCACCATTTTTTCACTTTACAAGAATTTTCTTTATTCTTTTATTGGTGCTAAAACCTATTGTAGGTTTTGGTATGCTCAGTTAATTTTTGCCAATCCGTTGTTTCCTGATAACTCCCTCTCTTTGTAAGTCTCATTCTCCTACCCGTTGATTTAGTCAGTACGCACAATACACATCATAATATATGTCCTAGCCACTCTATTCTAGTATGCATACGAGTGTATGTGTGCTTTTAATACTTATGTAACCTGTACTGGTGCCGTTTCTTAGTGATGCTTCTACTACTAGGTCGAATAGTATGGCAGAAAACGCATCTCTTTGTAGTACACCAGTGCTGATATGGTGTGCCATGGCCATGTTAATGATTTCTTGGGAACTCACAAGGTGATATTTTCGTTAAAGATAATAAAAGATATGGGTCATAAATTAACTCTATGACATAAAACAGATCATTAATGTTGATTAGCATCTTAAATAAACACGAATTAAAGTTGGGGGCGCTCTCCGTTGTGCGTTAGGGATTAAGGAAAATAGTTTTTTTGTCGCAATTCAAAGGTACTTACATGATAACATATTCATTAACTTCCTGGCAAAAAAGATGATTAGTTTCTAAATGGCTCAAATTACTTGGAAACAAACTCTATTGCCAAAACTTTCATACATAGTATAGAGTTCTCTCTATACCCAAGAAAAAGATACTTTTTTCATTATACCTAATCTTAAGTGCTACATAGTTGAACTCGTATTGAAAACAAAATGACTTATAGTTACAGAGAAACAGTAAATCTGGCAACTTTGGAAAATTTACTTTTGGAAGCCAAATTTTGTAAAATTAAGTGTTGCCACATTTTTCTTCTACTTTGTATATCTTGTTCCAGAACACTCCAAATTTGTTGCGAAGGATTTACGCGCCTCGACGTGTTTAGTGCGATTATATGACTTGATCGAGATCATGCAGTGTTTCGTGTTTCGGCAACTTTAATTTTATACAGGGTCAAATAAAAACGAATCACAAAAATATTAGATATTTTTAGCTTATCACTTTGTTTTTCATTTAATTTTGGTTGGTTTCAAACTATTTTTGGGCCACAATTTGGGAATCACTGTTTTAATTATTTCTATTCATTTTAAAAGCAATAAAAGGTAATGTTTTTTTGGACCTTTTCCTTTATTGATACATATTACTTTTAAATAAGCTATACTATAATATTTATAACTGTTCTTTGGTACAACATAAAACTTTATTCACTATCCATTAATACGTTTAATATAAAACCCAATGGATTAGATAACTAAATAAATACACCGTCTGTTTACAGTTACATGAAACGCGCATGCAATTTCGAAAACTGAGTTTTGATACAAACGAGTTTCTTTTTATTTTTTTCATTTTCTTCATCCATGTTCATTTACAACGTGTTATTGTCTACACTTTTAATATAAGACACATTCGCGATTGAACATTTTCGTATCGTGGAAATGTTGGAGCGTCAAATGTGTCGTTGTATATTAAAAAAATTACAGCGATATGTATCTTCGTATTTATTTCACAGATATTACGAATGGTAACATAAAATAGTACATGAAGTTTCTAACAAATTTATGAATGGCGGTAATATAAATATGAATGCAAGCTATGGGATCCTTTTAATATCGTAAAGTACGATCACAACATTCGGAAATATATATTGAGTATAAAATATTTAATAATATTAAAGCTATTTTAAAATCCTGTAATGTTCTTTCAATAATCGCTTTCAAAAACTTTGTTATTTCCGAATATGTTGTGATGATACTTTTTTCTTTAATTCCTTAATTTGAAAAATTAAAATAATATTTAAATCAAAAACGAACGTTTTGATTACAGACAGGGATGTATGATTTGATTAATATCGTGGCACTACATGTAACATTTAAGACATTCATTACCAAAATAATTTCTCACTTCTCGTGGATAAATATACATTACATACTCTTGTTTTTTTTTATTTTATAATGTTAAAATGGAAATTTTTGATTTATTTAAATAAATAAAAATTTTTGATGTATAAAATCAAAGTAATACGTTGATCTAATTTATATAAATACGTGGATAAAGTTGCCTAAAGTTTAGTGAAAAACACTCGCATAAAAATCCGAAATAAGTCAACATTAATAGTAATAATAATAATCGCTACGTTTATTTAACGTTTTTTTTCTACTTTCGTGTTGAATACTTTTAAAAGTTGTAGCCTAATATTTTGTCGATATAAAATGCTCTTTCGACACGATCTATGTCATATCAATGCAAATTACAATATACGAATAGTTTGTTTAGCTACTTGTTTGTACTATATACATTTAGATATACAGGTGGTTAATAATAATCAATGATAACGTTCAATTTCTTTTTTGTCCTTAAGATATATTGCACTAATTATAATAAAAAGGACATTCCATATTAACAAATTAAAATTAACATAAACAGACTTAAATTACAACTATTTACAATAAAAACATAATAATATAATAATGAGATATAAATTGTTAATAATTATGTACAATTAAGGAGCGCAACTTTTCGAATTACATTATACACAGTTTTAGAAGTATGTTGTGTAAGAGGAACATCGTATTCGTAAATTTAAATGGAATGATACACTTAAAGTTTTTGTTTTTCGTTAGTTTTTTTTGCGTGTTTTTAGAAAAATCCAATGATGTCACTATAAAATTTAGATTCGTAAACTCGTCTAAAAATATCCAGGCGCCGCCGCGGTCGGTACGGAATAGGCAAAACTCCGCGGGAATCCGATTCTTCCTTCTGGCTTGAGGTTGACCGCGATTCCTTTGTATATCTTCGCGTCTTTCCCCTATCGTTCGAAACGTAGAAAGTGCGCTGAGAACGGCAAAGGTTAAAGCATTAATAGGCAGTAAAACGTCATTTGATTAACTCTACGCAACTACTCGACACGGTGAGAACCCGAGGGTATTCAGCTGTAATTGCCGACATACAACTTTTACAATACAAATTACAATTGTAAAACGTAATATTGTCAACGGTAAGGACTTCTTGAGAAGCCCTCCTATGTATTTATAAGACTAAAAATGTCAGTTGCCGAGAGAGACCGTTTTTTTAAAGTAGGATGTACCATGCTTGGCTTCATTATACCGGGAGATAAGAATGTTTTAAGGCTCGACTTCGCGAAACTTGATAATATCTTCACTTTTGGCCTGTAGAGTAACAAGTTACAGAAAAGGTTCAGTAAAAGAGTAGGTAGAGTAACAATCTGGCAACATTCCCAAACAACATTTTAACCTTGATATTCATACTTATTTTTTTTATTTTAAAATATATTTTTGAAAGTTTTAATAAATTATAAAAAGTATTTATAAATTTTATAACTTTGAATCAACTTTTTATACTTATTTTCGGGATCCAACTTTGAATTAGCAAATGCTTAATTTATTCTATTCGTGTTTTATGATGTTATTAGCTTGAGACTTAACGTTCATAATATAAAATAAAGATCTTGATCGAGTTTTGCCATGCGACTAAACCCGAATGTTTCTAGTTCTAGGTCTAGAGTTAATTCTAGTTTTAGTTCAATGAAAAATATATAACAATCTAACGTTGTATTTATTATTTAGCGTTAGAACTAAACTTGAATTAACACTAGACCTAGAACTAGTAACATTCGGGTTTAGCCGTGCGCCTCTAAGACGGCTAAACTCTAATGTTTCTATTTCTAGGTCTAGTGTTAGTTCCACTTTTAGTTCAATAAAAATATACAATAATCTAACTATGAGTAAAAATTAAAACTCGGAAGCCGTCTTGTTAGACGTGCGGCTAAACCCGAATGCTTCTAGTTCTAGGTCTAGTGTTAGTTCTAGTTTTAGTCCAATAAAAATATACAAGAATCCAACGCTGAATAACAAAACTAGAATTTCCGTCCTTGATTTATATACAGTATAGATATCTCAGGGAATACCTAGAGTTTATCTATGAACATGGAATAGAGCAACTTGAGGAACAACCCAAGTTGGATTATATCTATGAGCGCTAACATTTATATTTAAATATGTGTCATATATGCATGTCAAATTTTATTACATTGCCCCTAATAATAGCCGAGTGCCGAAACTAGTAAAACAAAAAAATAATAATTAAAGACTTTTTCTGCATTCATAACTAGTACTTCAGTTACAATTCATTCAACTTGATTAACATAAAAATCCAATTAAGTTTGAGTTTAGAGTAGGTGTTTTAAGTTTATTACAATTTCATCTACAAGGAAAAAGTTTTCATCTGAAAACTGTAGTTGTAGTAAATGTTGGTGATTTCAGACTGCTCAGTAGTCTTTAGACCAAAAAATGAGTTTTACAATTTATATATATTAACAGATATAACCAACATACTGAGTAGAGCCATAAAATTAAGGTCAAGTGGCTGAAGACTGTTTCAAAATGACTTTCCAACTCATAAAAGCATTCAGCTACTTGGCTAAACCTTGGTTTATCTCCTTCCAGTTGGAACAATAGGGTTTATTAGGTGATCAAAGTTTGAAACTTTTACCCAAAAAATCCAATATCAACTTTGTAACTCGATTACTGAGTATATCTTCAACTGTTTCACAACCTGCTAATGTTTTTAATACATATTGTGTATCAATAAGACTTTTTAAACTATGAATAAATTGATTCCCATCGTGTTTTCACGGGTAATTTTAAAAAAATGGGCGCATTCAACGTGTCGTCGACAACTATAAACATTTCTGTTCTTATTAGCGTACCTCTTCCAGAAGCAGTTACAGAGTCTGCTTAGTTTTGATCACGAAAAGCAATAATTTTTGACTACTTATTGGGAACTTGTTATTTTTATGGGTCCATATAACGTGACGTGTAATTGGATTAATCAGTTAACATAGGCTACAATCTTCGCTTCATACTTCTGACATAATGCTAGACGATTTTACTCTCCGACTTCACATGGGCTTGCTTGAATTTCAGTGGATTCATTCAGTGGCAACTAAATTCACTACTTGAGAGTCAAAAAATCATCTCAAATTCTTTATTGCACTGAGTATCCAATTTTTGATGACTACTGTTTATACTACGCAGTTGAATTTCAGCCACAACATCACAAGGAACCGGAACAAAAACTTATTTAACAGTTTGATTATATCTTCAAGAGAAAGGATCAATTTCCTTGTTTACATACAGATGATAGATGAACATCCTTCAAAGATGATAAACCCAATAAAAAGAAAACATAACTTGTTTCACCAACTAGTTCTTTTCTGTGAATGAGATGACATTAATTCCACCGGTAACGAATGCTTAATTTTGACAGAATAAATAAATACAACAAAATAGGAACTTTCTTATTTGAAACATGAAATAGTGCTAAACTGATATCAAACGTTGTAAAAGAAATAAATATACAACAAAGTTTAAAGTAGATAAACAAATTTATCAAACTTGTAATGAAGCCAAACAACATTTTATATCTCATTTAGCCATTCATGAATTTCTCTCTTTGAACCATATTTACAACAATGTTTTCAGGTTGATCTATAAAACGATCAAATGAATATAGTTTTGAATATGACCAAAGCAACTTTTAGCTTATAAATAAATAATTCTTGGGTAACGACTGGTGAGCCACTAAATGTGTCAAACAAATAAATGGGTCGCGATATGCAAACAAATTTTCATCGCCCGACCGTAACTCCGTAAACATCCGCGCAATTTTATCAACAGCGCGTAATCATTTCCGCGTCAGTCCGAGTTTATCGATTTAGGTTTTTTGCGCTCCTTCGTCGTCGTCGCCGTTCGTTCGTTTTTGAACTTTCAAATTTTCGGTACGTTTTCGCGCTGGTTAGTTGATATTTTCGACCCACACGTGTTTCGTTTTTGACCTTGTTTAGATCGCTTCGTGTTTTGAATTAAACCGTCCGTGTTTACCACTTACGAACGTAAATTTTGAGAGTAACTTTTTCTTCTATACACGTATAAGAGTGTATATTGACGAGTTTTTGATCGGTTTATTCGATTAGATATGGATCGATTGGTTTTATTATTAAGATTACGACCTTCCAGACTGGGTGGAAGGCGATCGAGCATAACAGAATTTTTTTTCTTTAATAATTCATCTCATTAATCATTCATGCACGCGCGGCTGCCGATTAATTATGAATACATATACGCGGATGGCCTGCACGAGCGACAAAGTTCCATACTGTGCGACAAAGAATGCGGTTGCGCCGCGCGGCTGACACAGATACACCACGGGCGTTATTGCAAATTGTGGAGCATCAGGTTAAAACCGTTCTAATTTCACTATTTCTGGCCGAACGACCCACATACGGACGTAACGTCTGCAGCGAATCTCTCTATTGATTTTCTGAGGCCAGTGGCGTTCCTCGTCAACAAGACAGCGGCGTCGCCTTGCTTTGCTTCCTAGCTTAGTTTGTAACCCTGTTCCCGTACTTTATGAGTCCCCATAAAATTATTCTTTGTAATATGAACTCAAAAGAAATTTTGCATTCCATGTTCTAGCTTTTTATGTCAACATAAAAATTAATGGTAATATTTCCTACAACTTTTTTAATGCTAAATAGTACTAAAAATACAACATGACATTCCGATTGTTTAAAAACTTAAAACAGAAATAGTAAAAGTAAACACGAAATCGATTTAAATTGGTTGATAAAAAGCGGGTATTAGTAGACGAAGAGGCGTGAAGGAAAAAACGAGACGGAGACGAGCTGGGTGAAATTATTAAAATCAATACGTCGTCGCTGACTGCGGTACTTAACAAAAGGGGGTCAGAGGTTGGCAACGCACAACCTCTCGGCTCCATAATTAAGTCTAAGTGGGCAGCCTGAATAATGTACGAAGGAATTTTTGTCGCTGACTTTGGCCCGATTGGCGTTTATCGTGAAGGATGTCTGAAATTGCTCGTTGTGTGGGATCCTTTGTTACTCCCAACTCAGATAACGTTTGGGAACTGCAGCTTTGTACTTTTTTATCAATTTAGCCACATAATACACAAAGTATTTATTGTTATGAAAAGCTCATTAATAAACTGATACAATTTTACGATAATCTATAACGCATTCTAACAAATTGATAACAAAAAAATACTTAAAATAGTCATAAGTATTGAAAGATGAAGCATAGTCAGATTTACACAAAATTAGAGATGTCTATTTTGAGATATAGAGATTCCATCCTTGACATTGGTAGTTTTGCCAAATTTGATGAGCCACTTGGATACTTAAAATAAATAAAATTCTCAGTACAATCTAGATATAAAAAAATTAATTTGTTCATTCTGTGATTTTGACATTAATACATTATTAATTAAACCTATCAGTATTTTGAGTTGTTTTGAAGAGTCCAGCTAAGTATATTGTTTCTCTAAGATGGTTTCTCTTAATGAAAAAAGGCGATAAAACATGATTTTGTAATAAACTTGTTCAACCCAAATCATTTTCTTATGCATAAGAAAAAGGTGTAAAAAAACTTTCCTCACTTAGAACTGCATAAGTACCTGAAATCATTTTGTAACCTTTCGTGTATTACATAAGCATTCTATTTCATGTTTTATTAGATTACTACTCTTACTAAGTATACATCAAATTCTGACAATACAGTATTAAAGCAGTCAAGGAACCGTATAGTTTAGGAACAATTCTCGGAATACCAGAATCTTCTAAATCATTATGAAAATCAACCCAACCCAATCCATGAGAAGAATTTATCAAGTACAACAAGAAATTGAAGTGGTGGAAACAAACTCATTGATATAAGCTAACAATAAAATTTATCCAAGAGGATTTTGGAGGACATTATTAACCTTCACTGGTTAGAGTCTTCTAAAGGTAAATTAATAACTTAATCATGTTTGTCGATGTTGCTCGCGTAAACCCATAAATTGGGGACGAAGATTGTAAGTAAATTCTTATAAGTTTTTGTTTCATTCGGTTAGGATAGCATATGATTGCACAAAAGGGCGAAGAATTTGGACCATGATTCTATTTATAATCGATTAGACTCAGAAAATGAGTTAGTTTTTGGCAAGACACCAACAAACGAAGAAATACAAAAAAAAACATAGAACAATTAATCAAAAATCTAGGACCGTCATAATCCATGTGATCAAATTGCTGTTAAGCCTAAGGTCATTTGCGTAGGTAAGGTGAGAAAACGCTGATTCAATAAATAGGTGGTCAGTAATCAACGATTGAATCATCGGTGTATAATCAGTTGATGTCACTGCTATTAAATTTCCTTTTTCATTTTTTAATAAAGAAACTTCAAATAGGTACTACTTTTTGACAATAAGTTTTACTTAAGTTCCAGTGGTGCAATTGAAACTAACTTTAGCTTATCTTTCTTAAGTTTAAGGTCGCTTTCCTCACCATATTATAGATATACTTCCTATGTATAATGAAATACTTTTAGAACCACAATACAAAAGTACCATCTATTGACTGGTAACGATATTGATTACATTTTTATATTACACAATAAGATAGAACTTTTCAAATTTTAGCTTTTTAGATTTGTTGTAATATAGGGGTTTTAGAATAAGTAATTAGGTTTATGCACACAACATAAGTTGGTGACAAATTTCATTGTGAATACTCAACAAACACCCACAAAACCTATTTTTGACATTCAAACAAAATATTTTACATGGCAGTTGAGCGATGTTATTCGTAATTACGGTAGAACTGATAAAAAGAGAAAAGATGTTCCGCTCTATTCTACACATGTAAATCAGATAAATAATGCGGTGATTTGAATTTTAAAATTGGCTTTAGCTTGAAACCACTTAGCATGGAATGGTGTCTAGCATTTTTGTCTCACTGAATCAGATAGACATATCGGAATTTCTGTAAAATCATGTAAGTACATTTTATGATTACTAGTGGAGTGCATTGCATTTTAATGCTAGACGATATTGAGCCAGTGTTGTCAACGGATATTCAGATAATCTAGAAATTCATTGATCAATATTAAATCAAGACTGGAATCTCATTGCATTCACCAAGCGCATTCTGAACTTCACCTTAACGTGTATTAATTTATTTTTGCTTATTTATATTTACAAACTGTTTGAAATAAAGACAATTTATTATTGTCATTATGTTAAAAGTTTAACATGTTAGAATGTTACATATTAGGAAATATAGTAAATTTTATATAAATTTTTAGTAGAATAATTTTTAGTTATAATACCATAATTTACAGGAAACTGTAAATTTAATTTCTTTGATGACACTAAAAAAAAGTTTATTTTTAGCTTTATTCTAAAACAATAAGAAATAACCCCATATTTTTGTAATTAGAAAAAAATAACTCTATAAAAAAGTGTCCATATAATGTCTTAGTTATAATACTCCACCTATAATAATAACCAAGATAATTGCACTTGCTGGTTCTACGATATTTTCAATTTTGGCATTAGCAGTTTCTCTAAAATCGAGATCATAACATGTAAGCTACTTTTTTTCTAACTCTTATAGTTTCAGAGATAACCTATTCGACATCGAATTTGAACCACCCTATACAATAAAAGTTTGTCAGTATTTGGTGCTGAATGCTGAAGATGAATGTTTTCATCACGTATTTTCAACTTTCCCTACTCTTATTTGCAAGAAGAACAAAGTAAGTGAATTTAGCGACTGTCAAATAAGTACTGACTACAGTGCTTGTAATTAATAACTTGTAATATAAATATTAAGCTTACAAATTCGTTTATTAATTCTGATCTAATCCTACCATTATTGTATCTATCACAAAATGTTTAGGATAATTTTGAAATACGAATAACAAGATACAAATCAACATACACGAATTATTTGAACAAATTTCATGATTTAATTTTATTATTGTTTGATTGGTTGCCTTTGTAGGTTCCTCCCTGGTGCCCTTGCACCCCATTAGACTGGCTATAACCATTATAATTGTTATTCAAATCGGATTATATCCATTGAAATTTCGTAATAACAATTATTGAAAGCTTTATATTATTTGTATAAAAATAATTGGATAGCAATTTACATGGAATGATATTTAATATTAAAAGTGTTATAAATTTTTTTTTAATAATACATTCCATAAAATAAAATACCCAGTTTATTTGTAAACATTTTCATATCGAGTTAATCACTAAAAAGCTGAATACCCTCAAGTTTATACCAATCGTGTCATTATAAAACCACACGACACGCCCGTATAGATAAATTTAGCAATAATTCCTATTGCCCACGACAGAAATCGTTTATGATGTCTCACGAGATTTAATTCGAAAGATACTGAACGAGAAGTAGTTGGACTGCCGTTTGGCGATCCGATGTTGGCTCGCGGGGAGTTCGCGATAATTTTAAATGGGTGCCGTAAATCACTCATCCTGAAGGCATACTATTGAAAGATCGCCAGGATGCGGCGCACTTTGGGACGAGTTTTGCGAACCAACGAACGAACGAAAGATCTATTCTTGACTTGGGATGTGAAGATGCGCGCGCGAAGTCCGAGACGTGATCCGGATTCCGTTTACGTTGACCACAAATATAAGTGGGGAGGAGGAGCTTACGTTATTTGTTAAGGAAACCGAAGTCTAACCCTGTAAATGTATCCATTGAACTGGGCTGGTTTTGGTGCCTCCACGCTGACGATGGAGGCATTTGCCGATGTTATTCTCCCGCCGCTGTTACTGTTGTCCAATTCCAAGGACTCGTGTAGTTTTTTTGGCTAAAAAAATAAAGAAATAAAACAATATTAGCAATTTTATTTATTTTTTGTTATGAAGCGGGATACCATAAAGAGGTTACTAAACGACATCGACGAAGAGATAACGATAATTTAATAACGCCGCGATTTGTAACGATTGCGGTCCACACAGTGGTAATTAATAAAAGATGAATTCGGCAATAAAGCGTCGAGTATAGAGAGTTTCTCTCTTTGGCGACCAAATATCATCCGGTTTTGCCCGTTCTCTTTTTACGGTCTGCCGATCGCCGGACGTAATGTTCCCAGTTATCGCCGCGATCGTATGATATGTATAATTGCCATCCGACACGATGATATTTATTGCTTGACGATCGATCGCGTTGAATCGCGTTCGACGTATCGAGATCACGATCAGAATACGAATCTCGACCGTCGTGATAACCTAATTGTGCAACCAGTTATGCTTTCGGCGTTATTCACAGTCCTAAAATAGTAAACGGCGGCGTTTTTAATGTAGGTACGTTTCGATTGGCATCGTTACATAAAACCTTATATGATTAAATAGTGAGCCTGACTTAAAAAGTAAAAAGGTAACATCTATTTTTAGATGTGGTAGAAGAATCAACAAAAATATTTATCTTTTATCCCTTCTTTGTACAAATCCCCTTAATGTTTACGATAAATCGGTGCAAGTTCGACCCACCCCAAAAACCACCAGATTCAATCAGTCCCAGTGCAATGCCATGTAGGCGCCACAACTGGGGTGGCGATAGGTTCCGTTTATAAGGGAGGGGTAAGAAACGAAGGTCGGAGTTAAGAGTATTTGTTTGGAACTCTCACAGTTGACCGCCCATGAACAGGCAGCGTGCTCTCAATAGGTAGATAAACAGTGGCGATGAGTTATTAATGTAAATAATTTATAACGTAAGCAAATGGTAATGAGTTGCTGAAATGTTGGGTTGGCGTCTGGTTGAGATGAAAGCTCCTACACCTTCGTAGGTGGTGGGCTATTAACGAATTGTTTCTTTTTTGTAGTTGTGCATTCTTTAAAAATAAACGCGGGTGTTGCGTATAATAAAATCTAATACCAGTTGGTGGGACTACGAGATTTAAACAGACCTTGTTCTAACAAGTAAACAAAACATTCAGTCTATTCAATACACAAGGTGATTTGGAACATTTTTTGAATAACTTCATTATTAAAACTTCATTATAACTTAATTTATACTTGCTTCTACCACAAATTATAAAAAAAATAATATCAAGAGTACCAGAATATGAAAAGTTTATTTTTGACGTGCATAGTTTTAGTGATCTTTTAGTTGACACGTTGTAACGCATGATTTAGTGCAACTTGGATACACAACACAAATTGTAGTCTTTCTTTACCATTAATTTTTGTTAACGTAAAACCAAACTTTAAACTCCTTTTTTTCACGCTCGTGCCATTCATTGGGGAAGTGATTTATTTATTTTCTCTATTACATTTGTTACTGTTTATAAGTTGGTCCGTTCTAAAAGATATAAGAGAAAAGAAATCATTAAAGTATTTGTAATACAAAATTAGGACCCACACAAGGAGCAAATGGCGTGTTCAAAAAGCATATTATCCAGATAATAAACCGCTTTCATAAACCTCACACGTATAGGGATTAACGCAGTGCGAGATTCTCCAAAACATTGCCGAGCCACCGTCAAACGGGGTTCATGGAGGAATGTTACAACCTGCAAATCGCCAAACACGATTATCCACGTCCATGAGGATTTTAAGCTAGTCCTCGTTTGATACGAGAATAACTTTTTTTTAAAAGCATTAACAGATGATTGTTGATGATTTCTGGCAAAAAGGAATTTTTGAACTTCTCTTTAATTCGGCATCATCTAAATATCTAATCTATCCAGTCTCTAAGAGCAGATTATCTCAGAAAACGGTCACCCCTTTGGTTCCGACCATACGAGTTATGCTGGAATGATATACTCCAAAACATATTAACAACACGCATGAAGTACTCATCCTCCAGAAAAAATCAGATAAAATCTTTAGTGATTGATAGTTCATACTCTGCACAAACTTGAAAGCACATGTAAAAACCACTAAAAGCAATCCCAGGTAAAAGCTTCAATTTTACAGAAAAATTATCCACACCATGATTTTAACCACATTTGTTTCAGATGTCAAAGAAGACTCGCAGCTTAATAATATGTAGTAGTAAAACTAGTAAATTAAAAGTTATTTGTTAAAAAATACTGGGAAAAATGTAATAGTGTAAAATTATAAGTCGACTAACACTTTGACGTGACACAAAAAACTCTAGATATTTTCAACTTTTCACTTTGTTCTCGATTTAATTAGAATTAGACTACATAAAGAGAGGTGCTGAGGCTAAAATTGCATTTAAGCAAACCCTTTGAAACATCGAGTTTGAAGAAAATAAGTTTCATTTAATCACATTAATCCTCATACATTGCTGGGTTATTCACATCTTGAACTATCCTACTCATGTTCAATATATTTTATGACCACTACAGTTACTTTCTGCGGCGTCAGTTAATCTTCTTTTCTATTTATGCCACCTTTAATTAGCGCCATTAACATCATTTGTGTCCCCCCGGTACAGTTACCTCATTACAACTTACAACAATCGCGACTAATTGTATTGTTGTGTTTTGACTTAAAATTTATACGGATTATATGCGTTATTTAAATTTTTTTTTGCATTTATTACTGAATTTTGAGGTTTGGTTAAAAATTGCGATTGGACGCGACAACGTGCAAGTTAGAAATGCAAATTGCAAAAGCCAACGTCGATTATGAACAAAGTTGCCGCAGGCAGTTGGCTTTGAACGTTTTGTAAACAATGACAAGCCGCTTTGTGAGTCGTTTAGTTTGTGGTCGACTTGTCGAGGCAGCAAGTTCTCGAGTGCGTTTTACAATTAGCGCAGCGACGACCAACAAAGGCGGTTGGCGGCTTTGAAATGAGTAACCATAACAATCCTAAAAAGAACCCAAATAACCGTATGTCGCGATAAGAGAGTTAGCAACACAACGGTTATTTGTGGAATCTTGACTCGGACTAATTATTTAATGGGCACTTATTGGGCCGGATTGCTATTTAAATTGTTTTTACAATTGCGCGCGCGGTTTTAGTCTTTGATTAGCACATAACACATGTGGCGGATCGATAAAATAGAAAGACCATATCTATCTGATGACCTGGATATTAAAAAGAAAGCTTAGAGTCGTAGTCTTTGAATGGTTAATATGTCATAAGTTGGATGTCGGGTGCGGTAAAAATGCTGTGAAAGGCATACTTCGCGTAGACTTTAATTAATCGCAACCTATATTTTCTGACGCATACGTGATTTAAGAGCGCACGTTCGTGTTAATAACGACCAAGCAAAATATGCATACAAGACTCGTTATTAACGACTGAAGAAGTAAGATAGTCAAAATAGTATAGTCTTTAACAAAAACACTCTTTCATCGAAGACAGAGTACTAAGCAGATTTATCAGCATTCCCTTTTTTTTCAAAAAAACTGCAAGCTCAGCTTTTTTATTACCATTTTATTACGAATCTTATTAATGCAACATATGTTGCTGAGAGAAATAGGGTGGATATCATATTAAGAGTTCTTATGATATGTTGTCAACTCCACGTGTCTTTTATTGAGTTTGGTTCAAATTAATTTTTTTTACTTTTTATAAAGTTTTCAAAATTAAATCAACGTTTTTATATTAATTGTAATTCATTTCGTTCTGGTTAAAATAATGAAATAAAAAAAACGATATCAAGGTAATGTAAAAAATTATTGAAGCCTATGGTAGGTTCATTAACAGTTCAAGGTGGCTGCCTATTGTGTTTTGAAACGGTTTTCGCGCAGTCACTGATCGTATTTAAGATTATCGTCCGGGCCCGATTTGTTCTCCGGTTTTTGAACGGGTCGTCCGGGCGTTTCCATTTAGAACCTTTACATCTCAATGAAGACGGACGTAGAGGTGTGCTTTTTGTTTCGGTCGCGCTCTCCGGTTGATTGGACCATTAAGTCGTAGAGAAACCCGGAACAATCGCGATGACACGTAGAAGCGGATGAGAACACGTTCGTGGCGTTATTGCAATTGCTACGGGAGATTAAATTTTGGAATCCCCGGGGATACAATGGAATTCCGGGATATAAAATGTAATGGGCCTCTAGGGTGGCAACGCCAATTAGCGTACTTACTTGCCGAACAACGGATGCCAGAGATATTTTTGCGCGTCCTGCATTTCTTCGATGCTCGCCGTTGTGCTGCCCACTTCGGGCACGTCGTCCTGTTTCAGCATTCGGGCCGCGTGTCCCGGATCAATAAGATGTTGTCTGACCTTGAGTTTGCTTCCAGAAGCTGTCGACCCGGAGAGGTCGATAGGTTGCATCCCCGAGTGCTTAGGAACACTTCCTGGCGCCTCGAATTTTTGTTGAGAGGTCACTTTATTGGTCGACGGCGACGTTTTTTTTTCTTCGCTTTTTCCAGATGCCAAAACGTGACCGAAATGAGACGACTTTTGGGTGTAACCACGATTATTTCTTGATGAGGAGGTAGAGAGTCGTGATGATTGATGGTTTGGGTTAAATTGTGGCACGTGGAGATTAGGTCGAGCGGTGGTGAAGGGTGGCATATTGAGGAGGGGATTTGGCGTTTGATGAAACGATGACAAACTCGGCGGGAACATATAGTTTGATTTTCCACTGGGTTTATTATTTGAGGTACTTTTTTTACTTTTTTCGACGTATTCTTTATACATGTTTTTGTTGTATAAATCGTACTGATTTTTTGGTCGCATCATAACCATTTCCTGCCAGTTGTATTCCATCGGGTTTGGGAATGATGGTGGTTGCATCGAAAATGCACTTGGTGGCATAAACCGGTTCATTCCTAGGAGGTGTGCCATATCAGGTGGGTGCGGGTGCGAATAAGACATCGCGAGCAACTTCAAGAATTCACTATTGGGATTATTTTCCATTTGGTTAAAATATGGCAACCACATCATTTGATTGAACGCGGCGTTTGACGCGGCGTCTATATCATTGGCCAGCTCATTCATCCCCGCTTTCTTATCCTTCGATTTCTCCTCTTTAGAGACGTTATTGTTTTCGTTTGCTTTTGGCGTGGGAGGTTTAGCAACGATTTCTTTCTTCTCTTCTTGGGATTGCTTGATTTCTTCCTTTCCTTCCTTTAATGGTAATTGGCTTTGTTTTTGCACAATCGTTTGTAATTGTTGAATAGTGATTACTAAAATGTCTGGGTCTTGTAGAAGATGTGGAAACGCTAAAGCCTGAGGAAGTCGCAGTTCTGGTCTATCTATTAATAACCTGGGTATTTCTCTGGCCGGCGAGGACAAAATTTGACTTAATCTGTTTTTCGGGACTAATAAAGGGTCTGGGATGTTAATAGTATTGTCTGTAAGCACTTGATTTAGTTGAGCAACGGGATCTTGTTCGATAGGACAGGATAGAAGCTCGAGAAGGCGCGATGTTTCCTTAATTTTTGACGTGTCGGATTTTGTTGATTCTACTTGGACGTCTAGTAATCGTTTTAGGGTTATATCCTCAACTTTTAATTTTTTGCTGGGAGGTTCAGGTTCTTTGGAACTTTTTACTTCTTCGGAACATGTTACGGTGGGACTGGCCGATTTGCGGAAGTTAAGGTCAAGCGGTTCTTTTTCGGGTTCCTGCGTTTTTTGTAAAAGTGATTCGAGAAATTTCGATTTTTGATTTTGAAGTATATCGGGCGATGGGGGTACGGCGGGGATTCCGCTGGGTTGAGGGGATTGTATTGTTTCGGAGCTGTGAGATGGCGGCCTGGAAAGCGGGGATTTATTTCGTTTCGGGAGACTTAAGTCGGTGGGTTGATCCTCGTCCTTTTTGGTTGATAAATCGGTGGGAACGTCGGGTTCGTCATCTGGAATTACGACGATTTCGTCGTCTTCTGGGGTTTTTATGAGGATGTCGCTTTCTTTTTTGGTATCTGGTGGGATGATGTCGGTTTGCGTTTCAGGTGATCTTAGGGATTGCTCAAGCCTGTTGAGTATATCATCCATGGCAAGGTTGTTATCGTCCTCGGTGTTGTAATCAGATTCGTCGGGATTTTTTTGGATGGAGTCGTCGTACGAAGGATTGCAGGAGTCGATGAATTTATCGAGCTCGATATCGGTTTCTGTCGAAGGCGATTTTGGCTTTTCAATAATAGTAGTGGTTGTGGTATCGGTGCACTTGTCTCCCCAGTCGTTTGATTGGAGTTCAAGCTCTGCGACTGCTAGGAGATTGTCTAAAGGGCTGACGTCACAAGTTTTATTGACGTCCTTCTTCGGTATCCGTATAGTGTGGGACGGCAGGTGAGATTCAACGTTGACGGGGTCGTCCCACGAAATGGGAGGTGATGGGATTCGCGTTTCCGCATCCGAGATGTCGTCGCCGTCATCGCCGACTTGTACGCCGGTGGATCTTCGTTTAACCTTGTGCGTTTTCCGCTGTTTTCGTAGCCGGGGTGGTTCTTCTTGGAGATCCGATTGGTGGTGAGTGTCTGTTGTTTTACCTTTGTCATCCTTGAGGGTGGGCACTAACGTTTCGGTGCGGGGTATGGCCCGCCATCCCTGGGCGGTTTTCGTCAAGAGGATCCGGTTCCTCTTGTCGTAGTCCTCGCATTTGACGTCCACGATTTGAGTGTCTTCTTGACGCACCCACACGAAGATCGGATTAACGCGCGGGTTGACCGGTCGGTCTTCGAGGGTGCCACTTTGTTTACTGGGCGCCCGTTTCCTGGCCCTCCTGTGTTCGCGCCTTCTCTCTGATTTACGGTGACGTTCGGGCCTGGATTTGGGGAAAGGCGTCTGCGCGTGTGAGGGGCCACGTGATCGCGCGGTATCGATTAGATCGACGGCAGGTTGTATCCCGGCCGTCCTACGGGAGCGCTGCTCTCCCATAACCTCAAAACGACGTTTGCCGCCACCTTTCACGTTACTTAACTGAAACCGCGAGATCGGTATTAAATCCGGTACTGGCGGTAACGAAACGGAGCTCATCGCATTCCTCTAAGCGCGGCGCCAGTCCGTTGGACTCGTCCCCCATTCAATCGATCCTAAGAGTATACAGCACATACACTCACTTACACGCACACACAGGCCAACGCGCGCACGCACTTTAAATCGTAGAAAAGATATCGCGAAACCCAACTTTCGCCGAACGATACGCATTCCCTCTTCCCTATTCACGGACTAAAACACTGAACGTTCTTGTTCGGAGTATGAGAATTCCGTACGATCTCAACCGATTTCTCCCGACTGACGTCAGGAGTGTTGGGGTCGGTAGTCGGGATCGGTCACAGTTGGCCGTGGGGCGGATCAACTTTTGAAAGCGCCGCCTCTATTACGCCTTCTTGCGCTGTGACGCTGCGCAACTACAACAACCACCCGTAAGGTTGGCTCATCTGGCGGCGTTGAACGCTACTAAAAGGAAGGAATAACCTTGACTCTGTGAAATCACCGATTATATAACGCAACGACAACTTTAAAAAAGTCTCCTTCGCCGCCGTTTATCGCGTTCCCATTGACCCGAACAATGGGTCGTAATCCGCGACTTAATAAATAAAATAAATAAATTACGAACGGCCTCTCAAAACACTCGCTTCTATTTTTAAACACTCTCTTCTAAACTGATGCATGCCATCCAACGAAACTATGATTGCCGACCTTAGCCAAGTAGAGAGACGGATAACGTTACCACTCGTTATCAGGGTCTCTGCGATTTGTCTTGGCCCGTGGAACCGGAACGAAAAGCAGAACGGGGCGAGAGGGTTCTGCGAGCCGGATACGGTTCGGTTCCTCGGGAACGTAGCTGTTCCTTAAGGAAAGGAAACCACTAAATTGCCATACTTAGACCAATCTTATTAGTAAAGGTTACGATATTTTATCTTCATTACAACTATATATTAAATCGACGTAGGTTCTACTTAAATAACATATCACTTTTCAAGGTAAAGAATATCAAAATACTTGATTGATACAACCATATTAGAAAATCTGATGGTAACCGAACACAACTCAAGTCTGATTTAATAAGCGATTATTGCAAGGTTATTTTAATACTGCTCTTAGTATACATAGTCTATTTTCCTTCTGGTAATAAAGGTTATTGCATTACTTACTGTAACCACCAGCATACCAAAGTTAATTATCGTAGCGACCGTGTTTCCTCGAATACAATCTGAATACCGTTAAAGTTGTCCTGTACGTACACGGTTGCCATAATAGAACAGACAAAGTTTTAATTGATTAATGGACTCAAAATTGCGCATCTAACCACATTAATTCTTCACGTGCGCCGTTGCACTCAACTTTCAATGGATTCTGATAGAAAAAAGCGCTCTTCTTAAGAGGGTGCATTTAGCAATTTTAATCTTATTTATGATTAATTGGTTTCATCACAATTGAAAGTATACAGGAGCCGGGAAAAAATGTAATTATAAAACATAAAGCTTGGGTTCCGCAAAAAGGTTGTCAAAATTGAATTAAGATAGTTAATTATTGAGGTAGAGTGCACTTCAATATAATTTAACTCAATTTCAACAGGTCTTGCCAATTTTTATAGCAAATATATGGTTTAAATAAGTATCAAAAATTCTGCTGTTCTACACTATATTGATATGAAAGTAGGACATTAATGAGCAGGCGCTTGAATTCAAACCAAACGATTGGGTATATAGATATAACACCCACTCGACCCATACAATCCTTTGTATGACGACTTCATCCAAAACAATCACTCCAATCCGATTACAGCACCGAGTACGATAACAACCTGACTATGGATGATATACTCAACAGACTTGACCAATCCCATAGATCGCTAGAAATGTAAATCAAAATCATCCCACCAGATATTAAAAAAGACAGTGATATCCCGTTACTCAATTAAATGCGTCAAAAGCTGAATCAATGCCAATAGTAAATTCTTGAAGTTGCTCGCGATGTCTTGATACGGTACACCTCCTAGGAATTAATTGGATTATGCCACCAGTACATTTTCCCAAACCAGATGGAATACATCTGGAAAGAAATGGTTATGATGAGATCTAAAAAATAACTTTCATAATAGAAGGAATATTTTTTGTATTTGTTCGTTGTAATTATTTCGAATTTAAACAAAATAAATTAGAATAATGGGTTTACTAAGGATTATTACACTGTGGTTTTATGTCCAAATAGTTATGGACCACCCTGTAGTACAGACATTTGCATATGAACTCAGTAGAAATATCTAAAACCAACATAAATTGAATGTTTTAGTGCTAAATTCTAATAATTATTTTAGTAGGTACCCCATTACGGCTGTTATGACAGCATATGGGGTATGTTTGTGTATGTCTGTAAAGTTTGTGGAACCATAAACTTCCAATGTATATAAATAAATAAACATGTGAAGCGGTTCTAAATAAAATTGTAGATGAAATATTTAAAGCTAATTTGTTAAATATAACATATTTAGATGTTATTCTCTATTAGAAGAAAATGTAATAAAAAATTAATTTTGATTTGTACGATCACGGTAGGATTAAGATGAGAAGTCAACAATTTTTTTTTATGCACAATTGTTTACTAAAAGGAATACCACATTGTAACGAAAATATAATTTATGTAAGAAATTTCAGCAAGTCAACTCTTCCGTCTATTGTTCTTATTGTCTTCTTATTAAGTTGCTAATGTACAATTCAAGGTAATAATACAAACTAACATTTACTTAACCAACGCAAACTTAACAATCATTGTGTGTAAAAAATTAGCGAAATCAAAAAATTTATAAATTCAGGAGACAGAATTTCTTTTGACAGAATTGACTTGTTCTTGGTTGACCTTTATCGGCTGATTTTTATATTTCCTAGCATATTGTTTACTTCATTTGGCAATGATTGACTACTTTCCATAGTCTCGCCTTGAGATATATTTGTTGTAATTGCTCAAAAAAATAATTTTCATTCATTTCCACGTTGGTAGTATAACAACGCTTTGTGTTAGTGAGACAAATAGTTTTTATGTTATATTTTGAAGTAGATTCAATTAGAAATGTTTAATTTCAGAGAAAATAAATCAAGCACAAAACTTTAATGTGAAGTTGTTTATCCTCAAAACATATCATGATATCAAAGCGGAATTGGTCATATTTGAAAAATATATTATATTTTCTTTTGCCAAAACTCACTTAAAAACTTGTACTCAGCTTTGTATTTATGTATTATGTTATCAGCCCTAGCGCATAAGTACAAGCGTACTTGGCGTTTTGAGATTGAAGATTTCTGATTTAAGTTGACCATATGGATATAAACTTGAACAGTTGTCCAGTCCAGGAAGTTTAGTGTTTAAAAGTTTAGATCAAACATAATAAATCCTTCAAAATCAGATTGTTGTTCTCAGTCAGGTTGGCAATCTCGATCGCAAACAATTTTATACTCATTTGTATTCTAATAGTTGTCCAGTCCAGGAAGCTTAGTGTTTAAAAGTTTAGAACAAACATAATAAATCCTTCAAAATCAGATTGTTGTTCTCAGTCAGGTTGGCAATCTCGATCGCAAATAATTTTATACTCATTTGTATTCTAATATTCTGTATCCGCATCAGAATCAACAGAATTCTGTAATCTTCAGATTCTGAATCATCTAATTGTTAAAAATTTTCATTCGGCAAAACCACATTTTCGTCAAATTCTCCAAAAGTTAAGATTCAGATGAACATAAGCATTTAGCCATTTTTATGCACTTATTAAGAAATAAACAACTACCGAATTCCTGAATACAAACAAGTTACTATAACATCAGTTTAAGACGTCAAAAATCCACATTGCTGTAGTTATAGTAATGATTTGACATATTCCTTGAGATATCCCTTCAACAACAACTACTCCTACACAGCGTGTTCTAATACTGGTGGTCGCTGGATCTGGTCTACCGGGAGTAGACTGCAACTTTGTTCTTTTAAGTAGAATGATCATAACTGATTTTCCTAACAAAAATATGTCGACTTTGATCAGGATTGTTGATTTTAATGTTTTAACTATTTCAATTGGTTTTTTACATCAGCATTTCTCAGCAATCGATCAAGCTAAAAAGATGAACATAGGTATAATTACATCTTAAGTATTACTAAATTGGATGTCACTAATTATATTACTTGTCTTTATACAGAGTGTTTGAAAAATGTAACCCGTGCAACGATGGCAAAAAACTTCCCAGCAACAACCTTTAACCCGTAATTTCTTAACTACTTTCTTAGCTGATATCTTCCTTATTATTAGAGATAGCGAAAAATTAAATACACCATTTAAAAGCTTGATTCTTTCTCTATCTAAAATTTTCATCTGCCGATAAGTTGATACTAAGATCAATAAAAAATGAACAACTTGTCCTTAAAATAGCTCAAAATTAACAAACTTCAAGCCCTTGTGCAGTTGTTTTTAAACCGAATTTTAAAAAACTGTTATCACAGTCGGTTTTCTTCCCTTGAATATGACTTCTCTTAAATATTTATCATTATTTGAAACTATTCTGAAGCCAATATTCGCACCCATTCATCAAATACAAATTAATATAAATTTCAGACTATCTCAAACAACAAGATGGTTACAATTGTGGCGTTTAGATATACGTTGAATGCTTACTATCTGAAAAACCATTTTGTAGCATAAATCCTACCATCCACGATAACAAAATTATCGACCCAAACAAGGTTTAAAAGTGGATTTTTTTGTAATTTTTAGTCAAAAACGTGTTAAACGGGTAAAAATATAATTACTTTTTACTATCTTTAATAGCATAGAATTAAAACTTCCTGAATTACATATTGGACATGCTTCATTAACTTTCGCGAAAAAGTTAATTTTAAATGAAGATGACGATGACAAGTTGTTGATTCCCACCAAAAATTCTCATCACAACCACCGCTTTTCGTCGTTTCCCTTCCAGACAACCACTTAAAAGATAGCGTCTTGTCGCTAAATTAATTATGAGGCACCTGTACAAGGGGGAGGATGCGATGTCTTCGGCGTCTCGTTGCGACATTTCTATTTAAAAAGATTTAAGCGCATCAAGGGACTACTCCCGGTATCGTTTAGTCTGGGGCAATTGCGCGTGGCGTCGATAATTGACGCGTGCCCATTAGCTCAACGCCGAAAAGGGCCTCCGGAACGGCGGACGTGAAATCGGGCGCGTTCTCCCCCCGACCGCAAACTGCCGCAATATGTTCCCGATGCGGTCGGGACCCTTTTTTTTCTGTTGTTGTGACGGCAACGAACGCACACGAAGAAATAATCCGCAAGGATTCAATTAAAACGTCGCGTGACTTTCGTATCGATACCCAATTTAGGCGATTGAATCGCAAATTCGAGTTAACTTTCATGAATTTTTTACAGACATTATTCTTTCATTTTGACTGTTATAACTTTATGTTTTGAAGGGTATAATTCGAATCGACTGAAATCGTGTTATTTGCATGCGAAGTGTTTTTAAATGGTCGAAAAGAAAATTGATTTAACGTTCATGAATAATAATCGGTTCGCTGAGCTAAAGAAAAGCGGGTCTCATGCTCGGTTGACAGGAGTTATCGTCGGCTTCAACAATTAAGTCGCCGTTCTTTTAAAAAGCACGTTGACGTCCCACCATTCCCAACAACCTACAAAGACCTCTCATTTATTCCTTTATTTACACCCATTTTTAGGTAATAAAATCCGGACGTGTTAAAAAATAAAAATTTTAATTTTTTTTTATCATAATATTTTGATTCGCTCGACTATGAATAGACGTAAATCTGTTGGCGCTGAATGGGTTTCATTTATTGGTGCAAACGACTCCGTTTGGTTATTTTTAGAGCAGAAACGCACAACGAACGACTCCGTTTATTGAAACGTCTCGTGGTGCGTTCCACACTTCCAATGTTGAGGAACAGTTGTAGCGTCGGAGAATTTATCAAACTAATTAGATTCCAAAACACCAGGGGGGACGAACACACAACAACGTCCCTTTATTGGAGAACCGTAGATAGATCTTTTGATCATTTCATGTCAAACAACTTTACATAAAATAATTTTAATAAAGAAAAATAAAATTTGAAATCTCAAATTATTTAAAGTTGTCTTTAAAATCAATTTTTTATCATGGTGTTTTTAATTGAATATAAAACAAAGATTATTATTGTTCTCTGTGAAAATATACGCATCGTCAACTCACAGTTAAAATCAATAACTTACATAACCAGTCCATTTTCTTTTGTGCCATAGAAATTTAGCGCACGCTTCGCCGGTTTGTACCCTCGAATTTCCTCAGTTTTCGGCATTCGAGTCTAAAAGGAAGGAAAGAATGACCTTATGAGGGTCTTGTTCATTGTATTTATTTCCAGGGATTTCTCAAATATCATTAGAAACCGTGGTGCTTTCTTAATTTTCACTATTTATATCGTTAACAACTATTAGAGTGGCTAATTTAAATCGAAACTCGCAAATCCCTTAATTACCCATGACAACAGGAAACGAATACGACTTGTAGAGCTAAATTAAGCAATCATTTAAGAACAGCTTTAATAACAAACGATTCCTTAGAAATGCCGTATAGTAATCTTCGTTCATCGGCGAACTTTGTGGTCTAATTGACGCCTCTTCGTTGCATATTAGCCGCAGAAGAGAAAACGCGAACGTAACAGTAGAACGACCGCGTGGAATCCGCCAGTCTCTCTTTCCGACGCGATGACGGTCCTCGATAATTATGAGAACGTGTCGGACTGAGAAATCCGACACCGACATCGCAGGGATAAATGGCGTGCGGTGTCATAGGAGCCATAGAGAGAAAGACGTTTCACTGGAAACGATTTCAAAGCAATGTCTGAAAAGATTGATCAGCTTCAAGATGCTATACATTGAACTATATTTATGAGAGATGCTTCAATGATCAAAGAGATTATTTTAGGTGGTATATAAATATCAAATAAATCATTTTCGATGTCGTCATAATCATGTTAACTAAATTTTAAGTCTGAAGATGCACGGCTAAACCCGAAACTCTCGAGTT